CGGGGCGCCCTGGGCGACACGCGGCGCCTGCGCATCACGCGGAACAGGTAACGCCAACCGGCTGCGCAAGAACAGCGGCACCCCACATCAGCCTTACCTCCATGGTCCGGCGAGAGAGGTCCAGCGGAGGGAGGCGGGTACCACTGCCCAATGCCCCCCGCTGCACGGAGACACAGGGCCCGGGCGGAGTAGCAACACCCCCCGCACGGCCCGACGCAGAGAGCGGCTCCTACAGGCAGGCAAGCGATGGGGGCCAGTACAGGCCGAGCGGGGCAGCCCGCCTGCCCGCAGCACCCTACCTCCGCAGCGGGTCAGCATGCCTCCTAGAGTCCGCTCCCGCAGCACATTACCAGCTAACCAGCGGCGACATTATTCTTCCCCTCAGCGTAGAGCCAGCCTGGCAGCGCCCGCTGGCCCCACATGCGCGGGCTGCCGGCTTGCTTACAGTAAATGCTGTTGCCTCTCCAACAGCGCATTACAAATCTAACATGGGCGCTGTGTTCCCATGTGCGGTCTACCAGCGTAGCAACAACGGCATCACGGCCAGCGGCGCACCGGCAGGCCTAGCAGCTGGCAGGTCGTTACCCCGCAGTGCACCGCCTCCCTAGCAGAAGGCTTGCATGGTCTTGCCCGCGGCACGCTACATGCCTAGCCGGGGACGGCTCCCCTGCCCGCAGCACGATGCCTCCCGAGCAGCGGTCAGCGTGCCTTCCCTCAGCAGATAACTGTTCCAGAAGGGGCATGCAACGCCCTCCCGCGGCACAATTCATGCCTAGCATGGGACAGGTTTCGCCCTGGGCCCAACCCTGAGGCACTCAGGGACCAGTTCGGCCTGGTTGTGGAGTGGGGCCGCGTGAAGCGCGGTGTGGTTTGGAGTTCCTTATCTTTAGGAGTTGAGAGGGTGCTTGGATGTGGTGCGAGCACCAATAACCACACGAAGTTAGTAAGTGTACTGCAGCTGCACTTAGCACTTAAGCAATGTACCATACTGAAGTGCTCGGCCAACAGCCGGTACGACAGCGCACCGTAAACGCAGACCGAGAACCCCTTTGCTGACTACACTCAATAGCACCTTAACGAAGGAACTACACTAACCCGGTAGATAGGTTGCGAGTTTACCCACCCACCCACCCATGAGTCTATATGTGGTATGGGGCTGGAGAGCAATGGGTACGACAGCAGAGTTCACAATGCATGCAATAGCATAAGGAGCCAGGCGACCAGCTGAGCACCAGTTCCCGCATGCCGCCATCATGCAAGCTGACCCGTGGGCCCGGGCCGAGGCGGCTCCTTGAAACCACCACCGCTTGGGAGGCTGGGCCACAGCGCCGCTCACGAGCCCCAAAGCGGCGGACGGACGCTACGACCCAGGTCGGCTGCTCAGCCGCTCACCACACACATGCGGAGGGGTCACATGGACCTCCCGTCTGGGTTGAGTACCCGTGGCCCCACCACAACGAAGCAATTAAGCGCGAAACAACTACAGAATGGAACTCTGCGCGTTAGCGCTGGGAGGACCCGATGCAGGAGCCCCGAGCAGGAATGTAGACCGAACACCCGCCACTCCAGCAGGAGGCTGGGGTGCCGTCCGTGAGGCAAACCAATCGAACAGCACAGCCCCAACGTAACCAGCCAACCGCAGATGGCTGCAGTTGGTAGGTGCACCCCGCCCGTCCAGCCCAACCACCGGCAGAACGTCATCACCACCAGCAACCCCGCTCGTGCACGGCACCACCCTCAAGGGCAAGACGTAGCTAGGTATGCGGTGCAGGGCGGCCGCGGAGGTGGCGGAAGCCCAGCGGCCCCCGCACGAAACCGTCGCCCGCTAACGGGGGTAACGGAGTTTAACTGCGATCACACACCCTACAACGGGACAGCGGAGAAGACGGATGCCGCCGCCAGCAGGGGGTACCGCCGGCGGCAATCGCCACCAGCGGAACCGCGCCATGCAACCACCACCAGGCACCCCATCGGTGGAGCAGGGTACTAGCCGGGAACTTTGCGCGCGACACGCCCATGTTCCTGGCCTGGCAAATCTGCCCCGTTTACACCCCAGATTGGATGTTGGGCACACTGTCGTGTCCTCTACTTGTGGCGTACAATGGGCACTCGTCGGACGCAAGGAACGGCTGCAGACTAAGTATGGGCAAGTTGCGCGCAATGGTCCCGCGCAAGGAACCCACTCGGGTGCAGCTAGGCTCACGGAGGTCGGGGCAGCAGCCTGCTTTGCCGACTTCTGACAGCGGCAGACCAGCGCCTGCACCTACCGCGCAGATACTGACAGTAAAGCAGGGCAGACAAGCGCCTCACGGGCGATACCAGGCACGGACAGGATAGGATACGCATCGGCGCTGATTGGAGCCAACCTCCGCGCATGGCGTTGACTACCCACCTCCCCGCTGGGGAAAGCAACAGAACCCGCGGGACAGGCAGGTCTAGATCGGCCACTGCCGTACATAACCGGCCACAACTCCAACTGTCACTCCTTCAACTACCGGTACCTCGGCTTGCAAGTACGCCCCACTAGGGCCCCCGGGCCGTGTTACCTTCCGAATACCGTACCTTCACGATATCATCGCGCAAAAATAAATAATTATTTCGGAAAATGCGCAGTTTCGCGCAAAATTAAATAATTGCCGAGGGGGGTGCGCGAAACTGGGGAAACCCCTCGGGACCCTTCCCCGCACCCCCAACATGCCCCAGCACCCCGTCAGCTCCGCTGCCCATCCCGGGGCTGCATGCTAGTATGCCCCGTGGAACACATAGCGGTATTTGTAAAGCTGTCTTGGCGATCTGGGCTTACATGGATGGGTTCTTACAGTCAAAATGCAGTGGTGGACATGAGCTGCGCGAAGCTGAAAAATAATTCCTGACACCCCTGCGCGAGCTTGAAAAATAATTCCATCTAATGGGGCTGCGCGATGATCACCCGAAGGTACGGTACCCCGCTGTCGAGCCGCGTCGACCCGTAAGTTGAGCGGGCGACACCTCGCACCTCGTGAGCCTAGAACTGCGCGCCAACGCAAAGGGGCGAGCCGAGAAGGGGGCACAGGGGGGCCGGAGCCCCGCAGCGATCGCAGCAGTCTATCGGGGAGCGAGAGCCAAAACAACAACGCACCCTGCCGGCCGCGGCGGGAAGACAGCCAGGGAGGTGCTGGGCACTAGCAATAGACAACAACAACGCTGCCTCGGGAGACACGTCCCGTGACAGGGACTGACAGGATGCCTAGCCAAGCGACGGACAGAAGCAAATATCGCGCCATGGGTACGCTGAGATTGGGGACACGAGGCCGGGGAACACCCGCCCAACGTGCCGATTCACGGCCGCGGGACCAGCACGCAGACGAACTTGCGCTGCCGGGCTAGCCACGACAGCATCCAGAAGTAAACAGCACCCAGAAGCCACCTATTACTACTATATACGAGAGCTGTTGTGCCGGGGACGCAGAAGCGTAGGACAGCGTCACGATGCACGCGCCGCACGGCCTATGGTTTACAATCCTAACAATAAAACAATCACTGCTGGGCGAGCTGCGCGTACATTTTACTCAGTCGGCTCGGCATCATGTTCGGCGACCCACCCAACCCACCCCAGAAAAGGACATTTGGAGTTCCTTATCTTTAGGAGTTGAGAGGGTGCTTGGATGTGGTGCGAGCACCAATAACCACACGAAGTTAGTAAGTGTACTGCAGCTGCACTTAGCACTTAAGCAATTCACCTCGGCGGTCACAACTGGTGAACCCCAGACGCCAGCTAGCATGTCCACAGCCTCTGATAGCTATATTAGCTGCTTGCTGAAGTTTTCCCGGTGCGGGAATGTGTCTAAGCTGGCTTTTTCGCAACTTTCAGGGTGGTTCTTAATACCCCTCCTTTTCTGGAAGTTGGGGATTTTGCGTAGGTGTTGAATAACGGTCAGTGTCGCTGCTTATATTGAGAGTCGTAAGCAGGGCTCTTGGCCCCGTACAGAAGGGTCATACGGTCCTGCTGCTCCATTGCCATCATGGGCAAGCATCAGATCCTGATCCGTCATCATTGCACCTATGCTACTAAACAACATCCAAGTCTTATATATGTGTCCTATAACGCATCTATGCAGCGCGTTTATGACTGGAAGGACGCTTAGGGCATAATTGGGGTTTGGTCGCAAGGATGGGAAAAGAAGTGGCTGCTGGGAAGCTACTTAGCAGTCAATTCCATAAAAGATGTGTATAGTATGCATGCCAGGTGGTCGCGAAGGTGCTCAGATGCCTCAGGCGCTCTAGCCACTCCACACCGCGGTTCTTGCAAAGCTGTTTGGCTCTGGTGCCCAAATCGTAACCGCCGTCCCAGCCACAATTATGGAATTCATATATATACTATGAACTTAAAGTACTAGAAACCGCTTGTCGAAATCCTTCTTCTGGGCGCAGAAAAGTGGGGTGGTTCTTAATACCTGGTGGTTCTTAATACCCTCCTCCACCTGTACCCTCCTCAAAGGCAATCTGAACATCCTTGTCCTCCGCTGCAACCCACACCGATGTTACTACCCATTCCACTTTGCGACTCTATGGGACTTTAATCGTTGTTGGAAGAACCGGTACTGTGAAAACAGCGTGTCCGCTCCCGAATGCACTCGCATGACGCCCTTGTGCGGCTTCTGCCTCTCAGCCGACTTTGTTCAGTATTGAGTAACGTCCTAGGACAAAACCCAAATACATTTTTTGTAGGAAAGAGCCAAAAGACACATTAAAGTGTAGGCGCGGCTCGATTGCTTAGTTGACAGCTTCCAAGAAAGCGAGGAAGCTAGCCTAACCAGCTGAGCCAGTTTGCTAGCCAGTAAAACGTTATTTTAGGAAGATGCTTTTACCGTTTGCAAACGTCCACGTGCAAGGGCGAAACTCCGTACGGGCGCAATTGTCCTGACGGTTACCCCCTTGTAACTTTCGCATTCTGACGGTAACAGCGCTTGACAGCGCACCCGTTGCACCCTGCGGGCCGGTTACGAAGTTGCGACGCCAACCAATCCCTCTGTATTCCCTACCTTCGCGGGCACCCAACGGAGGGTGTAGAGGGATAACCATTAACTGTCTAGGAGCCTGCTGCTGCTAGGGTCCCCTCCTAACTTTTTAACTGAAGTGTTTTTTGCCCGCACCCCAGTTCAAAGGGTATGTACAGGTTGTAATAAAGGATGACACACGCGTTTAGCCATGTCTCTGGAAGCGGGACCGCGCTGTTCATGAGCGCCTATTGTGGCCAGGGCATTCCCATGCTCCCACTAGCATCGTTCATCAAAGAAACTTATAAGCTAGTGTATATACATATGCATATAAGTTTCTTTGCTTTGAACGGGTAAATCTCGGCGTCATCGGCGAGATGGGTGTACCATGTTTCTGGTAACATCGCAATTGAGCACCCTAACCAGATCGTGTTGGCTCTCTCCCCTCTTCCCCATCAGCTGCAACAGATAGTTACTTGTTGCAGCCCCTCACAAACCTAGTTTATAAACACACGGGCACGACTTACCCTAACCTCGTCGCAAATCCACACCGCGCATCATCACCGCACCCACACCACACCCACCCACTTACCCCCTTCCTCCTCCTCCTCCTCGTCCTCATTTTCCGCCGTCCCTTTACAACCCGTTTCCTTCTACTTCCCTTCGTTTCCCGCACCACCGCCCCGCATCTTCCACCACAGTGCCCTCCCTCCCTCTCCTGCATTCTCCCTCGTCACAACTTGAACGCCCGCCACTTAGCAATCTCCGCCTTCAGCTCCGGGTTGGGTGTCACGTCGCGGCTGGCGATGCGCACACCGCTGCCCGGGAACTCCGAGTTGCCCAGCTCAAGCCACATCTCCAGCGCACTCCGCTCGTAGTTGACACCGTCAGCCGCCGTGACCGGGTCGTCCATGACGGAAAGCGTGATAGGGCAGACGTACCTGAGGAGGCGGGGAACGGTTGGGAAGGGACAAGGGGAAACGTGTGCGTCCTGGGTATGTTACACAGGTATGTTACACAAAAGTGGTGTTCGGGGTGTGTATAGAAATGTGGCCACGCGGAAGAACGCACTGTAATGGGCGTGTGCATGTGCTGCATCACCCGTGCCCGAGAGCGGGATTAGACAAGAGCGCTACCAAAGGGAAGGGGGGAAAAAATTATATAAGTGAAACAACGAATCCCAAAAAGGGAAGGGAAGGGGGGAAGGAAAAGGAGGGTAATGCGAGAGGAGGTAAGGCCCAGGGGAGGGAAAACGCGGACGTGCCTTGAGAGCAAGCGTGCGCGCAGTCGGGTATGCGCGTGCTTCCTCAACAATTACCCAGTCGCCATGCAACCTTCCCTCCTCCCTCCTCGGTTTCTTTACTCTAACCGTCCATTCCAAAAGGCATGTGAGGCAACCCAAGTGAAGGAAACCGTGTCCTTATCCTTCATTTACAGATTCCCCCTCTCGATTGACCCACACCGCAATCCTCAAGCCCCCAAAAATCTTACTTGGGTGGTGGCAATCCAGCCTCCTCCGCTGCCGCCGCTCGCTCCTTCGCCGCCTTCTCAGCCGCCACCCTGTCGTCTTCCGCGCGTCGAGTCGCCGCCGCTTCCTCTTCCTCCGCTTTCCGCCTAGCCCTGAGCTCCGCACCAAGCGACTGCAGAACAGGGCCAAGAGGAAGAAACTGACGAGCTGTATGAGGAGGCAAGGAGGGCAATGGTTCGGCATGGGCAAGAGCCAACAGGAACACAGTGACATCCTTCTTCCCAGTACCACTGCATGCAACGGCTTCACCACCTGCTTCCTACAGTGGCAGCGCCTTTCCCAGGCAACTAAGATCCGTGACAGTGCTGTAACTGCTAGTTGTCTGAACACACGCTACTCCGGTTTTTCAGTCCGGTCGCATTACGAGAGCGCTTCACACGTCGTCCAACACCAGCAATCAAGTTACTTGTAGATCTACATCAACAGCATAGCGTACTCTTCTTTTCTCGTGGCGTTCTCACAGCACGTTCCTACTCGCGGCCAGTTTCCCAACACACAAGTGCCCACCGTCCTACCTGCCCCGCAGCGCCATCCTCTCCTCCTCCATCACCACCATCCTCCCCACCAGCGCCGCCCGCGCCGGCGCCGCTGGCGCCGCCCTCAGCCCCTCCACCCGCATCTCCTCCCGCTCCGCCGTCGTACGACAGCCGCGCAGGCCGCGGCGCCGTCAGCACCACGTCAGCACCTCCGCTGCCGTTAGCAGACTGCCCTTGAGCGGAATGCGACGCCTGCTGCCCGGAGCCGTCTGCTGCCGCCGTTGTTGTTGGGGCGGCAGCAGAAGCAGCCCCCCCAGCTGCCCGCTGGTCTGCTGGTTCGTCCCGCGGAGGGGCCTCCACGCGCGTGAGGGGGTCCAGGAGCCGCAGAAGCGCCGTGGCCGTGGTCTATGTGGGGGGAGGGGGGAGAGGGCGGGGAAGAGAGGACGGGGGGCGGCGATGGGTTCGTGGGCCGACCCATGGGTCGTGGAAGGCTTCTTTTGGGGAGGATGGAGAGCCCTGACGTAAGAACAGCAAAACCTTATCCCTGGCTCTACGCAGAACGCTGTTGCTGCCTTTCCAGAGTACCGTTCGAATAGCGGCAGCTGGGATTGAAAGCTCCTGGCGTTTGCCCTTCCTCCTCCACCTCCTCTCGCCCGTATCCGTACCTCCCGGTGCGCCCCCCACCATACACACCTGCGAGGAGGTGCCGCTGCTCCGGACGCGCGAGCTCCCAATCAGCAGGTTCTGGGCGATCTGTCAGGGGGAGTGGGATGCAAGGGGGGTTTCCAGGGTCAGGGCCAGGATAGAGGAAGCGAGCAGGGCTAGGATGCGGTCGTACGGCGATCAGGACTCCAGAAAGGAGTAGAACCCCGACCCACTCCCACCTCTTGCCCCTCTGCTACACCCTCCGCCCAGCTACCCACCTGCAGCGGCGTGAAGCCGTAGTGGTCTGTGAGGGAGCGCGGGTCCTTGACCTCCTTCTTGCGCTGAGGCTGTGCGTTCATCTGGGGAAGGGAGGGGGGTTGGGGTTGTTGGTACCGTAGCTAACTCCGCACAGGGCGGCAATGGGAAGGCTGTTAGTAGGCTGCAATTCATGATACTGTCGCCAACTGGACAGAGCGCCCCTGCCCTCACCCCTGGCCCCCCCTACCGTGGCCCACGTCTCCAACAGGAATGTCGCCATCTCCAGGCTGCCCCTCATGGCCGCCAGGTGCAGAGCAGTGGAGCCGGCGTTGCACGTCACCAGACCCAAACTGTTGCGTTTGGGGATGGAGGGTGGGTGGGAGAGGGGGGGGGGAGTGGAAACTAACGGAGGGGAGCAGGAAAACAAACCGTGTGAGATCCTTGTGAACGGTTGGGTGTGTAGAGAAAACACAGTAGCGTACGATGACAGTGGTGGAGGAGGTGGAAGAAGAAGCAGGGGAAGTAAGATCCGGCAACCAGCCAACTAACAACCAACCCACCTGTCCGAGTGGCTAGTGGCGTTGAGGCGGCACTTTGCCTCCACCAGCGCTGCCGCCGTGTGCCGGTGCCCCGCCCACACCGCAAAGTGAAGCGGCATAAGGCCCGCCTCGTTTCGCAGGTCTGTGTACCTAAGGGCATCAATTGTGTGTAATGCATACGACCACGCGACCACGCGTGTTAAGAACACTGGCCGCCAGCAGCGTGGCAAGATCACACGTGTATGACAGCAACATGTAGTGTACCTGTGTACGACATGCGTGCACACAAAGATATAAAAGATTCACAAACACGTCAACCAATCGACCAGCCCTGTTTAACCACCCCTGTGCAGTTGACGAGCTGTAAGCGCCACTGGCTTAGGGTGCCGGTCACGGGTCGGGTTATCCGGCACTTGGCTTCGTATGCTTCGCTTCGCTCCCTTTCCCCAACCCTCCTCCTTCACGTCGTTCAGCTGCTTCTGGCGACATGTTGTCCGGGTCCTGACGTTCCTGATGCGGACTGCTTGCTTTGCTACAGACCCACTCGCGAAGATGGATATGATCTATCTTGAAACGCACACACCCTGAGGTGAACAATCCTAACGAATTCACCCCAACCCCTCAGTTAGTTGTTTCCCCGGTCAGCTAAGTGTTTCCTCTTTACCACCCCTCCCTCCTCAAGCGTTGGCTCGATGAGCTCGGGGTGGGCTGGAAGGGTTCGCAACCATGATGCACCCCCCATGGTGGATCCCTGCTAGTTTGTCACATGGTTAGTTTGTCCTCCGTACCCCATCCTCTTCTCACCGTTTGGCCTTGTCTCCATGACCGCTGGCATCGGGTTGTGACAGCAGCATTTCCAAGACCTGGTGGAAAGGGGGTCAGGTTGAAGCTTGGAGGACATACACTGTTACCTCGGGTTAGAGAAAGGGGAAAAGAAGAAATTCCAATGTGTGGTGTGATAGTGGTAAACTAGCTGACAAACCCTGATGGAAAGACCGTGAGTCGAGCCGAACTTCTGGTGGTTAAAGCATTGCGAGCTAAACTTACCTAACTTACCAATTACGAAGCAACCTTATCGTAGTCTTGGGCGTGCGTGGAGGCGGCTGAAGGTGAGCTGGAGACCCACCGCGCCGTCGGGCACAAACCCGTCGGGAGGGTCAATACCCGACAACGCCGTACAGTCCAAAAAAGAGGAACAGTTGACAGTTGACTAGTTCTCTTATAACAGCGCGGACTCACGCACCAACTGCTGCCGGTATCCCCAACCGCCTCCAACCAACTAACCAACCAACCTTGGTGTGTCCCTTGTACGCCGCGTAATGCACGCACGTGTTGCCGTACGTGTCGATGTCCAGCACATCCGCGCCGTGATTCAGCAGCGACTCCGCGGCCTGTTGCAGAGAGGGCAGCATCAGCCTAAAACGTCTAGCACACGTGCGTGGCCAGCTGAAACCTTTGTCGTGAAGGTGATGCACACCACAGCAACCAACGCCAACGCCGATGTCTTCCTTCGTTTTCTTTTCCTTTCATCCCGGATAGCTCTATGGGAGAGCAGCCAACAACCCCCCCATGCCCCCATGCAGCCACGCAGGCTCCACGAACCCACCATGTCGCTACAACACCACCTCTCCCCGCCTTCTTTCAACACCCCATCAGCAGCAGCAGCAACCCCGTCCAACTCCAAGTGCCCTTCTCGCACCCCAACACTGTTGGCGGCATCTGACACTTCCCTTCTTCTTCTTTTTACACCTTCCGCATGCGACCCTGCTGCCCTCACCCACCTCAATATGCCCCTCCTCGCACGCCAGCATGAGCGGCGTCTGGCCCTTCTTGGATTTAGCGCTGTACGGCGGCGGCTCTCCCGGAATGGGCTTGCGTGTTGCACTGCCCTTCTTGCCGTGCTGACCTAACATCTCTAACATCTGGAGGGGCGGATTTGGTAATGGAAGATGAACGATGATGGCAATGAGGAGGGTTCAGAGTGGGGGCCGACGTTGTTGTGGGAGAGCCCTGGCCATAGGTGGGGGTTTGTGGGGTCAACAAGTATTTGGGCCTACAGTACCTCACAAGACAAGTCCTTTCCGCAAACTATCCATGGCCCCGAAGCGGGCACAACATGGCAAGGACATCCAGCTGTGCCCTACCTCCATGTTCCCTGCTCTCGCCGCTAAATGCCATGCGTTGTACCAGTCTCGGGTCCGCGCAAAGATGACGTTCGGATTTTCCAACAAAGCTGCTTTTGATTCCTCCACCTTGGCCTCGAACACGGCCTGCAGAGTTGTGCGCGCTGGCAAGCATTAACATTGTGACGAAGCACATGGAATGTTGGCAGCCTAATTAAATAAACAATACCAAGGATAACAGAAGGTAGGAACAAGATCACACGACGGCTTAAAGCACAGTCTGTTGAGCTTTAACATGCGTGCTTCACCTGGATAAACTTCTTCTCATCTGGGCCCATGCCCTGCAGCTGGTTTGCTACATGTTGCAATTCCGATGCCGCTTGACCCATGGTTACTGTGAAGTCGTGGCGGCACAGGTAAAGTCAAAGCCAGGATGTGTAAAGCACAATTTCCGTGCCCGCAGATTCAACTGTTGGTAGACATAAGGATACTGCGTGCTAGCTGCTTCCTGTTAATTAGCTTGAGAGATTTTGCAACATGCTGCACGTCATGAGCAGGATAGCTGTAGGTAGCAGGGCTAAGTATTTCAGTTGCAGCAGATGTTTTATGCAGACGTCTATAAGCGCCTCCTGTGAAAGCTTAATGCGAAACGCAGTATTGTGTATGTTGCAGCACCGCTGCATATGCAACCACGTTGTACGGCAGGTCGAGTAGACCGCCTTTAGACCCAGTAGACCCGGCCCACACCCTGCGGGCGGAGCGTGCAAAATGGCCCCTTCTGTGTTATTAGTCTGTTTGACCTGGGAGCCTCAGCTCAAGATAAACTGCTGAGCCAGTGCACTTTTCCAGGAGTCACAAGCAGATAACGCGCCTGAGAGTAGTTTCAGCAAATGCCGTATGCTTACAGAAGTACAGATGCAAGTTCCTCCATATCCTCGGTAGATATCGCCTCACCCGTAGTTTGCCGTACTCTACGTACACAACCTTCAACACGACATCGGTCCTCATCACACCTCAAAACCCCCAGGGGCGCAGAAGAGGCTGCCGCAAGCACAGTCACTCGCCCCTAACTTGTATAACGACAAGGCATGCATAACTTTCGGATTCCCATTAGCTCGAGCGCGAGGCATATAGCACCACAAGAGGAAACATCGGCACCACCGCCATGATAACCCAAAGGCGGGGTAAGGCGTTGGGTGTCCTCTCAACGAACCATCTTTGCCATGAAACACCCACTCCTCAGTAACAAATAAGCCCCTAGATACGGCCCATGAGCGTTCAGGTGCCAACCGACACACTGCGCATGCAGCAAACATACCTACATAGCAGCAAGAGACTGCGCAAATCGTAGTAATAAGAGACTGCAAGGTATGACTCTCACGAGCAATGTGACACAGACACAACTCCGTTGGGTTGCTTATTAACCCCTTCCACAAGCCACCAAACCACCACAACCGGTGACTTGACCTAAACTAAGAAGATGATTAAGGCTCGTGCTAATTGCAGCACGAATAATAAACGCACGGAGTCTTAAGCAGAGAGGCCGCCAACGAAGCGAGTGCGCAGGTGACACTCACATAGAGGGGCATCCATCTTTAATGATGACGTATGACATGGATTGATGTGAATTTGATGCAGCAGTAGTTTTGCATCACAACGCGGATGCAGAGCTACAGTTTGCAGTGGCTCCGCAGCAAAACCGCCCCCCATGAAGGCAAACAAAGGACTACGGCACACCCCTTTCTTCAACCTCAACATCTTCAGAACCCGCCGCGATACTTCGAAGCATGCAACAGCATATGCCCAAATCAAGCCTTCGTTGGTCGCAGTTCTTATCGTATGATTCACAGTGCGCGTTTTCCTCAAATGTGAAGTGCAGCCTCTGCTGTTATACCAGCTTCGATCAGAAACAGCTAAAATGCCGCATCCCGTAAGCCGGGGCCTGCCGAAATGGATCACTAGGAACGGAACATGATGGGAATGGGAACGCGTTCAACACCTTCTTGCCTCAGTCAACTGTGTTAGTCAGTCAGCTATATATAAGTGGCAATGAGATTCCAAGATTTCCAGCCCAGCCACCGAACCCACCGGAAATACCGGTTTTATTAGCTGCATCACGTTCTTTGGTAGCCTGGTTGTGGTCAGGGTAACCGACCGTCGGCCTTGTACAACACATCTGCCTGAAACAAGAACGGTGTAACTGCGCAGGAAAGGAAACACTATAACGGAATGCTGAACCGAGATATAAAACGCCGAAAAACAGCTCCCACGCACGCCCATCCACGACACCCACAAAAAGACATTGCCGCAGATCACACTGCAGGTTTTTCAGCTACCTAACCCCAATCTCAAAACGCAACGCAGGTCAACAGCACGCAATGCGAAGCCAAGTCTTCCCCTTACCTACGCCCAAGAGCTAAAATGTCGTAAAATGGCATGTTCACAGGCTTACACAGTTACGGAGGCCAGACGAAAAGCCTCCTTGATAGGAAATCCTCACACAGCAAGCAAACAGTCAACTCTCCTTCCCAGCAGACCCCATACTGCGCGAGATCAGCCGCCAGCCGATAGGTGCCACGCCACCTTTGGTAAACTCCATCCGGAAACCAACTTTTTCTCCAGGACCCCGCCCCTGAAACTCACCTCTTCAGGGGTCGGACCTCTGCACCGGCGCAGCTTTCAAAATGAGAGTCGGACACGTACTGGGTCAGGACGTGTGTACCGACACCGCGCACACTATGGACGCTTCAGATTTATACGCCTTAAAATTTTCCCTTTCCAAGTTATCCAGACCCAACTATGCAAAAGAAGCCACAGTGGAAAGCCAGGCTACAGCCGCAAACCCCAATAGGCTATAAGCTAAAGCGGGAGAAGCGGCCTTCGGATCTCTCATTGCATTGCACAACACCCGGTCTAGATGCCCCACACCTTTGTGCTCCTTAAGAGCGTGCCATAACTGCTAATTACCAAACCGCAAACGTTTGCGCAGCCGTACATGCAAATGTATGCTAACGCCCGCGAAAACCTTACAACTTCAAGCACCAACCAAAATTGCAAGGATGTAAGCTACCCGTATTAACACCTTAGGCGTGCGCACTGGACCCGCACATGCGGTGCACGTGCACGAAACGGCGGCCAGGTGGAAAGCCGGTGCTATTACTGCAGCTGCAGCTGGTAGGCCGCATACCATCTAAACGGAAAGACCCTTGCTCTAATACTAGTACCCTCCAAGAGACTAACTTCGCTACTACTATTCAAAGCATACGCCCCGCATAGTATACGTCGAAAGTGCCTGATACTATTAGTACCACAAACTAACGGCCTACATTGTTCTCACTATGAAGGGTCTGGAAGCTTTTGTAAAACTGATAAGGCGTCGCTCATAACGCGCGCACGCAGCGTGAAAGCCCAAGAACAAAGCAGGCCAACATCTCGAGCAGCAGCACCCTTAACCACCATCACAAACCGCAAAGCCTAGTACCATGGATGCTTTTTTAGGACATCGGGGGATGTACACAAAGGCAAGCCAAAAGAGAGTATACGCTATTCGCAATTTGGCATCGTGTCGACAATACTCAAGACGGAAAGCGGTGGTAGCAGCACCAGAACCAGCCAGAACCTCCACACAACTCCAATGCTGCACCGCGCTTTATTGAACCTTCGGACATCGTGTAAGCGAGTCAACCTCTGAAATGCGGGGCAGTACGACCTCCTCCCCCCCGCGAAATCCATAGTGGGGGCTTTTTTAACAAGGGCACAGCACAGCAGGGGCTTGCGGCTCCCCACATGCACGCAGCACCAGCACCAGATTTGATCCTGACTCCATTCAGTACTATCCCGCACACTCTCAGACAGATGCAAAGAATGCACCCCGCAAAGGACCACACACCCCCACCCAAAATCACCATGCAGACATCATGCCGCTTTTCCTTCTTTGTCCTTGCCTGCTAGTAAACGCCATCCCCGCCTCATTTGCATTGGCAGTAGCAACAAACGCAGCAATCAGAAGCGATATTCTCAGATAGCAAAATGAAAAGTAGCAATCGTGATAGCACAGTAGGAGATTGCTTCCGCTTTTGGGAGGTAAACGTGCAACCGAAAGATATCACCGCCAGCGCGAATAGCTGCAGGAGCTCGGCAGCAGCAAAGCTAGCAACGCGGAATAAGGGCAACGACATGGCAAAGCAGCATGTAAAGCAAGCAACAGGGCCCCATCCTGAGGGTCCCCGACGAGGCCCTTTCTGGCGAATGACCGCAACCCAATATTCCCCAACAAACAAACCAGAAGCCTAAGGTCAATTCGAAAGCCAGGATAAACGACCCACAGCAAAATTAACACACCAACTAAACGACAGCAGCAACAACACCCATACATAGACGCATACGGCACGGCGACTCCAAAATACCGGTAACAAACAAACGCACAAAACACCCCCGAAGAACGGAACTCGACTCACCAACCGGCATGCATGCCAACCTGTTCAGTGCATGGCCGTCATGGGGTGAGCATTCATATGTGTTCACAAAACTGGCCGTGAGTTGGAGCGTACAGTGACCACGTGTGTCCGCACCTACCCACCCACCAAACTGCTTAAGTTCGTGGATGACGCGATGGGGTAGTAGCAAACACCAGCAAGCAGCCACAGATCAAACGTCCCCCACAAGTTTCGTTCACAAGGCTTTACATTGCCCAAAATAGTCACCCAGAGAAATGAAACCCCAGGCCATCCAAACTTCAGTCCTGCCACTTGTGTCTGCTCCTCGCACCGTTCGTCGTTCGGCTGCCTCACGCCCGAACAGCCGGACGCGTCAGAAGCTGGCAGCGCCCGAATGACGGTACGTTACCCTCAACTCGCACCCCTCCGCCGAACACGGGCACATCCCAGCAAGCAAGCAGCATTGGCACCAACACCATCGCATCGGCAACGGTGTTAAAAATGTTATCACATTCACAGCGCTCCTTCAACCCCCATTCCTCATACAAAAACGTGGAGGAAGCAAGGAGGCTAGGAACTCGCTTCATGGCTACATAAGAGAGCTGCTACTGACACGAAAAAACCGGCGGCTCCCTGGTGTGGCCTAAACCGGGCAAGGACAAGCACGCATGCAAGCAAAAACAACGTGCCCTGTTTGAAAGGCGGAGCTGAAGCACTTGCGAGCAACTGGGGCTGCTAGAGGCGTGCTGACAACGGCAACGTCATAGAACACTGCCTTCTGCCTGCCTGCCATGCCCAGGATTAACCCTCCATGGGCCCGTGCGATAAGTCCCACTTATCTGACTGCCGGACAGTCCATATGAATCACGGCGACACTAGATTAGACTACTATCACTCCGAACACACACAAACCCCGGTCCCTAAGAAAGGCTCCCTCTCTCACTCTCTCTACCGCCATTGTATGTCGTTTCCTCACGCAAGAATATCTAGAATGTCTCAAACAGCATGGAAACACCCTCCCAACCTCGGAAACCGACTCGCACCGCGACCTACCGGCACATGTGCCTCAAAGATTACCCACGGTTACTTCACCAGCCATCTCCCAGCACGGTCAGGAGCTACGAACCGTGGGTCGCCAAACAATCATTTGTGTAATTGGAAACAGATCCGGCTAGATCCGTCCACCTCGCCAACAAGCGCAGACAGACTTGTTTGCATCTTCCCCCTTTCTCCTCCTTCGCGCTACCTCATGCCTTCCACAAATGAGAATTGGCGGCTCAAGGAGCACAGAACCAAACATGGCTTGTCAAGAGCCAACGTACATACTGGCTGTATAGCGGCACGTGTATGTTTATCCACTGTGAACGCCAAAACGCCTACAAACCATAGCAGTAAATAAACGACAGTCGCGTAACATCTAAAACCGTAACCTAGCGCCGATATGTGTGATAACAAAGGTGGTGGCTGCTACCCAAGTAGCTGCTTAGTACTTGGTAGCTCGCTACCGTATTGCCGAGCCCTTGGGCTGATTAGTCACGTTAATTAGCCAGCGCACATTGCACTTCGTTTCTTTTGCTAACTAAAACGGAATACACAATAGCCTCATCCATCTCTTAACGCAATACCATGGGTGTGCAAGTGAGATCAATTGCAGTGGCTTGGTGCGACAGACACCCCTCTTTCCAAATGGCTAGCCGGTCAGGGGACCGGCAAGGCCGCTTCAGTCATCGGCCCAACAACCCTTTCCCACAGATACTCCCAAAGCAGCACACCGCTACCTCCTCCCCTGTTCCATGCATGTTCCCTCTTCCCTCTCCCAAGCAATATTAGCGTTAATTGCCGAGTCACTGCTCGCCTCTCGCCCATCCGACGCTTTGGGCTGCAAAACCACACCCACCAGCTTTCCCAGACAATTATCACATCGTGATACCCACGGCCCCCCCAATGCACGCCCAGCACAGCCCAAGCCCTTCTTGTCATTGGTCTTCTTGCAAACGAAACTTCATAGGAGGGGATCTGTAGAAACCGAATTTAAGACCAAAGCTATAAGCCATAGCGGCGCATGCCTGTGTTTTCCGCGGCCTATGGAGCCGTTGACGCAAGCAGGACTAGCAGCCGTCCCGTCTACGTGCGAAACACTGAATAGATCAACAGCCAAACCCCAAGGGAGCTCCCAAGACACTGCCCACAGCTAGCCTCCACCCAAACCCCACACCGCCAAGCCATGCGCAACAGAAACCTTTGGCTCAGAAACTGACAAAGCTGATGACAGTTTTGCATGAGGCCCAGCGCTTTTCATGTTCTCCTTTCTCTATGCGCTCTTTCCTCCCGTTACCCTGTCAACGAACATATACCCCTTTCCTTCTCTCCGTTTCTTCTCGCTTTCTTAAGGAGAGATACAGGATTACTTATATTCCCCTCAAAACGACGAAACTCAAATCAGGCGGCTTGCTTCCGTGGGCGCCCGCACGGCGGTTACTGACGTTGGCCTGTCAGGTATCCCAGCTAAGTTACTCATGTCAGGTTGTTTAGTTGCCTGGTTAGTTGTGGTCGTTCGAAGGAGGCGTCCATTAGCAGCAGCACCAACAGCAATCGCAGGAGAGGAGGAGGGTGCCGAGGAGGAGAAGTAATGAGGAGGTGTGAAAGTAGGTGGACAGGACGCGGGCAGGAATCTCCTTTACGTTTCTCCTTCTCCTTTTCCCCTCCTTTCCTTCACCTGTCCCCCGGCAGGCTGTCAATGACGCCAAAGCGAACTCCTGGCAAACACTCGGAGAGGAGAGAGGTTGGACTGCTGAGTTGACAGCCGTAGCAGGGCAGTCACGTCGAACCGAAGCAAGCAAGCTCACAGATTGATGGAACCGAGGGCCATACTCAGCTCCTGCGGGCAATGGAAATGGTTGTTTGGAAAAGGAGGCAAAAATGGGTATCGTAGTACCAGATCAGATTGGGACTACAGAAAGATACCGGTAGGCAAAACTCCCAAAGGTTTTTGAATGGGGACAAGAAGGTGGGGGCTTTCGGATCAGCAACGCAAAGGTGCGAGGGCGTAGCGGGAGGTTCGGATACTGGACTTTGGAGCTCATATCCAGGCCCAGAGGCGTAAGAGGGACAGTGTTGTAGGGGTTAGTAGGTTGTGGCCTGCAGGGTTTTGCTCCTCGGCGTGAGGTGGTCAAGAGTTGGGTGCACGTGAAGTTGAAGATTTCAAACCGAAACTTCACTGCTACTGCCACGGTCATTATCGCACAGGGTAGGGTAGGAGGGAGAGGGTTGGGAATAGATTTGTGGGTTTCGCAGGTGGTAGGATGAAGTGGCAATTGGAGTAGGCGGTGCATGGGGTGCAAAAGATGGACACCAAAGGAGTGGTTCCCAGGCCATGCCACAATGTGGCCTTCGCGGTTCTTGTCGGCAAGATAGGGGGGTAGGAGGTGGGGCACATGTGGATGTTGCCAAACCACATGCCGTACTGTCCGGGCAGGTCTGCCGTACAAGGTACTGTTGTACATAGCCCGCGACGTACGACACCCTTGTCGTACCTGCACGATGTTGTCCATGTCCCTCATGGTGTTGGGCGCCCGCAGCTCGCTCCTCAGCGCATGTCCGCGGGTGAAGAGCTCGCAGGTGCCCGCACACAGCGCGCAGTAGGGGTTCTGCGCGGGAGGGGAGGGGGCGGGCGAGAGGGTAGGTGAGGGCGAGAGGATGAGGCTTTAGGACGGGAAGGGTTTGGGACGGCAGGCAGAGCACTAGGGGTCCTGCGAGTGTACCGGCGGCGGGAGGGCAGCCGATATCCAAGTGCCCAACCCTGGTCCCCAAGTCCCCACCCTGCACGTGAGGCGGTGCATCACCAGCCGGCGGCCAGCCAGGGTGGGAGCGGCTGAGGGCGGCTCCAGGTAGGCCTCTCCCACCGCACCAGCACCTGCAGCACCCCCAGCACCTCCTGCCGCCTCCACTGCTGCGCCCATGCCGCCGTCCTCCATGCCGGATGAAGCCTGGCTTTGATACTGTTGTTGATGCATTTGGTACTGTTGTTGAGGTTGGGGTTGCTGTGGGGGTGAGAGCACGTCCAGCCAAAACGTGCGGCCCGCAACACGAGACGCCGCGTCCTGCGTGGGGCATGCATGGTAGGTGATTAGGGTTGGGGTGGGTCAGGAGGGATGGTCTCACGGCAAAGACAACAGCGCATATGCTGACATGCGTCACGGGAGGAGGTGCAGGACAAGGCCGACTCAGGAATAACTAATGCAATCATGGCTAGGAGGCCAGGAGGATCGACGCAAGCACATTGCAGCCCGAACGAAGAGCGTTTCTATTCGTGGTGTTCATCATTATAAATTGTAAGCTGGAGGCACATGCCACGCGGTCTATGGTTTGACGCACCACACCATCTCGATAATTTAAGTAACGTCAGAATTTACGAGGCCCCGAAGCAAAAGAAAGAAAGATTTCCCTCCGTACACACCAGAAGATGTATACTATTCATCACCGTCAAGAGCGGAAAGCAACCCGAATCAGAAGCCACCCAAGCCCACGGGTACGATTGACCCAGATCCCCCACATGTAAGGACCATACACGGCTGAGAACCAGATACCGCTCACCCTGGAATGCTTGCACATCAGGGTGTGCAGCAGGTAGCGCATGTACGATGTTGCCTCCTGTCGTACAACGGGCGGTGGGTTGGGGAGGTGAGAAGCGGGAAAGCAACAAAGGGGAGTTAATCACGCCACTGTCTTGCAATGAGTGCAGTCTTACCCACACCCATCTAAGATCTAACAGCATCTACCTGCTAAATAACACGCACCTGCAGCTGTAGCACAGCTCTGTTGGCCGGATTTGCCGGCGTCGTGACGCCAGCAGAAGAAGCGTTTTGGCCGAGAGCGTTGCCAGCAACGACGCTGGGTTGGAAGCCTGCGAGAGAGGTTGAGCCCGCGTCGAAACCAAGTACCGGTATACAAGGAAACCATGGTTTTACGAAAACTGGCCAAGTGTATGTACACATATACGACGGTGAAGCTCAAGCAGTTGACACACAAGGGTGGTGAGGGTGGTGCAGACCAACAATGATGTGGCTTTTGCTTTTCGACATGAGGATGTTGCTCAGGCAGTGGTCAAGCGCCTACTCTTCCAGGATGCACATACAGTGACTGGAGGCGCATAGCATTCATGCTAATGCGAACCTGCTAAGCACCCGCAGCGCAGTCCTCCGACAACTGCTAAATAACATGTCGTCAACTGCTCACCTCCAGTGGGTCTTGTCCATGCGCCCGTACCGACAGCCATGGCAGCAGCAGAGTTATGAGAATGGTCATTTCTATCACCGGAGTCCATCAGTTCCGGCGACCCTTCGCGGTCCGGCGTGCCCGGCTGCTCTGGAGGCGATGCGTCCAAGTTGATGTCCTGAGCCTGAAATAATTGCCGCTCAGGCCGATCATGTTGCTCATCATACCCGGATAAGTCTCGCCAGACACCGGCGCAAAGCCGACAGCCTGGCTCCTGTAAGTGCATGAAAGGCCAGTTTGTTACCCAAACACGGCGTTCTGGAACCGCAGCTATGCTGAGGAAGATATAACCGTTGAGGAACGCACCTGGCACCTTAGCCAGTGTAGCGTCAGGCGTCGGACAGACGTGCAAGAGGAAATTGTGCAGGCGCCCGTGCTGGAGCAGGCCAAGATGTGTGATAGGAGGAGCTTTCCACCTGCACAGCGCTCCTCCAGAACACATGCTGGATTGTTGCAGGTGAGGACGTGGAAAATGAGCCGAAGCCAATTAGCAGCGTTGGCCACTGCCGGATCATCGGTCGCTTCGGCGTTCATGACTCGGTGACTTAACAAGAGTCGTTTATGTTAAATAGCTCTCAGCCTTGCCTCGCTAGACTCAGCTCCAGAGGCTGTCCGAACCATACACTAGTGCCGGTTCGTCTCCTAAACCATCAGATACTAAGGAAACGTTTCTCCGCTTTATTTTATAACAAAATACCGCGATCCTGGCGTTCCTTGTTACGTCGGACGACGCCCTCCGTACACGGCCCGCATTCAAGGATCCTCAGCTTATTGCGAACCTCCGACTTAATTTACCATCAAATTGAGAGCCGAAATACAGGTAAACAGCTTAGAGAAATTTCCAGAACCATAACAAAAAGCTCAGATGTACGGCAATGATTTGGGCTGATGCTGCTTATGGATGCCCTCAAGAGCTCACACGTAACGGTTGCCTGGAATGTGAAAATGTCCGACGCTACTGCACCTTCCTTCTTGGAAGGTAGGCGGGCACTCGTCCAGACTCGTCCAGCTGACGTAGTACTCGTCCGAAGCATCGGCAGGGGGCTATGCCACTCCACTATTGATTTTACTTTGGACATTGCCGGTAGCGGCTCTGGAGCAAAGAGTTCTAGCCTGAAGCCTGGCCAGGTTCTGTTAATCGAAAGATGAAACGTCATGTTCTGGACGAAACTGGGCAAACAACAGGTGGACCGGGTTCTGTTTCTTAGTTTCGATTTATTATGTACGCCAGTCAGGGTTGGCAACAACTTGCGAGGTCAGGGCTATGGATCATGTACCGTAAGGTTCACTTAGCCACCACATGGCACCGCGGACGTTTCCAACATCCCAGTAAGCTACTTAGGATTTCCGCCACATCAATGTAGTCTGAACTGCTTTTCGGTTTGCGTTGTTGGGTCCTACGAAAACAGGACTCCAAGCACCCCCTAACATGCATCCCTTCAGAAGGGCGGCAATCCTAGCAGCGTCATAATCACTCTCGCCATAGATGAATGCGCTGCAAATTAGCAGCCACGAACGGTGAACTGCCGTGTAGTGGACCAATCACCCATGGCCGGCCTCCCTGCCTGCCCGCCTGCCTGAAGCCTCGGCCAAAGTTATCCTCGTTTCCTCCCATCATGGCAGTTACTCTCCGATATGCGAGTAGATGCAGTTTGTCCGTGCGTAGGTTTAAGTCGGCGCGTGCCATGCCTGAAAACCCAACGTTCGATAGGTTGAGCTGTGCAACATCCCTGTAAGCGGACCTAAGCATAGTAGGCTGTTCCTGCTTGGCTCATTTGCATGCAAGGGAAAACGAAGGAAAACACTAGGGCTCTCCTCGGGGGCAATAAATATAGAACCATCTTTTGGGGGGGAAAGAAGAAATGGAAAACACGAAGCCTATATGGTTCACAGCAGCAACACGGTTGGCCCGGCTCCCTCAATGATGACAACCCGCGCACCCGCCGTTTCCTGCCTTGTCCTGAAGGCCCGGTCCGGCCCAACATCGCCCCTCCACTCGTCTCCAACCGCGCAGCAGGATCCGGGCCTAGCCACGTGGAAACACCCTGCCCCTCCTTGCCTTTGCCCTGCTTGCATATTTAGTAACGGGCGTGTGTCCCACAGCCCTTCCGTCGTAGACACAGCGCGCGCACCCGACAAAAATGGAACGCTTTCTATGGAGTGACAATCTTGCGTTGCAGCATGCTTCCTCGGGCTTGGGCTTGAGTACAATCACCTCAGTTGACCCATCCCAGCCGTTGCTCGTTGGCCAACCACTACCACTTGCTGCTGCAAACGGCCGTCCGCTGTAAAAGATGATTCTGGAGGGGTTTGCTCGGAGCACTTAGACCATTCCTGCCTGTCTATCTCTGGCTGTGCGTTTGCACAGCATTTGAGAAAGCCCCTCATCACGCTGCACCGTGTACGGCATGTCGACGACATTTTACGACCACCGTGTACGACATGCTATGACATGGGACCGTGGCAGGTTTACCTCGGTGTCCGGCCGCTGTTGGAGGTGGAGGGGGCCTCTCCAGCTCAACACAGTCAGATTTTATGTATTACAGGTGATCTTGGTTGCTGCATTTTTATTGTATGCGTTTTGGGTACAAAATACAAATGTCTGTCGTTCTATCAAGGCTGCAGCGCCAACCAACGCAACGTAAGGCCTATCGTTATTATTGAAGCCACAACCGTAGCCGCCAGTTCACGGCGCTTCCGTCAAAGAAAGAGCCGCCGCTTCCGCCACGCCATTGCTCCCAAAGCCCGCACCACCCTCCTTCCCTCACAACCAAGCCGCCACCACCACTACCATCACCTCCACCAACTATTACAGGTCGGGGAATGTTGTTTACGGCAGCAGCAGCTGCTGCTACTGGGAATTAGTGAAATTGGTGGAAAGAACAAACCCATTGGGAACATACGAGTACAAATAGGGCAAACGCAATGGGGCATGGAAGCGGAGGCCCGCCGTGAGACAGGGGTTGTTTGGGGTTGGGAGTCAGAAGGTGCTCTCAAGCGGCATGCTGAGATTCCTTATTACTCGGAGTATAACATAAAGTTAGTTTGCCTTGCAGCCGTGTCATAGTTTGGCCGAAACCACCGCTGGGGCCATACATATCGGACCGGCCCAAGTAGAATCCAACGTCTTAAGGGCAGAGCCTTTAATAAATCCAAGTAAGGAAGGTGATCATGTACACTCCGTTACCGAGCTAAACTCAACGAACACGTACTTCAGCCTCCTTGGCCACCTCTTAGCCTCCATCTAGGCAACCTTAGTAATGTTAACATGCCGTGTAATAACGGCAAGAACGTTATTAGTAGATAGTTAACGCCAGACAGGCCCTGGCGTGTGTCAAGGGGCGGGGTGAGACCGCGAGGGGTAGTACCCCCTAGATGCAAGCGCCACCACTGCTGTGCTCCGTGTTGGAGCCGTGCAAGCCGCAAAAGTCGGTAAACCCAACACCCTGCTGCACGCCCAAACAAAGCCTACAGCCGCCGCCTACAACGGCTACAAGGCAGATACCGCCTTGGCATATGAAGTAGCCAGCTCACAACTGGGGAATAAGGTGAGGAGTAGCTGCGAATGGACCGCCCTGGTGAAACAAACACGCGCGTGTTTCCTGTAAAGCCTTCAATGTGCCCTGTTGACACCCGCCCACCACTATCTACTTCCATGTGACACCCACCCGCGTGCAGACTTAACATCTACAACCCCGTCTTCTCTTCCTGGGAATTACATACACCGTCATTCACAAGCCATTCACATTAATACCAGCCGCCACATTAATACAGCAAAACCCAGCTAGTGACGACACGTGGCGGGACCCATACTACTGATCAGGCACACGCCAAGCGTCTCCTCAACAATCCACCACACGCGAAGCACCCCTCAACATACACCCACGGCCACGTCTAAAGCACCCCAAGGTTTGGGCTGCCAACCCGATAAGATGCAGGCAGGCAGCAAAGCGGCACCACTTCAGGCACACCAATCCACACTGTGAACGCTTTGCTCGTGTGTCGCGTAAGTCCGTCGCACTTCAGCGAAACCCAGCAAAAAAGATACAACAGCGACAGCAGATACAACACCAGCGTGCGAGCTCAGATGCACATGCGGAACGCCCGCTGCGGATGGTTGCTTGGGAGCTATTCATAGCAGCTTCCCAAGGAAACGTTTCGTATCAAACTTAATAATGCCACCACTACTGCCATACGACGCACCCTTTGCGCGCCGTCCAACCCACCGGCTGGCGCGTGCGTGCCGAGTATGCGCGGATTTATTATGTTTATAATCCTTCAGGACCTTGAAACAAAGAAACCCTCATCCAGACCCCTCATCCAGACTTTACTAATCAATAAACTTCTACCCTCTACATTCTCTCTACTCTCTCAAATATGCAGACGTGAGCTATGTTATAGGTATTGAAGACAAGGTGTACAGGTAATTTGCGTATGCTTATGCTCGTCAGCAGGTTGTTTTGCTAGTCAGCAGGTCACCATCAATTATAAGTCCAACCACCCATTGCCAATTATCATAACCAGAACCACCCTCCCCGCTAACAGCATCAGCAGCCAGGAAAGACGTACAAGAGGGAGCCCTCCTCGCCGCAAATCCTTTTGAGGACAGCTTTTTTAATGCCCTAACACCCCCCCCCAAGACCACAACCCTCCCCCCACACACACACCGCCCATCTTCCGACAATCACAGTACGTTCCTACTCGCGGCCAGTTTTCTTGACACACCGCCCAACCAGATTAGAAAGTCGTTTATCACTGTTTATTGCGTCAGAAATGGTCAGAGTCCTAAATGGACAAGGTCTAAATGAAGGCAAGCAGCAGCAGGGGTAAGCAAGCCAGTACGGTACAGCGAGCCAGGCTCCGGCTCAATATGCCCTGCTGCTGCAGGCCCAACTATTACGAAGCATAGCTCACAAGGCAAGCTAAACCAGGCGTTAGCCCACAAATATCCAGCCCGTTTATTAAGACAGCCAAAAATAGTAAGACAGCCCAAAATCGGGAACGTCGGTAGTTCCACGACGCCCTCCGGGAAACTAACAGCGGTTGCCCATCCACGTCCGGAACGGAACAACGCCCAAACGAGTACCAATAAAGCTAATAACGACATTGCACAGAAACCCAACAATCAGCAAAATGGGGGAAAACAGATGATGGAGTAACAGGAGCCGTCAGCATGTTTGGGCTACGAGCGTAAAGCTTGCCAACAGGCAGGCTGACAAAACGTCAGTCGCTCGACCGTACGAGAGATGCATGGTGGAATCGGGGGCATGTCCCTAAGCAGTGAGACTAGTAACAAGCCTTAGCAATGAACATCTAATAATCATTAGCAGCGGGAGCAGCGGCATGAGCAATCTTCCGTCGTGGCAACGTACATGCCGTCGTCGTAACGTTTTTTCCAGGTGTGAGAATTTGTAGTCATGTCCGCAAACCTCACTCCTCGTTTTCACGGATTTTTTGTCATGTCGGCGCGTTCGTTGTCAGGTACCAAAGGATAGTCATGCACGTCGACACATGCGCTCATGTCGCGCATCAACAGCAGGGAGGCGTGTGGAGCACAAGCGGCCGATGCAGCAGCCGGTGCGGCAGCAGCAGGCCTTTCCCTGCAGCGTACCTGACACGGTGCCGGCGCGCGGCGCCAAAGCCTCATCGTAAGCAGTGAGCAAAAGTCGCCAGTGTTTGCCCTCAGAGAGAAAGGTCAAGCTGTCAAGCTTCTCCACCCAAGTAAGCTGATGAGTCCCGCAGGGTGTCAAAACGGGGCTGACCGCTTCGGTGCTCTAAGCCGATCGCAATCAAGGGTAAGTCATAAGCTTGGCGTGGCCAGCGAGCTGAGCCGCAGGCGGAGCTTGACGTCGCTGACTCACGCCAAGCTGCCTCCCGAAGGCAAGCAAGCAAGCAGGCGGGTAGCCACAGCGCCATGTCTGGGTAGGCACAGCGGCTCACAGGTGAAACCACGCAAGCGCCAAACTCAACTCCTGCGGCAGACAGTCAAGACACAATGCATGGCCGTCATCGCAAGACATGCAGGTTTGCAGGCTGGGTAGGCCGGGTAGGAGCAGGCTGATCTGCAGGGCAGCGGCTGGCTTGCAGGTAGCTGTCGATTAGGGTCGGGGGGTCAAAGCTACCTTTTGTACAACATTTGTACGACACTCCCAGTTGTCGTACCTGTACGATGTTGTCCATGTCCCTCATGGTGTTGGGCGCTCGCAGCTCGCTCCTCAGCGCATGTCCGCGGGTGAAGAGCTCGCAGGTGCCCGCACACAGCGCGCAGTAGGGGTTCTGCGCAGGGTGGGGGAGATGGGGGGCGGGCGGGCGAGAGGGTAGGTGAAAGCGAGAGGGTGAGGCTTTAGGACGGGAAGGGTTTGGGACGGCAGGCAGAGGTTTAGGGCTTCTGCGAGTGTACCGGCGGCGGGAGGGCAGCCGATATCCAAGTGCCCAACCCGATTACCCAAGCGTCCCCACCCTGCACGTGAGGCGGTGCATCACCAGCCGGCGGCCAGCCTGGGTGGGAGCGGCTGAGGGCGGCTCCAGGTAGGCCTCTCCCCCCGCACCGGCACCGGCACCGGCAGCATCTGCTGCCTCCATTGCTGCGCCCATGCCGCCGTCCGCCGCGGCCATCCGCTGCGGGAGCTGACGCTGTTGCTGCGGCTGTTGCGGGTGCAGGGGGGGTGCACGGAGCACGTCCAGGGCGGGTGCACGGAGCACGTCCAGGGCGGGTGCACGGAGCACGTCCAGCCAAAACGTGCGGCCCGCGACACGAGACGCCGCGTCCTGCGTGCGGCAGCATGATGGAGGTATTGGTAGCGGGGGAATTGGCAGCGCAGGAACCTTTCAGCTGTTAAGCGAGGAAAGGGGAGGAACAGCACAACACGCCCTTCATGTACTTCACGACATAGGGAGTGAGCTGACCTTATCAGAACCCAGTATACGGTGACATGCAAGAAGGCCCAAGTACGGCATTCCAACCCGAATGCAACCCCGCGCTCACCCCGGAGTATTGCTTGCGCATCAGGGTGTGCAGCAGGTAGCGCATGTACGACGTTGCCTCCTGTCGTACAAAGAGCGGTTGGTTGGGGCGGCGGCGGGGTCGGAATCGGGGCTGGTAACGCATAACCTCCGAAACCCCCCAAGTAAACCCAGAGGGACTGTGGGTGGGTCCGAAGGCTATGGAAAACGTACGCCAGATCCTCAACGCTACGATCTTGGCACGCAGAAGTGACACTCCAGAAGAAGCAACAAGCGAGGCATGGTAGGACTGAGGTCGATGGAGGTGTTGCAGGACTCAAGGTCCTGTCATGCCGGCTCTTGCAGAACACGCAGACATACTCGTATCTCTGCGCGCGCACGCACACGCTCGCATCGATCCGCGCACATTGTGTAGTTGTTCTACTCAACTACGCATTCCTCCTTTTACACGCAGGTCGCCATTCACACGCACCTGCAGCTGCAGGACAGCGCGATTGGCCGAACTTGCCGGCATCGTGGCGCCCGCAGAAGCGATGGCAGCAGAAGCAGCGTTGTGACCGTAAGCGTTGCCAGCAACGGCGCCGGAATGGAAGTCTGCAAGAAGCGGTTGAAGCACCGTGTGTGTAACATGTAGGACCCCAAGCATGGAAGCAAACTTGTCAGGTCTTGTGACGTAAAAAGTGTTACCACCGACCAACGAGAACGTCTTTTAAGCCTATATGTAGCTCGTTTGGCAGCAGCTGCCGCATCTTACCTTCAAGCTTAGAGGTTTGCAAGGTGCAGCGCGAAAGGGAGTACAGCAGCATATATTGTTAAAACACTACACTCTGGTCCTTAGCATGTGCGAAGCTGTAACGTCGGTAACAAGCCCATCAGGTCGGGTCGAAGCATGCGCACGTACTTGTAGCAGCATAAAAGCGGAACTGAAATTCCAACCAAATGCTTACCGACATGCACTGCTTCAGGCGACTCCTCGCGTTTAGGCGTGCCTGGTTGCTCTGGAGGAGCTGTGTCCAACTCGTGGTCCTGAGCTTCGGGCGAGAGACGACCATGCCCCTCATGCTGCTCCTGGTAGCCTGATAGGTCTCGCCAGACACCAGCGCAGAGGTGACAGTTTGGCTCCTGTAAGCGTTCAAAACAAAAGTTCGCAATGGAGTTCGCATTACGCTTCCTAACATAGCGGCCCCGAAGCTAAGGATTGGGGGGTCCTTATACATGAAATGGAAACTACGTATGAATTCACCTGGCACTCTAGCCAGTGTAGCGTCAGTCGTCGGACAGATGTGCAAGAGGGAACTGCTGCTGTGCAGGCGCCCGGGCTGGAGCAGGTGAGGATGTGCGACAGTAGGTGCTTTCCACCTGAGCAGCGCTCCCCCAGAACACACGCTGGATTGCTGCACGTAAGCGCGTGAAAAATGAGCCGGAGCCAGTTTGCAGCGTTGGCCACTGCCGGGTCATCCGCCGCTTCACTGTTCATGATGTGTACACTATATACAAGGTTGGCGCTGAACCGTTATGCTTCCTCGCCGGCGTTTGCCCTAGAAGTAATTCCTACAAAATGATGTGACCCTAATCACGGTTGCTATCCGAAGTCGTCCGTCAATCCAGATACTTCTTTTGAGTCCTCTTAGTCGAAAGGGCCGTAACTTTTTCTTCCCTTTTGCAATTGCAGATTCCGTTCGTACACACCCCGTTTAGGCACCGGCTCGATCATGGGCTCAAGGCCTTGCGGCCTCTCACTCAGAATGCTCACGGTCACCGGATATTGAAAAGGTTGCATCAGCCTTGTGCAGATTGCAATAGCTGTAAAGTTCGCAATTGCCTAAAGAGAATCGGTACGTTCAATTGGCATTTACGAGAATTTTGTTGTCGTATGGATGCAGATTCGGGTCTTCAATAGGCAGCTGGTTGCATGTTGTGTGCAGTACTACAGTTTCATTCTTACTGCTTGCTTTCTGCGGTTTATCTACCGGGCACATATTCGCGGTAGCTCAGTGATACAGCAAGGATAAGCAACAGCGCGTTCAGAACGTTTAGCTCCTAGGGCATACGGAAATAATGGCCACCACCGCACCAACATCGGAGACATACGGCATAACGTCTTTCAGATAACAGCTTGCAGTGAATGATTGGATTTCTAAAAGGCAACACGACTATGAACCCAACCCTACATTGCAAGACAAACGGATTATGCCGGAAAAGCAACACTATAACAGGCCATTAGGAAATAAAAAAACCAAAGAAAAGCAGGACACAGGCAACAAAGCCCAAAAGGGACCACAAGAGAGGAAGAAACGAGGGTAAAAGCCAAGAGACGGCCCCTCAGCAAACCTCACAGCTACGCTGTCGGATGGCAACGTACGATAGAAAATGGAGTCATAGTGCAGAAGCAGGAAGCTATGGCTATGGCTATCTGTGCCTCTGGGTCTTTCGTACCAATGTTTTGCAACGCTTCGTCTCGCATGCCCGCATACTCCTTGTAAGCAACCCTTAGTCATGCGCTTCACGCTGGCGAATGCTGTGTATCAGTTGCCAGGGAATGGCTTGTCGGCGTAGTCCATGCCTATGAAGCCGCTCGTCTAACAGGTGTATGTCTTGTGTTGCTTTGCTCGTTTTTGTGTGCGTTGCTTTTAAGGTTTATGTATGTGTTTCAGTACGTTAAGCGTTGCGGTCTCGCTCCTTGCGTTGCCGCCTCGGTCTGCACCTGCGCTGCGCCACACACACCTGCAACTTCCCGACCACGTCCTGTTACCTTAACACCATCGCGATAGCTCCTTCCGTACTCGAGTAACGAGTTTTCACGCTCTTGCATTCTCTCTGCTTTATAGCCTTTCGCCATGTACGTCAGCATCGCGATGCACTAGAAGTCCAACGCCTACCTTGTTTTATCTTTCTACTACATGTGCAATCTGGGGTGAGTTGTAAGGCATACGCCCCGTTTACGGGGCGAGCCAACCTATACAGTGCACTGTCCTATTACGGTAAGCTTCGTTGTAGGCAGGGCATCATAAGATCGTTCAGCTGTAGCTAGTTCCTTCCATTTAACATTCTGTCACAGATTTATTCTCTCGCCCGCCTTACTCCTGTACGTAGGCGTCGATTCTGTCGGCCTATCCGCCAGTTTGTTCCTTGCTTTCGGCTGACCATCCTATCCAGATGCATGCAAGGCCGCTACATCTCAACAGCACGTCCGAGGCTCCAGGGGCCGAACTACCGTGTTGGATCCGGCCCCAATTGGTCCTGACACACAGGTTGCATCACCTTGACACTGTCGTGCGAGCTGCCAAACTCGCTAGCCCTCCTTGGCGTTACAGTGCATGTATTCACTCCCTATTCCGAGCTTTCCTAACCTTGTGGCTTGGAAATTTCCTACTGTTACTTGCCGGTCGCAGCCATTACCGTGCAATCGGCAGTCAGCACTGAATCAATCTGCAGTGTCCGGCTGGCCAACTTGTAATAAACCCTTCCCCTTGAAACCCCATGCATGACGACCCATGACGCCATGAGGCATCACACCCGTAGCCAATCCCCCCCTACATGACGGCCCCCAGATCCATAACAGGCAGCTGCATCAGCAGCAAGAGCGCAGCACCAACAGCACGGCTCAGCTTCCATGGCGCCCAAGGATGGCTTGATACCGGCACACCTAGCCGCAAGGCTACATGTTCTAATCTTGTTCCAGCCCGCACATTCTCCTTTGCCATGCACCATCCCAAGCCATATTAGGAAACTAGCCTGAGGCAGATCAACACCAACAGCAACATGAACAACGCTTCTGGTCAACACTAACAACGGTTTTGCATTGCCGCTGGTCGGAAAACTGCAACCATCCAACACTTGCACGCATTTACCTCGAAATGTATGTCAACCCAAGCTCAACCGCTCAACTGGTCAAACGGACAGCTTGCAGGGCTCCAGGTCCTTGCTCACTGCATCGGCCTCTGCAACCAACACAACACCGAACCATGAACGCACGAAGCAGCAGCAGCGCGCATGCAACTACGGCACACGCAAGCACTGTCTTGGCCAGTCCTTCCCATCCAGCAGGCACGCAGGATGCCTTCGCAGGATGCCACGAAGGAGGATAACGCAGGAGGATACCGCACGTTTACGAAAAGACGCTTTACGCGGCTGTGGGTGCACATGCCACCAGCAATACCACTGCGTGTCTGTGTACATAGAAGGTGAATGGCGTGTGTCGTGCATGGGGCATGCACACGCGCGCGAGTGTGATGTATCCTAGACAACGTTTAGGGTTGCTCTGTAGCTTTCCACCTCACGCTTGCATGCACTTCACGCACGCCTATGGTCGCAATGGATATGGATCAAGCCTCTGGGAGCTCCTGAACAAGCCCAAATCCCAGCGGGACAGACATACGGCATAAGGCGCCCCCCTTCCCAAAACTCTTACCCGACACGCGGGTGACTCTTGCACCCCAGATACAGCAGCCCAAATACCACGCATCCATCAAAACTTGGAACGCCGCCAGTACGACATCAACACATCCCATGTAAGGCATGGCTTCGCACCGCATGTATGACATCATCGCAAACGTGATATCTACGACCGTCCAGCCTTCACTTACACTACTGCATCCCCCCTATCGTCGTCCCCCTCGAGGCGCCGCCGGCGGCCTTGCCAGCGGTCTCCGAGGCGCCGGCGCCGGTGCCTCGTCCTCGCTTCCACTCTCATCCTCACTACCGGAGCTGAGGGGCTGCGGTGCAGCTCGGCCACCACCACCGCCACCCCGACCTCCGCCTCCCACACCACGACCGCCGCCAAAGCCGCGACCTCCAGCACCTGCCGTACTGCCTCGGCCACCCGCTGCCATACCGCCGCGGCCGACACCGCCGCTGCGCGCTGTCGGCACCGCCGGCGGCCCACTGACTTCACTGTCGCTGCCCTCGCTGCCACTGGCAGTCCCAGTGTCCGCGTCGGAGTCACGCGGCGGCGGCGGCTGACGTCGGCCTGATGGCGTCGCCGTCGGCGCCGAGCCGCCACCACGGCCGCGACCGCCAGTGAGGGCGGGCGCTGTCGGCGCGCCGGGTCGTCGTTGCGGCGGCCCACTCTTGGGCGGTGTCGTACTTGTTCCTGATTGGCCCCTCACACGTTGCAACAGGGCTTCCTGAGTGGCGGCACTATCCTCGGCTTCAGATCCAGAATCGGATCCAGATTCGCTTCCGGATTCGGATTCAGCCGGTCGGCGTCCTCCCGGGCGAGTGGGGCCGGCAGTGTTTCGGCCACGACTTGCGGCGCCAGCGGTGATGACGCCTCTACCGTCCCCGTCACCGTTACTTCCCGCCGGTGATGCATCCGCCGCCGCCTTCTTTTTCTTAGCAAAGCCGTACAACGGATTGAGGAGTTCCTCCTCTACCGTACCATTGGCGGCGGCACCAGCACCCTTCCGGCCGCCAGCGCCCTTTCGGCCGCCGCCTTTAGCGCCGCCGCCTCCCAGCTCGATATCCACCTGAGCACGCACACCTCCACCACCGCCGCCGCCGAAGCCCCCGCCGCCGCCAAGCATCTGCAAAAGCTTGTACGACACAAAGCCTGCGCCTGCTAGTACGGCAACGCCCAACGGAACCAACACGCCTATCAACGCACTGTCCGCTTGCTTCGTTTGGGATGCTTCCACGGGCGGCCGCGGTGGAGGGAAGGGAGGGTACGGCACCCTCGGTGGTGGCCGCGGTGGCCGAGGCGGCGGCGGCGACGGGTGTGGCGGCGGCGACGGCGGCGGGCTGGGTAACGGCGCAGGGGAAGGAGGTTCAGGTGGCGACGGTGACGGAGCAGGCGGCCCCGGCGGTGATGGCGGCGGCGCGGGAGACGGGGGCGGCGCGGGTGACGGGGGCGGCCCCGGCGGCAACACAACCGGTGGAGACGGCGGCGCTGGCGGCGACGGAGGGCTTGGTGGGTTGGGCGGGGCTGGCGGCGCCGATGGCGGCCGGGGTTGTGGGTTAGGCGACGGGGGTTTGGGGGGGCTGGGAGTTGGTTCTGGACTGGGTGGTGGCGGAACGGGTGGGGGTGGTGACGGAAGGGGTGGGGGTGGTGCCACTCCAGGAGGGGTTTTAGGTGGCTTGGGGGATCGTGGGGGGCGAGGAGGCCACGGGGGGAGGCTCGGGGAGGGCGGTGACGGAGAAAGTGGGTTTGAGACTGGAGGGAAGGTGAGGGCAGAGGAAGGGGGAAAGGAGGGAAATGGAGGGCCAGGTTGGGGGGAGGGGTCTGGTACAGGGAAGGGTGATATGGAGTAGGAAGGATTGAGAATTGCAACCCCCTTATTTCACAATAGCTCCTAACCACCATGGTAAGTACAAAGCTTTGCACCATCCCAACTACCATGCCTTTGCCAATCATGATCATCATGCAAGGGACGGGTTACTTCGGCTCATTCCTCCGGTCCTGCCCAACCCCTCTGTCCAGCCTAACGTCTCCCCGCCCAACCTTCTTCCTTCTTTCCTCACGAACCTGTCCGCCTTCCATGCAACCTAGCAGCTACCCGCCCATGAAGGCTGCACAAGGGGAATAGGAAGCCCCACCCTATCCATAACACCAAACATCTAACCCTCAAACCAGTTACAACTTACCAACAGGAGAATCCGGAGGATCCGGAGGCCAGTTAGGATATGAAGGTGATTCAGGGATGGTTGGGCGGGTAGCTGTCGCCGTCTCGGCTGCACCAACTGCAGCAGGATAATTCAATGTATAATAACGGGGTTGCGTTGCGGGGAAAGGAGGGAAAAGGGAAGGGAAGGAGGGGAAATTGGGAGGGTGAGGGATGGTGCCAACCCTGGCCAGGGGTGCCAAACGTAAGCGCCGGTCAACAATACAGATGGCTTAAGGTCGCAAACCTCGGTCCGTCAGCGAAGCTATGCAGTCTTACTACTGGGCATATTGTGTTTTCTAGTGTAGCTGCCACGCGACTATCCATGAAAGCCTTGTGAAAACCAAGGGAGGACACTGGTCAACCTGCTGTCTATAGCTATTCTACCTGGCGGAGTTGGTCCTAGTGTCAGCGCGAAGGCCAGGCACAGTAATAGTGCCTTGGTCTTCATTGCGGTCCGCTGACCCGGCAAGGCAGGGCGAGTTACGCTCATATTTCTAGATTAGAGACATGTTATTGCCTTTGTCATTGCAAAGATGCGTAAGAGCTACGGTTGAAGGCGGACACCTTGTTGTTGACCTCCAGGATAGCACAATCGACTCCTCGCGTGAGACGTGTTCTATTTTCGTAGCCCGCACGTATCCAGAGCCAGCAAATTTGCATCTTGGCACGTAGCTTAGAAGGGTTGAACGCTCCTGCGGCGAAGCAAGCAGTGGGGCCTTACACGCGCATGGGAACAAGAGGACTGAGGCCAACTTTTATCCGGCGCTAGGTGCATATATTGCTTACAATGACTGCATATGTCATAATGGTTAAGGCCGTGCCACGATCTTTGCTGGCGGTTGAAACCTTGCAATACTGTATGTGGCATCCGGCAAGCCAATTTGCAACCCTTCATTTATAATACGAGCGAATCGCGCATCACGACCAGCGAACAGAACGAGTACTCCGCATACATTGCTGGCGGTGCCCATGCCGAGCTCTGCCACATGTGTATGCTACTGCTGCTAATTGCCCTACACTGTGAGACCATTGTCGTGGCACCATTGGGTCCTAGCTGGGCCAGGGCTGTACCCCAGCCCGGTCCCTGGGGTATCGGTCCGCTACACCGCAGACCACATGGGGTGAAGACTGAACGGCTGGATGGAGGTTCCCTGGATGGATGCACCTACCCCGATGCAAAGGGTGCGGTAATGGCACAAGTGCCCATTATAAGAAAACGCTTGGATTTGACGACATCGGAGGCAAAAACAGCCCTAAAAAGGTCCCGAGGAGTCGCAATCGCGTCGGGGGGCAAAGGGGAAGAATCTAACCAACCGTGTGACAGGACTCCGTCGTGGGTTGCATCATGGTTGCCGACGTCGCGGGGTGAGACAGGGAGAACGTTGGGTGACGCGGGGCGCCGTCTTCTCTTCTCTGTATACCATGTGTGCTAAACGTGCGCTTTTGCGGCCACATACCATGTGTGCTAAACGCCGTACTGTGCAGAGCCGTGCTGCGCTGTCCTGTGATGGAGCACGCTAGTCTCCGTAGGGTCGCGCACATTCCACATGGGACAAGCCGGGGCACTGCCTCGACCACTCCCCACAATGCCGGCTCCATGAGATCGTCCAAAGCTTGGAGTGCCCCTCTCAAGCCCCGTAGCCACCCTCAGGCGCACCGGCCGCTTCACCTTACCGGTGTCTCCCACTTACTCTCCTGCAAACGTCTTGCCGGCTTCATTCCCACAGTAGTTGCAATACCTGCACGCAAGACGTCGCAGTACCTCGCCGTAAGAGTCATCCTTAGCTCCTGACTCCACACAGTGTACACAAAACCAATACACGTCCGAACTCGGGAAGCACAGAAACGCAGCTCGGCTGTGGAAGGCTGCAAACGAGCTTTGGTGACATGGTGAGGTACCGCTGGCTCGCGCATACCAGTCCTGCTATGCCTGTGAACGCCCCCACCAGCCAGCACGCGTGCAGGCGGGTACAGACTCGAGTGCTGGTATCAGCTAACCAACCACCAAGACTGGGCAGGCATGCAGCTTAGTCTGAGGTTCGGCGTACAGCAGTTTATACTAGGTGGGCTGGAGTGTGGTTACTCAGTGAAACACACTGGAAAACAAATGAATCCCAATGCGCATGCAACGCACGAACTCTGTCCAAAACAGGACCTTACCGTCATGCGCTGAGGACAGAGCCAGCATGCGCTCCATATCATGTGCATTAATATGCAGTGCCATTACTAGACAACCCTTCTTTAAATAGCAACCCACCAATCACATCTTCCGCGTCACCGGACTCGCCACATGTCACCACTCTACGGTCACATAAGTCCCGGCTGTCCCTTTCCCACATTCATCATACCTCCTTATGACAAGCCTTATGACACCACTTACCACGAGACTACCGCCGACAACTGTACCTCTCTCACCTACGACTACCACGTACAACTGTTGCCTGTACTTTTTCCTACACCTTTTCTTCACTTGCGTGCGTGGCTATGGACAGACACCAGCTGTACGTAGAGTTAAGACCTCGATTGAAACCCCTGCAATAGGGAATGAGGGATTGCCATAAATGCCTCATTCCTCATTACCCCACCACCGAGCATGGCTGCGCAGCTGTACATTCCCCCTTTGTTCCTTACTGGCACTTGGCCCTGATGCCTAATATCCCACCAACGGCATTCCTGTGTAGGTGGGACATGCCATGTCCTTATCCTGCCACATAGCGCACGGCATGGCAATGGGGCATGGCGCAAGGAAAAGTAATTAGCATGGCACGAGACCTCCGCACTCATCTATGTCATTTTTCATAGCCCAAGTGCTTTTTCCTAGGTAAGACCTCCAAACCCAGGTAACGAAGCGGTGTGTCGGGATCGCTCCTTTGCCAAACCAAGCCAGACGCCACGGAATGCTGAGATCCTTGCTTCCTAGCGACGTGCATACTAGCCTATGACTGATTTATGAGTGCCTATGATGCCAAGCTGTGTTCCTTGCAGCTGTGACGGTAAAGCTTCCGTCGCAAACGCAGGAAGCGCAGGTAGCTACAGTATTAAGGGATTTCCGAGTACATAAAGACAATAGCATAGGTCTTGTAGTCTGCACTACCCTTGGAACTAAGCATCCTGAATAACCAGGAAACGTCCCGTTCCCTTCAGTGAATCAAAGGATACAATTTTTATACCTGTACTGGCAAAACGAAATCAAAAGCGTTAAACGCTTTTCGGGTTGGTCGAGTAAAGATTGCTTGTTTCTTGGCCACATGGGCCCGACGGGATTTGGTGGCCCAATATGCTCCTGCAAGAGCCATATCCCAACAATTCTCATTACTCCTTACAAATTGCACTTGTTGTGTTTAGAGAAGAAGTTTTGCTCTCGACTCAATTGAGGTGTAAGGGCGTCGGCCCGCCTCTTAACTAACACCACAAGAATGCAAACGATGAACGCCAAGCTGGCTCAATGCCAGGCTGGCCGGCTTGCTACGGCAAACGTTATCAGCAGGCCACGTTCCCTGGCTGCTACGTCCCAAGCGCCCTGGCCGACAGGTAATTTCTTGTCTATCATATGCTGTCTTGTGTGCGTGTCACTTCCTGTTTTTAGACGTACCCTGCGTACGTAGTTTAAACGATCTACCAGCAATTGAATTGGAATGGCAAATGGGTCGTTCGGCGCATCCCGCATCTACTTTTAGTTTGTATCCTCTTGCATTCGGCCTTCTCTGGAATTTACGGCCCTTCAGCCGGCATGGTATACATCCGAAACCGACCATTTTACCAATTCACCGGTAGCTGCCCTGTGCCTCGGCGCTGTCTGCGTCCTATGCCTCCGGCTTTCTCTCAATGCCCTGACACCCAACCAACAATTCACTCCTACAGCTATCCCTTACCAGTTACCACCCTTCCCTCCCGCCGTCACCATCCTTTCCTTTCTCTGCAGCAACCGCAACAGTTATCCCCTCGGTCACCACCTTTGGTGCAGCTCTTGCTAAGGCTTTCGCTGGCGCAACCCGACCCCAGACTGTTTGCCGTACCGCCACAATTGACGGTAAGTAACTTGTGTGCAATTCTTCTGGCACTGGTGGGAGTGCAGGAGGGAGGTTGGGGGCCGGACTCGACCCGGGTACGGAGGTGTGAGGAGTAGGCCGGGGGCATAGGGTTGGGTGTCCAGGGCTTCTGAGGGAGGGACGAAACATTATCATGGCCAGACGGAAACTAGATTCTATCCTACTTAGTGGAGGAAGTCGTGTTCATGCATACAGCATAGCCTCCACAGGCTAACACAGCATAGTGGGAGGTAGGCAGGTAGCATAGCACATGGCTTATGGACGTCAGGCCCCATATAACGCAGCAGCTCGATCCTTCTGTGCGATCGCTCCGGCTGATGTGCCGATTGCTGTGAGTGCGGATCACTCGGATTGGGTTGTCCTCTCAGGATTAGCCGGCGGGGTTGCAAGCATGAAGAGGCGGGTGGAAGATGTGGGCAAGGCAAGGGAACCTCGAGACTCATATTTCTTCATCCTCCTGCCGAATGGCACTACCATACCACCGGCTGGGATGTCTGCTGACTGCTTGCATCCGGCAGGCCATGACCCATGGGTCATGGGTCTCTCAATTTGGAGGCCATGCATCCCGGCTGCTGCCTTTTCGGGCCCATAGGGCCAGGAAACCGAAGCAGGGTTTGGATGCGGACAGCAAGGAGGCAAACTGATGCCCGCTTTCATCCCGGCCCTACATCTTCGGTTCGGGTGGCGTGCTGGCGACCCACCGCCCTACCTTAACCCTCCACTTGCATCCCCGCAGCCCCCTTGAAACACCGCCTCCATCGCTCACCGCTGCCCGCCTAACCTCCTTCCCCCCTCTCCCCGCTCTCTTCCTCCCTCCTTCTCCCCCATGCCCAGCCCCCGCTGCCGCCGCCACCACAGCTGGAGGTCAGACGGTTCGCGAGGACGTCCGCAACATCGCCATCATCGCGCACGTCGACCACGGCAAGACCACGCTGGTGGATGCCATGCTCAAGCAGTCCAAGGTGTTCCGCGATAACCAGGTGGGGGGGAGGGATTGGCGAGCTTGTGTTTATAGAGGTGGGCGGAGGTAGAGGGATGGAGTGACCCGTGAGTCGGGCGGGCGGGGCGGGGAGAGATACGTGTATGTTTCCTGAAGAAGGGCGGTTGCGAAGGAGGGGACACAGGGGCAAGATCAATACTAGTTGATGACGACATGGTCAAACCGCTCTCAGGAGCTTCATTACCCCCCATCTTTCCCCACACCATACGTGCTTACCCCCCCCCTTGTTCAACCCTCTTTCCGTGTTTGTGTCACTCAGAACACCGCTGAGCGCATCATGGATAGCAACGATCTGGAGCGCGAGAGGGGCATCACCATTCTCGCCAAGAACACCGCCGTACGCTACCGCGGAATCAAGGTGCGTGGTGTGTGTACGGCAAGAAGTGCCGTACAACCTAGGGGAGATGAGGGGTCAAGCTGGGTGCCCCAGCCCACGACCATTTCGGTAAAGCCGTCTACGTTGGTCCCCAGCTGTGAAGTGGTGATGCAAGCCCACGCCCCTGCCTCTCATCCTCGCCGCTATACCCCTTCTTCCTCGGCACTATAAGCCTTCTCCATTTTCCTTCTACTCAACCTCACCTCTACCTCCCCCCTCTCCTTGTTCTTGTCGTACATTTTGCATCAGGTCAACATCATTGACACCCCCGGGCACGCGGATTTCGGTGGTGAGGTGGAGCGCGTGATCAACATGTGCGATGGTGAGTTGGCGGGGGGGGCTTGGGGAAGGGGGAAATGGGGGAAAGAAAAAGGAGAAACCACATGCTTTGGGCGATAGTGAATAGGGGGGCGGATACCCGTGTTTGTAGTTACCGTACACACTCCTTCCCCTGTGTTTTACCCTTCTCCCAACCGCTTTCTCCCCGTCTGTCCCCCCCCACACCCACCCAGGTGTGCTGCTGCTTGTGGACAGTGTGGAGGGCCCAATGCCCCAGACCCGCTTCGTGCTGCGTAAGGCCCTGGAGCTGCAGAAGCGCGTGGTGGTGGTGGTCAACAAGATCGACCGCCCCGCGGCACGGTAGGGCGGGGGGCGGGGTTACTAGGGATACATATTCCGCATTAGGCTGGATTTTAGGATTGTGTAGGGGGGGAGGGGCATGTGGCGGGGGGAATGGGGGGAGCTGGAAACACGAACCGTGTGGTAAGGCTCCCGGGTGCGGCGGGGGAAGGGGGAAGGAGGGTGCCAATGGTAGAACGTGTGTTTGTAGGCATCAATACGCTTGCATGCAGGCGCAGTCGGGGTGTGGGAGATGATGGGGTGTCGTACCTCTCCCCCTCCCCGGCCCCTGCAACCCCCTCCCTGCCCACCCCCTCCCTGCCCACCTTTGCCCCACCCCCCTCCCTCAGCCCCGAGTGGGTCATCGACTCCACCTTCGAGCTCTTCATGGACCTGGGGGCGAGTGACGAGCTGTGCGAGTTCCCCGTGGTGTACGCATCGGGTACGACACACAGCGGGGGGGAAGATGGGGAAGCTGAGGAGGAAGGGAGGGGTAAACCCGGGGGAAACGTGTGTGTTTTGCGGGGCGTGACAAGCTGCTGCGCTACTTGCTCCATGCTGCTGTCATGTGCCGTGTGTATAGCTGATCCTGCCACTCTTGCTCCATGCTCCTTGCCTGACACAGGCGTGAACGGCATTGCGGGTCTAAGTGCGGAGGATCTGTCGGTGGATCTGGAGCCGCTGTTCGAGACCATTGTCAAGGAGGTCAGCCAGCTTGGGTGGGGAGGAAAGATCACACCCCTCGGTTGCCATGCGTTGAGCGGAAGTGGCAACCCTTGGTGAATGTCCCTGTTGAATGGATGCAGGGGGGCAGATGGCGGGGATTCTTCTTACATATCGTCGTGCAATGTACATTGCCGTGCGGACACTCGTACCGATATGCGCGTTTTGACCCACCACCGGACTATATAACAGTCGCCCCCTCTGCCCTCCCCCCTCCTGCACCCCCCCCTGCAGATCCGCCCCCCCACCGTCACCCCCGCCGCCCCGCTGCAGCTGCTGTGCGCCAACATCGACTACGACGAGCACAAGGGGCGCATCGCCATCGGGCGCGTGACCTCGGGGACCATCAAGAGGGGGCAGACCGTTGCGGTGTGCAGGTGGGGGTGGGGGAAGGGGGGGAGGCGGGGATGCTCCTCTCCCAGATTCTTAGCCAGATTCTCACATGAACGCTTGAAGGTTTCTCCCTGTATTAAACCGTGGTGATGCCAGCAGCTGGGCTGCGAATCTCCGGACCCCGGGGTCGAACCCTCCAACACGCCCATGCATCCATAAAAGCCAACCCTTTCCCCCTTCCTCACCCACTCCCCTCCACCTCCCCCCAAACACAGCTCCCTAGAGCCCGGCAAGGTACGGCAGGCCAAGATCGCCGAGCTGTTCGTGTACGACAACTTCTCCCGCGTGCCGGTGGAGGAGGTGGAGGCGGGCGACATCTGCGCGCTGAGCGGCATTGCGGACATCAAGATTGGGGAGACCATTGCGCAGCGGGAGGCGGCGGTGCCGCTACCCACCATCAAGGTACGGCGCAGCGGAGTACGACAATGTCGTTTTCTTGCATGTCGGAAAACAAACAACGACGATTGCTAGACCCTCACACGGTTGTGTGCAATCACGGTCCTGTGGCGGCCCAGTTGTGTGTGTGTGCTGCAAAACACATGCATCTTGCATCCTCCTCCTCCCCTCCTGCCCCCCCCCCCTTAACGTGGAGCCTTGTTTCGTGGTTAGCTAGTATCTTCCGCGTTGTCTCATCCCCTTACCCCCCCGCCCCCTTACCCCCCCCCCGCCCCAGGTTGAGGACCCCACCGTGTCCATGACCTTCAAGGTCAACACCTCCCCCTTCGCCGGCAAGGAGGGCAAGTACGTCACCAGTCGCAACCTGAAGGACCGCCTGGACCGCGAGCTGGAGAGGAACCTGGCGCTCAGGTGTGTGTGTGTGGGAGGGGGGTGAGGCGTGTTTATTTGGGGGAGAGCAACCCCCCTCCTCACTCCCCCCTCGCTTCTTGTCTCGTACTCCTCTCCGCCCGTTCCCTGCTATCGTTTCCCTTCGCTTTTCCCCTCTTATTGTTTCCCGCTTCGTATCCTCCCGCCCCTTCCCTCCCCCCCAGGGTTGAGCCGGGCGAGACGTCCGACTCGTTTGTGGTGTCGGGTCGCGGCACGCTGCACCTGGGGATTCTCATTGAGAACATGCGGCGCGAGGGGTACGAGTTTGAGATTGGGCCGCCAAAGGTGAGGGGGCCTTGAGTTCGGCTGTGACCCATGGGTCCGTCGGCACGGTCTTCTTTTGGAGGGAGTGGTTCTCGTGCTCTTCCATGACCTTGAATCCTAGTATACCCGCCTCCTCCTTAACCCCCTTTTTCCTTCTTTTCTCCTCGCTCTCACCTGTTTCCATCCTCCTCTCCCTTCCTCACCTCTCCTCCCCCTCCCCCGCCACAGGTCATCACTCGCGAGGTTGACGGCAAGACGTGCGAGCCGTTCGAGGAGGCGATTGTGGATGTGAGTGGTGTGCGGTGGGGGGGCGAAGAAGCTCAAGTGCACCACCAGGAACCACTGTAGCACAGCACTGTGGGGTGGGGTGGGGCGGTAACAGAGGGAAAACAACGGGATAGGACATATCAGGATGCTGTCCTGTCGCTGCTCCAAGGGTTCCATAGTTCGGGTGTGGGCGGTGCGTCATGGGGAGTGGGGGGGCCCTTCTCGCGAGTTCCGCATCCTGAAGCAACGCGTCACTCCCCCAAGTTCGTCAGTTTTCCTTATTTTTACTCCCTCCCCACCTCGTTGTTTCACTTAAAATAATTTCCCTCCCCTCCCCCCCTGCCCCCAGGTTCCTGAGACCTACGTTGGCTCGGTGGTGGAGCTCTTCGCGCAGCGCAAGGGCGAGATGGTGGACCTCATCCCATCCATCCAGGTAGCAACTTTGGGAGTTACGATTCTTACATTTGTCGTACATGCATGGTCCTTTCGTACGTACCTGTGATGCATCCAGCATCCTCTCCCTTCTCTCTTCCCCCTCATTTTCTAACCGAATATGACTACAGCCACTCCCTATCTGCCGCCTCTGGCTCATCTCTTCCTGCACAACCCCAATTGCCGTACATATGCGAGGTGTAGTACAACCCAACTGTCGTGCTCACCCCCCTTCACCCACCCCTCCACCCCTCTGCCAGGGCGCCTCGCGTGTCAAGTTCCGGATCGCGACCCGCGGCCTGCTGGGGCTGAAGAACGCGCTGCTGACCGCTACTCGCGGGCTGGGGGTCATGAACACACTGTTCCTGGAGTGAGTGGGGGTTGGGGGGGGGCGGGGGTTTGGGGCGAGGAGGGGCTGTGTGAGGCCTGTCTGATGCAGTGTGGGGGATGGGCAGCGGTTTGTCTGGTCTGCGTGTGTAGTCGTGCATGCACTTGTTGTCACATTGCTGTTGTGCTCTGCTCCCTCCTCACGTTGCCGTACACACACAACCTCCACACAACCCCAGGTATGCCCCGGTGGCGGGTGAGATCCTGATGCGTGAGAACGGCTCGCTGGTCGCTTTCGAGACGGGACAGGTGGGGGGAGGGGTTGAGTTGGGGAGGGGCGGTTGGAAGGGGCCGTGGGAAGGGGCGGGGAGAATTGCCCAGGGGGTATAGCTATTCGACTTCCGTGAACGGTTGTACGGATTGGCGTTTAACCAGTTTGTCGGTTTGTTGGCACCATCAATCGCAGGTGACGTCATACGCGCTGGAGAGTGCCCAGGAGCGGGGGCAGATGTTCATACGACCGGGAGATGCGGTGTACGAGGGACAGGTACGACACACGCGCGTTATAACCGTACATGTTTGTGTTAGCATCGTACTTAATGCGAAATAACGGTACAGAGACGTCAATAACTATCCCGATCACGGAAAGTACCATGGCCTTCATCATTCAATATACCATTTCACCTCCACCTGCTCCACCCCCCACACCCCTCCGCGCTCCTTCCTTGCACCCAGTGTGTGGGTGTTCACGCCAAGGCGGGCGACCTGCGTGTCAACGTGTGCAAGACCAAGCAGCTGACCAACATGCGGGCGGCATCCAAGGAAATCAAGGTGGGGTGTACGACATGCGACGTACGGCAGTGGTCATAGGGGCTTGACACGAGCCGTTTTAGATTGGTTTGCTGGTTGGTTTGTGAGGTCCTATGTTCCCTCCTCTTCTTGAAACCGCTTTTCGAGCCCGGCTCTTCGTGTCGTGTGGGGGCTGTCCGTGCCATCTGCCATGCGGGGGCTATCCGTGCCGTGCAGGGGCTGGCCATGCCGTGCGGAGGCTGTCTGTGCCGTGCCGTGCACACATGCTCCATTCTGTGCATGTTTGCATATATCTCTTGCTTGGGTCAGACTTTCCTTTCGTGGCTGGATTTGAAAGATCTCTTGACTGTCCAAATTTGCATAGACCTGTCACCACCACCCCTAATCGCTTCCTCCCCTCCCCCCCTCCCCCAGGTTGGGCTGGATGAGCCGCGCATCATGGGGCTGGATGACGCACTTGAGTACATCAACGACGATGAGATGGTGGAGGTGAGGCGGAGGGGAGGGGGAGGGGGATGTGGAGGCGACGGGGTAAAGCGGGAGAGCCCAAATGACTGTGTGCCATGTAGGCTGCGTCTTGGTGCGCACGTGCAGGAGAGGATGAAGGCGAAGCGACAACTCACCCTCACCCTCGCCCTCTCATCCCTCCCCCCTCCCCCCACCCTCGTCTTCCTTTCAGGTGACCCCCAAGAGTGTGCGCATTCGCAAGGACCCCTCCGCCTCCAACAAGCGCAAGGGCGGCAGGTAAAGCAAGGTGAAGAGGTCCCTAGCTTTGCCAGCGCTAGGGGTACGGCAGGCGAGGCGGTGCAGGGTGGGCGGGAAGGCTTCCCAGGGTGTGGCGAGCCATGCGGAAGACGGAAAGGTGTGTGTCTTAAGTCTGGCAGGCAAAGGGAGTAATTTCTGGGTCGGTTTCTTGAGCCGTTTTGGGAGCATGTGGCATAGATCTTGTGAAGTGCGCTTACATTCGGGGCAGCGCGTGTGTGATTGAAGTGGTATTCTGTTGAGGCTTGTGAAAGTGGTGTTGAGGGACAGCGAGTGGCTGAGTGGCGATCCCACATTGGGAGGGAGGAGAGTGGTGTGAGTGGAGGTTGGAGAGCGGTGTTGCACGCTAGCGGAGGGCCCCGAGGTTGGGTTCATAGGTGATGCAGGCTGAGTGGGTGCGAGAGAGTCGCGTCAAGTCGCGTCATCTGCTTTGTTTGCTAGGAGGTTTGGGTAGTGCTTAAATGTGGGGCGCGTGTTGTGTGGTGTGGTGTGGTAGTTTGTACGCGGTTCCAAGCCCCTTCGCCGGAGCAGATCTTGTTGTTGCGGTGTAACTGGCTTTTTGGATGACGATATTGGTCCAGGTTGCTTGAGGGCATGTCAAGGCATGGTTTTGTTGGTGACGGCGCTTCTTAGAGCAAGTAGGGTTTGTCGACGGGCGGGACGAACATGCGAGTTTGCGGCTGACGGTTAGGACAGGTGTGTGATTCGAGGTATGGCGTCAACTAGCATGGTGTTGGCTGTGGTTTCGGTGGTGGTGGTGGTGGTGGAAACTTCTCTTGAGTGGAAGCGAAGTTCGTCTCATTCGTATTGATTGTCTGCTGTGAGCGTCATCCACAGGCGCGTGGGAGGTGCGAGTATGTTGCCGCTTGCATTCCCACTGCTGCTGCTGCTGAGATGCGGTCCCCTGTTCCTGTTTTCTGGAAGCTAGCGTGGATCTGAGTACTTACCGGTAATCACATGCAACACCGGTAATCACATGCAACACCGGTAATCACATGCAACACCGGTAATCACATGCAACACCCATATAGCCATGACCAGTTGTGGTTTGTATGTTGGCTTAGTGTCGAAAGTGCTGCTGAGGTAGCTGCAGCTGTGTGTTTGCTGGCTTCAAGTAGTGGACGCTGGGAGTAATGTGGCAGGTGGTGCGACCGATATTGAGTCAAACGATACCTAATGACAGCAGGGAGCGGTTACTGAGCACTGTAAAACCAGCCAGGATTTGAAGAGTTCAGTATCGAGCGGCTTAGCTATACCTTGGCTCCCCTGCTGTGTTCGTGAGTACCTCTATTCGCACGCGTCCACATCAGGCTTCTCCGCCGCTCCCCGCTTGTGATCGCTTCAGTGCTTCAGTACTACCGTCCTCGAACCCTAGATGAATAACCCTCTGGAATTTTGTCATTCGTCTGGATCCCCTCTGCTAATCTGTAGGGAGTTTGTCATCAACGTGGCGGGGGTCCATCGAATGTTATTTTCTAACAGCATACAGTTTATCGCACACAGAATTAGGAATATATTCGTGTTTCGATAACGATACAAGCTGGCACAAAACTCATTCCTGTTTGTGGCATGCAAGCATATGTCAAGGACTCAACCGTTCGACCAGTGTCGCAGGTTATGCAAGCATACTGTATATTTGCATAAACAGGGTGCTTACGAACACTGCGCTTTGAAATGCTGTATGGATCAACGTTAAAATCCTTCGTCATACAATAGAAGCTGCTTGTCCACACAGTGTGTGGCCCAGCCGTCATCCCTAATTGCACATTTCTTCTACTGAATATAGGCCGGAAGCTTGACCAAAACAAATGCTGGCTCCTTCGCTGAGGTCAGGCCGCATGGCTTGGAAGTCGGGACCATGCTTGCGCATAGCTGCCCCAAGCCGAAGGATATGCGTGGATGTACACGCGGCTAAGAAGAAAAGCGGTCCTAAGACGGCAGGTGCGCAACCGTGGGCTTCTCATAACGCGCAAGCAACGGGCAGGTTTCAACGTTTCTATTGGTGTATCATAAATTCATTACCCATGCCTCGGAAGAACATAAGCGTACCAGCAAGCGGAACATGTAAAGGCTCGTCATCAAGTGAAGCCCTTACACTCTTAGGTCCCGTTCCTTGAACCCCCTCCTACATACCGCCCCACTCATCCATGGCATTCCTTTCTGCCGCACCCCTTCCTTTTGTGCATCAACCTATAGCTGACTTCTGATGCATATCCACAACTGTTACCAAAGCATATCCATCTCTTCTGTACCGAAGGCGCCAAATCACACAATGCCTCCACAGCCCCCTTTCTTCTTGTCCGCTCGAGGAGGTGATGCCCGCTACCAGCACGCATGGAAACCCCGCTGTGCCCCTGTATTCCCACGCCTAACCTCCCTGGTCCCTGCCTGGCATCCTTGCACCGCTACGCCACACCTGCCGTACAGCCCCACCCTCCACGGGTCCCGCTCGAGGAGGCGGCGGCGGCGGTTCCGCTGCAGGCACTGCCACCAAGTACAAGAGCCCGGGGGAAGTACGACAGGTGGGGTGGGGATGTACGGTGGGTTGGAACTTGGAGGCAGCGGAGGACAGCCCGGGGTAACCCTAGCCCTCGCCCCACACAAACCGCACCGGCGTCCCCCGGCACGTTTCGCTTCGCGTGAAGGGGGTAAAGGGCAGTGCGTAGGAGGCAGTACGTATGGGCCGCCCACAACAAGAGGCGGCCATGACTCCTGCTCTTGCCCTGACCTGTTGTGCAAGCCTTGCCACCGGACCCCCGTGCAAGCCACCTGACGTGGTCTCTCTTCCCACACACGGCCTCATGTTTCATGATGTCCACACGGGTGACAGCTCAGCTGACATCGCCCCTGCACCCTCCATTGCCCGCCGGCTGATTGGGTTGGGCGGGTCGGGGTGTCTCACATGTTGCAAACCATGATGAAGCCTGATCGCACGGTTTGTTAGTTGTTTCCTCTCCCCCACCCCCCATCCACCAGGGCGGCGCATACAAGGAGGAGACTCGCAAGATCATCTTGTCCATGGAGCGAGTGAGGAAGGTAGGGTAGCGGAGGGGTAGGGTAGGGGGCAGCGGGGGGGATGCAGGAGGTAAAGAGGAAACAACTAATGCAGGAATGCAGGGTGTAGGGTAGGGTAAGGTACAGAGTACGGTACCTGACCTGGAGCGAGGTGCAAGGGGGCGAGGGGGGCCGGGCGGATTGGGTTGGGGAGGCAGGAAAGAGGAAGGTACGGCAGATAGGAAAGCGCACAACAGGGATGGGCTTTGCAGGATAGCTATACGACCCTGGGCTTGTCAACTTCAGGACACCCTATCTGGTTTCCTTACTTCCTTGGCTGCTGCATTCCTCCCCATCCCGCCTCCCTCTTGCTTCTGCCGATCCTCTCCTCTACCAGCTGCTGCTGCCGCCCCTCCCCTCGCCCCCGCAACCCTCTCATTGTTTTGCATTACATTGTGGTCCCCTACGGTTTGGTCCTCTTCCTGCCCCCCATGCAGGTCGCTCCGGGCGGCAAGGAGCTGCTCAAGGGAGTCAGTCTGGGCATGTACCTGGGCGCAAAGATCGGCGTGCTGGGTGCCAACGGAGCAGGTGGGGGCGGGGGCGGTTGATCGGAGAACCAACACGCATGCAAACCCAAGCGCACACACAGTACGTTCCTACTGGCGGGCAGTTCTTTCAACACACACATGCCAAACCCAAGCGTGTTGGTTCCCTCCCCAGCTGTGTTACCGGTATCTGCTACGTTGTGGTGTGCTCTGCACCCCTCCGCCTCTGCCTTGTCATACAGCTTGTCCGTTCCTTCCCCCTCCCCCTCCCCCTCCCCCTTGTCCTCACCCCCCGCCCGCAGGCAAGTCCACCCTTATGCGCATCCTGGCTGGGGTGGACACCGCGCTGGCGGACGGACGCATCGTGGCGACTCCCGGACTGCGGGTGGGCTACCTGCCGCAGGAGCCGGAGCTGAACGAGGGTGGGTGGCGGGCGGGTGGGCGAGCGGGAGGGGTTGAGGAATACACAGGCGAGCCGTAAAGCCACCACTGAACGCAACCAGATTACCACCCTCCCATGGGGTAACATGAGTCGGTACATGGGATGATTTGCTCGACTTCTCAAGTAATTTGCCCAATGGGGTAATGCGAATCCCACTACCCGCTGTCGTTTGCCTTCATCTTTTCCCGCGCCATTGCCGTGCCATTCCAGTGGTAGTAATACGTTCCTGCACTGAAGACGAGGGGCCCTTATCCAGCGTTGAGGAAGCTGAACCCCATTGTCCCATAACCCGCCACGTGACGCAACTCATCACCAATTCCAATCCCCACACGCGCATACACACATACACACACGCACACGCAGGCGACACGGTTCTATCCAACATCGAGCCGGCACTCGCTGCCGTACGAGCCAAGCTAGCGCAGTACGAGGCGCTGAGCTTGCAGGTGGGCCATGCGGTTTGTACCGTATGCGTTCCCCCACCGCACACGTGATAACCGTAATTGTGTGGGTCAACTACCCTAACTAACTTGCCCTATTGTGGACGCATCATTGAAATTGATGATGGCTGTGTCACCTCTCGTACGTACCTTTCTGCCCTACGTCCTCTAGTATGCGGTAATGCTCCTTTGTGCCCGTCCTTACACCCTACAGCCAACCCTCCCCTCCCTTCGTCCCATTCCGCCCCCTCCCCCGCCCGCCCGCTCTCTCCCCACCCAGATGGGCGAGCCCGGTGCGGACCTGGACGCGCTGTCGAACAAGATGGACAGGCTGCAGGTCAGGAAGGGAGCGGGGGGAGGAAGAGGGGGAGGGGTTTGGGAGGCAAGGGGGAATGGCGGGGGAAAACGTGTGTGTTTTGTTTCCTTCACCTCATTCCGTTAGAGAGGACAGTCACGGCCTGGGCGAGGCTAGACGCAGGTATGCCGGGTAGAAGGCTGAGTACAGCCTATTTCCCTTCCTCTGCCCCCTTTTGCCGTTCCGTTGCATACACAACTGCCGTAAATACACACACGCCAGCCATGTTAGCACACACGTCCTCCCGACCAGTCTTCCTTAACGTATACACACACGCCCACACGTTCCTCGCCACCTGCCGCTCCCCAGGCTGAGCTGGACGCATGCAACGGATGGGAGGTGGAGCGCACGCTGGATCAGGCCATGGACGCGCTGCGGTGCCCCCCGGGGGATGCGCTGGTGAAGCACCTGAGCGGCGGTACGGCAGGGCATGCGTGTATGGGTGTACAGCAGTGCATGGGAGGGGGTGTGGACTGTGACACCTACACCATGCGCCCCTCCTGCTGCCTCGTCTTGTGTGCGATGTCGTTTCGCTCATTGCTCATTGCTCGGGCCATGGGATAAGAAATAAATATACAATTATAATATATAGATTTCAGTGCTTTACTCCTACACATCCTACCCCGCTTGGCTGCCCCCCCCCCCCTCCCCCGCCGGTTGCCGGTTGCCTGCTCAGGCGAGCGGCGCCGAGTGGCGCTGTGCCGCCTGCTGCTGTCGGCCCCGGACGTGCTGCTGCTGGACGAGCCCACAAACCACCTGGACGCGGAGAGCGTGGCGTGGCTGGAGAGGTGGGGGGCGGAGCGGGGGGAGGGGGGGGGGAGAAGAATACCCAATGTGTTGCATGAGGATAGCAACCACATTGGTGTTGGTGTGGGGGGGGAAGGTCAAAGACCATACCATACCATAGGAGACCACAAGTTAGGGCAAAGCAATGGGGGTAGGAGGGGGGAAAGGGGGATGGAGGGTGTGTCTGCGCGTTTGTGGTAAAGAGACTGGCCGCAAGTGGGTATGCGTGAGGAAGATGGCGTGGCTCATGGCTGCATGAAGCCAGGGTCGGGGCCCACACCCCCCGGCAGCTTACACATCCAACTGCACAAGTACCACAGCTGGTCCCCTCTTGGAAGTACCGACAGTCACTGAATGCGGCAAATCCTCCAATACGATAGCAACACCGCGTGAGCTCCTTCATCTTATAAACTTCTGCAACCCGCAGGTTCCTTGCTGATTTCAAAGGCACGGTGGTGGCGGTGACACACGACCGATACTTTTTGGATAACGTAGCGGTGAGGGGTGCTTGCAGTGCTGAGGGAGGGGGAGGGGAGGTGTTAGCGGTGAGGGGCGAGAGGAGGGCCAGAGAAGAAGGATGGCGTCTTGTCACCCTGTTATCACGTGCTTCCGCGCCTCAGTTAACCGAACAGTCGTTCTGGGCACTGCAACAAGAATGCAAAGATTGTGCCAGGATTGTGCTGTAACGTTTTACCGAGCCTCCTCCCCTGCTTGCCCTCCAGGGTTGGATCCTGGAGTTGGATCGAGGCGCGGGAATCCCCTTTGAGGGCAACTATTCGGGTGGGTGGGGTGGGGTAGTGTGGGAGAAAGCACTCCACCGTCGTCGAGAGCTGGGGTGGGGGGGAGGTTGATGGGTTCCCTCCTCCTCCCTTCACAACCAGCTATCTGTCAAAACATAGTATGATCCCTCGACCAGTCGCTTCCTATCCTCGTGTTACTGTCTCATGCAGTTCTGCCTCACCTCTTGCCCGCCTCTGCTACTTTCGCACCCTCCGACCCCCAAACACTGTTTCCGTACGGCACTGCATCACACACGTCACAATACCCCTGTGTGCTCTGTACGGCACACGACTACCTGCTTCCCCCTGCAGAGTGGCTTGCGGCCAAGGCCAAGCGGCTGGGTCAGGAGGCGAAGCAGCAGGCGGCGCTGGACAAGGCGATAGCGGAGGAGCTCGAGTGGATCAACAAAAAGTAAGAGAGGATGGTTAGGATGGTAACCTGGTAAGAGGTTTGTAAGATAGTAGGATTAATAGGAAGCGGTGGGGTTGTGGGGAATGGGATGGGTGGAAAACACCGAGGGTGTGGGTGTATTGTGGGACCTGTCCAGCAATGGTTGCAGGGGGGAGGTCGGTCCCACCTCCTAGCAGGAAAACCCGTGCCTGTAACCCTCCCGCTCCTCATCCCCCCACCCCCGTTGCTCGCGCCGCCTCCCCCCGTCTCCCGTCTCGGATGTTTTATCACGTCATTATCAGGAGTTCCCTCGACACATTAATTTCGGTTGAGCCCTCGATTTCCTGTCTTGGACAGCTAATAATGCCACAAGCGTTACCCCCCAACCCTGGCAATCTATCCAACGCCTCTCAACCCCCCTCTTTTCCCTAACCCCCGCAAAGGGCCAAGGGCCAGCAGAAAAAGGGGGCGGCCCGGCTGAGGCGGTACGACGAACTGGTGGCACAACAGGCGTCGTACGTGAAGGCGGCGCAGGTGGGGGTTCGGAAGTGTGTACGACAGTGCGACATGAGGGTTTACTTGTGTCGCCCGGGGCCCTATAGGGCGGGTATCCCCTGCCCTCCTCCCTTACATCTTCCTGGGACTTACATGTTTTGTTCCCATTCCTCTCTCCCCCACCTTCCTCGTCCCCCAACCCCGCCCCCACCCCCCCCTCCGGGCCACGCCATGCAGTTGGACAGCATCACAATTCCGCAGGGGCCTCGACTGGGGGGGCTCGTACTCGAGGTACCGTATGTGCCTGTGTAGTGTCGTACAGTTTCAGTTCTCTTAGTCTTTAATGCGTGCGTAGGCTTAGGTTTACGATCTTTGTGGTTTACGATCAAGTACGGCTTCGTTCCAAACACGTATGCCGATGTGTTACACCGTTAACGGTTCCTCCAGTAGTCGCCTCTCATGGCATGCAGACATCCCCTGGACCGCATTTCCCTAGCCGCAACCGCCCCAACCACCCTGCAACCGACTCCAACAGGCCGAGTCCCTGCGCAAATCCTTCGATGACCGCCTCCTCATCGACGATGCAACCTTCAACATCCCGCCAGGTCCGTCCTGTCGTGATACCTACATGCTTATAGGGGGAGCTGCAAGCAACCGAATGTGGTGTTTCATTTCCCCATCACATTTCGCCCTACCTAGTGAACGTTCCGGCTCCCCTGCCAACTACCTCTCTACAAACCAGGATGCATTTCCATCCCCGCCCACCCCACCCCACACCACACCGTTGCCTCTTCCCGCCACCCCACCTGCTGCCACTCTCCACCTCAACCCTCCCCCCCAGGTGCCGTTGTGGGTATCATTGGCGGCAACGGAGCCGGCAAGTCCACCCTCTTCCGCATGATCATGAAGCAACAGGTGGGGTAAAAATAACAGGTGGGGGGGTGCGGGGGGCTTGGGGGCCGTGAGGTTGGGGGGTTGTTAAGTGGGGATGAGCCTCTTACGACCTATTACGAACGGGTTGGTGGATACTGTTTCCCGCTCGTTCGCACGGCTTCGGGACGGTAGCAGCAGCTGCTGCTCTCCTTCCTTCCTGTTTCCATCCACCCCAACCATGTACCTTCCCTGCCCCCCTCCCTCCCCCCCAACCCTCCTCAGGTCCCCGACGGCGGGAACTTGCGGCTGGGAGAGACGGTTGTGCCCATGTATGTGGACCAGAGCCGGGAGTCACTGGCGGTGAGGGTTGGGGCTTTGGGGGGGGTGTAGGGGAGGATGGGTTGAGGGAGGGAGCGGCGGGGAGGAGGTTGGGGCAGGGACCGGGGTTGGGGGTAGGGATGGCGGCGAGGAAGAGCAGCCCTTCTCCCCTGTCTGCTTGTTATCTCCGTAAGTCTGTCCTCACAAGTTGTCGTGTACGACTCCCCACACATGCTGGCCCCCATCCCTGCAGGCGGATCGTACGGTGTACGAGGAGATCGCTGACGGCAGGGATGAGGTGGGCGAATGTGTGTCGTACAGTGCGGTGCTTGTGATGGGTGTGGGTAAGGAAACTGGTTGCGATCTGGAACGTACTGGATTGCCTAGAGGTGGGTATGTAGGTGTTGTACAACACCTCACAATGGGGCTGCAGCACGGTGTGTCAAACAGCTGGCCGCTATTAGGAGCGCATGTTTACAAAATTGGCCGTGAATGGGTGTGTGTTGAGAAAACCGGCTGCGAAGAAGATTAACTAGTATATTTTGTGTGGGGGTGGCGGTAGGTGGTGGGTGAGCCTGCACGGGGACTCCCAACCCAGCTTCACTTCGTTCCCTCCTGACCCCTCCCACCACACAGCACACATTGGATATATCCTTTTCTCCACGCCCCCCTCCCCAGGTCGACCTGGGCGGGCGGCAGGTGTCTGCCCGCGCCTACTGTTCCTGGTACAACTTCAAGGGGGGAGACCAGCAGAAGAAAGTGGGCAGCCTGAGCGGTGAGACCCGTGGGTCGGCGTGGTTAGATTAGGGTGTAGGATTTGGAGTTTGGGGGAAAATTATAAAGAAGTGCAACAACACAGTCCCAATCCCGAATCCCGACTCATGCAGTGAGCGCATTCGGAGTTTGGGGGAGGTGGAAGGGAGGACGGAGGGATGGATCAGCACAAGGAGAAGTGGGCAGCCGGAGGGTGGGAGGAACATCCGGTAGCGAGGGAAGGTTAGGGCGTAGGGTTTGGAGTTCGGTAGTGGAAGGGAGGGGCTCATCCCTGCGCGCGCCAACCAAACTCCCCTCATTTGCAACTCCCTCCCCCACAACACACCACGCCCCGCAGGCGGCGAGCGCAACCGCCTCCACTTGGCCAAGACCCTGAAGCAGGTGCGTGTTTGGGGGGGCTGGGGGGGGGCTGGCTGGGTTAAGGCAGCTGTACGGCATGTGCGTGTGAACGATATCCGCGCAGCATGTGATTGTGTGCAGCGTGGTCCAGAAGTATGAAAGCCCTGCGCCTCGCCCAATCCCTGAAGCACGTGGAGAGGAGGTTTTGGTCTGGGGGAAGGTGTAGGGTGGGAAAGGGGGAGGGGAAGAAAGAAATAGGAGGGGGCTTGGATGCCAGGTGGAATAGGGCTCTGTCGCAGTGCCGCCCTCCCTCCTGACTTCCCCCGGTTGGGCTTCTCTCCTAACGGTCCCTCCTGTGCCCACCTCCACCCGCCAGGCGGGTAACCTGCTGCTGCTGGACGAGCCCACAAACGACCTGGATGTGGACACGCTGCGGTGAGGGTTGGGGGGAGGGAGGCGGGAGGAGGGAAAGGCATAGGTTGGAGGACAAGGGCGTAAGCCAATACGGGGGGAAAGCCGGGTGCCCTCCAAGCATCACAAACCGGTAATATACACACTCTTTACCTGTCCTCTCAATCAATTTACCCCCCCAACACATTGGGTGTTCTTCTTTTCCTCACACCAGCTGCCTGGAGGAGGCCATCTTGTCATTCGCGGGCTCCACCCTCCTCATCTCACACGACCGCTGGTTCCTGGACCGAGTGGCCACACACATACTGGCCTTCGAGGGGGACTCCAAGGTGGGGGGGGGAGGGTGACCCGCGGGTCTCTGGGGTTTGGGGAGTCAGGGCAGGGCTCACCAGTAGTGGTCCACCAACCGCCTTCCTCACCAGCAGGGTCGGCACTCTCGTCTACAAACTGACCTCATGCTTCTCTTTTCCCCCGCTTCCTCCCCCTCCCTTTGGGATATGGGATTGGGACCCCGTTGCTGCACTTATCATTTACTTTCCCCCCGCCTTCCAACCCCCCTCATTTCCCCCCTTCCCCCCCAGCTGCATTTCTTCACGGGCGGCTACAGCGACTACGAGGAGGACCGCCGCCGCCGTCTGGGTGCCGGCAGCGCCCCCCAGCGGCTCAAGTTCAGGAAGCTGGCTGCAGCTTAGATGAACCGGCCTAGATACTCAGTGGAGTGCAGTTGGCTGGAAAGGGGGGGGAGGTGGCGGCGATGGTGTGCAGGCGGGGCCCGGGTTCAGCCACCGGTAGTTTGGAGGTGTGCGGGGGGCACGGGGAGGTGCATGCTGGACGTGTATGCTGTGCGGTGGGAGGCGTGAAGGTGCATGCCGGCGCACGTGTTAAGAAAACTGGCCGCGAGTAAGAACGTACTGGGATGTCGGAAGTTGACGCACGAGTGTGTGCTGGGATGTGCTGCCGAGAGGCGGTTTGGGACCGGCACCGTGCCGTGAGGGCTGGCACAGATATTCTGGCAGCCGGGGCGGTGGGAAAGGGTACGAGAGGGAGTGACAAGAGGCAAGTTCAAGAAATAATGTCTTCATTGGGGCCGACCAAAAGTGACTTCGTTGGCAAGTAAGGAATGACGTTGCGTGCTCTTTTGGAAAGGAGGGCCAGGTAAGGAGTTAAGCTGCTGGGGCGTGGGAGTCCAGGAAGCTGAATTCGGGTGACAGCAGTCCGCCCGGAGGTAGCACCCCGGAGGAGGCACACCCCGCAGCTCCTCCATCCTCAGAAAGCTTACGATTCTTGACTCGTATCATGGAGCTGGCACAGCAGCCTAATTGGGCACAGCAGCCGAGGGTAGGGAGAAGGGCAGAGTGGGTGGTGCGCTAGGGAGGGGGGCTTGCCTGGGAGCCGGCGGCACCCGCTGGCAGCAGCGCCGACACATGAACAGGGGGCTGCTGGAAGCCGCCTGAGCTGGAGCAGGGGTGGAAGGAGGGGAGGTTAAGCAGGGCAAGAGTCGGGGTTCGGTATGTGTTCGGACGAGGAGGGGGAAATGGAGAAACGTTCGGACTGAATACCCATTTCCCGACACCCGAGCTGCGACCAGGGCATGCACGCTAGGGAGGGAGGCGAGCCGTACTTTATGGTGGGGTCCAAGTCGCAAGGGAGAGCAGCGCGGGAGCGAGGGAGTGGCCTTGAGGAGGGAATTGCGAGAGCAGCCGTGTCGTTGCGAGGGCGTGAAGGGGAGGCTACAAGGGGCAACACGTGGAGCTGAAGTGTGACAGGGCGTGGTGCTGGGACATGGTGGTGGATGGAAAATGGTGCGGGTGGAAGGCCGCACGCCAGGGTGTACCACGAAGCTTTCGTGTTAGCGATATCGCGTGAGAGCCCCCTACAGGTAGTTTTGGCTTGCAGTTGAGGGCATGACTGAGCGCTGCTGAAATGGGATGGGAGCCCTCCAGCGACGCCATACGGTACCACCTGCAGAGCTTTCAACAGTTTGTCCGAAGAAGAGCGCACCGGCTATGAGCCATAGCTCTTCGCGTTTGCTGTCGGGAAGTCAAACTGCAGATGTATGATAACTGCTACTCACGGCGGATAGGGACAAACGCCGTGTGAGCTTGCAACACAAGCACCAATGGAAGGTAAAGGCACCGCTGCTTGCAGTCTGCCTCCATAGCTGGGTTGTGCTCTCTGTTGATGAAAGCGCTCTGACAGGGTTGCAAACATAGGGCTAACGTTTTCGACAGTGAACATTTTTTCTAATTAACGTTACTGTTACTGCTACTATTATAGGACAGGCGTTGCAAGGAATCCATGAACTTGCTGATGCAGTAGATCTAGGCCTAGGCTTGTAGGTTGCAACACGTTCATTGACCTTATTAAGATAAAGGCCAGGTATATGCTGGCATAATACATTGTTCTAACTGTGTGCGTATTAACATTAGCTGTTTCTTCGCAGTTTGGCTTGCATCGGCGTAACGCCCGCACCTCAACGCACATAATCACGCTTTACCTTGATTTACCGAACAGACACGAAGTGATAAGCGATACGTGTTCACCTGGAGTTCATCACCAGCAAAGCTAAGCACAGCGCGAGCGGCGGCGAGAATGCGGGGTGCGGGCTTTTAGCAGCAGAAGTGCACTGCCTTGACAGCCTTACATACCAGCATAACGGGAGGTGGTGTCGACGCAGGCGTTCAAGGACAAGTCCTAAACAAACAGCAAGCGTTTAGGGGCAAGGTGAGCAATCGGCACATGTGCCTTGCTTGCACGCCCTAGCGCTGCAGTGTGCTCCTCCATCTGGTGTTGTAACAAAAGCAGCAATACCGCCAACTAAAGCCAGTTGCTGCCCCTGCTGCCTATCCCTACAGCTGCCATGCCGGGCGCGATGCCGAGCGGTCCGTGTCACAGCAGCGGTGCACGACTTTGCTAAGGTAAGTGGACATTCTTTGAGGTCTTACGTTCGTCAGAGGCTTTTCAACTGTCTTCTTACCCGCCATGCGTGGATAACCCTCTGCCAGCCCCCTTTTGTCAGCCCTTTTTCCAGCCCTCTCCCGCCCGTGCCTGGTGCATGGCGTTACTCTCGCACCGTGAATGGCCGCTCGGTCTCAATACCAGCTGACCCAAACCCAAACACACGGCGTGCATTTGCATGCTTCGAGGCGCACCCCCAACACCCGCCTTGCACCTCAAGAGTAACATGGCCTTTCCCTTCCCCTCCGTCTTCCCACAATACGCAACGCCCCCCGGGCATGGCAAACTAGCATCGCAGGCCCACTGGTTCTGCCCCTCTGCCGCGCACGTCTCTCCATGTGCTAACCCCGCCCCGCCCCCAAGCCACTCTCCCTGCCTCCCTCGCCCTTTGTTCCATACGAACCCCTCTCCCCCCTCCCTTCTTTACCCACCCACTACCCACCACCACCTCCACACACAGACCGAATCCGCGCCACGCCGTGTGGTGGTCACCGGCATGGGTGTGGTGTCCTGTTTAGGACACGAGCATGAGGAGTTCTACAACAACCTGCTGGCAGGGAAAAGCGGCATCTCGTACATCGAGGTACAAAATCCACGACATGAGAGGGATGGGAGCGCATGTCATGTCGAGCTTCCATACAATATACAGAGAGGCGTTTCGGGGCTTGGAAGCACACGTCGTACATGGGGGTTTAGCGAGTGCGGAAGTCTTCCGGAAGCAGCGGTTGGGGAGCTGCTGGGGGTTCAGGACAGACGTGTGTGATCCCCCTGCCGTCTTGGGCCGCTTGCTCCCTGTGCGTCCTGCTTGTTGTTGCTTGAACAGGCACCCTCCTCGCATAACGCTCACATCTGTGTCGCAACCTGCGTGCCTGCAGGGCTTCAATGCCTCCGATTACACGACTCGGTTTGCCGGGGAGATCAAGGTAGGGGCTGCAGGGAGGAAATGGGAGGGTGCGGTACCATGCTTGGTGGGGGCTTTCCTGCCCCAGCTGGGGGTTGAAGGAGTGTGTGGGTTGCGGGATGTTTCACAGCAGCCCAACGCTAACCGTGTACGACCCAACTGCCCGGGTCCGAACGCGCGCCCCCGGATTACTACGGGTCACGGCGTGAAGAGGCGAATGCTGTTCTCGTCCTCCCTGTTACTGATACCACCCTCCTGCCCACCCCTTTTGATCTCGTCTTTTTAGACACCCCTGCGCTTCCGTCTTCCCCTACCCCGCCCCCCTCCTCCCAACCCGCGCCCCACCTCCCGCTCCCCCCAGTCGCTGGACTGCTCTGGGTACATTACCAAGAAGTTCGAGAAGCGGGTGGATGCGGTGATCAAGTACACCATGGTGGCGGGCAAGAAGGCGCTGGGGGACGCGGGGCTGGCGTGGGATGGCAAGGAGATCAAGGTATGGCGACGCAGGGGTGCGTTGGTTTCGGAGGGGTGGTTTGAGGAGGGTTGGCTGGGAGCATGAGGAGCTCCTGGAGGGGTATTGGGAGGCTCGTGACGCATGTGTGGTGGGAAATTCACATTCCACATTCATGCGTGTTTGCATTCGCACATAAATCTGGTAAGCGTCTTGCAAAATGCAGGATCTCAACCACCTGCGTTGCGGTACGTTGGTTGGTACGGCAATGGGCGGCATGACGAGCTTTGCGAATGCTGTGGAGGCACTGGAGACGTCAGGTGAGGGGGGGTGAGGGGTGGGGTGAGGGGGGCTGCGGGTTTGGGTTGCACCCCTTGCAACCTAGTCCTCGGTGAGTGGTCGGGGGCGGGGTTTGCATGCGGAAGTGTGCAATTGTGGCAGGTTCTGCTTATGCCGGGGGATGAGGGCCCCGGGGCGGAATGGTGGTGTTGCGCGGTGCAGATGAGGGGTGCGGGAAGCGGTGCGGGGGGATCCCGTGTGAGACTTAGAGGGCGTGAGGGAGGTGGTCGCGAAACGGTGTTTGTTTTGTGTGAGCACCCATGTGTACCCAAACTCCCGGGGCTTCCCTTGTCCTCATGTCTCGGACTCATGGTTTCCCCTCCCCCGCCCTCCGCCCTCACCTTTCCTCCCGCAGGCCACCGCAAGATGAACCCCTTCTGCATCCCCTTCGCCATCACCAACATGGGCGGCGCCATGCTGGCCATGGACCTCGGCTTCATGGGGCCCAACTACTCCATCTCAACCGCCTGCGCCACCGGCAACTACTGCATCCTGAGGTGGGGGGATTGTGTGTTAAAATAACTGGCCGCGAGGCGAAACGTACTGTGATTGGGGATTGGGGATTGTGTGTTAAGAAAACTGGCCGCGAGTAGGAACATACTGTGATTGTCGGAAGATGAAGTGATGATGATGTGTGTGTGTGTGGGTGTGGGGGGGGGGTCTGGGGGGGGAGCAACTGGGCTGTGATGAAAAACTAGCCGCTTTATCCTCCCTTATGTCTTATGTTTTTCACTCTGGTTTCAATCCTCCTATTCCTTTCCTCCCTCCATCACCCCCCTTCCCACCCCCGTAACCCCACAGCGCTGCGGACCACATCCGGCGGGGCGATGCGGACCTGATGCTCGCGGGTGCGGGAGACGCGGCCATCATCCCCTCCGGCATCGGCGGCTTTATCGCATGCAAGGTAGGGCGGAGGGTGGGAGGGGTAAGGGGGGGGGTCGTGAGGGTAGTAATGGAGGTGTCATTGGGTTGCATCAAAGCATGTGTTCGGCCCGCGGTCCAGCCTAAACCCGCCGTGCACCCCCTGGTAACAAAACACCGCTTCCTGCTCTCCTCCCCCCCTCCCCTCTCCCTCCCCTCCCAGGCGCTGTCTAAGCGCAATGACGACCCCGCTGCCGCCTCACGGCCCTGGGACACGGACCGCGACGGGTTCGTGATGGGCGAGGGAGGAGGTGAGAGGCGGGGGAGGAGGGGGGGGTGGAAAATTATAAATAAGTGCAACAACACAGTCCCAATCCCGAATCCCGACTCATGCAGTGAGCGCATTTGGAGGGGGGTGGTGGGGGAGGAGGGGGGTGGAGGGGGTAACGCAGGGGAGTAACGGGGAATGGGTCCGTGACGGTTTTGTTTTTCGATGTGGACTGTTACAGAGGGAGGACAGGAAGACCACCAAACCAAAACCCGAGCAGACGAGGAGACGAGGAGGGTTGGGGGGGAGGGAGCGGGTGGTGAGCGCTTCCTAGCATTTTACACGCCTCATCCCTTACAAACACCTGCCCGACAAACCTCCCTTCCGTACCCGCAGCCGTACTGGTTCTCGAGGAGTACGAGCACGCCAAGGCCCGCGGCGCGCACATCTACGCCGAGTACGTGGGCGGGGCGGTGACGTGTGACGCGCACCACATGACGGAGCCGCAACCCGAGGGAAAAGGTGGGCGCGTGGTCTGGATGGTTTGGGTATTGGGTCTTGGGTATTCATGTCTGGGGGTTGTCTGGGTATTCCACGTCATGTGTAAGAGCATACCGGTATCATAGGGCATTGCACCGGATCAGCAGGCGAATCTTGGGTTGCCCTCAAGTTGGGTTGCATGCCGTATGCCTGGAAGAGCCGGTTACCTGCCGTGATGCCTCCCTCCCCCTATCCACATGCGGTGCCCGCGCAGGTGTCATCATGTGTTTGGAGCGGGCGCTAGCGTCCAGCGGCGTCGCGGCAACCGACGTCAACTATGTCAACGCGCACGCCACCTCCACACTGGTGGGGCTACTGTTGACTGCAAAATGCGAACACGCTTCAGCGACCTTTTCAGCTTTGTAAAACATGATTCCAGTTGGTTGTTAGCTGCTGGTAACTGCCGCCGTGTTACTTTGCCCCCACAACCGCTTAGGGGGATGTTGGTCGTCGCGTGATAGTTGGATGTGTATCCGGTGCGTCGTCTGGATTGGGTTGGGATTCGGGCGCTGGGAACCAAGGCTTTATCTTCCTTAACCCCCCTACCTAATTTGGGTATTCTTCTCCCCCCCACCCCCCACCTCCAGGCCGGAGACATGGCCGAGTATCGCGCCCTGAACACCGTCTTCGGTCACTCCGACCTGCGCATGAACTCGACCAAGTCCATGATCGGTACGTGTCACATAGGCCCCATATGCCTGTACGGCGCTGCGTCAATAATTCAAGTACGACATGGTGCGTGGTTTCACCCCGCCCTTGCTCACGATGCCCACAGGTCACTTGTTGGGCGGGGCGGGAGCCGTGGAGGCCGTTGCGACCATCAAAGCCATCCAAACAGGTTCGTGCCCTCGGTTGCGCTGTCCGGCTTGTACACTGCTCGACCTTTGTAAACTTTTCATCCGGTAGTTACCGGTACACGCATTTACGTTAAATCATTCCCCTCCTCTCTCCTCCTCCCCCCCCCCAGGCTGGCTGCACCCCACCATCAACCTGCACTCCCCCGAGCCTGGAGTGGACCCGGTGAGGGTGGTGGCGGGAAGCAAGCAGCAACACCCGGTCAAGTAAGCAGCGAGGGGGGGTGGGGTGGGGTGGGGTGGGGGTTGGAACTAAAGTAGAATACAAGCACTGGGATCCCAATCTCATTGGGGGTTGGGGGGTTGCGGTTTCTAGCATGGGGAGTATGGGACATGCATGGGACTGAGGTAGCAAGGGAAATGGCAAAGAGGGCGTGTGTGGGAGGGCCCAGCGGGGTGCCATGAAAAGGCAGGGCGTCGGAAGAGACAGGTGTGTGCGTGTTAAGAAAACTGGCCGCGAGTAGGAACGTGTGTGTGTGTGCCTGAGGGTGTCTGCCTCACCCTTCCACTTCCGCTTCCCTTCCCCATCCCCCCCCCACGCGGCAGGGTTGCGCTGTCGAACTCGTTCGGGTTTGGAGGCCACAACAGCTGCATCATGTTCCGTGCGCCTCCCCAGTAGTAGGGGGGTGGGAGAAGGAAGAACGGAGAGAAGAGACGGAAATGAAAGGGGAGGAGGGCTCGGGCATGTGGTGTGTGCATGTTGTCAGGGGTTGGCGACAGGAGGCATGGGCAGGAGGAGGAAAAGGCGAGCAGCTTAGGAGGGCAGAATGTGTGAAGGGAAACACTAATCAAGTGACAAGCTTGGAGAATATGGGAGAAAAAACGATGAAGAAACGGATCGGGATGCCGGGCAGAAACGAGACGGGGCGTGAAGGGCTGAGAGGTCGGGAGAGAGAGGGGGCGTTGAAAAGACAGGAGCGTTGTTTGCTGAGGGAGTTCATGAGGGATGTTGAAGTGGCCGCTTGCAGGACAGGTGCAGGGAGTTGCCGCTGCGGCTGTATTGGTATGTATTTGCGGTGGGGGAGGGCGCCGTCGCTCGGGCTCAGGTGGGGTGGGCTTCCCGTGGTGCCGTGCGGGCTTGACGCCCCTGCACACGGTGGGTCCGGGGGTAGGATGGCTCGGCTTTTCGTGATTGGTGTCGCCGCTGGTTTCCGTTGGAGGTGGGTGATATACTCTAATGGTATCCCAATTAATGCCTGCGTGAAAGGACACACGCGACGGACGGGAAGGGCTTCAATTGTTAGGTTATGATACAATGCGAGGTAGGAGAGAAGACATGTCAGGTAGAGGTTATGGTAGGGGCTGCATGTATATCCTAAATGCATAGGCCGGTGTTTTGAGGATGGCAGCATGCTACCCCGGGCTGGGGTTCAGGTTTCTGAGGTACGTGATGTGTACGTATGCCGTACATAGGCGTACAGCAGTTGTGTATGTCGTACTAACGTGTGGTTGGTAGAGGAGGGGGGCTACTATCTAATGGCGCTGCTAGGGGAGGGAAGAGGACAGACGCCTGTGCAACTTGCAGCAGAAAATAAGCGGCAGCGTGGGAACTGTTTTATGCCAACTTTTCATCATTTGTTATCACACAGTATTACCTCCCAACCAACCTGGCAGAACCTGGAACATCACACGACAGCTACAGAGCGTACAACACCAACCTCGCTTTCAATCTCTGCCTTTTCACCACTCATACAATTGTCCGACTGTGTCCTGTGTGCTCCCTTTCGCTCCCCGCTCCCAGATTTCTCCGTCCTTTGCCCAATCTCCCCTGAACAGCATAGGTACAGGCGTGGCGGCACACCTTGAAAGGGCCACGCGAGCAAGCCCACGCAACTCCATGCCAGCTATCAAAACAATAAACAACATAGGGGCGGACAAGACCGGCTAACCGGCCGCAGGGGCGAGGCTTTCCAACAGCTGTGCTTGCAGTGCGGAATAGCGTACGGCATAGCAAACCTCTCACTGTACGTCCCGAACTATACGACACAAGAGTGTACGACATAAGGTTGTACGACATTATAGTGTTCAATGCCTTTAACTGCGCCACCATCAGGGCCGCTCTTTAAGCCCTCCGAAACCAGCCAGAACCATCTTCGCTCTCCATGGTCCGTGCCAAACTGCTGTTCAGTCTTAGCTGAGTCCTAGCATCCAACTGTCAGTGCCTCCTAATAATGAACCCCGTCTCTCTGCCGACAAACCGTTCAACGGCCACGGCGGTTGTTGTTGCTGCCGCTGGCCTTCATCCGCGCCATGAGGGCCTCCCGCTGGGCCCTCCGGATCTCTGCCTCCCGCTGCGCCTGAACTCGCCGGCGAGCCTGGAATCGGTTTTGGGCATGGTTTTGGAGCTGGGAAGTAGGCATTTGTCGTATGCGCAAGGCCTAAATGTGCGCTTGGGGCAGATTAGGGAGGTACCGGTAGCAACACACGCACAGGACCGCTGTGAGGCTCCGCAATCCCAGTCCACTTGGAGGCCGCTTGGAAGTGTGACCCATGTGTCTGTCCCTCTTTCACCCATCCCCTACACCCTCCATGCACCATGCACACCCCCGAAAACCCAACGCCCTCTCTTCACGCCCTTACACGTACCTCGTTCGCCTCTAGCTCCGGAACCACCACATCCCGGTACAGCCGCGGTAGGACAATCCCCGCCGCCAGTACGGCAGCCACTGCCGCCGCCTCGGGCCCCATGTCTTGCACGGCAGCGGCTACGGAGCCCTCTCCTGATGCTGCCGCTCCTGCTCCTGATGCTGCCGCCGCCGCTTTAGCTGGCGGCGCCGCTTCGACTGGCGCCGCCACCTCTTTAGCCGCTGACGGCGGCGGCTGTGACGGTGGCGGCGGCGATAGCGATGTAGGTGATGGGGATGAAGATGGGGAGGGCGTCTTGTCCGGTGCCGTACCGGCACCAGGCAGCTTGCCGTCCGCGGCCTTCTCTGTGATTGCAAAGGCTGTTGTTGCCGCCTCCGCCATGGCTGGCGTGGATCGCTCCTTCTCCTCTGCAGCCGGTTGAGGTGTCCTTGACTTTGTCACCACCCCGCTCTCCTGCGCCCGCTCCGGCTCCTGCACCTTCTCCTTCTCTGCTGGTGCTGCTACCTTCGGCACAGCCGCCAGCTCTGCTGCCGCTGCCGATTTTGACGGCAAAGCCCTCTCCGTACCCTCCGTCTGCACCGCCTTCTCCGCCGCCTTCTCCGCCGCACTCGCCGCAGCGCTCGCCGCCTCCGCCGCCACTTTCCCGCTGCTATTACCAACCGCCGCCCCCTTCGTCAGGACCTTATCTACGCGTCGTCCGTCGTCGCTGGCCTCCTCCACTTTGGATCCCTCCGCCACCTCCGCCAGCGCCTTGTTGGCCTGGCTGCTACTGCTGCTGCTGCTACTGCTGCTGTTACTGGTGCTGCTCTCGTCCATTGCCTCGGTTGCTTCCACCGCCGCCGCCGTCAGCGCCTTGCTTACCTTGGTGCTGCCGCCGCCGCCACCGGCGCCTGCGGCATCGGCCGCCGCCCCCGTGATCGGATCCTTCTTGACGTCACCGTTCGTGCCGCTAGCTGACGCAGCGGCGGTGGAAGCGGCATTGTCTGAAGTGGCAGAAGTGGAGGCGGGGGCGCCAACCTTGCTTGGCGGGTCCGTCACTGCCTTCGGGGCCTTCATTGCTTCTGCCCCCTCTGGCTTTGACGGCGCCACCTCCGCCTCCGCCTCTGCCGCCGAGGCGGGCACGGCAGGTACGGCAACGGTTGCTTCCGCGCTTTCAAGCGGCGATCGCACCGCTGCCGGCGGCGGCGGCGGCGGCGGTGACGGCACTGCTGCCGACGGGGCCGTCACGCCTGCTGCCGCCAGCAATGTCGGCTCCGTTACCTTTGCGGGCGGCGGCGGCAATGATGGCGTCGCTGCCGCTACCGGTGGTGCCGAGGCCGCTGTTGAACCCACCACCGCCGCCGCCGCCGCCGCCACATCCGCTGCCGGGGCCTCCGCTTCCGAAGCCAGCTCCGAAACCACAGCAGCCGCCAGCTCAGCGGCATCTGCTATGGCCTGTTGGAGATCCGGTGATAATTTGCATTCAGGAAGGAAACAGGGCTTGCTTTTTACCATTGGGGCAAGGTGTGCTACATGTACTATAGGTGGGAAAGTACGGACATGTACAATGCACTGAATAGCCTAACAGATGAGCAGTTTAGTTGCTCTTACGCATCTACTGTAGACAAGCTGCAGCCATATGACATTTATACGAACTGCTAACAAGTGTTGCCGTACTACTGAGTGTTGCAGGCTCCCCCAACATTAAAATATTCTCTGTGCCATACCTTCGCATCTGCCGCCACCACGGCCGCCACTGCCTTGCCCTCGCCCTTATCTGCCGATGCCGCCTTTACCGCAACCGCGCCCGTCTTGACATCCGCCGCCGCCGCCATCGCCGCAGCCTTTGCATGCGCCGCTGCCGCCTCCGCCACCTCCGTCGCCACATCCGACACACCCCGTGCCACATCAGCTACCTCCGCCATCGCTACGGTTGACGATTGCGACGCAGCCGCCGCCGTCGCTGCCTCCTTTGCAGCACCTCTGCCGCCGCCACCGCTGGCGGCTACCTTCGCCTCCGCCTCCGCCACCACCGCCGCGGCATCGTTAGCTGCGGCCTCGGCTCGCTCCGCCAACTGCTCAGCTCGCTGCTCCATCGCCTCCGCCATCGACCCGAGCTGCGATTCGGAGTGCATCATACGGGAGAGGCACTGGTATTGGTTATGCTAACCCATGCACACGTATACAGGTGCAAGCAAGAACACATGCGGACATAAGAAGGTATCCACCAGGTGTTCTTTGCTGTAGGTAGGCTGCGGCCGCTGAGGCGGGGTAAACCAAACCACACCACCAACAACAATCCCCTAAGTCCTCAACATCTCCCCCACCCCATCCCCTATGCATGAGGAATCAGCCATGGGGGAATGCATGCATGCAGGCAGGCATTGTGCAGTAATGGGATGTAACGTTTCATGATGGTCGTCAGTCGCAGGACCCATGTCCCACAGTTAGTCGTACGGGACGGCGTTGGCGATACCAAAGCCTTACCGCTTGCCCTGCCGCGTCTGTACCCTCCGTCGCCGCAGCCGCGTCAGCAATCTCCGACACGGCGGCGGCCATATCGTGCACCGCCGCCGCCACGTCAGCCACCATCTCCGCCTCCGCCGCTGCTGCCTCCGCCACCGCTGCTGCCTTTGCGTCAGGTGCCGCCGCCGCCACCTCCATCGCCTCAAGCACCGCCGCCCCCGCCGCCGCCTCCGTCAGTTCCTCCACCGCCGCCGCCATATCCGCCAGGGCTTGTTCCGCCACCGCCACCGCTCCTGATGATGACGTCACCGCCGCCGACCCAGGCGGCTTCACCGCCGCTACCACACCTGACGGCGGCTTCGTTACCGCCGCCGCAGCTGGCGACGTTTCTGCGGAATTGGCGGCGGTGTTTTTGGTGGCCATGGCCGCCGCAGGTTTGCTGACGTCAGCCGCCTCCGTCACCGCCGCCTCCGCCGCCTCCGCTGCCGCCAGCGCATGAACCTCCGTCAGCCCTCGCTGGATCTCCGTGAGCTGCTGCCCAGATGATGGCGATGATGAGATCCCCAGCTTGCCTTCGTCTCCTCCTTCAGCTTGTCGTACGGCGTCTGCCGCTTTGGCCGCTTGTACGACACGAAGCTCTGCTTGCCATACGGCATCTCGTACAGCACCCTCCTCCTGGGTGCTTTTGTTGACGGCATCGACAGAGGACGGGGACGAGGACGCTACTGGTACGGCAGTTGCAGCTGCCAGGTTTGCCGTACTGGGTGCACAGTTGGTTCCTGCATGCGTTGCAGAAGTACATTGGATCTTTGCAATCCGACCCGGGGCTGGGCAGCTCATATAAAGGTAGGACCTGCAGCACCATACTAAAAGAATCTTCCGTATCCCTGCATACGGATGTACCAACTCTCTACAGGGCCCTTGCATGTATTGGGTACACCTCGAACGTAAGGAGGCAATGCTACCTCGGATACCCCTGTCGCGACCAGTGAACCCATTACCTAATTAAGGTAATTGCAATGACGCTTTAACGAACAACTGCCTTGACTACCGACCTAACGACCTACCAGCTACTCCTCCCAACAGCTCCTGGCAGTCCTCCAACAGCTCTGCTGCCACCAACAGCGACTGAGGCGCCTCCGCCGCCGCCTCCACTGCTGCCGCCGCCGGTGCCGTTGTCGTCGCCTCCGCCGATTCCCCGGTTCCTGCTGCTTTTGCTATTATAACTGTTTTCGCTGCTTCTGCTACTGTTGTCTTTGCTGCTTCCCTAGCCATTGTTGCTGCTGATGACGCTCCCGTAGGTGAGGAGGAAGGTGGTGGTGCAATAGCAGGAGCTCCAGCTGCCCCCGCCGCCGCCTCCGCCTGCACCTCCGCCGCCGCCGCGGCGCCTCGTGCCGCATCCGCCACCGCTACTACTGCAGCATCGCCTAGGGAGGCCAGCTGTACGGGGGTAGAAGTACGGCAGGCAGGTGTACGGCGGTGTCGGGCACAGTGTTTCAAGGAAAAGCTGCAATTCGTTCTGCGAATTGTTGATGCAATTAACAACCACCATTTCAACCACCCCACCTATCCTTGCCCATGCAAGCACAGCGCACGCCGCTGCTTCCCGCACCCGATCCCCCAGCTCTGTCTCCCCACTCTCATCCTTCTTGCTGCCTCATCCGCGCCTGCCTGTTGTTTTACCTAACAGCTCAGTGTAAATCACCTACCTGTGCCAGCAGCACCTGGCGCCTGCCCAGCTCGGCCAGCAGCGCCGGGTCAGCAGCCATGCGGTCCAAAAAGGCATCGTTGCGCACCAACCGAGCGATCAGGCGTTCGTTGGAAACCAGCTGTCGCAGCAACTCCTCTAGCAGAACGCGATCCTCGCTGTCTTCGTCATCCTCGTCCTTGTTGGTGTCAGCAGCGGCCTTGCCGATGGCTCTGAAGCCGTTGTCGGAGGCTAGAGCGGTGTTGAGGTTGGGGGCCCGCAGCAACAGCGGCCGCAGGAATGCACTTCTCGTGCCTGCTCGTCCTCCTCCTTCCGACGGCTTGTTGGAGCTGTTGCCTGCGCCTGTACGGAGGAGCAAAACATTGGAAGCGGCGGCCCGGGAAACAACCATACAAGGTAAGAACTGCAGTCTATCTGAGCCTGAACCGCTTGAGTGTACCCTCGCCTCCCGCGGGTCTACCTCAGTGCCCATATATTCTACCAAGACTAACAGTCACTGGCATATCAGCCGCTTGGTTCGGAAGCATACCTTGCCTGCTGGTAGTGTACCATGTATTGTCCATCCCTAACCATGTCACGCTTCAGTCGCGCTCCTAAAAGCTTGTATCCGTTTTGAAGTTGAAACGTAACGTGGCTTACCACCTTCGAGTGTTTCCGACTTGACTGGGTGAGAACTCGTCGCGGCGAGTCCTGGCGATGTTGATGTCTCGGATGCATACGATGGCAGTGCGGAGGACGAAAGGAGAAGCGAAGCCGTGGTTGCCACGGCAATAACTTTACGGGCAGAACATTCAAGATGCTCCGCTAACTCGCCGCCGGTTATTTCTTTCACCGCTCTCGCGGTGCCATGAGCATCGACGAGCCCGATAGGAATGCCCGGACGACGTGCGCAACCCAGCACAGCTGCTCCACTATCGCGCATGACAGAACTGCCTATAGCGTTTGAGTAACCTGATAGTTTCTGATCTGAGGGTCGAGCGATGGACGTTTGGCTTGAAACCGCTGCAGCAACCGTCGAGGCATCAGCGGTTGGCCTGCAGCTTGCGAGCGGCAAGCCAGCACCAGCTAGGCAGGGCTGCTTTGTAGGCGCCACGGAAAGTAAAATTGGGCTGTTCCTATGTATGGAAGGCGCCGTAGCCCCGTGCATCTTGCTGTGGTAGCTCTAGGTGTACCAGCAGTGTGTGGAAAGGCCAAACCGCGGTTCGCGTCCGTTGAATTAACATACAGTTGAAGTAAGTGAATCCATATAGTTATGCCTGGCCTATTGGATGCTTGGAGCTCGAACACTTTCATCGCAGCTGCGGTACGGTCGCATAGTAGGGATGGATTGCCTCATCGGCTTGCAGCGGCGGCAGCTACTGGGCGAAACGCATGGCCATTACGCACGAGCCGAGCACCTGATTAATCTCAGCAGCCCATCTAAGCGATCTTTGCATCTCTAGTTCATCAGTGTTTTTGCTGCATGCAACACCTTTTTCAACCGCCGCAGCTGCGCAGCCAAACGCAATGCGGGCATACAGTTGTCCAATTAGCAGCAGCCGTTCACCAAAGCTTTAGGCAGGTTTACCTCCTAGTTTCGCTGCTTGGCTCCTGTCGTCTCCCATCTTCACGGCCGCTGTGCGCGTGCCAAGCTAGGCGTGTAGTGCGCATGTCTTGTACCGACATGAGCAATGCAGTGGCGGCACACCCAGCCTTACCAGTTACCACACACAATTCAACGTCCGTCGTATATTGCTGCAGCTGCTGTTCCTGCTGCACCTGCTGCCAACAAGGCTCATCAGTCAACGCACTAAGCCAGTCGGCCCCCACCCTGTCAATGCTACATCGCCATCGAAGGCGGTTGCACACTCGGTATTCTAAAAGCGTTGTTGTCCGTACAATTGGAAGTATTGCAGCAACGTGTTTGCAACGCTGGTAGCGACCCAAGGGTCGCTTCACTATCACGCATGGGCCAGCAAAATAGAGTCCCCTTTACGGTATCCGGGCTACTACTTGGATGTACGGCATGTCCAAAGGAATTGGTATAATGTAGGCTTGCTTCTGGTACCTACCATATCTACTTGCAATGTCATGACCATTGTGTGTTCTGGCCATCCAACTGCAACTGCAGCCATCATTCGTCCGTCTGCACGAGCTCTGTGCATGCACACAATGCATGCCTAAGCAACCGAACGTACAGTGCAGGGCCATGCAAATCCCGTACTGCCCGTACAGTCACCAGCAAAGAGCAGAAGGCCAGCCGCGCAACGGGCACTTGCAACAACTACAACCACCCCTCTTGTACAAGTGATACAACTGCATCTACCCCTCCTGTGCATGTCTAACAATATCATTTACCTTCAACCGCATCCGACGGCTCCTCCATTCCAGCTAGTAAGAGCCGTAGCCGTCATAGCTAGACGAACTGTAGCGTCTAGACCCCATGTAGACTCTGCTCGGGCTGTCGTAGCGATATCCACCGTACCCGTAGCGTCCCTGCCCACGAGTGTACCTTTCCCTCGCCGCCGCCAACAAGGCTGCCTCCACCGCCCGCCGTCCCGCCGCCAGCCTCTCCCCCAGGCTGCCCGGCGGCGGCGCCTCCCGCAGCAGCTGCCGCCACTTGTCGCACGTCAGCAGCGCCGCCACCACGTCGCGACCCTCCAGCTTCCCCAGGCAGCTCTCCAGCAGCGAGTCGAGCAGCATGGCGTGCAGCAGCGGCGGAGGGCAGGGCGCCAGCCGGCCCACACTGGGGCCCTGAGGCCAGCCCTTGGCCCAGGTCTGAGCGAAGTTGGGCGAGGGCGTGTATCCAGGGAGGCTGCCGTCGGGGCCCGGACGCACGCAGTCGAGCAGCAGGGCGCGTAGCAGCGGCGCTGCATGCGGCGGCGGCGTAGCCGCGTAGCGGTCATAGTATATAGATGGCGCGAGGGTGTTGACGTCGTGCCCGCTCCCCAAGTGCTCAATAGCGTAGTTGAAGACACGCTGGAAGGCAGCGTCCGAAGGCATCTCTCCCAAACCGGTTTCGCTGCTGCCGCTGCCGCTGCCGCCGCCCAATCCACGTTCACCAGCTGACGACGCAGCCCACGTCGCTGCTGCCCCTGTCGCTCCATGCACGCTGCTGCTCACGCCGCTGACGCCGCCGTGCATGCTGTCGCTGATGCCCGCAGCCCGGCTTGTTCCGGCAGCTGCCTCGACAGGCGCGTCAGCTAGCTTCAAGGCAGCGATCTTGGCCTCCAGCCCTGGCGCAAACCCCACAGACGCCAATAGCCCTCCTGAGCCCCCTGCCACCGCCGCCGCCGCCGCCTCCTCCGCCACTGCTAAGGGCACCATGCTCCGCTGTTCCGCTGCTGCGGGGCCGCTGGACGCCGTCTGCACCTCCGCGGCTCCTCCCCCAGCCCCGGGCGCAGCGCTTGGCTCCCGCCGGGCTGCCTCCGCCGCCTGCCGCAGGTCCTCCTGGCGCTGTCGCTCCCGCGCCAGGTGGATATGCCGCAGCAGCTCCTGCCGCACAGCGCAGTACCGTACCTCCAGTGCCTCCAGTACGGCAGCCAGCTCTGTCCGCATGTGGTACGGCAGGCCGAGCGCCAGGGAAGCTCGTGTCGCGCCGCCGTACTTGACGCGGTCCCACACCACCAGGGGGTGAAGCTGCTTGGCGGCGTACGACACACGCTTGTACGGCAGCTGGACGAGCTTGTGCCGGGTGCCGTCCGTACCCGTCACTACCCAGCCCTCAAAGGACGGCGGCGAAGGTTTCTCGTCAACAGTTGAGCCGTCGCCGACGTCGCCGTCATCCTCGCCACCGCCACCGACATTGCCACCGCCACCGACATTGCCACCGTTTTGCGATCTGACGCCAGGCAGCAACGTGATCAAGTCGAACACTGAGCCCCGGAGGTACGGCACTGCCATGGTAACACCCAGGGTTGCTGCCAGCGCCGGCAGCTGTGGCAGCGGCAGCTCGGCGCCGCTTGGATCCACCGCTCCCAGCAGCACAAGGCCCTCGAAGCTGTACGGCACCACAACGGTGTTTCTGCCGTACACTGCCTCCAGCATGTACGTCCAGCCGGGCTGGAAGGCAGCGGTGTTGGCGTTGGCGTGAAGCCACTCGGATGCCCATAGGGCCTGGTGGCAGACGTGAAGGAGACATTTACCAGGACACTATTACAAGGAGACAGTTACAAGGACGGGTGCAAGTCAGACGCCGTCTCTCCGAATGTAAATAGGCAAGCTCGTATCCAGAGCTAAAACCTGCTTAACAAGCCTTAGCAAGTTAGCATGCACAATAACAAGGATGTTGCAGCACTGCTCCGTGGGCACCATAGCCAGCCCTCCAGGCCTCCCCCACCTGCTCCGAATCCGTACGCCGCCGTGTTGTCGTGCGCAGCCGCCCCTCCCACATAAACGCCACCACCAGCGAGCCGTCCACCTTGACAGACGCAGTGCCCAGTGATGCGATGAACGCAAGGCTCAGCTGGCGGACACTGACCCGTGGGTCGCTCCCAGGGCTGCTGCTGCTGCTGGCGCTTGGCTGCCTCGTGCCATCCGCAAGCAGCTGCTCCTCAGGTCCAAGGAGTGTGGCGACGAGCCGAGGCGGGTGACGTTGCATCCCTTGCGGCTGCGTGTCCCGTGGTGGGCTTGCAAGAGTTGCAACATCGTTCCCAAAGTACGTTTCGCACAAGCAGGACGTGTTGCCCTCCTCGTCCACTGCCGGTTGGCTGCCGCACACAGCGCAGGGGTCGTCTGGTTCCGTCGCCTGCGCGCGTAGACAGACACGGATGTGAGGCCAGGGGCTTCACATGCGCTAATTACGGTAGATCGCACAAGCAGCAGCACGCTCACGGAACACATGTAAAACCAACTGTGCCGTAAATGCCTCAGTGGGAATAATGGCTTAGTTGGTCGCAGTTGCAAGACGGGACGAGAGATGCAACACGTCATTAATAACACCAGCCTCACCTCTCCCCTCGGCATCTCCAGCTCGACGAACCGGACGAACGGTGTGGCCACCACGGCCTCTGACGGCGGGTGTAGCACCAGGCCCCGACACAGCGCCTCCAGGGGACCCATGGGCGCTCCGTGCCTGCAACGTTCGTTCGGTCCAAGAGAAGGCAACCAAAGTTGATAAAGAGGGCAAAGGAGGAGGCAACCATGCGGGCAGACGAGCAGGAGGAAAACGTGTAGGGACCAGGTAAAGCCCGCATGCATTATCGCGGTAGTCACCATACAAGCTGCGTGTGTGCGCGTCAGTTCGACCCCAAGCATGCAAGCACTGCAATCTCGTGGCCTAAACCGCCGCGGGGCACACTACCGGCATGTGCGCACCTGTAGTTGAACACCTCAAGGCCCGTGGACGTGTCCACGTTACGCTCCACCGTTCCCGCACCCACCGCCGCCATAACCTTGCCGTACAGCTCTTCGTACGACATCGCACGGGCCGGGTGCAGCCGCTGCGGTGCTACCTCGGTGCCAGCCGGGCCCAGCGGGCCATCATGCCGTACAGTTACGGCAGCGCTAGCGCCAGGATCCGACGGTGATGGCGGCGCCATAGCGCTGCTGGCAGGCCTGCTAGCCTCATCCGCTTTGACCCGGGTTGCGAACCTCACGATCTCCTGCACCGTTTTCATTGTCCGTCGCCTGGACTGAGCCTTCAGCCTGCCCGCTGACTTATTGCCGTGCACCTTGTCCCAGCGAATGGAAACAGGCGCATGGCTGATGTCCGGTTCCCTCTTGGACGAGTACGGCAGGCATTCGTACACCAGACTGTCCAGCAGCACCCTGCGCCACGCTTCCAGCTCCTTGCTGCAATGTAGGAACTCCATCTCCTTTCCCCGGATGTCGACACCCACTGCCTCCGGCAGCTGCCACTTGTACAGCAGTTCGGCCATGCCCAGTACGTACGGCATGTCGAAGGGGGTGAACACGAGCCCGTCGGTGGGATAGGGGCAGGCGTCACGGGTGGCCTCCAGCTGCATGAGCGCCTCCGCGGTCACCTCCACATGGCCCTTGCGCAGCAGCGTGAGCGTGTCAGAGCCCAGAGGAGCCGCCTGCTGCTTCTTAAACAGGCATGTTGCCCCAACCGCGGCTGCTGCGGGGGATGCGCTGGTGGACGCAGCTGAAGGCGCAGACGAAGAGGAGGAGGAGGCCGCAGCTGCGTCTTTCATCGCCGTCTTAGCTGCTGACGCCAGGTCCATGGACTCCTCCGCCTCTACCAGCCCCAGCACCTGTTGTCCTCCCTGGCCTTGCTGCTGCTGCGGCTGCCCCGCCTGCAGTGCGGCCAGCCGCTCCCGCAGCGGCAGCTGCCAGACGCGGCGGCCGGCCACGCACAGCGCATCGAAGGCCAGGAAGAAGCCGCGACCGCCCACCCACACCAGCTCGCCGTCCAGTATCGTGCCCGACGGGAGTGGAGTGTGCTCAGCCGCGCCGCTAGTGCTGCAGCTGCCCCCGCCGTCGTCTTCCGTGGTGCTGCCGCCGGTGCAGTCCCGGCGAGCAGGAAAGGCGTACAACGCTCCTGTGCGGTTAAGCAGGTAGACACCGCCGCCGCAGCTCACACCCCCGCTGCCGCCGCCGCCGCCGTCTCCACCGCCGCCGCAGCCGCAGCCGCGACCTGCCTGCTCCTCCGCATCAGCCCTCGGCGCCAGCACCAGCAGCATGTGCCGAGTGCCGTCACACTTGCGCGACACGGCGTAGCGGCCCGGCCAGCTTACCCAGCGCGCATCATCCGCGTTAACCACACTGCAGGTCGGAGCAGGGAAGGCCGGCGGCAGCGCGCCCTGCTGGGGGCCCCCCAGCTGGCCTCCGGCACCTCCAAACAGGCTCAGGCCCGACATGCGTGCGGCCTCCGCCAGTACCCAATCCCGCTCTGTTGCACAGGTGACGAGGCGGCGTGAGGTGGCGCATTGCAGGGGAGTGAGGAGAAGCTCCGAGGGAAACCGCCAGCCGGCGTCTCGCATCCAGTCAGGCGGCGGGTTGGTGGTGGTGTTGCTGCTGCCCATGCCGCTGCTGCTGCCGTACATCCGGCTGTTTAAACTGACGCGGTTATCGGCACCAGTACCGTAACGTCGCCACTGGCCCCTGCTTGCGATAGCACGCTGGTATCTCTGGCGACGCGCGGCGGCATGCGTCTTAACTTCATCAACAATGTCCCCTTGGTACCCAGGCCCAGCTGCATAGCCCAATGCCGCCAGGCTCGGAGACGTGTCATAGCGACCGAGCGACTTGCGACACACAGTGACCTCCGTCAGCAGCCCTAGCGAGGAGAAGAACTCGATGATGCGCGCCGCGTTGACATCCCATTTAGCCTGACGCTCGGCTACACAACGTTCCTGGTCCCGTTGGGCGGAGGGCTTGCCCTTGAAGGTCTGGCGTAACGATTGCACTTCCGCAATGCCGGCTGGAAGGTACAGGACCTGTTTGGAAGCAACATGGAGCGTGTAGCAGCGTTTTGCGAGTTGACCCTGACGGGGACAGAATTGACCAGGAGGAGGAAGCGCGCCGCAGGTGTGAGAGTTGGGGGTGCTTACATGCTTGCAGTGACTGCGACTGGCACCGTCGTCAACCCAGTTCGACGTGACTCCACCTAAGGCGCTGCTGTGCCATGGCATCACATACAGACAGCAGGTTGATCATGCAGCCCGCTGGTGAGGTTCTACCGGCACTGCTGCTGCTGCTGCGGCGGCGGCGGAAGCGGAAGCCAAACCGGCCCTACCACCCCTTCCGCGACCCCATCCCCGCCCGATCTCATCATCCCGCCCACCTGCACCAGTGGCACCCCTCCCTCCCGCAGCACCTCCGTCACCACAAAGGCGTCCTCCACCTCCTTGACGCACTCCAACAGCAGCATCGGGGCAGGAAGAGCGGCGGGAGGGCTAGCAGCGGCGCTCCTGCGAACGGCGGGGTAAAGGCGGGTTTCGGGGCTGGAAATCAGATCGCCCGTACGTGTCAAGGTCAAGACCTACCGTACAGGGGAGTCAATACCGGTATGTACGGGTTAAAGCCATGTAAACGCAGTCAACCACAACCCCAAGCAGTCCTAGGCTACCGCCGTACGTTTTCCTCCATTGCAGTGTAGCAGGAGTTTCCTCAGGCGTGTACACGATGGAGTCCACACCCTAATGCTACGCGAACTACCCCTGAACGCTAACATCTACCTGATATCCTACACTCAGCAAACGGCGCCTCAGCTGAACTTTCCCTAGCACCTACCCGGAAGCGCCCGCCGACACCTGGCCTTGCTGCTGCTGTTGCTGCTGGGCCGCTGTTGAGGCCGCCAGCGCAGCCCACTCCCGACACGCCTGTCTCAGCAGCTCCCGGGCATCGTGCCGCATCTCCTCGTGTCGTGCCGCGGTGGGGCACCTCTCCTGTTGCCGCACCAGACCCCGGTTTCGGAGCTCGTCGCCTACTGACAGAAAGCGCGTGGATGCCGGCTGGCGCTGTTGCAGGTACCGGCCCAGCGTGGATTTACCAACGCCCGGAGCGCCGATGATAAGCACTGCACCGCCAGCCATGGCTACACGGTAGCCCTAGCAATCCTTGGGCGCCGCCTGAAGACTACCGGTAGCAGTCGTGCACAATTGCTCTTCAAGAACTAGTAGAACTGCTCTATTAGGCGACACAAAGCAGTGCTGCTATGGCGGAAATGGATGCTGGTCGGCAATCTTTCACATCTTGCAGCGGATCGCGGCGAATCACGGGTTGCGGATTCGGACCTTGGACAGGCCTGCACTCGCTAACCGCTGCAACAAAACAATTGGCTGGATCGTCATATGAAGTGTTCACAGGGGCAAACTGGGAACGAGCACCTAGTGGATGGGATTTCCTTATTAAGTTACTGTTACAGTACAATGCATGGCCGACGTCAAATGCGACATGCCTGTAAGGCTCAATTAGGCGAAGGAGTGTAGCCTTGCGTTAGCAACTTTTATCATGCATCAAACACAAGAGCCAACTACTTCGAGCTATGTAGGGGTGTCAGCATCTCCAGTAAGGATTGCCAGCAGCCTCCCAAGCAAGGGGTCCCAGCAAGCAAGGCAGGGGTGCCCACAAAGAGTGCCAGCATGCATGGGCACGCATGCCTCGTCAGTACAGCACTCGTCACGCATGCGGTCCATCACGCGTGGGGCCGTCCCCTCCACAGCTTTGGTGGCACCCCAAAGCTGGCACCCCTTGTCCGCTAGTGTGTACCGAATAAGGTGCTGCTTACCACCGGTACATGTGCCATACTTCACCAACGCGCCGACATAAACTCCCGACACCCTGGAAATAGGGGCAGGTGGCGTTGCTTAGCAGTGTCGTAAGCGACCAACATCTGAAGGAACAAAAACCCCGGACACGCAGGGTAAGGACTTAAAACAACAACAACAACTGTGGCATCCGTGAACCCTGCGATATAGCAGTTAGTACCTACACAGCAACCAGCAACCAATGGTGACGTCGCGCAGTAGGGTGGGCCCAAGAACAGCAGCCCAATGCCGGTGCGCTGTACCATAGCCAACAAGGCCAACGGGATTCAGCCGTCAACGCCGCCGCGTGATTCAAACAAGCAACAACACCGGCAACCATGCAATAAGCGACTGAACCAGCAGGTCGCACAATACACAACGCATCACATCATTGTACGACAAAACACGTACAGCACCACGTTCTACTTGCGATACAAGTTCAGGTTGCCAACCGCAGTTAGGCAGTCAATCACACGTGTACCCTTAACCCGGAGGGCAGGGAACACGTTCAAGATGGACACGTCACCGAGTATTGCAGCGCGCGAGGGACCCACATAGCGCGTCAGCTTACACTGCCACCTGCGTAACAACAAGTATTACCCGCGCACGACGCAAGCCGCGCTCATTTGGACTACAACACATTAGGTTACCTAACTTAGGTAGGGCTCGGGAAGAAAGAAGACCCCTGGGAGGCCCGTCCCCTAACTGCTCCACATCTCCAGTGCGGCGCCTCGCCAGTACTGCTAACCAGCATATCCCTAGCTCCAATCACCGCATCATAATAAGCCTTTGCTCAGAAGTATCACGTGAAATCAGTAGTAACGCACATGCATTGGCACAACAGCAGCCTCGTACGCACACTTCGGCAATATGTTTTGTAATCACGCATTCATCGCGCACAGTGTTTAATCCCCCCAGCCACATGCTTTAAAACGTTTGTAACGGGAGCTTACAAAAGGAAACTCCCAGACTCTGCGTTCTTCACAGTATGAAGGTTAGCTCTAAGAGTGCATGTATGGCACATGACCTCCATACGCCCGCTGTGCAACACCCTTTGCGCAAGGTACGGCAGGGAGACACGTCCGAGAACACATTACCACAGTTCGTACTGCCGCTCCTCACAGCACCAGCCTGGTAAGACCGAGCCCGGGAAGGACCTTTTGCTGGCGAGGCAATGCATACACAGATCGCGACCAGACATACCACACGCTAAAAAAACACGCAATGGATGGCAACCGCATGCCTTCGAGCCGTCACTAGGCAAGCGACGTAACCTCCACCGTATATCCTCCGGAGCCGCCCACATGTCAAGAGAGGTTGCCAAGCATGGCACTGCTGCCTTGCGGCCACTTACGTAATCTCATGGAAATTCCCACCACCACCAACCACCATAACCAGTATAGGCAGTGCTGTAGTCTATAGTAATAGCCAATTGAACTCTTGCGCGCAGTACTTTTCGAACTAAAGCCGTACCCTTTTAATTGTAGAACCTACGCATCTTTCACCTTGGCTTTTCAACCATCGCTTCCTCCAATCCTTACCACCAACACGTTCAATTCCTCTTGCGAGTAAGCAGTGTCAGGCGTTCATGGCCCTTGCCCGAGCTGTGCTCAAAATCGTCTTGCACCCAAACTGCGCATGCGTTTAACCCCCGGTTTACAAAGGAACCTCGGTATATAAAGAAACGCCGTATGCACGACAAGCCACTTCTAGCGTAAGATGACTGCTCCTAAGGGTGCGTCACCCCATGCATTACCCCTCCTCCCTTGCTTCCTTCCTTCCATGCATGGCAGCAACCGCAACCGCACCAGCGACAGCAACCCGGAGCAAATGTCAACGCAGCCACCCCCGCCCTCTTCGTGTTGTCCCTCGTTTCGCTGCCATACCGACATTTGTTCCTTGTCTGCATTTGTTTCCTTACGGCTTCATAACCCCCGCTCACTGTTGTTGTTGCTGCTGCATTAGCAGTGACGATGTCAAGTTCTGCTGCTGCGTCAGTTGCTGCTCCAGTGCGGCTTGTTGCTCCTGAACGGTCCGCAGCTTGCTCCACAGCAGCTGCTGCTCCCTGAGTGCCTGCTCGAGCATGCTGCTACTGCCGCTGCTTCCCTGAGTATCTGGATAGCAATGGTTGTTGTTGCTGTTACAGCTGTTGTTGCTGGTCGATGGCTGCAGCTGTTGCTGCTGCAAGGGAGGGGGCTTGTGGCTGTCATGGTGGTGTTGGAGGTGGAGATGGGCGTCGCTGTACTGCAAGCAGGAGTCAGCAGTGTCCACAAAACCACCAAGGGTCGATGTACGACCAAACTGCGGCGGTAGTGCGGGTGGACACACCAGTGTGACGATATGCTCAACCACGGGCGTGTGGTGGTGCTGCTGCGCCGTTTGCTGCTGCTGCGCCGTCTGTTGCTGTTGTTGAGGATTACCCAGCGTGCCACGGCATGGCACATGGCAATGCTGGTGCGGCCGCCGCTGAAGCGCTGCGGCAGCAACAGACATGCCCATGGGGTTGGTTTCTAGCCTTGCAGCAGCTGCTGCTTCCGCAGCAGCTGCTGGCATTACCGGCACCGCCGGCACTGGGGCAACAGTGGAAGCAGCTCCCTCCTCCTCCTCTTGTTCCTTCTTCGCCTTAGACCCGCCTTGCGGCCACTGCTGGGGTACTTGCTGGTGGTGGTGCTGTTCCTGGGAGTGCTGCTGGATACTGTACCGCTGCTCCTGTCCCTGCTGCTGCTGCTTGAAGTACTGTTGCTGGTGCTGGCTGTGTTGTTGGTAGTGGTTGTGCTGGTTGTAGACGTAATGTTGTTGGTGTGCGTAGTGGTGATGATGTTGTTTTTGGTAAAGGCACCACTGCTGCTGCAACTGTGACTGCGGAAGCTGCGACATGCAGTCCGGCGCCGGCAGAGGCGGCGGTTGCAGCTGTGGGGCGGGCGCAGAGTGGCGTGACAGCCACGGCGGCTGTGGCTGTATTGCGGCGTGTAGCTGTGTTGCATGTCCGTGCAAAGGAAGCAGCAGCGGCGACGGTGGTTGTGGTGACGTTGATGGGGGTGGGGACTGGAGCAGCGACCGGGGCGGCAACATGGGTGGCTGCAAATGCAAAGGACCAAAACCGCCACCAGCACCACCACCATCCTCCTCATCGTTGTCCTCTTCCGCACCCCCTCCTCCTCCCGCCCCGCCAAATAGGTCGCACATGAGCAACCGTAGCTGCTCCTCCGTCTCGTCACCCACCGCCCTCCCTCCTCGGCCACTGCCGCCGCCTCCGCAGGCCTCCCCTCCTGCTGCAGCTGCAGCCGCTGCGGTGGGCTCGGCCGCTGCTGCTGCCGCCGCTCCTTTCATGCCCGACGACGTCACTGCAGACTCCCCTTTCACTGCTGGCAATGCTGATGTTGTTTCCCCCACCAGCGTTGCAATACCCCAGGGGCTGTCATCCTCATCACAGCAGCTGTCAGCAACCCCGTCGTTCTCAAGCTCCCATTGTGCCGCAAGCGCAGCCAATGACAGGTTGCCGCTGTCATCATCACGGTCGCCATCATCAACAGCGGCGGCGACCGCAGCCGCCACGCTCGCTACAGCCGCGGCGGCGGAAGCGCCGTCCCTGTTGCTGCTGCCTCCAGGGCCATTACCACCCACAGCAGCGGCTGCTGCCTCCTCGTTGCCGCCGCCAGCATCCTCTAACGCCAGGGACCCTAGCGCCAGAGCTGCGGCATGCCGTGGAGTCAGCGGTCCGCTTGAACCCACAACAGCAGCCGCAGTAGCACCCGCGCCCGCACCCGTCGTATCTGCGAGCGACGCTGACGCCTGCACCCCTAGCGCGGTAGTGGCAGCGGCAGCAGCGATCTGCACGCTGCTGCTGCCCAGGCTGCAGGTCCTTGCGACACCGCCGCGGACGTCACCTGGGGCGCTGATGCCGCCCTCGCCGGGCCCGCCATCGCCGTCAGTCAGGCAGCCCGCGCTTAACGCTCTGTAGTAAGACTGAAGCTGCTGGTGGTGGTGCTGGAGGTACTGATGATGCGGGTGGGTATTGCCATGGTGTTTATGGGTAAGAACTTCCTGCGTCTGCTGCTCCCCAAACGCTACCAGGGACTGTACGCCTGCGGCATGGCCCTGCCAAGATGCCAGGCCCGCAATGCTAGCACCGGCTGGGGGTTGTAGTGGCGCCGCCGGTGCTGTCGCCGGCGTCAACGTTTCTCCTAGCGGTATCGCGCACGTCGGCAGCGATGGCAGCAGCAATGCATCGTCGTCACCAAACTCAGCCGGCGCTGCTACAGCCGCCGCAGCAGCAGCAGTGTTGCCTCCAGGGCTGCTGCAGTGCCGTACATTCGCAGTGCCTGCCTCCGCAGCCGCTCCTCCTCCTATCATGCTGCGGCGGCGCTTCGAGCTGCCCGAGGAAACGCGTTCAAGGCTTCGCCAAGCCACGGACGTTGTAGCCGCCAGCGGTGACCGTGCGGGCGACAGTGGCGGCAGCTGCCCCGCCGACCCTCCTGCCAGGTTGCCGCTGCTGCTGCTGCTGCCGACACCGGCATTGCTTGCCATCCGTGTCATCAACCCTCCCGCCGCGGATGCGTCCAGGGGAGGAGCGGACATCCTTGAGAACCTGCCGCCCGGCCCGATGAGCCTGCCAGCAGTGGGAGCTGCAGCACCAGCAGCAGTAGCATCGGTGGCGGTTCCTCCCATCAGGGAACATCGTCCTGCAACTTCAAAGCCGTTCCCTGCAGCAGCTGGGGTAATCGGACGCTGCCATGCTAGGGGCGGTTGCTGATGTTGATGGTCATGGGCTGCTGCTGGTGGTTGTGGTTCTTGCTGTGGTGACAGCGGGTGGTGGTGGTGGTTGGGCCAACAGGGCTGCTGCGGCTGCTGCCTCTGCAGAGGGGACCCTAGACGGGAGGAGGGAGCAGGAGGTGTGGCCGTAGGTTGCTGCCCGCCACTACCACTTGTTAGCGGGTGGCGCGGGAAGGCGGACAGCTGTCCGGCACGCTGCATGAGCAGGAGGGAGGAGGAGGAGTGGGAGAAGGCGGTGTTGTACGGCACACCAGCGGGGGATTGGATCTGGTTTTGAAGGTGGTGGTGGTGGTGGTACAGCTCAGCAGGTGCTGATGCGCGGGCAAACGGACCGCCGACGGTGTTGATATCACTCGTCAGGCTTTGGAAGCCGCCAAAGCCCCCGAGAAAGCCGTCACCGCCATCGCCACCGTATGGGAAGTGCGGTGCTAAAAGCAGCGTTTCTGCTGCATTGCCGCCGCCATCGCAGCTTGGCTCAAGATCGCCGCCGCCGCCGCCGCCGTCGTTGCCTGGGTTAGGAGAGGGGAAAGCAGCGATGCCAGGTTGTGCCGCGGGCAGCAGCGTTGCTGCCACTGCTGATGCCGGCGCTGTTGCTGGAGCAAACGTGGCAGACGCGATAGCGAAGGGGCTCTCAGGTTGCTTGGTTGTGACGGCGGACATGGAAAGGGTGGAAGCAAGGGGGGCAGCAACGTTAGTGTGGCGACTGGCGGGGGATGAGACAACCCCGGCACAGTCGCCACCGGCGTCAGCTGTTGCTGTCGCTGTGCTGAACACGCCGTTGAAGCCAGTTCCGCTGCTGCTAGCCATGCCTCCGCTTTTGGTTTCAAGCATGAAGGTGCTGAAGGTCTCCGACCTGGATGACGTAGATGACTGCCCAAGAAACTGCAATGAAGATGACGTTGATGGCTGGCAAGTCAGCGATCGGGACCTAATCCCTGGACTGTCTTTTTGCTGCTGCTGTGCTTCCTGGAACGAAGGTTGTTGGGCCTCTAAGTCTTCGGACTCGTCGCAGCCACTGCCACCGCCACGGACCCCAGCGGCCGCAATCCGCTGGCGCGCACGGTTCTTGACGAGCATCAAGCGACATGTTCTGTGATGTAGGAGGGCAAGAAAGACGGAAGGAAACCATGTAACGGATCGGTGATGACCCTGACGAGCGCCCGGGAGGTAGGAGGAGGTAAGCCAAGCCGACGGGTGTGAGAAAACCCAGTCCCTAACAACAACGGGACTTACAGGAAAGGAAATGACGGTCTAGTCAATAAGGTAGGGGTAAATGGTAACGACACAGTGATATCCCTACCGATTGGTGCCATGGAATTCACTCAGCGGGTGGAACCTGCTGCATTGCTGACAAAAACGCGACGCCGCGCCATCCACCAAAATGACGGGTGCCTTTATATGCTGGTTACATAAGCGAAAGCGCTGGTGAGTCTTGGGGGCAGTCGCTAAGTTGCTTGCGCACCCAGAGACCTGCACCAAGGGAACCATTTCGCGAAGGTACATAATGCCTTACTAACGTAAGCGCATATAACACAGTACAACTCAAGCAAGTAACACCATGCAAGGATAGTTACCTTGCATTGCAAAGGGGTTGAAACTCGCCGCGCTCCTGCAGCGGTACCTCCTCCATTTGCCTCCCGGTTGGTCACTATGACTGGTACCCTATCCGCCGCTTCCAGCAAACCGTCTAATTCTACGTCCATTACCAGTTAACGTAGACCTAACAAGCCTGCAGTTGTTTTAGTCAACTTACGAGCGCTTTCTGCGCTCTTAGGACGTATAACTGTAAGTAACAATACAGTAAGCGTAAGGCTACCCCAAGCATTTGACGTTATATAACGCCCTATGTAAGTCAACGACTGCCATGATATGCAAGCAGCAACGTGATAAACAGGCTTTCGAGGGAGCACTGTATAGGCAAAATGTGTCAGACATTTCAGGCGCGGCCATAAAATGAGCATGGTGCCGTACGACATTGCCGTGCCTGGCGACCCCAGTTCCCCGGTAACCGATGCTGCTTGGCAATCATATGTAGGCGCACCAGCGTGTCTCGTCCTCCTTCTTCGCACTGTAGCTAAACGATAACGTTGGTACATCAATGTACGGTCGTACGGATTCCTGTCCGAGTATGGCCGTTACAGCTGACAGGAGAGAGGCATAGAGCCTCGGCACTTTCCCAGTATGAAGACAGCCCGCACCCTAGAAGCACGAAGCTGTCAAACATGTCAGCACAAGCTCTTCCGTCCTTCCCACGAATAGCGTGTTCAAAGGCAAGTCCTGATCGCCTAAAAAGCTGCGCTACGTTGGCAATTGCACACCCTTTTCGGCAGAACGCCGCACACAAGTCAAGCCGCACAGCCAAACATGCACGTTTGCCTGTTCCACATTCCTAGCACCCCTCCCCTCACCCAACCTCAGTCCATAGTACATTCCAACATAAGTTACAAAATTCATTGGACGGGGCACACCGCACATCGAAACCCTATCGACTTGCTTTACAAGCCAATTGTACAAACAAACGTGCAGCGACAATGCGACAAATAACCACTTCACCAGCAGGCTCAACCAGGCTGCCCATCCCCTTTTCACCATGAAAAGCTGCTTCTCCTTTTCGTCAGGGAGTCCCCCTGTCAGCAATGCCCAATGCCACGTAGCAGTAGCCGACGTATGATCGCTGTGGTTCCGTCGTACAAGCGCAAATAAATGTTGTACACACTTCTTGCCTTTTATCCAAATAGCCAGGTTAGGTAGGTGATTAGGCGTTGAGCTGCAGATCCAGAATCTCGTCCTGTACGACATGTGTATTACAGGGGCAAACGGCAAAACAAAGAATAGTTGTACGACGGGTTCAAGGGAAAGCGCGAATGGCTCATGTCTCAGGAATGACTAAACATTGACGGGTACTATGCCTACGATTGTGCGGCATACGGCGAAGTAAGGCGGACGACACAATGTAGAAAGAGTTTGTGTGCCCCTGGTCAAGAACACGAACATGTTACATAGTGAAGCAGACTATGGGAGAAGGTATCGGTACTTCAAAATGGCATTCCCATTCTCAAAACTTGTCACACTCCCCAGCTTCGATACAGACCTATGGCAGTACTGACAACGATGTAGGTATTGTAAAGCTGTAGCGGATGCTGTCTCGCATCTTACCTCGGAGCAGGTCACGACCTTGCAATCGCTCGTGGGGGTTGCCACACACAGCAACGTGTAACCCTTTTCAGCCACGTCATCAGACGCCATGCCGGCACTCGCGTCCACAGTGCCGCTGATCTGTTGTACGGCAGTACGGCAATGGATTGGGACACCACAGGGATAAGACGTTGGTTTGTTGCCTCCCGTTCCTCCGACGCAAAGCCGCCATAATGCCACTTTGGCATTCACCCAATGCAGTTACCCGCCATCACTAGCAATTCAGGTCATGTCACAGGCATTCCCCTTCCTCACTTCAGCAACAAGACTCGTCTGTGCCCTCGCTCCCGCTGTTGTTCCTTCCACGTCCACTTCTGGACAACCCCTTTCCACCTCAACGTCCGCCGCAGCAGCTTGGCGGGGCAGGTGATGGCACGCGCCCCTCCTTCCGGCCTCCCTTCACACCCCGTCTCTTCCTTTCCTCACCATCATTCCTCCCTCTCCCTCTCCCTCCCCTCCCTTCCCCGGCTGGCCCCCACCCCTACCTACCAGGGATTGTCAGCAACTTGTATCATTATCATACCACACTTTGGAATTTCTTTTTTACCCCTACCTACCAGCTTGGCTGGGCACTTGCAGCACACGCCCAGATTGCAGTCGTGCGGCAGTTGAATCTGGGGAGGGCGGGTGGGCGCAAGCGGGCTATTTGTTGCTTGAAAGTCACGGAAGCAGGTCAGCGGGGAGGCGGGGATGTGGGATGTGCAGGGTGTTGCTGGTCAGCTAGAAGCCGTGCGGCGAGGTGGGAGGCGGGGATGGGGTGTAAAAGCGACGGAAGACGAGGAATTGGGGAATGGGAGAGAGGGTAGTTGGGGGGACGGTGGCGGCTGGGAGGCATTGCCGATGCATCATCGAGGTGGAGCGGGAAGCAAGGGGAGGGAAGAGAAGAAGTTCCAATGTGTGGAGGGAAGGGTGGATGTAAGAGGGAGCGATACACAATGCAGCCGAAGTCCCATGCCTGGTGCCCAACCTAGGGCACCCATGAAGGTACGATATAATGGTGGCAAGCGCTATCTATGCATAGGAGGGTTAGGCTGCTTGTGGATTAGGCTGCAGGTGTGCTGCGGGGGTGCAGCTGGGAATTGGGAGGAGGTTAGGATTAGGAAGTGGTTAGCGGATAACAGCTGACTGCAACAAACTGGGATCGGTTGGCGACGACGCGGTTGAACGACATACCTTCTTATCCAGGGCCGCGTTCAGGATGGTCTGGCCCTCGGGAACCATCAGCTCAATCGTTTTGCCAGCATGCTCTACCTCGACCTGTCGTACAATATGTACGAAACAGTCCGGGTTTAAATTAAGATTTGGCTTCGGATGCGGAGAATTTTCAGATTTTGCTCCTTGTCATAGCAAGGGTGAGGGAAAAGTATAATACATTAAGAAGGAGCGGACTAAGCCTGGATCAGAAAAAAACGTGCCGTACGTGGTTGGAGGGAACTACATCCGAAGTCCAAGGGCAACAACGCGCGGCAACTGTGCATATATCGAAGCTGAGCTACATAATAGAGCTTACAAACGCAGAGTTCATTGCGGGATGAGAGGGCATGTAGGTAGTGCGACCACTCATTTTACTAACATTAAATCCAGCCGATAGCCAGAAGCACTTGCATGTATACCAAAATATGCATTTGCTTAATGATGATGGCATGCAAGAGGCCTACCTTGTATGTGGTGCGGGCAGCCATGACGCGCACTCCAGTTGTCCGTGCCATGCGACGGCTACCAAAAGCATTTGCCCGGCAGGAACGCGAAATTGAAGGGTTGGCCAGGGAAACGGCAGACATTATTGCTGGATTGGCCTCTGACTTAGTGAGCGGGGAGATTTAGTGTTTGGCGGATCTTCGCCTAGGAACGCAAGCAGTAAGATAGTGAAGCTGCAACTTTGCTTCAACGGGGCTGATCGTCTTGGTACGTAGGATGTACTGACCTAGATGTACGGCAGCATTGGAGACGTCTTTCAAAAGCATGCAGCCGGAAAATGTTGCCGCTGGATATCTTGAAAAAGAACCGTCGGCCGCTCACACTTATGTGAATTTCATTGCGGGGCCTTCCGTTCCTTCTTTTCACTATTTAGCTTGCCTGCAATTCATCACACCTCCACATAGGGCTGTCAACATGGCGCGCAGACCAGCTGACATCAGCCTATTAGGCAGGATTTTGCGTGCCTCCCGCACAGATCAATGCATCGGTGTTGCACCACAAGCCATAGCCGCCTCCGCTTCCTATGGCCCTGTAAAAGCAGCCCTGCATTCGGATGAGGGCATGGTAAGCTCCGGTTGATTGGCTTGAAGCACCAACAAGGCTGAACAGGATGTTACTGGTCCTCCTTGCGGACATGCGCTGTTGACGGCTATGGATTCCCGCACTCACTTTTTTTCTTTTCTCCTACTTCAAGTGCTGAACACACATCCGATGGAGCATTGCATTCCATCCCACGCATCTCCACTAGCTACAAACGACCAATGCATGTCTCCAACCCCAACAGGCTTATGAACGCTCCTGCTGCAACAATGTCCAATGTTCTTATTCTACCAACTCCTCCACCAGCTGCTCCAGAACCAACCCAACCAACCGAACACAACCACAGCAACAGCAGCCACCAAGGCCGCTGCAGCCGCTGCTATTATCGCACCAAAGCCGACCACATGCCTCGCCACTCCCACTCTCCACACTCCCCAAGGCCATCGCCCATCCTCCCCACTTCTCCTTCACTTGTGGTCTAACCACCTCCACACCGACAACAACCGGCACCAGCACCAACAGCAACAACAACGCCACGGACCACCAAGCTCCAGAACCTGCCAGCACCAGCGGCACCAGCAGCAGCGCCGATCCAAGCACAACCCCCAGCACCAGTAACGACGAGGCTGGGAATGGTAGCGGCGTAGACGGAGCAGCAGCGGCATCACCAGCAGCAGCAGCAGGCGGAGGCGGAGGCGCGCTGGGCTCCATCCAGCCGCGGGTGATGATGGTGTTCACGTGCGCCGTGTGCGACACGCGCTCCACCAAGAGCTTCAGCAAGTGGGTGCGGCGCGGGGTGCTGGGTGGGGGGGTGCGTGGTGGGGGTGGGGGGGTGGGGGTGTTTTGTGTGTGGGGTGGGGGCTTTGAGTGACACGCGGGGGCCGGGGAAAGGGTTACGGAAGGGGGAAATGAGGGCAGGGTACGGCACGCGCAACACTAGGGGAGCTTCAGCTAGGGGTGCTAGTGGATGGAATGGTGGTGGGTTTCGGAGTGGATGCGTTGGGTTGGGTTGGGAGGAGGGTTGGCATCGCCATCGCCTATCTGCCCTCATGACGCCGCGTCTGCGTACATACTGCACCTACCAGCCTCGCTTATCACGTGTTGTTGTACAGTATGCGTCGTACAATGTGTGTCGAACAGGACATGCCTTCCACTGCATGTCGTACAGCATACGGTATCTCCCCCCTCTCTCCTCTCGTCAGGCTGTCGTACACGAAGGGCGTGGTGCTGGTTCGCTGTCCGGGCTGCAAGAAGCTGCACCTGATTGCGGTGAGTTGGGGGGGGCGCGGATGGGTGCGTGGAGGAGCTGGGGCGTTAGGCCGGCGGGGGACTCGTTGCTGCACTTATCACCCCTTCCCCCCTACCCTCCACCCCCGCCCTCTCCTCCTGCAGGACCACCTGGGCTGGTTCGGCGAGGAGCCCTTCGTGCTGCACGAGTTCATTGAGAAGCAGGGTGGGGAGGGGGGAGAGGAGGGGAGGGTAAAATATAGATCAGTGCATCAACGAGGGGAGGCAGGTGGGGCAAGGCCATGGGGCAATGGGAATAGGAGGCGGCGGTATGGGGGAGAAGAAGAAGAGGAACCATGCACTGCGTGATTGTGGCATGCTGGCGATGTGGGGGGGGAGGGCGCTCCGGACTGTACTGTAGGGAGCTGTTGAGGGGCAGGGTGAGGACTACTGAGGGAAGGCGGGCGGGGAGAGGGGGCTGGCTTGGGTGTTATCATGGGAGGTACGGTACGTGATGTACGGCAGCAGGTGGCTCCCGTGGGGCTGTGTCCTGCCCTCGTCCACACGACCGCCCAGGCAACCAAACGGGCTCTCCCCACCCCGGCCAGTTTCCTTACTTTTACCCCGGCCTGCCTGCCGGTGATCTGTCGCCACGCCTGCACCCTGCACGCCTGCACCCTGCACGCCTGCAGGCGGCTACGTGGTGCGTATCAGCGCGGGGGATGGCGACGTTGCTCCCCAGTCAGCAGCTGCAGCACCGGCAGGGGAGGCAGCGGCGGCAGCGGCTGCTTTCGGGGCCAGGCCGGGAGACCTGCAGGAGGAGGCTGGGAGGCAGGCGGGCAAGGAGGGGGAGGGGGATCCGGGGCTGGCTGCGCGCTCGGCTGCTGCTGCGGCGGCGGCGGTGGCATCGCAGGGCGGCGTGTTTGAGCTGGGGTCGGAGGTGCAGGTGAGGGCGGGTGGGAGGTGGGAGGGAGGGTGACACGGGGCGCTAGAGAGGTGTGAGCGGGTGTGGGAGGTTCAGATCCGGCCGTGGGTTGGTTTGGTCCCCAGGACGCCGGAGGGCTGCGTGTGTGGGTTGCCGGGCTGGGCTTGGCTGGGCTGGGCTGGGTGGGGAATGCAGGGGGGGAATGTTCGTTGGGTGGGGCAGGGAGGAACCCACGAGCACGGTACCTCGGGGGTGGTGGGTGGAGGGTTGGGGCTGTGCGCGTGTATGTAATTAAATACCGTACACTGCGGTTCACGATATCCCCCCGCAGGTTCGTGAGGCCCTGGAGGAGGCTCGAGAGTGGCAACACCAACACCAACACCAGCAGCAGCAGCAGTGATGCGGGACATCAGATACGGACGCGGAAGGTGTGCTGTACGGTGGTGGACTGTTATTGTCTGCGTGTATGTTCCCGGTTGGCTTGCGTTGTGCCGCTGTTTCCCTTCAGGAATAGTGTAACCAGGCAAACGACAACTTGTCCATGGTCGTGCTTTACAACGTGCTCGTGCATTCATGCTACACTGTCCGAACTCCGTACAATCTTGTGTGCGGGTACGGTGTTTGGGACCAGCAGTCACCGTCTGCTGCGCGCGCGTAATGAGTTGCTTTCAGCTTTACAATAACATGGCGCATCATTGTAGTCGTAGTCGCGACTACGTGGCCGACGTCCTGCCAGGAAGGGATGGCATTGCGGTAACGGAATCGCCCTAGCTTGGTGTTGGCGTAGCCATGGTTTTAGTCCGCAAATGTACTCTCGTGCCTTCACATTTGTGACGCACACTTGCACCAAGACTAGCCTAGCCAGGGTGGTATTCTGGGGACGAGGGGACATGAACCTCAGTTGGTTTTCGGCAATGGCAAAGGCTAGTATATAATCCCTCCTCTCAGCATTCTTGGTGCAGTTGTATGGTGTTTCACTCCTTGAAACGTAGAAGCGTTTGCGAATGGGCGTGCTCCGAAGCCGCAAGAGAAAGTGTTTCTGTCTTTCTGTGGTTTCCCTTCTTGCCCAGCGCAGGGTAACAGATCTGCAACTCAAATACCAGTGCTTGTAGCCAGCGGTAAACAAGTTGCTGTAGTAGCTGAACGCTTGACTATCAGGCTACTGCCTATTAGAATCTGCTGTTGTTGGAACAAACGCGTAGCTATACTGTCTATACTGTCAAAAGCTTAAAGATAGTAAGCTGCCGATTTCCAGTGCGACAGCTGGATACTAGCTCTTCGTCAACAGCTCGGCAGCATGAGGAGCAGCACTACTAACCCCGGGTAATCCGCAACCGCCAGGGCGTTAGCAAACGTCGTGCCACTCACTTGGAACTGGCGTCAAGGTGCGTTTCAAGGCGGGCTTGCGTTTGCATAGTCAACGATGATGCGAAGTGGTTGGGAACAACCTCCACGAACGCAGTTTACTCGTGTTTAATGCACCTTCAACAGAAAAAAGCACACGTACCCATACTAATGTAGATATGCGGGTCCTTCATCCTAACCGTTGCTTGGCTTACGAACGCCTCGCATCCTCAATTGCCAAGCAGAGTTCCTGGGGCCGGAATGGCGGTAGCGACTGCCGCAGCAGCAGTTAAGGAGCAGCAATAATGCCGCACCGTTGGTCGCCGTGTCATTTGCTACTAATGCCGCACGGAACAATGCCAATGCTCCCACGGCTACTGTTGCTGCTACTGCTGCTTTACAAGCTCCCTGGGGCGCTTGGAAGCGATAACGCAGCGTATATACTTAGCGAACAACCTCTGGCAGGGCAAGCAATGGCTATGCCACTGCCGCTACCTTCATCGCCCCCACTGCCAACCTCCTCCTCTCCTACCTACCCCTTAGTCTACGTCGCATCTCCGCCCCTTCCTCCCGCCTCACCATCCTCCTTCCCACCTCAAAATGCAATTGCACCCACCTATCCAGGTTCCTCCCTAAACCCGCCTGCCCAACCAGCACCTCCACCGCCACCACTGCTACCATCAACAGCAGCACCGGATGCCCTCCCGGGCCCACCAGCTGACCTCCCAGTTGCAGCAGCAGCACTCTCGCAGCCACCACCACCTCCGCTACTTCCACCATCGTCACCACCACCGCCACAATCACTGCTGTCGCCCTCACCACCTCCCACCTACCCAGGCACTTCACCGCCGCCTGCCCCGCCACCCCTTAAACCTCTACCACCACCACCACCACCTCTACTCCCACCCCAAACACCACCACCGTCATCACCACCACCAGCCCCGGTGATTCCCCCCTCCCCATCGCCCTCCTCCTCCAATCTCATCTCGCCTCCGGCCCCACTGCCATCCAGCCCACCTACCTCACCGCCCGCGCTCCCACCGCACCAACCACCATCACAACCACCACCTCCCCTACCGCCTCCGCCCCCCGAGACGCCCCTGCCCCCACCTGACGCTCCGGCCCCCGTACCGCCATCGCCACCACCTTCATTGTCGCTGTCGCCACCCTTCCTACCCAGCAGCAACAGCAACGGCGGTGGCGGCAGCTCCCACAAACCATCATTGATTCCCGCCGCACCGCAACCGCCGCAGCTGACATCGCAACCGCCGCTGCTAACGCCCGCACCCGCACCACCACAGCTGCTGCCCCAGCCGCCCCCACTAACGCCACCGCCCTTGGGGCCAGCACTGGTGCCGCCACCCACCATACCGCCGCCGCCGCCGTTGACGATGATGCCACCACAGCTGCTGCCCCAGCCGCCCTCGTACTATTCCACCTCCCCATCACCACCACCTCTGACACCGCCACCGCAGCTACCGGGACCTTCGCTGCCCACACCAGAGGTTCAGCCGCCGGTGTCGCCCGGCAGCGCCTCATTGCCTCCATCGCCGCCGCCGCCGCCACCGCCCTCGCCAAAGCCTCGGCGGCCGCCGCCACGGCCCCCGCGGCCGTCACCCCTGCCGCCTTCTCCTCCTCCGCCGCCGCCACCATCACCCTTAACCCCTCCATCTTCCCCACCGCCTCTCGACCCGTCTCCGCCGCCACCTTCACCCCCGCCACCTCCGCCGCCTTCACCTCCGCCACCTTCACCCCCCCCACCTCCACCGCCTTCACCCCCGCCGCCCTCACCCCCGCCACCGCGACCACCTCCGCCACCCCAGCCACCGTCGCCGCCACCGCCGCCGCCACCGTTGACTGTCGTACCAGTCGGATCGTCGTACACTGCATTTACTGGCGTTCCTGGGGGCGTTTCTTCCGCCGCCAGGTTGCAGGTACGGCAAGCATGCTAAGTGCTACGGCCATCAACACAGGCAGTAGCAGGGGCTGTAGTAGCTACGAGTAGCAGGCACAGTAGAAGGGGGCTGTCGTAGCTCGTAACGCACGAGGTGGTAAAGGGGTGACTGCCGTACAGCGATTGCCGTACACGTCGTTAATGTACGATGCTCATTCCGAAGGAGTAGGACCCCAACGGCATTCCCTGTCACATGCCCCCTTGAGCCCCCTTCCTTCCTGACCTCAAAACACTTCAAGTCCACTTTTCCCCTCTTGCCCTTGCCCTAACCAACAAGCCCAGGCGGTTTCCAGCAACCTGGCTCGAACCCTGGGTGTCGACGCGGCCTCGGTATCCACCTCCCTCATCGCATCTTACGTGGCAACGGTTTACCAACTAAGGTGGGCTATTAGCAGCAGCAACGGCGGCAGCAGCCGGAGAAGACTGGCTACTCGCCGTTCGACCCAAGTACTGCTCTCGTCATCACCACCACCACCGCCACACTCATCCGTATTGGGCGGAAGTTGCCCGTCTTGTACGGTTACAGTTGAGAGGGCTGTAGCGCGGAGCCTATGTCAGCAGCTGGCAATTGCGAATTGCAGGTTCGTACACTCCGTACCTTTTGCCTACTGCATTGAAGCTAATTTAAGCCGCAGGATCGACTATGACCACGGTTCCATAATAGGTGCTGTCGTATTTGTCGTACCCTGTGTAGGAGGCTGCATGTGTACACACAAGTGTGTTGCAGCCAGGTTAGGGGGAGGGCAATGTCGGGACATTGGCTGTCCTCTTTCGGCCCCCTGTCGCCAGTTCCGTTTCGTATGAAGCCCTTTTCATCGCTCTATAAGGCCTCGCTTCTGGCCGTTGAACCCATAGAAAGCTACCTGGTCCTCGCCCGGGCCCATGATTCTCACCCGCTCTCGGATATCACTCATTGTATTTCCCCTATCCTTCTTTGTGGCATTCGTGTTTCGCATTCGTCCCTCATCTCGCATTCGTCCCTCTCCTCTACCGGCTCCTACCCCCTGCAGCAAACTGACCACGTCTTGCCTCAACACAAGCACCCCTGCTGCCGCCGCCGCTACTGCTGCCTCTGTTGGGACATCCTTTCCCACATTGCCGGCGGCTGTTGCGACAATTGCAGCGGCTACGGCAACGGCAACAATGTCTGCAAACACCGGGAGCTGTGGCGATGTTTACCTGACAGCAGTGTTCGCGATAAGCGGAAGCACCACCAGCAGTAGCAGCGCTGGGGCCCTATCAGTCAACGCTTCGTACTATCAGGTGCGAGCGTGCGAAAGTCCCCTTCTTGGCTCATTGCCAGGGTGGTCGGGTTGCTCCTGGCGGAGTATGCGTGCATGTTGTGTTTGGGTTAAGGGGGAGGCGGGTGGGTGGGCAGCGCCATGTGCAGTGCGGCGCCGCTTAGGGCGCCCGTGCATGCATGTGTGCGTGCGTGCGTGCATGTGTGGTCACCGCCGGTGTCCCAACTGTCAAGTGTGCTGGAAAGCGGGCGCGCATCGGGTGGTGCAGCACTGTCGAGCTGCTTAAGGTTGCTGTTAGACTGCTGCTTGACTCAATAGCCAATACCGTACCCCCCGCCTGTGTCGGAGTCCCCTGTACCGTACTCAATCACGATACTGCCGCTAATTGTGTCTCTGCTACCGGTCTCTAGCCCCAACCCTTCTCCAGTCGTCAATCTTACGCCCGTGCCCTTGGTGCCCATCTCCATTCGCGGTCCGTTACCCTCATTCGCCTTCCGTAATGCCCCCAGGCAAGCAGCCTCTCCGCTGCAATACTCTCCACCCAGGTATGACCACCCGTACCCGTATCACCCTCCGCTGTGCACGACACACACACACACACGGCACGTACGTACGTTCCTACTCGCGGTCAGTTTTCTTAACACACACATGGTTCCGCCTGTTCTATTGCATGAGTAACAGCAAGCACGCAACTAAGTCCGTGCGCCACTTGTTGGTTCCTTGTCTGTCCTGCCCTCCATGCTTCCCGCCTTCCAACATGAGCAGCTTACGTCACAATGGATTTTCCCCCTCCTCCTACCACACCCACCCATCTCGCAGATTTCTGTTCCAAGCCTGAACGCCACCGCGGCTCTTCCCTCCTCCGCCACCGCTTCCTCTCCTTCCTCAACAGCGGCAGCAACATCCACAACTGCCGACATCATTTCCGTTTCCTCCTTGCTACGGATCACCCTAACCAACAACGGCCGGCCGTGGATCTCTGCATCCGCTTCTTCCTCCAACACCTCTTCCGTTTCTGGTAGCAGCAGTAGCAGTAGCGGAGGAGGGTCGGTGTCGGTTAGTGATGCGGTAGTTGCGACGAGCGTAGCAACCACGTTCGGGCTCCAAGCAGATAAGGCAAGTAAAAAACGGGGTCAAGTCGGAAATGGAGAAGTGGGCGGGTCGGGGCGAGAGGAAGGTCAAACAGGGGAAGGAAATGCGCTGTGGGGACACCAGTGCTGGACTGAAGGGCAGACTTGTATGCGCCGCACGGCATTTACCGAAGCTTTCCTTTCAATGCACGCTCCCTTGCCGCCCACTCAACCGACTCTGACCTGCAATCGCGATCATTAAAACGCTCCCCAACCCGAATGAACCGCTATCAGGTGGTCCCGCTATCCGCCTCTGGCACAACCACCTCGAGTTCTTCCTCCTCCTCATCCACCGCCACAACAGCAGCAGTAGCTCTCGTAGCTACAGCCATTCAAGAGTCCGCCGCCGCCGATGCAGCAGCTGCTGCCGTACAGCCATCGCCGCCGCCAGCATCATCGTCCAGCAGCTGCTCATCCCGCGGGCCGCCGTTCTTCGGCGCGCTCTGCGGCGGCGCGGCGGTGGGCGCCATTGTCGGCGTCGCCGCCGCCGGCTTCGTCGTCGCCGCCAGCGTCGCCGCACTTTTGGCCGTCGTCGTCATCAGTCGCCGCCGTCACGCCGTACGACCGATGGACGACCCGACGGCGGTGGCGTCGGTGATGGCGGATTACCACAGCAGCCGCAACCGTCGCCGCATCTATGGTCCAAGGACGATGGCGGCGGCGAGAACGTACGGCAATGGTGGTGGCGGCGGCATTGAAACTGCCGCTGCCACTGGTACGGTCTGGAACAATCCAGCTTTCCGGCCGTCGGGTGGGATGTACGGTGCGAGTGAAGCGGTGCAGCCGCCGCCGTCAGGGGTGGGGGCGGCGGCCGCTGCCGCCGCGCCGCCGCCGCCGCTGCCAAGAGAAATGGATATGACCGGCGATGCTGGCGGCAATTTTAATGCGGCAGCCTCCTCCACGGTTGCCACTCCCGGGATCGGCCTTAACCAGCACAATACGGCACCCGCACGAAATTCCATGCAGTACAAGCAGTACAGCACGCTTGCGAAGGCGCTTCGTACGGCACGACGTCAGCGGTTGAACCCCGGCCATGATAGCATTGACAACGGCGGCGGGGGCGGCGGCGCTGCAGCTGACTTGGCACCGCCGCCACCAGCGCCAGCGGCGACGACGACGTCAGTGGCGGTACCCTTGCCGGCGACTGGTCAGATCGTCCTGTTGCCTTCGTCGCATACTCCCCCGCGACAACCCCCGCCGCCGCCAGATGCTGATGTTGCTGCCGGTCCTTCGACGGCACCAACAGCAGCGGCGCCCTCAGCGGCAGCGGTGGTGCCGCAGCTGCCAGTTACTGCAACGCATGCGCCGTCGTACGGCTATCGTGCAACTCCGCGCCAGCGAATGTACCATGGAGGTAGCCCTTCTAACTGCGGCGGTGGCGCCCTCATAATGCCGCCGCCTCCTCCAGAGGCCATGGCAGCGGCGCCAGCGGCGGCGGCACTGCCTGTGATGGTGTCAGGAAGGGTAACGCTGCTTCCGTCGCCGTACGTTTCTGGAGCCGCCGCCGTCAGAGGAATCACTGCCAGCGCCGCCAGTGGCAACATGCCCGCCAGCACTACTGCCGCTGCTACTGCCACTGCTCCAGCTGTTCCTCAACGCCTTCCCCCGCCCGCTGCTGCTACTGCTCCTTCGTTCAGGGCAGCAGCAGCACCGGTGCCAGCGTCTGCAGCAAACGCGCCGTCGTTGTACGGCAATCCTGTTGCCGTGCACCCAGCAGCAGCACCGGTGCCGCTGAGACATCGGCTACCTCCGCCGCCGCCAGTCGTACAGGCCAATGCCGTACAACAAGCAGTCATGCTGCCGTACAATCCGCCAGCAGTAACAGCGACGGTGACGGCGGGTGTACCGGTGTACGGACGCCGCTGGGGTGGCGGCGGACGTAACCGTGGCCGCGGCGGCAGTGGCGACCCACCCCAAGGAGATTCGGACGGGTTTGACTGGGTTGCCCTTAACTACCGCCGGTAGAATGGGCCCCAATAACAGGGATAACAGGCTACGGAAAAGCCATTTGAGGCGGGACCCAATTCCTCGTCAAATGTATAAGTAAGGATAGGGTAACAGCTTTCATGTCAGGACGAGATAGGTACGGCATAGTTGCCAGTTCTCACACGACAGGACTGGCGAGCAGGTCCGGTGTAGCTACTTCCGAGCTGTTTCCTTTATCGAGGTAGTATGTCTTGACCACCGTGTGCTGAGCTGAGGTCTGCAGTTGTAGTTCTCGACCCGGGAGATGAACGCCGGAAAGGTGTTTCTTGATTAAACACGTCGGCGAAGACGTAGTTGGAGGGGTGGTTGGGTCCCAGTATTTTGTTGGCTTGCGCCATTGTAGGGCATGTCGTACACATGACGATAACGATTGATGACCGGTAGTACTTTAGCCACTGTTAGTACTGGTTATGCATAACAAGCCATTAGGCCTGCTCTTTCTCCGTTTCCTAGGTGTCCTCGTGTATTGCTCGTCCGTTTATATGCATGCATGCTCTGCTCTATTGAATGAGGGTAATGCGTTCGACCAATGGTTGGGCAAAGCTTGGCTAGCTTACCCAGCTAACAATGCATGCGGCCGTCGTCCGCCATACCCATACGCAGCCATTCAGCTGCTATGCAACAATACAAGAGACGACGGCTATTCGCAATCGATGGCTGTGGGTTTTAGCTTAGAACTAGGATTACTAGTGCTGTACAGATTGCTCTATAACTGCCTGACGATGACCTGGGCTTTGACTTGTGTAGCAGTTGTTGGGGAGGTGTGGACACCTCAAGGGTAAAGTTTCCCTATCCTAGGCTACCCGGCCCTCTGTGCGTTTCATGCCCCGGGCGTCCTATCCGCACACACAATCATGAAGTGAGTGGCTGCATGCTTGCGCAGAGGACACGAAAGCAAATGGTGAAGGCTGGTGATGACTGCCAGGACTGCAGTTGTAATGCCTTTGAGAAAGCTGCCACCCCTTGTCCGGTGTCGTTACTGATCAAGTCGCTGTAGTGTACCTGCCAGTATTGTATAGTTACTGACAAAGTATTTGTATAGCTGCTGGCAGTACGGCTTCCGCCTTGTGGAAAGCTCTTTGGTGAGACCGGAGGGGCTGGAGAGGAGGACAGGAGATAGTTATGGGCATGGGCACGTGCCCCTCCCTGTTACGGGTTTCTACATGTCGTCCGCCACAGCCACTAAGGAAAGCTGCTGCTGCTAGTCCAAGTCCATGGGAGGAAGCACCCAAGCGGCCGCATCTCGCACGCTCGTATTAGCCAGGACTCAGCAATGCGGTTTTGGCAATGACGTCGCCCATAACCCCACCCCCGCCACCAAACCCAGTAGTCAAGCAACGGTGCAGCGCCTACGGGTCGGCTACGCTGGGTAGCCAGAGTGCTAGGCGACAAGTCTGAATTTGTTTTAGATTGGAGTGGTGGTTAAACAGCATGCTGTGGGAGCTGCGGCCGCTGCTGTTTCGGTGGTAGCCGACAAGCGAAAATGTTGCGCTGAAGGGTCGACTACGCTGGGTAGCAAGTGACAAATCTCAACATGTTTAGTTGGGAAAGGTCAAAAGACCTTGCAAATATTGGGAATATGCGCCTTCGTGAGCCGCACTCGCTGATCTCTTTAGTAAAAGGCGAAAGAGATATGAGAGACGTGGGCGGCTCAGCGCTTGACAAACAAATGTGCACCTGCGCCACCCAGATCCAGGTGCTTGCATCTCCAGCGGACATAAGACCGATGGTGGGTCACGACGCCCAACGACAGTCAATCCACATCCTCGTCAACTGGAGAGGTTGCAATAATCAGCCCTGTCGTGCCCTATAGTGATAGTGAAGGACCGGTGAGAGGGCTATAATCCACGCAACAAACCGCTCCCGATGCATGTGGACACGGCAGGCACCTGCACAACAGCGCCCACATGACATCCGCATTCACACAGCCGCGGCGCGCCTCTTGTCATCTTAGGCTAACCTTAGCGTTCCCAAAGAGGCACGTCTACCGTACACCAGCGCTCGCGCTACCAGCTGCATGGTGGATGATGCGGGCAACAGCCAGGAGGACTGCAACAGATGTGGGACTGCGGAAGTTGCCTGGTGGTAGCAAACGTGCAAGGAGGGACCTGCCGCGTTGCCTCAGCGTTCCGTGCTTGCTTGCAGCTAGAGTTACCAAACACTTCCGCAAACGACCCGTGGGTCGCAACTGGGAGGGCCACCAGACCCCGCTACAATACGAAGTGCGAAAATGAGGAATATGGCATGGTGCATTAGGGAAGCAGTCTCCTTACCTTTTCACGACATCCGCAACCGCGCTGCATGGCGCAGTTCCGTACATTTACCGTTCGTTTCATTACACATTGCGGTGTACCGGTATCGTACACCGTCCCATGCTGCAATAGTCCAGCAGCGGTTTTCACCCTCGTTGCAAAACAAGCTTATACAGAAACATGCATGCGCTCGGCTATGACCTGACGGCCCATACATACGATGGCTGGTGAAAGAGGTGGAAACAGCATAACCCCACAGTAGCGCTCAGAAACCAAACTCGTGGTTTGCGCAATGTGCACTACTGAAGGCGGAGAGACAAAGGGAAGTCTTGCCTTCCTTCACAAGAAGGACCAGGTGGAAAGAAGAGCGCTCACCACCACTTACTCCAAAACATCAGTGACTAACTACCATAAGAAGATTGAAGCGATTGCAGACAGGCAAGAGCTTAATTTGCATAACCGTGTGTCAGTTAAGCCAATGCAAACGAACCAGTACCAAGTTCATACAGTCCTACTAAGGGGGGCAGTTCACCAGGCAACCTTACGGACAGTTCATCTAACAGCGCTATCTTTCTATGGGAGCAATGCAAACCAACAATCCGAACCAAAGGAACAGCTTACCCAACAGTACCGTAGTTCCTAGGGGATAATTCATCCAACAATGCTAACGTACGAGACAGTTCATCCAACAGTGCTATCTAGGGGAGTAGTGCGACCAACAGTACCGTACTACCTAAGAGGGGCAGTTCACCCAACTAAGGGACAGCTCATGCAGTCCTACCTAGGGGGCAGTGCAGCGGTCCAACTGTCATATCTATCTAGGGGAGCAATGTAACCAAACAATACTACCAAAGGGGGCAGTTTATTCAATACAAATACTTAAGGGGCAGTTCATCAAGATTACAAAATTTCACTACGACAAGAATATTGAAAGCCATCAAATAGGTGCCACGCAGGAATCACTTCATACCCAGCACTGTTGCTGAGCTGGTATGGGGTTAGAAAGCTATCATGGCTACGAGCCCCTTCTCAGTACTGTCTGGGTGCCTACCTACGGACAGTGCTGCTGTAGGTCAGGCAATGGCGTGCAATGAAGACAATTCGCACGCCTTGCGACTCAGTTCCCTTTCCTAAACTAACAGCTGCACGTTTCCTAACCCCAAAGATAACGAATCAGCTATACTCGCTCAACCATAGCCCCAATCACGTCATTGTATTAGCTCGCATGGCCCAGCAAGACCAGCTCAAGATACACCTTGAACAGTTTACGATTCCGACAGTCGTACTCTCAGCTGTCCTCAGACAGCCCACAACTCACACCACTCTCATCCGAATGCCCCAGCAGAGTCACAGCCCCCGCCAGCAATCGCTCAACGTTGCGCACTGCTTTAGTCCCACAGCTGGCGCGTAACGAGCCCACACATCAGGCTCCAGGCCGCCTGCTTGAGCTGCTTCCACATCCGCTTGCGGAGCTGCTTCATGATCAGGAAGATGACCAGGTTCGCAACCACGGTTGCGCCGAGGCTCTTGGCCGATCGCTCTCCGTCCACAAACTCCAGCACGGCGGCCCTGCTGCCTCGCAGCCCCGGAAACCGGTAGACAGCCGCGTCGAAGCTGCTGCGGACGACGACAGCCTTGATGGTCCGTGCCGTCTTCTTCATCTTGTTGCGCGCCACGGAAGCCACGCAGCGCGACCAGCCCGCCCCGCTGCTGGTGTTGCTGTTGCTGCTGCTGCTGTTGCTGTTGCTGGTGGTGCTGGTGCTACTGGTGCTGCTGGTGCTGCCGCTGCTTGTGCTGCTGTTGCTGGTGCTGCTGGTGGTGTTGCTGCTGCTGGTGCTGCTGGTGGTGGTGCTGCTGTTGCTGGTGGTGGTGGTGGTGGCGGTGGTGTTGCTGCTGCTGGTGGCGCTGCTGGAGGGCGCCTCCGTCGCCTTGTCCACACCGGCCGAGGGCCCCATGCCGCCAGGAAGCAGGCGGCCAGACGGAGCGATGTGGCGGCGGAACCAGTGAAGGCCGGGAAAGGACTTGCCTTCACGCTTGCGCTTGGGGTCGTGCTTGGCCTGCATGAGAGGGGTAGCGGGGGCAGGGTTAGAGGAGGGTACGGCGGCATGTGCGGGAAGCCATCAAGGTGCGGCACCCAGGCACGCAACCATGGCCTCACAGCCATCGGCCAACCCTGAAACTGCACCCCACACACCCCATTGCCTCCCACATCCGCACCCTGTCGACTCACCGCTGCCAGGAGCGGCTGGGCGCACTCCGCAGAGCCGCAGTGGGGCTCCTGCGGGCAGACCTGCGACCCGCGAGAGGGGCTTCCGACGGCAGAGGGCTCCACGTCGGGGGCAGCGGCGGCCTCAGACGGAGCCAGCTCCAACCGCTCGGCCGGCGAGGACACCGCAGCCTCCACCTCAGCCTCCACGTGACCGCACGCCACCTCGGTCTCACCCTGCGCCGCCTTGACTCGCTTGGCGGGCGACGTTGCCACCTCCGCAGCACGCCTCCCCGTCGCGAGGTCGCACGAGGGCCTGCCAGCAGCAGACACCAGCTCCTCCTTGCGCGGCTCATGCGACATGTCAGCCGCCGCTAGGGGGTGTTCGGGGACGAACGACCTGCCGTCCACATTCAGCTTGGCAAGGAGGCCGTCCGCCGTGAGATCCTTGACCCACACCGAACCGGGGTACAACATGTTCTTGCGGAGCAGCATGGGCCGGACTCGAGAGACCTGTGGGCCGGGTTGGGAGGGAGGGAGCATGGTGAGCAACGCAGGGGTCGACACAACCAACAGGCACGTCACAGGGGGTTACAAGGGGCTAACACACAGCACCTACGCATAATGGATGGCGCTTTCCCCACATACCTGGAGCGGTGTTTCTTCAAACTCCTCCGAGGCCTCTGAGGGGAAGGACGCGAGGCTGCTATTGCCGTCGTCAGTGTCGCTCAGGAGGCTCGGGGCGGCTGAGATGGAGCAGGGCGCATTGTCGTAGCACTGCGAGGAGTCCTGCTGTTGGGAGGAGGGGCAAGGGGTGAAGAAACAAAGCGTTACTTAGGCGTCCTGATGGGAAGTACGTTAGAACACAAGACCAAGGATACGCAAGTACATGCCAGATATGTGCAGTACGGAAATGGGGTCTAGGGTGCCGAAGCCGTCCGTTGAAGGGAGTTGCGCTTACCTCCTCAGCCTCGGCGGTCTTGAATGCCGACGCAGGAATGCTGACGCCGATGTTTGCATGGATAGCAGCAGAGCTGGACGAGATGGAGGTGCGGGACCGCACGGCGTTGCCCTGCGGCAGGCATGAGGGAGCGGAAGGTATGTACATCTGCAGAGCCATAAAGTATACCAGCTGTTCTGTACGAAATCTCAAGGACCAGTTGCTCGGCTATCGGTAAGGATTTTGCCAACAAGGTAGCGACTATGTGCCATGCAGATGGAGCCCGTTAAAGTTACCTGTGACTCCGCGTCGGTTGTGTATGCCGCTTCGGACTCGGATGCGGAAGCGAAGGAGGATGTGGAAATTTCAGGTCGAAATTCTTCCTTGCTAACATCCAGCAAGGTCACACCAGTCATAGGCGTAGACTGATCGGCAATATTTGAACCATTGCTCTGCGTGGCAAAAATAGGGTAACATAGTGGTGAAGCATCATGGGCGCGAACATTGTGCCCGCCAGCCAAAACCGTCTAAGCACTGGTACTATGACCTCATAGAAAACACAAGCAACTCAAAAAGAAGGACGCAATGTGTAATATTGAGACTAATGCCCATTTGCAACGGGCAGAGCGGAAAGGCGGGAAAGACGCGTTCCAGGACTAACCTTTTCAGCTTTACGAGAAACAAGCTTATAGGCCTTGAAGTAGCTCTCCAAGAAGGGCCATAATCCCTGAGCACCGTTAGACCATACATCCAGCAGCAGGACTAGCACCGAAACCGCCGTCGAAAACAAGGTCGAAGACGTCGAAGTTCCCAGAATTCCGCCATAGTAGGCGGGCAGCAAACGCTTTGCCACAGCAACGGTAAGGTCAAGCGAAAGCAGAATGCAGATGGCTATTGCCACCAAGGTCATCGTAGCCATCATTGAGAGTTGCTTACTAAAGTTGACAACTGTGGACGAGTATTGTGATTGGAAAAGTTATAGAGCGCTGTTGGTATGAAGTCTTTGAGAAGACGAGCTGAGAAAGGAGTGCGGCGATTATGTATTCCCGGCCATGCAATGCCTCGTACAGGTTTCGGTCAGACAGGCCGTGAAGGTTTTGTGAGGTTTCTGTTAACAAATTGACTGCTGATATACGAATTGCTTCCAAAGGTTTACCCAAGCTGACCCCCTGTCGGCCAAGCCGCATTAAAATGACTTATGACATGCCTAAACCATAAACTAATAAACCGTCGGTCGAAAACCTAACCTGAGCACTCCGTTTACCTGCGCCCATAAGCGTCCCACACATAAGATAGAGGCTTGGCTCTAAGGACCACTTACCTGCAAACATACATAATTACCGGTAATAGGTGATTCGAAGCATCAAACGCACTTGCAGGGCTTGCTCCGCCTTCTGCATTTGGCCGCAACTTGCTTGGTCCCACGTCACGTGTCCAGTTACATGGCTCACCTGTTTTACAGACCGAGCTTCGTTTCCGAGTATTGCTTGCACCTTCCCCTTGCGCACCGCATGTCTACACACTGGCGCCTTCACGTTACCTAGCGCCGCAAAAGCAGCTTCCGCTGAGTCGTCACAGCGTCACCAAGCCGTTTCAGCGCAAGCACGCTGCCGGTTGCTGCTTGCCGCTTCCTCGGCGACTCCAGCGCCATCTATTTGCCAGGGGGGCGCCCGTTAAGGAGAAAAGCACCTTCTGATGCTGCTTGCCGGTGGCCAGTGTCGGCACCATATTAATGCTTCATTGGAGCGTGAAGGGAATTAACTTGGGTTTCTGTCGAGTTAAGGTACAGCAAAGTCAGTACGTCGCGACCCGTAGCACCAGGAAGGGTTGTACGGTTACGGTGCGTGTCACGCAGTACTATTTTAACTGAAGCAACTGAGAAAGGCTTCAACGTACACTGAAGTGCACATGACATGGTACTTGTGCTAGGTCCCAATCGGCGAAGGAAGGTTGTTGCCTAGGGCACCTCCGTGCATGCATTTTGCCCCACGCACAGTTAAACAAGTTGATTGGCCCTGTTAACTGACCTCTCCAAGGGAGACAGGCGGGTTGGTGGGGACATGCGTGTTGCTTCGCAGCGCGTTTCGGTTACACCTTAGGCCAGCCCTGTCTGTAGTCTTCAATCAGTAACCCAAACGCCTCGCGCCTTCTTGACCCAAGCAGCAATTTTGCAGGCACAGGCCACAGCACTTGCAGGTGGCTCCTACACAATTCCACAGATCCCATCAACCCCTGGCAAATGGCAACAGCGAGCCTCCGCTTCCCGGAAAACAGGTTTCCTGAGAAACCTGCCGGAAAGGAGTTGCATAGGACGGCAACATTGGCGTAATCACGACAAATCAGGCCGAAGTGGGCTCATTATCCCCCCATGAGCGCTAGCAACAACTTAGCAACAACCGTTGCTGAGTCCACAACATGCATCAACTACCCCACTAGCTTGTGCAACAAAGGGGTCAAGATGCCCTCCTGCCGGCATCCCAACGAGTACTCGACTGCAACCCAGTACTCGACGCAACGCTGCTGTATAACCCGCAACTTCAGTACACGTGCATGCTGCCGGTGCAAATGGACATCCCCCGTCCACAATGCATGCAGCAGTGGCGTGGGTTGCTCGCTCGTACCAGCATACCTGCTTCCACCACACAGCAACGGCAACAATGCCATAATTGCGCTACCTGCATGCTTGCATACCGATCACGGGACCCTCCCACGTGCCGCACAGGGCGCAATGGGCAGCCGCGCGCAGCAAACAGTTCTCCAACCTGCATTATGATCATGCATGTACGCCGTCACAGATGTTTTGGACATACCTCTCGTAAGCGTTGCCGTCCACCCGGCCATACTCTTTATCAACCTCAACGCCATGAAACCTCATTGCTAAGGAGATACGTGGCTCACTAGGTCTACACACACATGCACTCACGAAGGCCCCGCCAGACACTCAAAACCCCGCAATATCCCTTGCCTCCATCACTCTCTCCCGCACACTACCAGTATCCGCTTCCAATTGTATGTACCGTACTACCGCCGTGTGACAATGTACGAAGTGTACGGCACCAAACGGTAACCGCCAGCGCACTCCATCAACCACTTGTACGACACCAGTGGCGCCCCAAGCGCCGCCGCCGTCGCCGACAGCGCTGAAAACTGCCGAGCGGCAGCGCCGCCACTCGCGGCCGCCATGTCCGGATCTAGCAGCACAAACAGCGGTGCCGCTGACTCGCCATTGTCGGTGGTTGGTACGACAGATGGCGACGATGATGACGGTTGGCGTGCTGACGTCATCCCCAGTGCGAGGATGAGATCCGCTGGCGGTAGTGTGCGCGCCGTCTTTAAAGGTTGCTGCGAAGGAAGCGGAGCAGCCGGACACGGGGCCGCTGGCAGGCGGGTTAGCACGCAAGCCCCCAGAGCCCTGGCTAGAGAGCCCACGTCTTCTCGGAGGGAGGTGCCAACTGCGGGTTTCAGTCGCAATGGCAGGAACGTTCGCCTCAGTCAAAGAACGTATGAATAAAGCAATGAAGGTTCCCAACTGTCGTTGCAGGGTTCGCAGAAGCAGTTGTCATGGTGGCAGTTGGGAGCTCACGTCCCCTCGGGGCCGATGCCCCCCCGGGGTGCTGACATGCACACTCGTAGTGCAGTTGCAAGGGATACAGCTAAGGACGCAGATGCAAGAGGAAACACATGCTCAGCCCGCACATGCACTCACAGCTGACACCCACGCACCTGAGATGAACACTCGGAGACCCTCCAGCAACAACCGCTCGCCCACTCCTCCTGGCACTTGTAGCTGCTGCTGCTGCTCCCCACCCTGAAGCTCCCCGTGCTGCTGCTCCTGCTGCTTCCCATCCTCCTGTGCTGCCTGGTTCCCTCCCTCGGCCTCCCCGCCGTTTCCTTCACCCCCCATCACCTGCTCCCGCTGCTGCTCCACTGCATGCCCCCCTCCCTGCCCCCGCCCAGCTGCCCCCTGCTGCTGCTCCCCACCCTGCCGGGGTGACGACACAGCCAGCTGGCTGCCACCGACTCCGCCACCCCTGCCGCTGCCTCTTCCCCTCCGCCTCCTCCTCCGTCGTGCCTCCGCCGCTCCGCAGCTGCCGCCGCTCTGGTCGCCAACCACCTGGGTGGATTGCGGGGGTGGGTGGGCGGGTGGGAGGTCGAGCAGCAAGCGGTGGTCACTGGAGGTCCAACCATGGCCGACCAACTGGCATCATGTCCCCCCGCAAGCAATCGCCGCGCCCGAAAGAAATCAAGTACCACTCCCCGCTTCCCCCACTCGCGTACCTCCCACTCGCTGCCCTCCTCGGGCAGGGGCCCCCCCGCTGAGAGGCACGCCGCCGCCCAGCCCACATCCAGCACCCAGCAGCCGTGAGCCACACCCTGACGCAGCGGGTGGGGGTGTGCGGGGGTGCGGTTGTGCTGGGCACGTCAGCGGCAGGGGGGCAGCAGCAGGGGGCACGGGGAGCAGAACACGCCTAGGTCCTGGGGAGGTCCCAGGAAGGTGCACCCTAGTAACGGGGAGTGTGGGACACCGCACCATGAGGTACTTGAAGGTGCGTCGCGCCCGGCGTTGCGCGTCCGTACCGCACAGCACGTGGGTGACTGCTGGACTGAAGGCCTCCACCACCCTCGCGCCTGCATGCGTGTGGCAGCAGCGGGGGAAGGAGACTGGTAGTGGATGTATTGGAGTAAAGCACCGCAGCTATACAACAATGATGACAGCAACAAACACATCTCGTGCTCCCCAACGGTGCAACAGGCTAGCGACCACAGACTTGTGGAACCAAAACTCAGAGGGGGCTCCTTCTCCTCCCAACCCTCCTGCCCCTGCTACAGCCTCCTACCTGCCTCCCCTGCTTTCCCACCCTCCCAATTCCATCACCCACCCTCCCGCCCCCCACCTGCTGCCGCCGCCAGCTTCCTGAGCAGTCCCTTGCCGTCCGGCCCCTCCTCCAGCGCCGACCCCAGCAACACCCACTCGGAGGGATCCGGGAAGCTGCAACCGCCGCCACCACCGCCACCCACAACTCCACCACTGTTACCTCCACCGTTGTCGTTAAGCACCAGCAGACCCTGCCCTTGCTGCTGCTGCTGCCGCAGCTGCAGCACACGTTGCGGGGACCACCGGGCAGTCGTACAACCGCGACCAGCACCAGCACCAGCAGCACCGGCGGCCCCGGAACGCCTCCGATCCGCCCCAACACCGCCGCCGCTGCCACCACTGCCGCTGCCACCGCCGTTCTCCTTATTACCCGCAATGCCGGCGGCGGACTCATGACCTCCTCCGGCAGCAGCACTAGCAGCCGGGGTTGACAGCCGGGGCTTCTTCCTGCTCCGACGGCTGGTGGTGCCGCTGCCGCCGCAGCCTTCGCCACCTTTGCCGCCGCTACTGCCACCAGCAGCAGCAGCAGCAGTAGCAGCACTAGCGTCAGCATTGACGTTGCCCCCTCCGGCGGGCGCATCAGCAGTGGCGGCTGCAGTGCTGCGTCCCGCGATACACCCGGCAGCGACAACACCGGTGGCGGTGGTGGCGGTTGCCGCGGCCGTTGCGGGTTGTGCGGCGTCTGCTGACACCGCAGAAGGACGCGGCAGGGGTGGAGGCGGGGGTGTGGTTAAACAGCATGCTGCGGACGCTGTTGGTGCGGTGGTAGCTGCAGCAGCGGGAGCGGGAGCGGCTGCAACGGCCGACGAACCACTCCCACATCCCGCTGCAGCGGGCACACTACAGCGGCGCTTAGTTGCAGCACCGCTGCCACCTGTGGCGCCGCCTGCCGCGGCAGCTCCCTTGCTACCAGGATGCTGCTCCGCAGCTGATGCCGTCAGCTGCGTGCTGCTCCTCCCCACCGCCGCCGCCACGGGAGCACTCACCCGGCGACGTTTGCAGGCTCCGACAGCGGCCCCCTTCTTACCTCCGCCGCCTCTGTCACTTGGGCCGCCGGCGCCGCTGCCGCCGTTGGCCGTCGCTAGGCATCCGTCAGCGCCCCTGCCGCTCGATGATTGACCACCATCTTGTCGCGGGTCCGCTGCGTCACCACCCGCCAGCTGCTGCTGGTGGTGGTGGTGAGGGTGGTGGTGGTGGTGAGGGTGGGGCTGCTGCCGCCCATGCGGCTCCTGGTGCTCCTGATCCGCCACCTGCTCTTGCTGCTCCTCCTGCTGTTTGCCCTGCTCTTGCGCCTCCTGCTGCGCTTGCGTTTCTTGATGTGTTTTCGTTATTCCCAGCCCCCTCCTGCGCTTGAGGCCTTTCAGCCCCGCTGTCTCAGTCCCCACCTCCGCTACCGCTAACTCCGTAGCGGCCTCCGAAACCTGTTGCCGCTGCTGCCTCCGCATCCCGCCACTCGCAACCTTATCAGCTCCCACATCCTGAACCGCTGCTTCACCTGCTGCTACCGCTGCCGCCGCCAGGGCTGAGCCGCCGTCGCCGCCACCATCAACGCTTCCTCCACACCCACCATCGCCTGCTGTAGCTGCTCCTGCATCTGCCGCCGGCGCCTGTGCCTGCGTTTGGATGATGACTCCCGGCGGCGGCGGCACGGACGTGGCCCTCCCTCGACTCAGACGCCGTACGGAAGCGCTCTTGCCGCCGCCGCCGCCGTCATCACCTCCGCCAGCAGTCCCGGGTTGCGTTGCCGCCGCCGCCGCCAGTCCTTCAGCGATTGCAGCGGCACTCCCGCGGGCTGGCCGGGGCCTCTCTGTACGACACATGCGGCACCTGTTGTTTGGAAGAGGGAAACATACGGCAGATAGGACGTTGTCGTACATTTCAAAATGTGGCGTGCAAAACAATGAAGGGTTGCCAACTGGGGCATCATTGCAAATCCCTACAGGAGGGACCTTACGTCGCAAGCAGGGCATGACGACCCAACTCACTTCTTGCTGGTGGGCTGGTTGTCAAAGGTGCAGGCGGGGCAGCTCCAGGGCAGCAGCCGGCTGGGCACTCGGCGACCCCCTGACGGCATATCAGGGGACAAGGGGGTCAGTGGGCGGCTCGGGTTCGGGGAGGGACGGAGGGAGGACCACCTTTGCATGTCTCAGACCCCAGAACCACTTCATTCACCCACCTCCGCATGTCATTGGCGCCTGCGTGAGGGTGTTCTCCTCCGCTACCCCCGCATCACCAACATCTGCCGGCGCCAGTCCTGCCGCTCCTCCTCCTCCTCCCGGGGAGGTGAGGCAGGCGCTGCCCCGCAGCACTGGCAACAGACCCGTGGGTCCCGGGGTGTGCCGTGGCGGCAAGGGTGGCCGCATTGCGGCCTGCTGCATCTCTGTGTCGACTGCATCGGCTGTATCCGCGTCCGACCCATGGGTCGTTGCCGCTGCTGCCGCGGTGGCCGGCGTGGTCTTCCCCTCCACAGGAGGGGACGCAATTGTAGCATCGGTAGCGTCATTGTTATTGGTCACAGAAGCAACCGCAGGAGCAGCGCCGGCGGTCAGGGAGACGACAGCAGCAGATCCTCGACCCCGTCCCCTTCCTCGTCCTCTTCCGTTTTGCCCCCCTCGTCCACCTCGACCCTGCACTAGTCCCCCTCGCTGCTGCTGCGTCGTCTGCTGCGGCTGCTGTGGCTCCTCCTCTGCAGCCCCGCCAACTGCCGTCCCTCTCGCAGCCCCGCCAACCGCCCCTGCTGCAGCCGGAGCCAGGGCCACCTTGCCGCCCCCGCTGCTGCCTGCTCCCCCGCCCACCAACATGTGCTCCTGGGAAGCCAGGATGCACTGCCAGAGGCCAGCTCGGCTGCCACCGTCAGCTTCACCGGTGCTACCCTGGTGGTGGTTAGCAGCAGCTTCGGCAATCGGCTGAAGTACGGCAGCCTCTCCTCGCTTACAGTTGGTAGTTAGTAAGGTGGTGGTGGTGGTTGTCGTACCGCTTACCGGGCTCTTGTCTTCTCCATTGGGGTCCAGGAAGCTGAACAGTCGCGGTGGCGGCTGATCGGATGCTGCCGCCGTGGCAGCAGCAACACCTGCCATTCCCAGTCGCCGGCGTTTCGGCAGCTGTACGGCGTCTGCGGTCGCGTCAGCAGCCATGATGGCACCAGTTGCCGTATTACCCTTACTGTCATCATCATCATCACCGCCTCCGCATACATCGCCTCCTAGCTGTCTGCCACCCAGACGGAAAGGACGACCGCCATCGGCCCCCATGCCGGCCCTCACTGCCCCCGCAGGGGCCTCCTCCTCCAGTGCTGCCCCCACTGTCTCAGCATCTGCCCCAGCCATCCCATCTGGCGCAGCATCGCTAGCGGGGAGACCAGCCGCGGCTGCTGCAACCCCTGCGTCCGGGCCACCTGCCTCCGCCGCTGCCGCCTCCGCCACAGCCAATCGTACGGACGGCTGTTTGCCCTGCCGTACAGCGGTGGCGGCCCTCCTTCCCTTCGCCGCAGCCACCCCCGCTGCCGTTGTGGTCGCTGCTGCGGGAGCGCTGCCTCGTCGACCTCTTAGGGGGCGACTTCCTGTCGCCTCCACCGCTGTGACCCCCGCCTCCGCCTCCGCAGGCACCGCTGCTGCTGCAGATACCGCTGCACTGGTAGGTTTGCCCTGCTGCTGCTGCTGCAGGGGGGAGGACCCTACTGCCAGCTGCTGGGCTGGCTCCGGAGGCAGTGGCGCCGCCGGTGGACCAGCAGGCGGCAACTCCTCTAGGGCTGGCAGTTGCGACAACAGCAGCGGCTTGCCGAGAGCAGCTTCGATCTGGCCGTACAGACGGCTGATGGTGGCCTGCAGTTGGTTCGACGGTTGGCGGTTGACGGTTAGTTGGACGTTGGCAGGTGACATGAAGGTTTTGTAAATGTGCGTGCAACCCATTGCTTACCATGGTCTCATCAGTTTGGATATCGCGGCGGTTGCACTTCCCGCGACAGAGGGGGCAAAGCACTTCTCCTCTGGGTCGCACATTGTGGGTGATACAATCCCTGCATGCAAGCACATGGCCGGGAGGGAGAGCAGCGGCAGAACGGGAGGGTGTGCATGCGGGAGAACGGGAGCCCCCCCTCCTAAATGTGTCCACTGCCACTCCGCACTCAACGCCCCCATTCCTGTCCCCACTCGTTCAATAGCCTTGTGGTTTTTCCTCTTCCAACCCCCGTCCCCCAGGTACTCACCAGCAAAAGTAGTGCAGGCAGGGCAAGCGAGCGGGGTTGTCCATTACGGACATGCTGTGTTAGATAGATTGGGCAAGGATAGGCAAAGTTATGGGCTCAGAGAAAGGAGGTCCGGAAAGGGCCATCCTCGGAAAAGCATGAGGAGGTCGAGAACTACAGATAAATGCATGCAAAGGTTCCGAACACGTTTTTATGGCTGCAGGAGCATGCGCCGAGGGTTGACGAACAGGAAGCCCGGGGTTGGGGAAAACAACATGCTGAGGCGAGGGGCTTGGACTCGATGGGTAGCGGGGGCAGGGTAGGTAGCGAAGTGGTGGCATGCAACACTGGATACAAAGGCTCCCAACCCCCATCTTACCATATGCTGCAAGAGATAGCTTTGCCCAACGCGTAAACTTTATCCTGTGTTGCAAAGGCACGGCATGGCAGTTGGAAACGAAAGTCAGCCTTAAAGCCTTATCTTGGACGCATAAGTAATGGTTCAGAGGGTGCCTTTCTTTTCCCAAAAGAACGTAGCTTGCGCACTTCCTTTACAGACGTCATCATGTATGCCCTGTACTCCTTCACAAGCTAAGGTGTCTGCCTTATGAAGCGACTTAAACTAGTTTTGTGAATGCCATTCTTCGTGCTTATTAACAAGAGCAGCGAGCCCTGCGCAGCTGGAACTTACCTCCAGCTCCGCAGATGTCTCCTGCTTCTTCGAGCCGTCCATTGTGTTTGCTCCGGTGTCTGTTACTGCGCTTTCCAGTGGCCGCTGGGACGGCAGAGCTGCGCCAGCAGGATGCGTGAACCGCACACGCGCTGCCGCCTTATCCGAAGCTGTCGAAGCCAGCAGACGGCTTTGGTGACATGCCGCCTCGCGCTAACAAGATGTGCAATTTGCCATAGATTGAAGCAGAGCTTTGCGACTCAGGCCCGTTGCATAGGTACAACCGCCAAATACGAGGAGCTTTTGACGTCTGCGGCAAGCCGGCAACCAATGTGGAGGGGCAAGACAAACTAGATAAAGAATCACGATGGACACCCGTATTACAGTATAACCTCCAAGGGTATAGCTGCTGGGCTTCCCGCTTTTCTCGTTTTGGATCTGTGTGGATCCACTCGCGGAATGGGTCGAGCGATACCGGTCTTCGCATCCGGCAACAGTGTTGTAAGCCTAGCAGTCTTTGACCAAGGAGTTGAATGGCGAACTGTGAAACGCACAACCTTCCTGTCCTGGTAGGAAGCATTTTGCAAGCCACATCTCGGGCTCCTATTAGACATACATTTCTAAACATTATTACCGTAAACAAATGTAGGAGCTGGAGCCGCATCAAATCCGCGAGGCCCTACGCTGTAAGGAAGACCGGTTGAGAACCTCAGCGATGACAACTTCCTCCACAAAGCGCGCGCCCACTTCCTGATGCAGGCGTGCTACACACCATAATATTTAATCGTGCACTTGGCTACGTTATTCCAAAGGACGTGGACTCGGAGCTCTTCGACATTACCTACGTGGGTGGTGACAATGAAACCCTAGTCCATGCTACCTCGTTGCGGTGCACCCAGCTGCCCCCTTGCATCCTCCCCCCCGTGCTTCTTTAACTACTTGTGAATACCCCTCCCCTCGACGCCTGTTTCCGTCTCTCAGGTCCAGTGCGGAGACCCCAGCGTGGAAGCTCGTGTGGAATCACGCATCACCGACTTTTGCGCGCAGGCAGGCAGTTAACCCAGTAACAGTGCATTCTGCGGTTGGGATTGGCCTCTCGACATGGCTCTGTGCTTCTCAAGCAGGAACAGCCCGGTTCTTGGTTCACCGGGTAGCATTTGGTGGTAGCTATCGGTACCAGCCAGTTGGCTCTTTACTGCCTGCTCGTGCTGCTATCGCGTGTGTGCGTCCGTCCCCCCCTCTCCTCCCCCCCCCCCCACACCACACTTTGGAATTTCTTTTTTCCCCACACAAGTGGCCGCCTCCACCCGCTGGTCGCACCCCCTACGCGTCCACGTTCGGTGTGCTGCATGCCATGCAGCCACCACCCGTTACAGGGTACAGCAACCCATCTTTGCAACCAACCAATTCGCCTGGAAACCCAAAACCTCCCCACCCACCCACCCCCTGTGGGATATCTGATTGGGACTCCAGTTGCTGCCTTCTCATTTGTCTTTCCCACCTCCCTTCCTCATGCGTACTCAGGTGGAGAAGCGGCCCGCAGAGCTCCACCAGGTCGGTCTCCGTTCGTACCGTGTATGGTTGGCAAGAGTGTTCCCGCGCTGCCGAGTAGATTGGGGTGTACGGCGCACGGTTGGGTGTGGTTGTACGACCAGCTGTAGGCCCATCCTTCTCCCTCGCTGACCTCCTGACTGCTGCCGCACGTCGCCCCTGTCCTTACCTCCCTGTCCACCACCACCGATCACCCACACCCCGCATCACCGCCACCCAACCAACCGCCCCTCAGCTGCAGCTCTCGTTCTACGAGACGCGGCGCAAGCAGGCTTGGTTCGGCACGCAGGACGAGCGGCTGTACTGGGAAACCTGGTGAGCAACAGGGGGCTGCTGCAAGGTGTGCTTAGGGAGGGGTTTCGGAGCGAAGAGTTGCATGAGGGCACGGTTCCACGGGTGGAGGGTTCTGGGCAGGGCAACCGAGCCGAGCGGTTGTAATCCGGTTCGGTCGGGTGCTTGGGTGGGGTTTTCCGCTCGCGCGTCAGGCCGACGAGCGGTTCTTCCCCAATGCTCTCACCGCATCCGCGCACTCTTACCTCTGCTGCCCTCTCCCCTAAGGCGATCCTGCCCCTGCCCCCCTGCTGCCCCTGTGCTCCCTTCACCACCCATGCGCACCCCTCAGGGTGCTGAGTGTGCTAGTGCTGCAACCCGACATCTCCCTGCAACAACAGCAACAGCAGCAGCCTGCCGTACAACAACAGCAACACGCGGCACCAGCAGCAGCAACGTCCGTGTCCTCACAACAACAGCAACAGCTAGCGGGCAATACCCAAGGTACTGTAGCTCCTCCTCATCCATGCACTCAGTTGCTACCGCTGCGTTTCTTCCTTTCTCCTTCCGTACACCCGTTCTGTCCGTATCCTGTATGGTATAGCATTTGTTACTCTTTGCTTCCGAGCATCTCGTACTCACTTGAACCATCTTACCCCTTCCGTCCAGTCCGACCTGCTCGTGCCGCCTGGCCCCTTCACTGTTCATCACTTCCCTCCATTGTTGCCGTGCACTGCTTTCCCCTTCCCGCTTCCATACATCACCAACCTCCGTACAGTTCGGGCTGCTCGTGCTGCGCGGCTCCAAGCGGCATTAGAGGAGCAGCTGGCATTAGTGGTGGGTGTACTGGGAGTAATGGTTCAAAGGGGCACGTGACCCAGGGGTCGGTAGGGCGCGAGCAGCAGTAGCGGTTGCGGGTGACATTGGCTGCAAGCGGCGCTGGAGGAGCCGTTGACGTTGGGCAATGGTATGGATTGGGTTCGGTGGGGGTGATTCCGAGTTTGCGGGTAATTGTGACCCGTGGGCCAGAGTTCGGCTTGAATGGCGGAGTAGCCTTATCCTCCCCCATCTTATCGATTTTCCTCGCTCCCGTTTTCGTTCATCGCCCTCTCAGGTTTGCTCAACCCCTCTTCCCAGGCTGTTCGCTGCGTTTGGCCCCCGCCCCTTTCCAGGTCGCCGTTTTACACCTTGTAAAGCTGCCCGCTTTCCCCCTGCCCTGCTTCCCCCCCTTCCTCCTCCCCCCTCGCCCCGTTCCCTTGCCACCAGGTTCGACGCGTCAACGACCGGCGAGACCACCTGCCACCCGTGCTGTCCTCCGCCGCCGTCACATTCCCCTTCGACATCACCTTCTCGGGGTGGGTCCTGTGGGTCCTGTGGGGGCGGGGGTGGGATGTTGGGGTGGGTAACGAGGAAGAAACGGACGAGTCATCGGGGTGGTTGGGGCAGGAGGGTGTGGGATGTGAAGATTCATATCCTATATAGAGCCTTCTGACGGTATGATGCATTTCCGGAGAAGCGTTTCCGCAGCATGCCCCTTCGGAGGTGCATTTCCGGAACGCTTTGGTTCTAACGAAACTGTACAGGACATGTTGAGTGGTTGGGTGCTCTTAGAAAGGTAGCAGGCCATAAGGCCGCAGGCACATGCAAGAAGGAAGTGTGTCTTTCATTCCCTGCTGGCGCTTGCGCAGGTCTTCGACCCGTGGGTCACTACAGGGCGGCTTACAAGCGGTTGGGAAGATGCTGCTGAAGGCTACTCCGCCGCCAGTGCTGGGTTGAAGAGACATAGGCGGATGGATAGACCCGTGGATCATTGCAAGGGGGCTTGCGGGCGTGTTGCGGCGCTTTGGACTTTAGGCAGGCGGGGTTAAAGAGGCATGGAGGAACTAGCGAGCGTGAAAATTTCCGCCCTTGATGGCAGTTGTAGGAGGAGGAAAGGCAGCTGCTGAATGGGAGGAAGGGAGACCGGTTCCGAGCTTGGGTTTGCATGGAAGAGACGACACAATCACTGATCAGGCGCTGAAATTAGGAGCACGGCCTCGAGGGAGGGCAGCCTAGAAGTTATTACTTTTAGGAACGAGGTGTATAACGTGCGGTATGGGTGCGGGATCGTGGGGTTTCGGGTGGCGGATGCCGGCAGAAATGTGTGCTGACATGCCGTACACACAGGCGCCCCCAGCCAGCACTCCTGGCCAATGGAGCTACTACGAAGCGCAGTTCCCGCAGCTAAACATCCACTGAGCCGAATCCCCAGGGCTGGCGGGGCTGATGGGATGGCGTGACGCTGCTGGCGTTGCCGGGTGCAGTTGCGGCACCCGGCGGTGCCCCCAGGACTCCTAAGCAAATGGAATGAGGCGCTCACAGCCAAGGACTGTTATCGTGTGAGTAGGCTATGAAGCATTTTTAGTGAGGCAATTAACGGAAATGGTAATTGAGGTCGTCACTGGACATGCCTTTGTCCTTTCAGGGCATGTCCCGGGAAGGGATTCCTGGCCCTAAAACTTCCATATGCACGTCCAAGGTAGCTCCTACGTCAGAACCCCTTGTGGTCATGTAAACCTAATTAGCACAAGCGCACCTAGCCTGGGTGGTAAGGCGTGTAACCGTGTATACAACTAGTTCATGGCTTTGGGAGCCAGGCCCTTCGCTGCATGGTAGTAGTACCTGTCATTTCCTGGCTCCCTACAAGGGAGGCTTACTGGTGCCTAAAATTGAAGAGCATCGGAAAGGCAGACCCAACTAACAGGCGCATGATAGGTGTGACGAGTGGCAGGCATGCGGCTGCGGATACTGCTATCAAAATGTGCGTCAGCCGCAGGCAAAGTTGCCTTTCATTGTCGTATGTCGATGGCCTAACCACGGCTTGTGATCATGGGCGAGCCGAGCCGTGCCGTGCTGTGGATGTCGTACCCTGAAAATGGCACCTCGCCGATATACTTTGCTTCTTAGTGCGTGGCTAAATTATCTGATTAGGCTGTTCTTGCTTGTCATTACTTCGAACTTTTAGCGGCTATCGGAGCCATAGTAATTGCGTTTCAAGACCTGATTTGTAACCCGCACGGTTTGTTCAGTTCCAATCATTCCAGACCGTATGTATGCCCAACATTTAACAGGCCACCTCCAAAGGTTGCTTTGCCCCATACACTTATCGGCGAATGCCCCTACTAAGACGCAGACTTCGAAGCCGTCGTGAATGAGCCAAGCTCCTTTGCTACGCAGTATGCATTAAGGTCAAATATACGCCGGACTGACTTATACCACGAGCTGCAGAGGAATGGACTGCCCCATGCGCGAGGACAGTACGTGGAACGGGTTGTCAGGTTAGCCACATGCGTCTCCTCGAATCTCGAAGCATCAACGCTTTGTCGGACACGTTTCAAAGGTATCAGCCTGCTTTGGCAGTCAACCCGGAGCCATGCAGGCATTGCCATTGGAACTGACGCTCTCAGAGCGCCGCAACGCTTTGGCAGCAGCCATATCCGCAGCAGGTTTGGACGCAGCCTCTCGGCATGCGCTTCAGCACCAGCAGCTTTATCATCAATATCAGCAACAGAAGAACGCCAGCAAACAACAGCAGCAGCAACAGCAGCAGCAACCACAGCAACAGCTGCTCCCGCAATTGCCACAGCACCCAAGGGATGCCCCCGACCTCGGTCCTTGGGCCTCACGTGGTCCCTTTATCTCTCCACGCGCTTCGGTCCCGCCCCCGCTGGCACCCGCCCCAGCCGGCCCCACCTCACCCAACACCCACCTCCGTACCTCCCCCTCCACCTCACCACCCCGCCAACACCACTCCCCGCCGTCCCCCTCCTTGCGCCCCCGGCTCCCTGCCGACCTCCAAACCTTTCCGCCACCACCACCACTCGGCTCCCCTAGCCTCCTCCCTGGCAGCAATGGCGCACCCAGGTCCCATCAGCAGCCGCACGCCTCATCGTCAACCCTACCCAGACGTCAACAAATAGCCGACGCAATGACGGCAACCCAGCTCATTCCTGGCTCTCCATCTGGGTTATCAACCACGCATTGGCAGCAGCAACAGCTGCTGCTGCTACAACAGCAGCAACAACAAGGGCGGCGTAGTGGCATTATCAACAGCAGCGGCGGAGGTGGTAATCAACTCAGCCAGTACGCCAGCTGGCCTCCGCCGGTCGGTTCGCCTCTTCCCTCCTCCCTAGCCGCTGCTGCCACCTCAATGAGCGGTGAAACCGCCGCCGACTCCACAACGACCTTCCCCGCCTCCTCCAACCCAAACCTCAACCACAACAACGCCACCCAACGAGCAACTGCCACCACAAGCCTCCGACATAAAACCGGCGGCGGCGGTAGCGGCAGCGGTGTCGCCAAGCCGCATGTCAGCATCAGCGGCATCTCCGCCGCCGCTGACGGCGACGACGCGGAGGGAGGCACGGAGGTAGCGACGGCTCGCACGAGCAATCGCAGCAGCAGCACGGGGGGCCAGGTGGTGTTTACCGGCGGCGAGACAGCAACGGGCGAGCACAGCGCAGGTGAGGGGTTGGGCGGGGGGTCCGATGGGCGGGGGGTCCGAGATAGACCAAACAGTAGGAAACCACAAGTAGGAAATCACAAGGCCAAAGCAATGGGGACAGGACGGGTGGGAGATGGGGTAGGGTACAGGAGCTCGGCCCGTGCCATGCCTCGACTTTGTCGTTGCACAACCATCCACATTAACTGCATGTACCGGTGCCATGAACTTCAACGGGCAACTATCTGGGGGCATTTTGCCTTTTGCCGCATGTGACGTACGTTATCTACATATGTGCACATACGTTCGTACCGTCTTGCCCCCATGTGTGTGTCATAGCTTTTACCGCCGTACACATATGCCGTATGTTCTGCTATGCCGTACAGTTGGCGTTGGCAACGGTAGCGGCAGTGGCACCAGCGGCAGCACCAACGGCGCCGCTGGCGGCGGCCACGCTGGCGGCGGCGGGCGCTACTGGCGTCACAGCTGGGCGACGGCGCCCAGCAGGGACAGCAGCCCGCCCAGCACGAGTGGCAGCACGCGCAGCACGGCGGCAGCAGCTGGCGGCGGCGGCAAACATGCAGCGGCGGCAGCTGAGGATGCGGCAGCGGCTGGACTGGGGCCTGAGATGCCTGCGCCCATGCCGTCTGTGGTGGAAGATGAGGGAGAGGGGGAGGAGGAGCTGAGGCCGGCGGCGGTGACAGCGGCGGCGGCAGCGCGGGAAGGGGACGAAGGTGGTGGCCCTGTGGAAGGTGGCGCTGGTCATCATGGGGAGCTAGGAGAGGACCGGGAAGGGGACGCCGTGGTTTTCGGGGCCGAGGGTACTGCTGGTGCAGGTGTTGCTGCTGGGGAGGCAGATGCGAGTGCGACTGGGGAGGCAACGGAGCCCTCCGAAGCTGTCGCCGCTGCGGATGTGGCAGCGGCAGCGGCGGAGGATGCCAAGGGCGGCGATGGCAGTAGCAGCAGCGACACCAGTAGCCGGAGGCGGAGACGCATGTTCGGAATCCGGAGCAGCAGCAGTAGCAGCAGTTCCAGTAGCGACGATAGCGACGATGAAGATCCCGTGTCAAAGGGAATTCGTCTGGCAGCTGAAAAAGCCAAGGCAAGGGCTAAAGCTCAATCCAAGGCGAAAGCAAAGGCGGCGACGACGGCGCGGGGGCCCTCATCTCGAAGGGCGCCGCCGCCACCGCCGCCGCCGCCACCGCCACCGCCGGCAATGTTCACTGATGAGGACTTCTCCGCCGCCGCTGACGACGCCGGCGCCGCCACCTGGCCGTCGCTGTACGGCAGCCTGGACGGTGTCGGCCGGCGGCGACTGCATCAGTATCGGCTGTGGCGAGCTCAACAGCACCTGGCACAGCAAAATGCGATCCAACAATACGAACAGCAGATCGAGCATGCGAAACAGCAAGGCGGCTCATTAAGTGGCCACCTGTCTCTGCCGGTACTGCCTGGAATCCACTACGGTACGGCTGTTGGCAACATGGATTACCAACGTCAGCAGGCAGAATCAACCCCGGCGGGGCCAACACCGCGGTTGGCGCCCGGCAGTACCGGATGGGGCCGACACGTGCGGCTTGAGGGAACACACCTCACAATGTCACTGCCCCCCGGGTTTGAGATCCGCTCGTCTCGGAGAGGAACGATCCTGGATTCCGGTAGCGGTCGGCCATCAGAAGCGTCATCCCGCAAGAGCTTTGGACGGGCTGCAGCCGGAGATCGGAGCGGAAGTGTACGGCGGAAGAGCAAGGGTCGCAGCAGTCTAGCCGCCGCAACCTCCACCAAATCCCTGCATCCCGACTCTCTGCGGCCTCCCAGTGCACATGACGCGGCTGCGTACGAGACAACAGATCTGGCGTACGACATGTACGACAGTAAGGCTGGATCAGCCGCCGTACTGGCGGCGCCGCCACTCGCACCAGCCGAACCGGTTGAGTCGGTTGTGTTGATGTCGTCACTGACAGCGCCGGTAATGGAGGAGGCCGAGCAGGCGGCGTTGTTGATCACAGAGCAGCCGAACACGCAGAGCTCGCCCCCTGCAGTGGCGGCCGCCGCTGCGTCAGCAGCAGCTGCTGAAGGCTATGTTTCCGATGGTGCAGGCGGCGGCGGTGGTGGCGGTGGCGTTACAGGGTTGGCAACAGCTAGCACGGCAGCAGACGGCCGGTCACTCCGCCGTGTCCGATCTAGCCTCGCCGGCAGCATTAAGAGCCATAACCACTCCAACAGTGGCGAGCGACGGCACCATGTGGACTTGGATAGCATGGTTCCCCTGGCGGCGGCGGCGGCGACGGCGTCATTGACATCTGACGGCGGCGGCGCCGCCGCCACCGCTGCTAACGGCGCCAGTGGCGGCGATGATGACCCCAATGGCGGCTATGCCGCGCGCCTCGACGCCAGCATGTGGGGTGGTCATCCCGAAATCCTGGGGGCTGACGGCGCCGCCAGGCCCCTTCGTACGACAAAGTCGTTCGTCATGCCAACGTCACGACGTATCGCGGACCGGTACAACAGCCGACGTAGCAAGGCCTCCTGCAGCGGTGCCGCTGGCAGCGGCGGCGGCGGAAGTCTCAGCGGGGCTGCAGTGAGTACGACAGAACTGACGGCGGCGATGGTGGCGGCGCCGCCGCCAACGCCGACGGCGGTGGCGATGTCCGGCGAACTGTTGTTTTCAGCGACGGCTGGTTTGTTGGCGTCGATGACGACTGCGTCTGCGTACGGCAGCATCAGCGGGGGTATTGGCGGCGGGGGCGGCAGTGGCGGCGGCATTGCTGAGGATCCGGTGTTGGCGCGTGTGATGGAGAAGGCGCGAAGGTACGGGAGCGGGAGGGAGAGCTGCAGGGTGGGAAAGAGTCGCGAAGGAATGGCAGCAGTTGCCTTGTATACATGGGTTTACCCGTATTCAACATACAAAACATAAGCAGTGCCGGTGCACCTCGCGTGTAATGCTGTTGTCGTACCTTGTCCTCTGTCGTACAGGCGAGCCGCGGAGGAGCGCGAGCGGCGCCGCAAAGCCGCCGCCGCCGCTGCCGCCGCAGCTGCCGCAGCTGGGCCCAACAGCGAGGAGGCGAAGGCGGCTCGGAGGTCGGATGGGGCGGCGGCGGCTGCGCTGACGGCGAGTGATAAGGTGGGTGCAGCAGTGGGGTGGGGGTGGGGGGTCGCCCTGTGTCCAGACCGTTATGAGCACTGATATCTATCCCTGTTGACATCCGTGCAGCTAGCTGGAGGCTGCGGCCATGCAGCCCATCTTCCTCCCTCCTCACACAGGTCTCCAACATGGTCTCAGCTGCTGTTGCTGTTTGTCCGCCAGCCTACATACCGATAGTTGGTTTTCTCTTTACCCTCCCCTCCCTCTACCCCTCCCTCACTCTCCGCCCCGCCCCCGCACCTCCCCGCCCCCAGGCCAAGGTGGCTCAGCTGCTGTTCCAGCGGCAGGCGGAGGACTGGGCGCGAACGCACCGGCAGTTCCCGCCGCGGCGGCACCTGGCGCCAGCGGTCACCAAGGTACGACGGCAGTGGGAAGAGCTGGGCATGGGCGGGGCCGCGTACCGTACGTTCCGGCGCTACCGTGCATCTGGGGGGTTTGCGTCAGGAAGGGGGTTAAGGCCATAGGGTCTACTACGCAGCGATTGCATCTTGGTGCGGCAGTAGTGGTTGTGCACGTGTGTGTGGTGGAGGCAGTTGGCAGCCGGGGTGTGACACACGTGTGTACACGTGTACGTGCGAGGCGGAACGTGCTGTGACACATGTGTTATGTGTCAGCCGTCACTAGGACCAGGGAGGCATGCTTGCAGGGCTTGCAGGGCTTCTTGGAGAACCGGGAGGGTGCGTTTGTTCTTGGGTCAAGGGGGATGCACCACCCGCTGGGCGCGGGTACCCTTCCTCCTCCCCACCACCCACTCCATGCTCCTAACACACCATGTGCCATCAATTTATGGTACCCGCCCGACCTTCCCTCCCCTCGCCTGGTCTCACCTCCCCAGATGGTTGAGCAGTGGTTCGCGCTGGTGGACGACGACAGCAGCGGGCAGCTGGAGGGCAGGGAGCTGGCAAACATGCTGCGGGTGGGGCTGGGGGTGCGGGTGGGGGTGCGGGTGGGGGTGAGGGTGGGGATGAGGGTGGGGATGAGGGTTGCTGCTGCGAGGGGTTGCGCTGTGCTACAGTAGTGGCGACCCTTGTTGAAAATGCCAGGTGAATGAGCAAGTTAAAGTCGAGTCGAGTCGAACGTGCAATGGTCTAACATTTGCCAGACCTTACTTTACGTGAGGGGGAGGCGCGGAATTTCCTTGAGCCGGCCCGCTCCACCGCTCTCACGCCCCTACCTCCCTTGCTGTCCGTGATGCCTCCCTGCCTCCACGTCCCTCCCCTCGCTGCTTCCCCCTCCCATGTCCCATCCCCTCCTCCACATGTCCCTTCCCTCCCCCCCCATGCCCTCTCCCCTCCCCCCTCCCCCCCCAGGCTGCCGGCGTGCCCTGCAGTGTGGAGGACATCCTGGAGCTGGTTCGCTTCATCGACATCAACCGGGACGGATCCGTCAGCTGGACGGAGTTCCAGTCGTTCCTGCTCAAGGTAAGGGGGTGAGGGGGCCCGAGGCTGGGCTGGGCTGACCCTTGATATGTCATTCATAGAGGCATGTCCCTGTGAGTTTCCATTATCCTTCATGGTACCATGGTATTTTATACTTTTACCCCCGCCCCCGCTCAGTTACCTAACCCTCGCCCCTGCTCAGCTGTCTAACCCCCAATCCCTCTCAGTTCACCCTTAACCCCCGGCCCCGCCTGCTTACCGGCACACAGGAGCTGGGGGCGGGCAAGAGCCTGATCGAGGGCGAGTACGTGATGCCCTCAGGCAAGCGACTGCCCTTCGGAGCCATGATCTCACGACTGAAGCGGCTGCGGGTGCTGGACGATATCATGAAGGTGGGTGGCGCGGTGGTGGCTGTGGCGGCTGTGTGCGCGAGGGCGCAATACCTTGCGTTGTCACGCTGATTCGCACACACTGACCCGTGGGTCATGACCTCTTTCCATGCAACCACCTGCACAGGGCGGATCGGCTCGCAACCGCTACGTGGACATGTTGTACAACCGGGAGGCGCTGGCGGCTGAGATGGGGTGCGAGGGGAGGGCAGGCGTGACCCACGGGTCACCACGCCAAAACTGTAGATACCGCTGTCTTAGGAGGAGGTGGAAACGTGGAGTAGGGGTGGGAGGGCGCCCTGGAATTTTTGCTTTTGTGGCCATTGCTGCCTTTGGGTATTAACCTTTCCCGCCCTTCTCCTTCCTCGCATTACCTGTATATTCCTTCCCACTTTGCTTTCCCCTTCCCCTTTCTCACTTGGCTTCCCCCTTCCCCTTCGCCCTCCCCTCCCTCCCAGGCTTACCCTGGAGGCTGCGTCCCTAATCGCCGAGCCACGTAAGTGCACAGCTCCTAGGGACGGGGCAAAGAGGGAGTCGCCCGTCCTAAGCTTAGGTGGATCAAGGAGGAGGAAAGCAACCACTATTCTGGCAAGGCTCCACCGCGAGACGCATCGTGGATGGGACGGGGGCAAGCAGGCGTGCGACAAACCGCAGCAGTGGTTTAGGAGAGTAAGGAAACCAGCTTTAGAAGCCCTGATCCGAACACGAGACCACGTAGGACAGAGGCAACGGACAAAAGGAGGGTTGGCGTATTCTTTAGGACTCTCGCCATCTCATCTCACCACACTACCCTACATGAGTAGGCGACCACCAAGCAACGTTTCCCTTGCCCTCACACAAAACCAACTCTTTTGGTTCGTGCCAAACTGCTTCACTATATCCCAATTGCTTTGCTCTAACCTGTGGTTCTGCAGTATATTTTCTACCTCCCCCCCTTCACCCGCCCCCGCACACGCCACCCCATGCAGCCTCCGAGTGGGAGGCGGGCTCCCAGAGTGACAACAACAACAACTCCCCAACCAACACCGCAACCACCGGCTGGCGCGCCAACGGCCACCAACGGCTGCAGCACCTCTTCCAGAAGGAGCTGGCGGCGCAGGAGGAGCACTACCGGGCTCTGCGGGAGCAGCAGGTGGGGGGAGGGAGGGGGAGGGAGGGAGGGGGAGGGAGGGAGGGGGAGGGGGGGGGGAAGACGGTATTGCAGTAGCTGTGGGAGAGGAGGTGAGGCGAACGGCTGTAATGCAGCAGGTATGGGAGTTGGTAGGGGTTCAGGTGCCCGGTGTGGGGTTGTAGGGGGAGCAGCAGCGGGAGGAGCGCTGCCGGGCATTGCGGAAGCAGGAGATGTGTGTGAAGGGCGGGGATGGGAAATACGATATATAAGCTGGGTGGTTGTGGTGGCTGGTTGTAGTGGCCCCGGGTATTGGGGTTGGGTCAGTGCCGCGGGGTGTCCGGGGTGATGGGCGCGGCAGGAGCGCGGCGGTTGTGGGTTTAGGAAGCGAACAGGCAACATGTCGCAATGCAGCAGGTGGGGGTGGTGGGCGCCGGAATCCCGCCCAAACGAAGTTGGCTGTCATAAGTACGCAGCGACTGTCTTTCTAGGTCTATTGCCGATAACTTTTTGCGCTCCCCCCCCAATGCTCGTGTGTTCCCGCCTGCGCTTCCCCCCAACCTCCCCCAACCTCTGTACCCTTTCCCCAACCCCCACATAGGAAGCGGAGCTAGCCGCGGCCCGCCAGAAGGAGATCCGCGCGCAGCAGGCGCAGCGCCTTGCCCTGCTGGCCCAGCGGCATGCGGAGAGGCTGGCACGGGAGGCGGAGGAGCGGGAGAGGGAGGAGCGGGAGGAGCGGGAGCGGGAGGAGATGGAGGGAGGAGGGGGAGGGAGCAGGCGGGGGTCACGGGTGGCGGCGGCAGCGGCGGCAACTGCCGCTGCGGATGATGGCATGGCGGGTGCGGGAGCAGCTGCAGAGGAAGGGGCAGGAGGGCGGAAGGAGGAGGAGGCGGAGGCAGCAAGGGTGAATGGCGCGGTGGAGAGTGGCGGGGAGCTGCAGCAACAACAGCAGCTGCAGGGAGAGGAGGCAATGGCAGCGTCAGAGGCTGAGTTGGAGGCAGCAGCGGCGGCGGTGGCGGTGGTGTTGGACGATCTCACAACGCTGTTTGAACTAACAGAGGTGCGCAAGGGTTGCTGAAAGGCGGAAACAGAAAGATAAGGGGAGCGCCCGAACCCCAACTAGAAGAGGGTTTAGGTAAGGGATGGTTTTACTGGCTTGGGGTTATGGGTCACAACGGTTGAGGTTGGTTGAAGTGCGTTGCAAAAGGATTATGCCACCAACCAGCTTTTTCCTTATGTTTTCGCTACTGACCCATGGGTCACGCACGCAGGTCGATCTGCCAGCTGAACCGCCGCGACCCCCTAACGACGATGACGGTGTAGCGAACGACAGGTCCGCCACCGCCGCCGCTGCCGTTGACGGCGCTGACGCTGACGGCGAGCATTCAGACGCCGCCGAGGGCGCTGTCGCTGTCGCTGACGACACTTGTACGACACAACCGCCTCCCGTCGACGGTGACGCTAACGCCGCCAACACTAGCAAAGGGCTGTTGCCTCCGCTAGCGTTTCCCTCGGCTCCTTCTATCAAGCGACCGGATACGCGTGCGTTCCAACGGGCGTTGCTAACCGTGCGGCACAGCGCACCCGCGTACCTACTGCAGGTGTGTCGTACGTTGGGGGTATGTGTACTAGGGAGCGACCCGTGGGTCACATAGCATGTATCGCGGCGTGTGCTTCCGTATGGAACCGGGCGTTACACTAATCATGTGTACGACACAGCGCACAGTGCCGCGTACCTGATATATGTGTGCGTTACTGCAATGGTGTTTATAGCGCGCCCCCTTACTACTTTCCCGCATGCATGGTGCCCAGCACATGGCCCATTCGTCCCCTCCTTCTACATGCGCAACATGCGTCATTTGCATCCTCACCGCCTTGCGCCCTCCTCCCGTACCTCACCCATGCAGCGATTCGGCATGCCCGGCCCTCGGGAGGCAGCCGCGGCGGCGGCGGCCATAGCCGGCCCCACCGCCCCCCTGCCGCCGCCGCCGCCGTCGCCGTCAGCAAGTGGGCCCCTCTTGACGACGTCACTGTCCTCGACGGCGCCGCCGGAGATCTTCCGCGGACGCACGCGTACGACAGGCTGCGGCGCCAGCAGCCGCCGTCGTACGAGTGGCAGCGGTAGAACATCGTACCATGATCCTCATGCTTCATCGTCCGCCATCGCAGCTGAGCAGAGCTACGAGAGCAGCACTAACACGTACGGAGGCGTCGGGTTGGGAGGAGAGATGTCGTACGAGTTTTCGACTACTTCGTTACCCTCTGCCGCCGCTGGTACCGCCGTCAGTGGCGGCGGCGCGGCCTCTGGCAGCGGAGGTTGTACGGCATCGTCATCCGCGTACTTGTACGGCGCTGGATTTAATCGCTATCGCAGATGGAGTATGTATGCCATAGATCCCGCCGCTGAGAATCCTGATTACTGGCAGGTGAGGCAGCAAGTGCACGCAGGCGTGAATGCAACTCTGCCCTCTGTATGAGCTGAATCACTCATTCAGCAAGCACTTTTTGCGGCACCGGGACTCCGTTTCCACTCCGCCCTCTTCGCATGCATGCTAACTTGTGTAGGTGATTGTTTGTTCGCCGCTTGCCATACAGTCGCAATCGCGTTGCCGCCCATTGTTGTTTGTCGTACACTGCTTTCAAACGCTCGCGTTTGATGAGGATCTTAGTGTTAATTAGGCTCATGATACAATTTGCCCTCATGCTGCCCTCCCCCTGACCCCGCCCCCCCGATCCGAACAGGCCAAGGCCGCAGCCCTCCTGATGCGACGAACCCGTCGAGCCTTCCTCGGCGTCCCCGGAGCCGGCGGCGCCGCCGCCGCTGCCGCCGCTGCCGTCGCAGCGGCGGCTGCCGCCGCCGCCAAGGACGCCGACGGCATCGCCGCTATTCGATCGCGATCCGCATCGCCGTCGGGAACTCTCAACCGCCCGCGCAGCCATCAACATCCGAATAAAGGTCGCAGCGGCCGGGGCGGCCGCGGCGGCGACAACTGTCATTTACCAAACCTAACGGCGTCAGGTTTCAGCAGTTCCCTTCGCTTCACATCTTCAACCGCTGCACGTGCCGCCTCCGCTGCCTCCGCGGTTGTCTTGGGCAGAGCCTCCGTCGCAGCGGGAGTCCCCATCTTTTTCAACGATCGGGACGCTTACACCGACGATGACGATGGCGGCGGTGAAGAGGATGAGGAGGTGGATAAAAAGCCGGGCTCCGCCGCCAACGGTACGACAGCGTCAACCACGGCGGCGGCTGTCGTACGCAGTTCCATGCGCGACAGTGGCGGTGGCGGCGGCGGCGCTACAAGGAGAATTAGCGGCGGCAGTGGCGGCAGCGGCGGCGGTCCCGTACATCAGTATGTACGGAAGCCGCAGCCACAGGCGCATCCTAGGGCGGCCGCGGCGGCGGCGGCGATACGGCGGCGGCGGCCGCTACCGCAGGGGATGTCGGGGGCCGTGGCTGCGACGGAAGGAGGCTGTGGTACACCGCAATCGCAGATAATGCAGGTGAGGTGCCTGAAGGCGGCGTCCTGGGGCGTTGCCCTTCCGATACCGGAACCACCCTCGCATACAAGTACGCTTGTGTTTCTTGCCGTGTATTTCCTTTTCGGTGTGCCTCGATGTACTTGATATACCGGTATTTAATGTACACCCGAAAAGCCCTAATGCTTGCAGTTGTCCCCGCTGCTGCTCACTCTTCGCCCCGCTCTACGTCCCCGCTGCTGCTGTCCCCTCTGCATGCAGGCAAGCAAGCACAGAGTCGTCATCGCATCCCCGCACTCATCCCTGTCTACACCTCCGCCCTCGCACCAGCAACAGCACTCCCCACTCCTGCAACATCATCCCAACCAACTGCAACCGCAACTGCAACCGCCGTCATCACCACAAGCACAACCGCAGCAGCTGTCGTTCCAACCGGCGCTGCCGCCCCAACGGTCCTCCCCTCAATTTCCCCCAGTCGCATAGCGTGCCGGTTGAAGTTACTGGCTGTTTGGGATTTATACTTATGGTTTAGTTTTAGTGTATTAATACGGTTTGTCATGTGAAGTCTATGTTACACTTGCGGGATGTACGTCGTTGTGCACGCACGTATGAACCCCCTCCGCACACTGACAGGGCCGCCATGCTTACTGAGTGCCTGCATGTGCACAACATACAGATGTGTGTAGACGATACACATGCCGTTGGTACTGATGCTTGCTGACGTGTCGCCGTATGCGCCTACCGTTGGAGAGCGCGCACGCGAGGCGTTATAGACGCAATTAGTTTCCTGGAAGCTGTTTCTGCTGTTACTGCTGTTACTGCTGCTGGAAATGTGCGAGCGGGTGACATCATTCGCTGCTGATGCGGGTACGCAAGTGCTCTGGGAAATGGGGTTGCATGCGGTTAGGTACATCATGCTGCACGTACACTTTACACGCCCTATAACGTTACGCATAGCACACGCTGTGGGAGGGGGGGACCGGAGGGGAAGGTCTGGCTGTTGGCGAGGTAGGGTTATATACAACGATGCCAGAGTATTTTAAGCTGTAGGTGGGGTGGGGTAAATAAAGGTTGGTGTGGGGGCGGAGCAGGGCGCACCTCTCACCTTCTCCCCTGCCCGACAGGCCCCTAGTTTTTCTTGCCCGGCTTTTCCCAGGCATGTAGGAATGGCTATGTTTCACTTGTTCAGACGGGTTGACTTGGTATTACAGCGCGTTTCAACCGGAACGGTGTGTTGCTTGGTTTGTGATTCTCGCGCCTTGTGTGTTCATCAGTAAATGCAGGCAGGCTGTCTTGACTCGTGAGCCGCACTTGCATGCATCCTTTTGAACTTTATGTTTACAGCCAATGGTTGATTGCACGACATGGGGCAACGCGTTTGGGGTACGACATTCTCTGTGCCCGGCAGCAGCAGTATGCTGTGCTTGTCGTCCCCTTCTTTCAGTGTATATACATTAGGTCTGCTGCTTCCTGCCATGCCGCTGCAAACCTCGGCGCTTTTCCGGCCGTACACTTGGTGTACGTTGGCTGCTTATTAGTGATGACATCGCCCTGAAAACTAGCGTGGCGTGGGTACGTGGCAAGTGGTCTTAAAGACAGTTGACGATGGCAATTAGTTATCATAGTTGTGTGGAGCAGTATAATGTACGTGCGTGAATTGTGGTGTTGAGAGGAGTTAGACGTGTTTTGCCCTCTTGGCTTGGGGGTGTGAGCGGGTTGGGAAGCGGCGGGCCGCTGCCAGGTTTGCTACGCAGCCTTGGATGTCAGCCGAGACTGCAACCTGGGCGGTCGCTGTGTCGATCCCAGCAGGAGGATGGAAACCGCGTAAGGTCCTTCCCCATGTGTCGATTGTGTCCTCTCCTGCCCCAGCGCTGAGTCCCTCGCAGCGGCAGCAGCTGTGTTTGTCGAAGCGTGCAGCCGATGTTATGATGCGGCTACCGATGGGGGCAATCCTGTTGATCCGCTGTGAATGTTGTAGACTCTCTTGCTTCCAACTGATCAGAAAGCACATCTCGTGCATGGCAGAGGTAAATAGAGGCAGCTAAGAGACCCAGCACCAGTTACAAAGGTACCAGTCCAAAATCCACTCTTATGCATACATGCTGTTTCTTCTCCGTTAGAATGAACGGGCCAAGGTGGCAGCCAGGGGAGAAAAATGCCACTTAGCCCGAGCTTCCATAGCTTGCAAAGCAAAAAGCCGGGGAGTATAGTGTCCAGGAACCCGAACACGCTTCTCCTCTGCTCTTGCATCCTTGCCTCAAAACCCTCCGCTAGTATCAAACACCCAGTGTGTTTTTAGTCCCTCTTCTGAGAACGCTCTACTTGAGGGCTAACTTCCGCCGCAGGGCAATGCCCATTACACATATGACAACACACATACATGCAGGGCCATCAACCCATGCGCCGGTTAAAGTTTCCCCAAAGGACCCTTCCGTTACCACCTCCCATATCAACCATAGCGTAGGACGAGCAACGTCCAGTACCAACGGTCAATCAACCAACCGACAACACCCTACCCGCCGGCACCCACACCGCTGCCCCTGCTGCTGCTAAAGTAGCATTGCCGGTTGCAGGCACAGAGCGTACGCGTCTGAGCTGTCGCTGCCTCTGCTGCTCTGTACTGTGTCGTACATGTACGACACACGAGGGGCACATGTGTCACCGCGGCGGTCGCTGCAGCAGCTACAATGGGCAGCTGGAGGTTTACCAGTAGCCCTGGCGGCGGCCCTGCACGCCGATCTGGCCCAGGGTGAGGGTGAGGAAGAGGCCGATGTGCCAGGTGATCATGTAGAGCCTGGGGTGGGAGCGATGCATTCACGCGGGGGATGGGCAGGTAAGTAGGGAGATCAGGTAAGGATGAATGATCGGTCTGCGGAACTGACCCTGGAACTACAAGGGAGGGCGAGTAGAGGCGAAAGCAAGGGTGTAAGAAATCAACGATATGTTTATGGGGCCTAAAGGGCCATAATTAGCCACATTGAGGTTTAGGGAAGGCACTCGGCTTACCAGAACTTGTCGTCCAGGGCAGGGCCGGTGGGGAAGTGCGCCAGGTTCTCGCCGATGGACTGCGTGAACAGACCGAACAGAGACTGGCCGCCGAAGGCTGGGACGCCGATGTTGGAAGGGATGGTCCAGCTGTAGGTGCGGGCAGGAGAGCGCAAGATTGAAGGAGGACAACAACGACACTAGGAGCAGAAGTTGGATGGATACAAAGGCGATGTGTGGAGTAAGCAGCATAAACATGGAGGCCGGGCGGTAACCTTTATGTGCACCAGAGAATGGAGTCTAAACTAAGCGCCTAGTCCAAGACGCTGTTTGCTTCGGTGGGAAGGGGGGGCATTCAATGAGGGATCGACCAAATGTGGCCTCTTTGTCGCGCAGAATGCGCCGCGAACTGCAGCCACGTTATCACAGTAAGACTCTGCAAATAAGCCGCTTGATGCAAACGACGACAATGCGAGCAAGGATAGGCTCCTGGTTCGCTGGATGACTTACCCAGCGAAGCCCAGGACGGGGACGAGAGGATCCGTCTTAATCCAGTCCCGGGGGAAGGTCCGGTTGCTGCATGTGAAGTAAACGGAATTGTCACTATATTGGGTCACATTCTTGCACTTAGCCGCGGTTGTCGCGATAAAAACAAATGAAGGTATGGCTAGTGGATTCAAAGCGCCTATATTAAGCCTTCTCACCTAGCCTCAGCGCGCACAATCACAGCGCGGCGCGAGACGCGGGGGCGCTGGGCCAGGGTCGGCAGAGCCGAAGCACGGGTAGCGAGGGCGGCCATGGTGTCTCTGTATACGGGCTTGAAAGAAAATACAAGTATTCTCACTACACAGAGACTTCTGCTCTGACGCTGTGATAAGAAGGCAGATCTTATTGAGGGCCTTATTCAGTGCTGCTTGCTTCTTTGCCCAGCGGAAAATACAGCTCCTAACACGACGAGGCATTGTACGCATTGCAAGCTTTACTGTCACCACTTGCTGGCAACTTGACAAACAACCATGCAAGCGATGACCTTTGCCACCAAACTTTTCAATGGTTGGAGCCCAATAAAAATACCAACACCATAATGATCTTAATTACCTTTAACCCGTGCAAGTCAAGACCGCGCTCTATCCGAACGGAGTAGCGCTGGCCCTGGGGCATGCATACTTCACAGCCTTTGCCCTGCTATCCCTGAGTAGACCCGCATCAAAATCTTGCCTCGACACCACATTTATTGAAACACATCAGCCTTTATGACCGGGAATGTTACAGCCCCAAGCCAGCTACGTAGTACCGGTACTTTGTCCCCTTTGATGGGTCCTGCAAGGCCGTTCGGGCATGCTAACAGGGTCTAGCCAAAAGGTTGACATCCTGCCTTCTCTGCAACATACAGTCAGCCATGGCTTTTCTTATGCACTGTACGACGCCGTACACTCTCTCCTTGTCCTGCCCTTCCAGTGCTCTGTTTACAGTATTGCTCAACAGTGCCATCGTCCGCCGTCTAACGCATATCACCACGCTCCCAACCTCCGTGCCGCCGGGTAGGGCATTCCCACATGCCACAAGCCAGCGTCTGAACGCATGGGGTCACCAGTTACCGCTCAACGGACGGAGGAGGTCCAAGTCAGGTATACAACAGGTGCACACATGCCGCAATTCGCACGCATGAACAGCAATACTTCAGATGTACGACGGTACGGTAGCGGTAGGACAAGTGACGGCTATGTCAGTGGCAATAAACACGGCAGGGGCAGCATCTTTTGGGTGCTTGCCGCTTCCATTGCAATGTACCACAACACCAGGTATGTTCTTGCTCAGAAGCCTTATGAGCTCCAAAGAGAAGTCTCCGCATGTGACGTAGTCGCTACCAAAGAGAAACCCAGGCAAACGGACGAAGCCGCAACCCCTGCCGAGCACAACAGCCCTATGGCAATCCCTCGCATGATTGCGGCAACATAATTCCTGGGCGAGGACACATGCAGTGCTGATAGTAATACAAAACCCTGAACGTCAGCCATGTAAGTTATCTTGACACGAAATGTCGATCGCAGCAGTACGGAACTGTTGCCGTACTGTAGTACTGCACATCACGACGAACAACCGGCAACAAGCAAGGAGGTGATTAGGCGGGTAAGATGCATAATCGTATGCTCCTGATGCCCGGCAGGCCAACCATACGGGCTTTGTAACATCCAAGTGTTTGAAAATACCTTAAGGTGGCGTAGACAATAGCGGTTTTTCTCTCACGCCATACTACTTGAGAGCATCTGTGATACGATCAACCGACGTATGACCGGTACCACAACCGATTGCCAGCCCCATTCAATGGAAGCAGTACCCATGCCCGCATGTACGGAAGGTGTACGACAGACTTGCCATTAACCAGGACACTTGCATGCCGTACCTAGTTGCTCTAGCCGCATTAGGAAGACGGAACACATATACTTAGCAACGAGCCAACCATACAAACATTCGCATGCCTCTTTATTCAATATGGTCCTTAAAAACCCAAAGATCTGGAACAGGGACAATCATGTGTTACTGTCCCCTAACGGCACACACCCACAAATGAACGTATGCATGTATGCACCGTACTAACTGAAGTACACGGACAGGTTAGTGGCACTCGCTGTACAGCCGTGCATATCGTACAGTCTGGGTCGTAACAATGACGGTCCTCCTGCTGACGGCCGTTGGTGCTCCAGCCATGCCACACCGGCTTCCAACAACGGTAATAGTTGCGCCCAACTAGCAGCAGAACGGTACCTTCAACACTGCCGCACCGCCATTGGTTGCCCCCCTTCCTACCGGTGCTTCTGCCCTCCTGCGCACACCAACATCATTCATGCTTCTGTAATATCACACTGCTGTGTGTTGTTTGGTGCATGCCGTACGTACAACACTGCTAACTTCCATTCAGCGAAAAACACCCTGTAGACTTACAAACGAAGAATATGGCAATCGGACGCATACACACCTACATACGTTTCTAATCGCGGCCAGTCTTCATAACACAGCGCCCGTGTCCACCGGCGGCCTACTCGGCCCTCCCTGCCTCCACTAACGTCCTTCGCTTCCCCACTGAAATAATACGTACACTTGCGCTTGGATGCTTCTGGTGTATGCTCCCCAAGTCTTGATAATTTGTTCCCCCCCCCAACCCTACTCGCCTGCATCCATCCTCGCTGTCGGTGTTACTTTCCTGCTGCCTCCTTCCTTGAGCTGTCCTCACACCCAGAACTGAGGTGGAGGGTGGAAGAGTTCAACTCCGTTCGTCCAGCAAACAACCACCAACTAACCAACGGCACGCACCAGAAGCGCATTAGGCAGCGACCTCCACGCCGCCGCCACAACTGGTCGATACCTCAACAATGCAGCGTGAGCAACGCGCATCCCACACACACCCTCGCATCACATACCCTCCCTTCCGCACACGCATCACCCCAAACAGCGCACCTCGTCGCCGAGATTACTCACCAACACCGCCGACAAACCGAAACATGCATGCATCGCATTCGCCTTGTAAGGCCCACAGCAGCAGGTAGACATCCATGTAGGATGTCTGTCGCCACAGCGGCCTCGGTCCCCAGCCCTCTTCCACGCACTTCGTTCTTCACCACACCTCCCTAAGCAACCAACGTAAGAGTACAGGCAAAGGCCTTCTCCAACACATAGTCGTTAAGTGTTCCAACCACACCCAGCAGCCACGCACACCACGCGCCACAGCTGCCCTAACCATCGCTCTGCTGCCGCTGTGACTTCCATGCATGCGGCTGACACCCAGCGCAACCGCCCACATGCCCCATGCACCCATCATCACCGCCAACCCAGCGGAAATGCATGCAAACCAAGCCCTGCATGCTGATTTCCCACGATCATTCCGCAGCATTGCACCTGCCTCGTATCATTATAAGCCACGCTACGCATGCATACGTAAGCAGGTAAAACTCAGGAAAAAGCCCCTGAAGTATTGTGTACGGCATACATGCGCAGCCGGCATACTTCGCGTCTCTGTAACGCATGCGCATAGATGACGAACAATAGCTAGTGAACCTTCTCCATACACGCAAATAAAGCAGCAGGCAAGCAGGTTTTGCACATTATACCCCTCAGATCGGCACCGCACCACACGTATCCTCTTCCACCCATTCCGCCATCCGTACAACAACACCCAATCAAAGAGCTTTCGTACAACAGCCCTACTAGACGACATCCGTACACTTCATCTTGGACAGATTCGTACGCTGATCCCGCCGTACATAATAACCATATGTAAGGTGCAATTGAAACGATGATCCTAATGCAAACAGCGCCGTAATGCCAGGGATGGCTAGGGAGAGAAAGAAAGAGAGGCTGCAAAGTAGCAATGAGCAGGAACGTGGAGTTCGGTTGGCGCAATGTCAAGGAGGTTGCAACCAAGGAGAGCTACATCGCATCTCGTAGATGACTTAAGAGGGAAGCAAGGTAAGTAGAAAATGAATACCCTCGAAACAATCCATACTATTTCTTGCTACTCCTTTCCTTATATGCATCGGCCTCTTCTTGGCTAAGCAGCGACAGCGACCCACGGGTCACGCAGTTTGTTGTGCAACGCCAGAGGCGGTAAACACACACACACACACACATTCCGTTTCGCCTCGCGGCCAGTTATTTTAACACACACATTCCGATTCGCGGCAAGGCTTGTAACGCACACATAAGCCCCATGGAGCCACTACGTCGTAAAGGATAAGTATCCAGCAAATTGTGCGGAGCCCCTTGCCTCGTGCGCTTTGCGGTGCCCGAGCAATCAGCTTGTCTCCTCTAGCACAGACCTGCCCCATGCATGCCTGCCCCAAGCGCCACAACCCCCATGTCCCTTTCCAACCAACCCTAGTTTCTCCGCAGAGGCCGCCCCCTCACAAACGCGCCGAAGCCTTCTTTTCGCACCCCTTGGATTTTGGCAAGGTGCCAAAGCAAACAGTGTTACGCTCCTCTCTACAACTTACCAACAGTGCTGTCCAGCAACTTCTTGCTGAAAACGCAAGCAGCCTCGGTAAACCTTGCACGCCAGTAGCAGCCGCATTCCCAACCACCAACAAACCCCAACCCCTTGAGCCCCAACCAACCCCGAACAACAATACTCTGCATATGAAGCAACCCACCAGTGGACGAGCGAACTCCCTTATTTGTTCGCTCTGAGTCGTCGTTTGAGGAGCATCTGACGTTTCCACCTATCGCCATATAACAAGTTTAGAGCCGTCTCACTATGACCATGTAAGAGTATCGATTGGGTGCCAAACGGAGGTAGCCAACAGAGAAAAGGCACACCAGGTACGACACCCAACCTTCCGTACAGCCTTGGATGGCTCCACAGCCGCATTACGTGTTCATGAGAGGATCCTCTTCAAAGTAAGCAGAGCTGCTAAACATGTAATCCGTACAGCTTTGGCGGCTTCGCATTGTGTCGGCGTTCCTTCGTTTCCGACCTTACCGTACACCCCACCTTAGCTTGCCGTATCGCTGCACATTTGCTCCTTCACTACGCCGCTTCCAAGGCACAGCTGCTGGCTGTAGCAGCAGCAGCAGCGGTGGCGGGAAGAGGTGGAACCATGCCTTGTTCTTCAGGTGAGGTAGGCAGTACGGCAGAGGAGCCTTTGAATTGTCGGAACTTCTTCTTCAATGCGGCACGCCAACCGCTACTGCTCCTGCCGCCGCCGCTGCCGACACTGCCACCGCTGTCGCTCTCAGCGCCGCCGCCACAGCTGCCATTGGGTAAGATGAAGGCAGCGGCGGATGGGGGAGACGAGTCGGCGAAGCCGGGGGCTGTGGCGGAGCGGACGTGAGTGGAGAAGGAAGCATCGCTGCTGCGGGGGCCTTGGTGGCCTGCGGTTGTGGCGAGGGCGTCCGTCCGGCAGCGAAGGGACGTCAGGGCAGGAGCGGGGTGGGTATACAGGTGTGTTGGCGCTACAGCCACGTTGCTATCCGAACTGTTGTTACACAGGGACTGACCGTGTCAGCGCCTTACTTGCATCATACCGTAACCATCCAGCTCCATGTCTGCAGCCCATCAGTGTAAATACAGCACAGCACAGGGACAGTACGTCCTAGCCATCCGGCTAAGCTGGCTCCGGTCCTTGCTTACCTGATGACGACACCGATCCGTCCTTCTCCACCACCGCTGTAGCTATCCACGGTTGTTGCTGCTGGTGCAGCGGGTCAGCTTCCCCTCCCTGCGACCGAGACACGCCCCGAGCCTTCCTCCTCAACTCCTCTTCCTCCTCCTCTTCCTCCTCCTCGTCACCATCTTCTTCGTCTTCATCTTCCATTTCGTCGCCGTCAACAAACCCCGCCGCCGCCAGCCTCGCTTGCGCTGCCGCCGCTTCAAATTCCGTCGTCGTCGTTATCGCCATGGACCCTCGGCCGCCACTGGGCCTCGCCGGCTTACGAGTCGACCGTCGTGCCTTCGGTGCTGCTGCAGGCGGCGGATTTCCCGACATCGCCGCAGCGGCGGCGAGTGCGGCAGACGAGGGCCCGCTGGCTTCCGGTATCTCCTCGGCCCATTGGGCCGCGTCCACGCTCTTCAGCCGTGAACGGCTCGTGCCGCTACCGCTGCCGACAGGCTCCGCAGCTGACCCAGCCGCCAGCTCACCCTCACTGGGGGGCGCAGATCCTGGGAGCGCATAGTGCGTCTGGAATTGCTGGCGGTACAGGTAGTAACGTTCGCGATGAGGCGCCTCGGAGTAACGACGACTGACAGCGCCGGGCAGGTTGCGGTGCGGGTCGTTTTGAGGATTGGGGCGGGGTCGGCCGCTGCCACCGCCAGTTCCACTGGCCGTACGACTGCCGGTCCGGCTGGTGGCGTTACTACCGCTGCAATAACCGTCATCGTCATCGTCGTCGTCCTCGTCTGCATCTTCGGCATCAGAAACGTCGTCGTCAGCGCCATGTTGACATGCCGGGCCTGCCTTTTTGTACAACGCGGCGGGTAGTTGTACGGCAGCCGGTGTCGATGCTGATGTGGACAGAATTACACGGCCGGAGGGTGGAGCAGGGCTTAACGAACCGAGGATGGTTGCCGTACGTTGTCCCGTCAGGGATGACAGTGATGTCAAATGACCCGATGGTGAGGATGCAGAAGCCGGGTGAAGGTGGGTAATGGTCAATGGCTGCGGTGGTGGCGGCACCGGAACCGTCGAGGAGGACATTTTGACACGGCTGCTGTTGCTCCTGCTGGCGCCGCCGCTGCTAGCGCTGCTAGTCGCAGTTGGAAGAAGGTCACGGTGGGCGATGCTCACACAGCCGGGAAGCGGCGGCGTGCCTGGCGGGATGACGACTCCAGGCGGGTTGGCTGGATCTGCTGATGATCTGCCATCGTCATATTGCCCGTCATCGAAATCATCAACGTCGTCATTTTCATCGTCATCGGAAAGGCTCATAGGGCCCATTGCATGCTTGTTGGGCGAGCTGAGGGGACCACGATCCTTCCGCGGTGATAAGGAGGAAGCGGCGGCGGGAGCCTTGAGGGCGGGTCGCTGCGGGTATGGGTTGTAAGATGGGGCGTGTAAGATTTCGTCTACGGCCCGAGTGCGGCGTAGGCCATGATCGGAATTGGATTGCTGCAAAGCGGCTCAGTCGGCTTCGCCAGCGGTCCTAATTAGGACCACGATTGTAAGATGTTTGCAAGAATTGCATTGTATCGTATATGTGCATACTATTGTGCTATTTAAAGCGAGTTCTCGTCGAACTTGGCCGTTGGCGGACGTGCTAGCTCGCGCCCATTGCATACCGGTAATGCATATTGTCTGGCAACATACACACCGGTACGGGGCTAGGTTAAAGCATTATAGGTTATTACACGTATACTTCAAACCAGAACATTGTTTTCCCATGTCATACAAGGTCAAAGCGACCCGGGCAGGCAGGCAGCCACAAAAGCCCAACCGTGCTCATACCGTTGGTTGTTTATCTCGAATATATTGGTTCACTGGCTTTTCGCTTATGTTGATCATAGCGGTTCCGTCCTGCCAGTCAAAGTCCTCGACATCCTGCGCCATGACGCCCTGCGGCGGACTCCCGTTACCGGGCTCCTGGCCTCCAATACAAACTCCCAACGAGTATGACTTGAACGCTTATAAAAGTGTGGGGCGCCCTGCTTGGCTTTAAATACAAGGTAACGAGAAGGCGCAACTGACCAAACGGCGAGCGAGCGTCGACGGCAGGTCAAGTGACGCGGTTCTGAAATCTGCCTATCTTAATGGAATCCTGTCCACTTCTTAATAATCGTGGCGGCTGTATAAATTGACATCTGACGGCCGCTTGGGCTTTGGGTGGCCAGATACGGTACGGACGCTTACGGTCGGTTCACGGCTTGGGGCTGTACGGAAAGCCGAAGGGCAGACGAAGGAATCGTCTGATTGTGTGACATACAGACGTGCGCTACTTCCAAATCAGTGCGCTACAACGTCGTCGACAACAATGCAAGTCGGTCAGCCAGCCCGCAACCGTTCCTAGCGCCGGGAGCCTAGCTAGTTAACTGCCACTACCTGCGAAGCGACCCAAATCGGATCTTGACCCACATCGAAACAATTATGCCTGACTGATCAAAACCGCCATTCCACTTCCACAATCGGCGCAAGAAAACGTTTCGCATAAGTACAATCCTTGTTCTTCCTGTCCTTTATTGCCGTGGGGGCGTTTGCGGGATCAGAAACATGACGACAGGAAGATCCTCAGATGCAGGAGTGTGGCTTGAAACCCTCTGCTAAACTGCTGACCTGCCGAGGAAATTTGTTATTGGGATCAGAGCCTGTCAGAGCATAATCTTTGGGATCTCACAACCAATTGTTTGTAACCCGGCAGCATTCCCTTGCCTTGCAAGCTCGTTTCCGAGGCATTCTATAACCTTACTCCTGCCTTCACCTTATGCTCGTTCCGCCCCTGGAATACTTGGATATGCCTGGCGGGATTCTGGGGCAGTTCTGCTGCTCGGTTGACCTACCGCAGTGCGACCTAGCTGCACCAGCATGTGCGCCGTCGTGGCTAGGCAGGACCCCGCAGCAGGGTGAAAACGCCCTCAAGCTTCTCCGCCGCTCAGCTGTTTTCTATTACCCGATCCTTGACTGCCAAAACTTCCGGAACCTATTCCATTCAATCTAGCAGATCAGGAGATCACACGTGTCGCCGCCCAGGGAACACATTCCCCCGCGCCATCATGAGCATCCTTGCCGCCTATCTAGACGCTCTCCTTGCCGCCCTTCTTAATGTGCCGACACCAACCCTTACATCCAGTACGAGAAGTACCTTACTCCGGGTGCTTGACTGGGGTTTCAAACGTACCATGAACAACTGGGCGCTTATGTTCACGATTGTACGACACTGGAGAGCGTCCCTCCCTCCCGACTTAAACACGGCAACGCAAGCCTTCATGCCGTATTCGGGCACGGTGTTACGGCACGTCTGTGTAAAACTGAATAGCCAACCTGGGGCGGTCCTTCCCAAGAACCGCCGCAACGTCCCTATGAGCTTCAGCTCCCTTGCCTCATGTCTATAAGCCTGTCCCGCACAAGAACAGTGGAGAAACGACGCCAAACCGGCAGCGGCAAGGAGCACCCAACAACAGATAATACGCGACACGTCACACACTGCCATAACCTAATCAAGTCCTATCGCAACCTGATCACACGTAATCAGGGACACACACTCCTAACTGCATAAACATAAGCTCCTCGTTTTTTAGTACATGTACGAAACGCTGAAGGCACCACAAGCAGACAAGTGCGGACCACGCTCGCACGTACACATCCGGCCACAGTCAAACAGGTACAGACCTGACCCCAGACCTGACCTTCGTCCAAAGCACACAGCTGTGAACAGCGAGCCTAGCATTCACGGCCAGCTGCAACAGCCGCAGTCACCGCATACGAGGCCATTGCCTCCTAAGCGCCTTGCCCACACACATCAACTATGCGCGTGCCTATCTCACCTGTGCAACGCGCACTGCTCAGCGCTGCACATCCCTAGGTGTCATCCCCCTGTGGCTATCATACGTATTGCGTGCCGCCCCTCAGTGCGTGTGTGTGTGACGGCCAGGAGTGTATCCAAGGGTGACCAAGCAGCCCCTGAAGGGCACCATGAACCCGTGCAAAACCAGGGCGCAGCGCAGCTTTTGGTTAGCCAGCACACAATTTGCACTTCCCCGTCGACAGGGACATGTGGCATGGCTCATACCAGCTGGCCGAAAAGCTGCATGCACACAAGACACATCTAACGCTGCACCCCCGTTACACTTGCTCGTGGCGCACTATAGCCCAGCAGCGCCCAGGACAGGAAGGAGGACCCTAACCCTCATGGTCTGTGCCTCCTCCGGGGCCCCTACGTGACACGCGAAGTCAAGACCAGCCCCCTAAGGCCGCCAAGCCGTGAGAAGTACAGGGCTGCTTCCCAGCCAACTTTGCCAACCGTATCTGTAGCCACGGCACGCGGGCAACTGATGCACCGCTGCCTGTGAAGTTCACTTTGGCGTTTCCCAATCGATGTTAGGCCCAGCTATCCTATGCTATGCCACATCCGCCGCTGCAGCTGCACCACTGGCAAGTTTACTCCGGGATGCTTGGGATGTCCGTCTTGCGCTCGGGCTCAGGCTGCCCTGGCTCCTGCGGCTTCTCTGGCTCCTCTGGAGGCTCTCCGGGCTTCTGCTCCGGATCTGGATCGCCTGGAGTGGTGCGCTTGGCGCTTTCCTCCAACTCCTCATCGGGCATCTCAGGGTCGCCCGGCAGGGGCTTGGGCAGGAAGACACGCTCCGGCTTCTCAAACTCTGGAAAAATATCCGGCCGCTTGCTAGGCATAGGAACCTCCCACTCCTGCAGAGCGAGTCATAGGTGGAGTTTTGAGGGTAAATTGTGACAGCCCTGCTAAAGAAGTTTGAGCTCTCTCGTTATCCTTCATCCGAAGACTTACTTGCGGAGCATCCAAAGGCGATCGAGCCTCCTCCGTTTCGGGTGAAGCGCGTACTAGCCCAGCTAGCGAAGGTCGCCGCCGCGTAATTGAGCATGCTAGTGGTCTGCATCCACCTTGCAAGATCTTTGAGGCTACTGTTCTATGTCCTATATGGCTATGGCCGGAAGGCCGCATCAGCTGTGAACGCATCGCTTTAGGAAGTTAAGTTCCAACTTTACTCGATTTGGGTCAAGGTGCTTCGCCAGTACACGGTGCCAATCCAGGTGGACATGCCTTCCAACAAGGTAATTGGCGTTCCAGTTTAGCCGATTGGCGACTTTTGGTTCCTTTCGTTTCAGTGCGTACGGCATGTCGTCCACCTCCATTCAAGCTACCTGACGCACCTACACTTCTACATGCGCAAAACAACGAAGACAAAGCATGGCTAATGGTAATTGCTTACCGCAAATGACGGATTTCACGGTATAGTCAAACCCATACGACTGAATGTCTCGCTCAAAGCAGTGTGCTGATGACCTTTCAACTCCTTCAACACCGCACCGCAGTTCAAACGCTGTCCAGCGTCCAAATGTTAAGCTAGCGACGAGCAATGACAGCTGCTCTCAAAAGCCCGCGCCTAATAGAGCTCTGTCACCGGCTTTGTTTGACAGCCTGCAACGGCGTGCGGCTCAGCTAAAGGTACTTTTGGATAGTCTTCAAAGCAACGACAGGAGCCGTTCGCCTCTTACCTATAGTGTCGAACATAGCCATGCATCGTTTGGACTTTCACCAGCATCAGCAACGTCTGGAGGATCCTGTCTTGTCCTAAAAAAGAGCAGTGCAGTGTCTGGGGCCACTTCTTCGGGCGCTATTGGGGCCAAAGCCAAACGGGCGCAAAGCGTCACTTCGCAGCGTGCGCCACGCGCTCGCAGCCCTCACGAGTTGTCGCAACGTCTTCAAGCGAAGAAAGTCGAATCGGAGCTACGTAAAAGCCAAGGAGGTGTAGCAGGGGCAATCGGCTCAACGTCCATCCTCAACAGATATGCTGGCCGAGATAGCAGCTGGACGGGCGGTGACCCCTCCGTCAAGAAGGCTATCTCCAAGCAGCAGGTAGCATCTGCCCCTGGACATGATCCACTCGCTATGTAATCTGCCCCAGAATCTAGTGCAGGAGGATGTCAAGGGTGTATGACCCTGCCTTGTCCTCTTGCCGTAACTTCATCTGCGTCGCGTTGACGTTTTCCATGCTACCAATAACTTGAACATAAAGCTATTTCCACACCATGACACCCACCTGTTCTGCTTCGCGTCCCCGTCTCACACCTTTCCTTCATGTCCAATGCCGCTGTTCATGACCCGCAGGTACACCACGGGGAGGCCGTCGCCGAGCAGCTGCAAGTGCGCGGTGGCGCAGGCCGCCGCCACCGCAACGGAGGTGGCGGGGACGGAGGCAGCGGTAGCCTCGTGTGCGGCAGCAGCAGCGCCAAGGGCCTAGCTGCCGCTGGTTCCCATGCTAGAGAGGCAACCACCAGCAGCAGCTGTACCAACAGCGGCAGCATCCTTAGCAGCCGAATAGGCGGCGCTACCAGCGGGAACAACAACCCCCAAAGCTATGCCGGGACTCCGTCCTCGGAAGCTGTTGCCGCGTCGACAAAGAGTTGTACAGCATCGGCGGCCGTGGTCATGACATCGCCTTCGCCCCCAACTGCCGTACCTGCTGCCGCTGCTACTGCCGTTGCCCCTCCAAACGGCTTATACGGCAACCCAAGTGCGGCTACTGTGGCGACATCGCGGTGGCCTCACCCACCAACCACCGCCCCATTACCGCTACCTCTGCAGCAACAACGAAGCCACGCTTCCGACCCAGATCAAGAAGACGAAGAACCAGCTGCCTGCCGACCTGCTAGCGGCCGAGAGGGCATTGACCTCCGTGACGATAGCAGCGGCGCCAATGTTGGTGTTCTCGCAGCTGCCCAGGAATCCACGAAGCCGGGGATGCAAAACATACCAGCAGCGTCGGAGGTTGCGGCCGCGCCGTCACTAGCCTTGGGACAACAAGCAGACCAACAGCAGCAAGAGCAGCAGCATCAGCTCCCCATCACGGGCGCTACCTTCAGCGTTACACGCGCTTTGGAGCTCATCCTGGCAGCATCGCAGCTTCCGGACCTGCCGGCGCCCGGCATCCCTGGAGTAGCTGCATCCGAAACCGCCGCCGCCAGGGTCTACCGGGACCTGCAACTCGGAGGAGAAGGAGGCGCCACTGGATCTGTCGTACTGGGAGCCACCTCCGAAACCGCACCCGGAAGCCTTAATGGTGGCAGCGCAGTCGCCATTGCCAGAGCGGGTGAAGGTGTGGGCGGTGCTGCGGCCTCTGTTGATGATGATGGGGCGTTGGGGGAGGAAGCGATGGCGACTTCTTCCCTAGCTGGGGCCTACATGCCATCGGCGGCCTCTCCAGCGGCGGTGGCTGAGGAGCAGCAGCTGCAGCCGGGGCAACGGCAACCCGTGAGCATCTGCGACGGAGACGGCAAGGACGGGGGTGACGGCTCCACTGCTGCCGCCGCTGCAGCCATCGGACCTATGGAGGTGTTTAGCGGCAGCGAGCCGACGAGCTGCGCACCCAGCAGTAGCAGCTGCAGCAGCGGCAGCAGTGGTACTGGCGGGTACGGTGCTTCTGAGGGCGATGGTGGGTGCGGTGGGAATGCTGCTGCTAGCGCTGCTACTGCTGCTACAGATGATGCCGTTTCAGCTGATGAAATGAGAATGAATATGACAAGCCCTGGCTCGGCGGCAGCACCACCAGCAGGAGCCGCCGGCGCTGCTGCAGCCGCATCCACCAAGTCCGAGGCGGCGACGTCGGCGGCATCGGAGGAGGCTCTGGCGCGAGCGCTGGCTGCGGCAAGGGCGAGGTGAGAGGATATTTCGGGGCTTTGGATATGGCCTGCACCTTCTGCTTAGCAAGCTGAATGTTTCGTGAGGCAATGGCGGGGATAGGGGTTGCTGGCTGTCGCGGGGGAAGGATATGCGCGTTAGAAGCTACCTCAAGAGGACTGTTGAGCGATGACGACATCATGGCACTGCAAAGGACAGTGTAGCATCGGCGAGGAGTCTAGTATTGTGTGGTGAACTGGGCACCGACTTAAGCTGTTCCCTTCCATCACCTGCACTGCCTGCCTTGCCGCTCTTTCAGTTGCTTCCCCGTGCGCGGCTGTACCGCATTCTTAGACCACTTCATCCACACAGCGCCCCATGTCGCCGTCTTATATTAACCTTTCGTGGACATCCTCTATTGGTGATCCTTCTGTTTAACTCTGTCCTTGCGCCCTCGCCTGTTCGCTCCTGTAACCCTTTCCCCGCCCGCTCGTCCGCCCTTCGAACAGTGCCCAAGTCGCCTTCCTAAACCAACGCAACCAGCTCCTCCAAAAGCACAACCCCCAGACCGCCGCCAACGGTGCCATGCAGCGTCCCACTCCTGCCACTCCCGGCGGGAGCCTTCACAGCAGCAGCCTCCCCAACAACCGCCACAACAGCAACCCGGCTTCCTGCCGAAGCAGTGCCAGCGGCGGTTGCAAAGCCGCTGCTGCTGCTTCTAGCCTTGTCAGCGGCATCAGTCCCAACCCACACATCGCCAGTCCGTCCTCCTTACCTTCCTCAGCAGCCCCTGCTACAGCTTTCCGTACACAAATCAGCAGCAGCGACGACGGCTTCGGGCACGGAGCTGCCAGTTTCGGAGCAGCTCGTGATGGCCTTGCTGTTCCTGCTGCTGCGACTGCTGTCGCGGATGATGCTTCCTGCATGGGCTTTGGACAGGCGGACGCTGCGGCTGCGGCTGTGACTGTGTTGCAAACCTCAGCGGCCGCTCCTGCTGCTGCTGCTGCTACGGGGGCTGTCGCAAATGGCAGTAGCCGTTACGAGCAGCTTTTGACAATGCTGCTGTCTCGACCCGCCGTAGGCGGCCGTGGCAGTGGCGGTGGCGCAGCAGCCGCCGCCCCCGCCGCTGCCGGGCCGTCAGGTGCATGCAGGGGGCCGTGTCGCAGCTGCGGTGGTGCTGCACCTGGGGGGCGGGGCGGAGGAGGAGCAGGTGGTGGCGGTGCGGGTGGTGGCGGTGGGGGTGGTAACACGGCAGGGAGTAACACGGCTGCTGCTGCTGCTGCTCAGAGAGCCGGAGGAGCAGGTGGTGGCGGAGGTGGGAGTCCGGATCCGGAGTTCCTTCGGCGCAATGAGGTTTTGCTCCGCAAGCGGAGGGCCTGGGCGGCTGCAGGGCTGCAGGAACAGCAGCAGCTGCTGCATCCTACGTCTCCGCAGCAGCAACGACAGCAGCAGCAGGCGGCGGCGCAGGTAGGTCCGGGGCTCGGGTGATACCTGGGTTGCGCTGAGGAGCTTCCCATGATGCCTCCTGGGCTGAACCTCACCTGCTTGTCTGAGGCTTGGCCGTGTAGGGCATGTGTAACCGGCGTGTGTACCCGGCGTGTATGCACGACGTGTTATTGCTCCATGCGCCCCCATACCCGCTTGCCTTTAAATTCGGCTCCTTAACGTCATGTACACCGTGCAACATTCAACCGCTCACGCCGACACAGCCGCAGTGGAGGCGGCCGCAGTCCAAGTCCGATGCGGGTGCGGGTCCGAAGGGGTCGTCCGCAGCGGCAGCACTGGCAGCGTCAGCAGCGGCGGAAGCAGCAGCAGCGGCTGCTGCTGCTGCTGCAAATGGAGACCGATCGCAGCTACGGTAAGCTTGGTGCACCACAGGAAGGGGACTCCTCAATCCTGGCAATCGCTATGACCTTGTCCTGGCAAACGTTCCATGTAACCTGCAAACGTATCAATACTGCTACCTACATGTAGGTTGGCCGGCGGAGGATCTCGATCCCGCACTCCCGACGCCACCATTCGGCATGCTTGGACCGCCTCTCCCTCGCCGTCGCGTCGCTCGCCGCCGTCGGCACCTACCGCCGCGGCCGCCGCCGGCAGGGTGAGGGCGGGGACCAGAGTAAAAAAGACGTCTCGCCCTCGCGGCTGCGGCTCTGTAGGCTCTGCCGCGGCCACCGCAACCACGTCGCCACCTTCACCGCCGCCGCCGTCAGCTGACGCCGCCTGGGCGCTGCTAGCGGCGGTTCGCGGGGATGAGCGTCCGTGGAAACAGCAGCAAACGACGTCGCCGGCCACATCGCCACAACGGCCAGCCCAGCCGACGGCAGCGGCCGTCGCCACCGCGAAGCACGGTGGCGTGAAGTCGCGGCCCAAGTCAGCTGGCGGAGGCGGCAAGGCACGATCGCGACCGTCGTCGACGTCGTCAGCGGCGGCGGGGGTATTCACGTCGGCGGCGTCGCTGTTGGCCGCAGCACGGCACAGTCGAGCGAGGGGTCGGTACTCCACTTCTTCTGGCGGAGGAACGAGCACGAGCGCTAGCATTAAGGGAGAAGATTCATTGGTGAGTCGGTAGTGCGGTGAGGTGCGGGCCGGTAGTACCGCCGGAGGAGCGTGCGTGGGCATGAAGGGTGAAGGACGCATTGGTCGACCAAACACTCATGGGGAACCAACGAACCATCCATTTGCGGCGGGGTAGATCTTTGTTTTGGCGGAGTCACTGTTGTACGCGCTTGGCTTGGTGTGCTAAGAAAACTCGCCGCGAGGAGAATCGTAGTTTAATGCGTACATGCGAATGCAAGAACCCATTGTACCGCATCTCCCACCTAATCTCCCACGCTTACGCGCACGTCCTGCCCCTCCCCCAAACAACTCTCAGGTGGCTTCAGCGGCAATCGCGATTAAAGACGCGACTCGAGCGTTACGTCGGAACTCCACTACCGGATCCGCTGCTGCTCTCTCTGTGTCGGCTGCATCCTCGGCAGCAGCGCCCTTCCTGGCCTCAGCAGCAACAACAGCAGCAGCGGCGGCGCCATCAATGCAGTTCGCGTACGGCGTGAGCCATCCCGAAGACCCTTGGAAGCCCGCCTCGCACCCGTACAACTACTCGGGTTGTACGGACTTGGGTCGGCAGCAACAGGCTGCCGTACAGCCGCGTCAGAAGCCGGTACCCAGTCGTGCTGCACCTTATGATTTCTTTGGTGATGACATTGGTGAACTGAGCGGATGGGAACAAATGTCGCCACCGTACAAGCAAACGTACGGCATTAGCAAGCAGCCTGCAGGAGCCCGTGGCGGGAGCAATCCCAATACTGCGGATCTGGATTTGGACTTGAACCTCGCTCTTGAGCTCTGGGAACAGCGGCACGGCCAACCCTCACACCAGCATCAGCAGCAACAACAACAGCCGGCCTTGCAGCACCAACAGCAGCACCCGGCTTACCTCCAACACCATCAGCAGGTGCAGGCTGCGGCTACTGCACCCGCATCCGTCGTACAGCCACCAGCGCCACTGCCACAACCATACACATCAGCGGCGCCTGCGTTGGATTCCCTGCTGTCCAACAGCCTTACCTACCTGCCGCCGCCGCCTGCATCGCCGCCACACGGCCCCGTGTCGCTGACCAGGTCGCCCTCGCCGCCTGCGTACCCACGCAACAACGCCAGCCCCGGTGGGAGGCACTCCGCTGCCATGGCCGCTCATGCCGCCTCCTCTGTTGTTGCCCCGAGGTTCGACGCGCTCAACGCAGCACGGGTACCGTCGCCGCTGTCGTCGTCAGTAGCAGCAGATGCAAAAGAAGAGGACCACCGGTTGTCCGATTACGCTGTCGGTAGCACTGCTGCTCGGGACATAACAGATGCGGCGACAGGTGCGGACGGGCGGCAAGGCGCCGGCAGCCTTCCAGGTCCCGGTGTCAGCCTCAGCAGCAACCCAATAGGCGCTGCGGCTGCTGCCGTTGCGGCAACACTGAAGCATGACGGGGGCGGCCTCCTCAGCCTCATTCAAGGCGACGTCAGTGGCAATCCGTTAGGGCCGCGGACGATCGCTGAGCTGGTCGGTCAAGCTATGGCCCAAGTATCTGCCACGCGCCCAATGAGCGATGCGTCAGCGACAACGTTCCCGGAGCAACCGAACTGGCAGGCCGTGTACAACCTCCTAGCCGCCGCGGCGGAAGCGGCGGCGGCCGCCGCTGCTACAGCCAGGACGACTGCCAAGTCCGCTGCTGATGGTACGGCAGCCTTGCCCCTGCCGCCCGCGGCTGCCGCGGCGGCAGCTAGGTCATCATCACCGCTGCCAGAAGCCTATTCTTCTCCACTACAACCGCATCAGGCTAAGAGACCACGCAAGTCGGGTATCGTTGACGTCAAAACCGCCAGTGGCGATGGCGTCAGTGGCGTCGACGGGAAGAGCATCGGTAGGGATGGTGGTGGCAGCACCGAAAGAGCCGGTGGTGGCACCAGTCGCAGCAGCAGCGGCGATGGCGGATGTACAGCTGCTGAGAGCGGTAACGGTAACAGCAACGGGAACGGGAACAGCCGTGGTACCAAGACCAGCAACGATGGCGGAGCTTCTACAGAAGCAGGCGGAGACAGCAGGAACACTGGTTCCCTGGGCAGCAAACACGGCGGCGGACACTCTGATAACGGTCTCAACGGTAGCGACAGTGGAGTTGGTGGCAGCAGTAGCAGCAACAACGGCGGCGGCGGCAGCATTAGGCTGACCGTGAGTGCGGGGTACGACAGGCTTCAGCGCATGGTTGAAAGCCGGCCGGCAACGCCGCCGCCGCTGCCCCTCCCGCCATTGTCGCAGCTGCTGCAGGGCTCTGACGAAGCCGGCAGCACCCCGGTGATGAAACTGCTGCGTAAAATCACCTCGGCGTCGGATCCAGCGTCAACTCCTGCTGCAGGGGACATGGAGCCCTCCGCTGCTGTTGCTGCTGCGGACCCAGAAGCAGCAGCAGCAACACCCGTTGCGAAGTCGCTTCGTAACCAGGCCGCGTTGGCGTTGTCCGAGGATCCAGCGACGCCGGCTGTGTCTGTAGGTGGTGTTGCGGAGTACGGCGATGAGGAGGAGGAGGGGCTGGCGGTTACTCCCGCCCCTGCGGGGGTGCAGCATGCTGGGGCAGAGTCGTCTGCCAGCAAGACGGATGTCAAGGGCAGTAGCAGCGTCGGTGACGTACAACACAGCCTGGCTAGCGCCTCCTCGCTAAGGGCTGCCTCCATGTGGGCTGCCGTGGGGCTTCGCAGCAACAGCCGTACAGATCGTACGGAGATTGCTGCTGTGGAGGATGTTAGCGACTCCGACGGCAGCGTTTCCGGCAGCGGTGGCCGTGCCAATGACATTTCAGATGGCAGTGTTTTCACAACAGCCGCCGGGAAACGTGCGGCTACGGTCGCCACTGCCACCGCCGCCGCCACGGTCGCAGCACCACCCGCTCCCTTTGTGGATGATCCAGCGTCAGCTGCGGAGCACAGCGCCACTGATGTTGACCCCGCCCCTGCACCTGTTGCTGCTGCTGCTGACGCAGTCAGGACTCACGCTGCCAAGGAGGGAGCTTCCGTTCAGGAGAAGCTTCTGAGGAGCAGCGCTGCCCCCATGGATCCTGCCGTGGTGGCTACCGCTGCTGGGGCTACTGACAACGATGGTGCCAGTGCTAGCGCTGCTTCTGCTCTTCCTGCTTGTCTTCCCGCTGCTGTCCCGGCCGGGGTCCGAGGGCCTTCCAACTCCCTAAGCGACATGCTGTCTCGGATCAACCAACTGTCCGCACAAGTGCAGTCTCCAAGGCCGGTCAACGGTTCGCCAATGAATGGTGGGGGCAGTGCTGGCGTTACTGCTGACAGCGCTGGCGCCGCGTCCGTAGTAACCTTGCATGGGGCGGTTGCGAATGGTGACCCACCGACCCATGGGTCATCAGGGCAGCCGCTTCCTCTTGAGGTGTTGCTGCAGCGGGCGGAGCAGCTGCGGGCGCTAGCGCTGGCCACCTTGACCATTGACAACGAGGGCGGCAATGTGAACGGTGCTGGTGGTGGAGGAAACGCTAGCGATCGTGATTATGGGGTTCCTTCAACAGTCCATCATGCTTCTCCCGGTACTGCTGTTGCTGCAACCTCGTCTTCCCATCCAGCTTCTCCTTCGGCCAGTCATGCCCACCACCCCAGGCGGTCCTTGGGATTTGCACTGGAGAGCGCTGCAGCCACCTCCACAGCAGCAGTAGCCGCTCCTTCAGCGCTGCAATCGCAGCAGCAACAGAAGCCCGCCCAGCACCAACAGCAGGATTTGGTGCAGCAGCTGCAGATTCCCAAGATTCAAAAGACATCGGATGTTATATACATGAGAGGAGGAGCCGCGGGGGCCCATGGCTCACCTAGAACTCATGGCTCACCCAAAGCTCATGGCTCACCCAAAGCTCATGTCTCGCCTAAAGCTCAAGGCTCGCCTAAAGCAGCAGCCGCAGGAGGAGGAGCAGTGGGGTCCCTTGGTTCGCCTAAAGCACCAGCAGGAGGGGGAGGGGCGGCAGGGAGGCCGTCAGTTTGGATGCTAGCTAGGAAGTGGGAGGAGGCGGCAACCGCAGCAGCAGCTGGCAGCAAGCAGCAGGCTAGGGCTGGCAGGTACTCCAAATAGGGCTGGTTGCGTTGTGTGATGTGTGAAGGGGGTGTGGAGCCCTGCGCAGCCTTGAGGGTGAAGGTGCAAGCAGTGTGCTAGGATGGCCAGGGCAGGTTAGCCTTAGGAAATTAACAGACCCAGTACATATAAGCTGGGAAGAGGGAAGCTTTCTTACGGGCGCTGACCTAAATGCGTGCGTTTACTGCCAACGTGTATATAGACATCGTATAGCTCGATCTTCCCTGGCCCTCTATAGAACGGGCAGATTCGATCTCGGGGGTCGCGTCTAATGCTAGGATGGATTGCGGTTATAGTGGCCGCAAGGGTAGCGTGCGGATTCGGTTGGAACTGCAGTGCGTCGTGGGATTGCCGTGCGTGACGAACAGGATAAAGAGTGTTTGTGAGCACTTAGTCTGGTCCGTCTGTACATGCCTTTCCACGGCCTATGGGACTCAAACAAGAGGTAAACAACTTTATTCGAGCTCATTTCGTGTAGATTTGGTAGGAGGCTGCGGCTGCAGGAAAGCAGGATCTTTGGGAACGCTGTCGCGCGAATGGATTTACGCCATGCATGCACAGCTCCTCCCTTGTCCAAGCGGGTGTTGGGGCGTGAACCTTTTATAGCGGTGTGGACCTTTTTTTTGCTGGCAGGAAGGCGAGCAGTCGCGGGTTGCAGTAAGGCAGAGTTTTGGCAGTTACGTTACCGTTGATGTCTCTGGCGCATGGATTGCTGTCGTGCTCAACCAGTGTTACCGTGTCGTTAGGCGGGGTGGCTATGTAGGGTGCATTGTGCCGGATCTGTGCGTGCATGTCTGTGGAGTTAGGTAGGACGGATACGTAGGGTGCCTGTGCGGGATCTAGTCGTGCATATAAGTAGGCTATATCTGCGGCTTTTTGGCAGTACTGTGAACCTGGTATGAAGGTCGCATGCGGGTGCCAAGAGTTGGAGTCGTCGCCCCGTCCTCTCCCCAGTGGAGTGCTAGACATGGGCGACATGTCAAGCATTGTCCTGGTCCGGTAGCATGTACCCACGGGCAGGCGAATTAGGAAAGGCACATGGATTGTGTAAATGGTACGTGTTTGAATGCATACCAAGGTAGATATAGTTACAGTGAGCTTGCGAAGAGCAGTTTGAGCAGTGCGGTTCTTGCTTGCCACCTTCACGTACTGAACAGAGTTTTGTCATCCAGTGTAAAAGTGATCGAGTTAGTCGGAGGGCGTTAATCGTAGAGTTGCTGTCCGGGTGGCAGCAGTTAGTCAAGTTCATCCTTGGTTGCTACTGCGGTGCACACCGTTAGCTAATAAGCAGCCCTAGGCCCAACACGCTAATGTTCAGTCTGCTATGTAGCTTCCCTAATGTATTCGCATGCAAAGCGGCCGGATGGACTTCAATTACAGTGGTCGAAATACAGTTGCCACTAAGTAATGGCGCGTTCTCAAACCACATACTAGATGAATAGAATGTGGTGGCTTTTGAAGCTTTCCCGCATAGTCGGCATAGAACACCCTTTGTACGGCAGAGTCCAAGCCTCACAGAAGCCGCGGATTCAGGCTTCATTCGTGGCACGTCAGTAGCTCGCTTGCGTATGGGCATTTGTTTGGATATCTTAACTTGCTTAGCGCCTAGCGCGCTTCACACTAGGCGTTACTGCTATCCATCGCAATGGCTTTGCTTTCTCGCTGCGGACGAGCACTGCGACGGTCTTCAATCGGCGCTTCACGCGTCCAGCCCTTCGGCAATCCTCGGAGGCGCGTTACCCTCAAGGTAACGGCTTGGCCTCTTTGTATGACCCAGGCGACACGGTTGGGTGTTATAGCCATGCCCGCTTATTCGAACCTTGTGCCCATCGTTCCCCTACCCTTATCCTCAAGTTACTCCCCTCTAATCTCCTTTGCTTTCCCGTACGCGCATCAATCCGTACTTCACGTTTCCCAATCACACTCCTCTCACACCACATCGTCCACCTCCGTCGCCGCCTCCTTATCCCGCAGTCAACCCCCGCAGCCACCTCCACCTCCGCCCCAGCGGCGCCTCCCAAGACCGGACAGCACACAGTGGAGGATGCGCTCCGGGACGCTGCGCTGTCGTACTTTTTTGGTGACGTCAGCAGCAATGGAGCAGGCCTGAAAGTGACGCCCACCACAGGCGGCGTCAACAACGTGGTGCAGGTACATGGAGCGGGTACTAGCCGCAGAACTGACACCGACCCTGGTGTTATTATGGTTGAAGGCGCTGTTATAGTAGATGTTGAAGTGCGTGTGTGGGAGTGGGGGCCGGGTCTGAGTTGCTTTTTGCGACGGTGGCGTGGAGGTGTGCTGCAGCTGCTGGGGTTGCAACAGAGGTCGTGTCGAGGAGTAATGATACATCGCCCTGCCACCGCCACCCCCCTCCCACCACCCTTCTTCACCTTAACTGAATTCTGCTCACCCTCCGCTTCTTCATCTCCCCACCCATGGGTTATCAGCTTACCACTATCCAACCATCAACGGTATCACTATCCAGTTTGCCCCTAACCCTAACCAACCAGCGAACTGACTAGTACCACCACGTGTTTGACCCTCCCACCACACATCTAACACCGCCTGCAGTATGTGGAGACGCCGGACGGACAGCGCTACATCCTGCGCATCTACAACAACGGAAACAAGTCCGACAAGGTCCGCTTTGAGGTGAGATTATGCACCGGCCAGAAATGTGGAGCGTATGGAGTGATTGTGAGATAGGAGAAAAGCTTTCCACTGGAAGATATGGGATCTGGGTCAGGACAGTGGGCGGGGAGTGTTCCTCGGGTGAGGGGGGGGACTCGAAAGGCTAGGACCAGCGGGGGGGTGGAGAGACTCCTTGCTCCTCCGATTCGCGCAAGCAGCCACATGTGCACCACCACATGTGCTCCTGTGTTAGCTACATACCCACGTTTCCCACCCACAGCAGTCATGGAGCGGACGCATCATGTGAGCCCCTTTCGCCTTCCCTGCCGCCCCGCCCTCCCTGATACCCGGCTCCACCAACCAACCAACCAACCAACCAACTGCCCAGCACGAGATCCTGCGGCAACTGTCGCAGCAGCAGTTGTCCTTCCAGGTGGGGTGGTGGGGGGGCCGCGGGGCCCTGGGGTTCTGGCACGCGGCTTTCAACCTGTAGTAGCCCCCATATATCTGATTGGTAAGATGCTCCTGTGCACACGGATGTGCGTTGTCGCTGGGTCGCATGCAACCCCACGCTGCTGGTGCAACCCCCATTCCAGTTATCCAGGGTCTCTCCCTCCCTTCTACCGCATCATTTCCCTTCATCCAGCCCCCTACCTCACACATTCCCCTCCCCCGCCTCCCTCCAGGTTCCCCGCGTGCTGCCCTCCCGGGCGGGTCGGCCCCACGAGCTGCTGTCCAGCGGCGCGGAGTGCTGCGTCTTCCACACCATACCCGGCAGCCTGGCCAAGACAACCAGCCCCGAGGAGGTGGGGGGGAGGGGGGGGGGCAAAAGACCCTACCGAGCCACAAGCGAGGGCAAGGCGAAGGGGGTGGGAGGCGGCAGGGTGCCAAAAGGCAAGGGATGGTTAGCGGCGCCTAGCGGCAGCCCTGGCCAAGCCACGAGGGCCTTATCACACGGTTAGTTATAGTTGTTTCCTCATATTCCTCCTTCTCCTGCTCCTCCTCCTGCTGCTGCTCCTCCCCCTGCCGCAGGTGGGTCGGGCCACGGGTGAGCTGTCCGCGGCGATGTCCCGTGTGGTGCTGCCGGAAGACATGCGGCCACCCATCCCGCCGTACTTCGAGCTGTTCAAGGTGAGGGGCTGAGAGGGCGTGGGGTGGGGGGGAGATGGGGCGGGGGGGGGGGCGAGCGGGTTGCTGGAGATGCCTATGTACGTGTTGGGTGCGGTGTGCGAACTGCCTTGGTAGGTGTTGTGGCATGGCAGTTGTTCAGGGCGATGAGTGGTTGTGTTTGGATTGCGAGTGCTACACGCGGCGGGTTTGTACCGGTGTATGAAGATGTGATGATGATGATGATAACGTGGTGCAGCAGCGCCAACCATCCCGAACTGCAACCCTAACCACCTGTGCCACCATAACCAACCAACCCGCATGCCGTACATGCCGTACCCGCTGCCCAGGTGCATCATGCCATCGGGGGCGACCCCGAGGTGTTTTACCGGGAGGTGGCGAGCAATCCGGAGTTCGATGCGTGCAGGGAGGTGGGTACAGCAGTGGGGTATTGTGCTTGGGACGTTGGCAAGGACAGGGGGAGGTGGGTGGGCATTGCTTTTCGAAAGGGCGGGGGTCAAAATAGGCCAAACCATAGGAAACCACGAATGTGGGCAGGACAATGGGGGAATGAGGCGGGGAGGTGCCCCGTGCGGTCCTTCCATAAGCCTCCCTGCCCCACCCGCTGCCCTAGCTCCTCTCCTGCCACCCCGCCCTCAACATCCCCATGTCCCCAAACCCCTCACCTCAACCCCTCACCCTGAGTCCCTGAGTCCCTGACCCCAACAAACCCACTCTGCAACCCGAACCAAGTCAACCCAGCAACTCCACCCTCCACCACCCCGGCCCCCATCCCTCCCTCTCAGGCCATTGACTTCCTGGTTTCTGAGATCCGCAGGATTCAGACCACCATTGCCGCCTACTTGCAGCAGGACACGCTACCCATGCAGGTGGGGGGGGGAGAAGGAATAAACCAACTGCGTCGACTAAGGCACAGCAGGCCCGAGCTAGGGTGTAGTACCGGTATGTTTGATAGGTGGGGAAAGGGCACACCTTGAGGAGCGGAAAGGAAAAATGTATCACCCAAATTTCAATGCCCGGATCAGCAATGGGGGATTCGTTCAGGGGGAGGTGTGGGACGGAAATGGGCTGCATGCGGTTTGCCGAGGGAGGATGCGCTGCCCATGCAGGCTAGGGTGGGGACTGGTGTTTGGGGTTTGCGTGTTGAGTGAGGGCATGTGCGCGCATCGCACCCCCAACTACCCGGTACCCAATTACTCCGCTCCTCCCTCCCCCGCCCCTTTCCCGTTCCACTCCTCTCCCCTCCGCATGCTATGCCGTACGACACCCCCCCCACCAGCTCATCCACGGCGACCTGCACTACGACAATGTGATGGTGGAGGGCGAGGTGGTTTCGGGGCTCCTGGACTTTGAGTTCTGCGCGCTGGACTGGCGGGCCATGGAGCTAGCGGTGGCGCTGTCCAAGTGCGTTGGGCGGTTGGCCCGTTGCCCAACAAACACCACCGTTGCCCCAAGCGCCCAACCGACCAACTCCTGCGCATTTACACTGCCACCACACGCCCTATAATAGCACATGGCCCAGCATGCGCTGCAACGGACAGCAACACATTCTTTCACTTTCCTTTTCTTTTGCCCCCAAAACACTCCGCCTCTAAAGCCTGACCCCTCCACCCCAACCTCCTGCAGGTATGTGGGCGAGGATGACCCGCTGCCGCTGTGCCAGCGCTTCGTCACCGGGTTCGCACAACACGGGCGGCTGACGGAGGCGGAGATCGCTGCCGTACCGGATCTGATCAACCTGCGGATCTTCTCAAACGCCGTGTACTTCACGGTAAGTATTGAATTAAGGCACTGCTGAAAACTATCGATGCGAGTGTCCCGAGTGCGGTATCAAACAGTGCTTCGGTCTGGCACCCGTGTACACCAGGCTTACACCAGGAATGCGACATTCCCGCAATGCGGGCCATCGTAGCATTCCTTGGCCGTACTCTTACCTGACTTTCCAAAACCACGCCACACGCTCGACACCTTCCCGTTCGTACAAAGGCATGCGGTGTCATATTAAAGCTCGGTAGGATTCCCCGCCGTTCTAATGACCGTGTCCCTTTTTATCTCTCTTTACCTCAGTATGTATTCCTCAGAATGTATGTTAATTGTACTGCCGTGCTCCTCCAATTGCCGTACCGGTCTTTTCCGTACAACAGGGTCGTGCCCTCGCCGGGGAGGACTCCCTGGAATCACTCACCTCGCGCGCCGCCTCCTACGCCAAACGAGTGCGGTGGGTCAACACGCACCGGGAGCAGCTGGCGGCGGCAATCAGGGAGCGCATGAGCGCGAGCGTGCCGGCGGAGCTGGTGGCGGCTTGAGTAGTGGCATGTGGGGACGTGTGTGATTGCGTGATGGATGGGGCCAGCGGGTGACCCATGGGTCGACGCTCGAAGGAGGTGCTGGTGGTTGAGATGCTGGAATGCAGGCGGCTGGAACGTGGCACCTTTGGAAACAAAACGAATACGGCTAGGTCATTGGAACTTGGCTACTCTGAGCAACATGTGTGACTCAAGAGCGGCTGGGATGTTGGGTGCTTCTTCGGGCTCCGCGGGCGTCCAGCAGAGGTGTGAGGTGGGATGAGGTGGTGTGGAGAGGTGTGGAGAGGCGAGGCATGAGAGGGAACGAGAAAGAGAGGGTTAAGTGGAGTGAGGATATGCGAGGCAGGAGAGGAGGGCACTTTCTGGAGAGCGGGGAGGCGAGCGAAGAGAGAGGAGCGCTAAGATCAGTGTCTGAAACGAGGAGAGGAGAGGTCGAATATAATAGGGAAAGCGAGAGCGGTTACTGTGTTTATTTATTCGCAGGGTATCAGCGACGTTTGTTGGGTTGCGTGAATGAGTGAGAGGTGACCTGAGATGATCTTTACAGAGTGGACAGTGGAGTGGGGAGGAACAGGAGAGGTGTTGAAACTTGAGAGGTGACGCGAAGAGGGAAGGAGAGGACGGCATATTTTGTACGGGGCATTCTAAGAGAAGGCTGCCGATCTGATGTGTACTGGCGTTGCCGTGCGGAGCGGGCGCATGTTCTGAGAGCCGAATACGTGTCATGAATTAAACGGTCAGATAAAGTACGGAATGAATGACTGTTACATTGGTATCCTAAACGGGAACACGGGTGATGAATCCCACCGTACACTGCAAAAGGAACGGGACACGCCGTAAAACCAACTCACAACGGGTCAGCTGGAAACAAGACACCAAAGGCAGGAAGGGTGGAACATAACTTCAGTTAATGATATTCTGCCTCAGCAAAGCATAGCTGTTATTCCGAAGTTTCCCCACGTCCGAGCGGCTCCAGCCGATCTCCTTCTTGGCATCATTGGTCCATGTCCAGGTCCATGTCATTATTTATATATAAATTCGGTAATAATTCATCCGGTACTCACAAGCCCAGACAGGGTTGCACGCGCCTCTTAACATGATACGCAAGTAATAATGGCATTGCACCGACGCAACGTACCGCATACGCAATCTGCCGTACACACGCATATTAGCCGTACACCTACATGTCGTACACCTAACGTCCCACCATCGCAACACACGGGCGAAGATACATATAAGTACACTAAGATGCAAACAAGATTTATATTCTTCCTCACAATAAGACTCGCTTACAACATCATAAACAGTCCCTACAGCCCCTACACGCAGTGATGAAGGGGATGGGAAATAACTTAAATGCCAAACCACCGACGAAACATAATTCGCCACGGGGTAGCTGTACCCTGCAGCTTCCCTTGCAACTCCTTGTATGACTGTTGAGGGGAACTCCCCGCCGCTATAATGAACCTTCTCGCCCGCAAACCTGAATATCCCGTTGCAATTTCTGCTGCTGCCGCCGCCCAGATGCCCGGCTTTACCTCAAGCTACACTGACATGCAGGCCTGACATACAGGCAGTCTTACCTGGCTTCCAACCCGCCGGTACCACCTCCCAACCCCACCCGCTGCCACCGAGTTATGCGCCTCGTCCCCACCCCTCAATCCTGCCTGCCATGCATGCATCCGTGTGACGGCCGCACGCCACCGCCTTTGCAGCTCTCCCCCCACTGCCAATCCACACATGGTTTTCTTCGTTCCCCCACCTTGCATGCACGGCCTATTTCTTCCTCTTCCCCCACCTCACGCCGCAGTCCCGGTCCCGCCTGCTGCCGATGCTCTTCCCTCCGCCCAGCCCACCACCTCTGCCACCTCCATCAGCGCCACATAGCACGTCTCAGCTGCCGCCGCATCCACAGCCGCGTTGTGCGCCCCGGTCAGCCTGCGCCCGCCCGTCAGTGTGACGTACAGCTCTTCGAGCTTCGGGAAGTTCTTCCAAGTCGGCAGGGGGAAGCGAAGCAGGCGCTGGCGCAGGTCACTGAACCGCCGGCGCATGCGGGCGTCAAGGGGGTCCTGCAGCTGCTGCTGGTGGTTGGGTTGTTGCTGCTGCGGCTGCCGCAGTGGTGGAGGCGACAGAGGTGACAAGGGAGGAGCAGCGGGAGGTGTCTTGGCGGCGAGGCACCTGTCGTACAGCGGTTTGCCCCACCTCATGGTGCACATGGGCTGGAGCTCGGCCAGGTGCATGACGTCACGATAGCGCTGGGACCTGGGGATGTTAGTGGAAGTGGGAGCGGCAGGGTTTGGAAAGCCAAGAGGCAGTATTGTGAGATGTCCATGGAATTACGGGAAAGAGTGCCTACGAGGTCAGCTGCGAGTGCGGCTGCCCCGTCATCCCAATGCCCGGCTGCCGGCCACCCAAATCTACCCCGACCCTCCCCCAGCCCCTTTCCCCTCCTTCCTTTCGTCATGGCTTGGCTCATTCGGGTTGGGCAGGATGGGTCGGCTACATGTTTGCACTCCATTTTGAAGCCGGGTCGCACAGCTTGCCAGTTTCCTTTTTACCCCTCCCGCCTCTTCCCACCCAGTCCCAATACCTGAACATCTCGCTGAGGAGGATGGAGAGGTCGTACGGCGCATTGTGAGCCACCAACACGGAGCAACCCTGGATGCGCGAGGCGGGGCGAGTACAGAGAGGAAGGTGATGGAAGCACTGCCGGTAGTGTGGCAACTATCCGTCCGCTAGACTAACCTCAGCCACAGTAGATCAATCCGCCAGGCCCTGATTGCACCAAACTGCCCAACTGCCCGACTACCGGTAACCTCCCTCAAATTAGTAAACCGCCAATTCCCACCTGTACGGCAGCCATCAGCTCGTCCAACGCCTGACCCAACGGCACTCCATCTGCCATCGCCTTCGCCGTAGTGATCCCGTGTACGGCAGCCGCATCGGGCGGGATGACAAACCCGACCGGTTGTACGACACGGTACGACTCCGATACCGTGGTGGGGCTCGTCTGTGCTGATCCGTGCTGACTCGCGCCAACCTCCGTCACCCGCCAGCCAATCGAGACGATGCGAGCGTCGTTGTACAGGCGCGTCATATGCGCTAAGGTGGGAGCGTATGTGCGCCTGCCTCTGTAACGTACAAGAAGCGAGAGAAAGGAAATGGGGTTAACAGCAAGCAGATCCTTCATTGCACCGCTTCTTAGTCTGCCTTCCACGTCCCTCTTCCTTCTCTACCTTCCCTTCAGATAGGAACCTGGAGTCGAAACCCCCTTCCTGTCAAGATATTGCCACAGGGCGGCTACTCCCACACGCCCTCCATCTGCAACTGCAGGCCGCAGTCCCCTGCCGTATCCTCATCGGCCCCGCTCCCCTCCTAGTTAATTCCTTCCCCAGTACCCCTCTAACCTTGACCCTCACCTGGCATCCAAGGGGAACCCCGTGGTCTCCAAATCCAGAACCAGTGCACGGCCTGCGGGTCGAGGCATCAGCGACCCGCGGGTCGGCTCCCTGGCCGCCTCAGCAAGGACCTTCTCCGACCTGTTCACTGCCAGGGTCATCATAGCCGCGGTGGTGGCTTGGGCGGTGTTTTGTACGGCAGAGGTAGAGGATGGTGATGCGGTTGCCATTGCCTGTACGGGAGTTGCTGGTGCTGTGGCTCTGGGCTGTGGCTCTGTGGCCATCGCTGCAGTGGCGGTGGTGGCGACAGCTGTTGTTCCAGTTTGCAATCTTGCCGTTGTTGCTGCTGCTGGTGACAGCATTGCTGCTGCGGCAGCTACTGCTGAAACTGCTGCCATTGCCGTGGCGTTCGTTGCTTTTGCTGCTGGCCCCTCAGACCCGCCCTCATCCTTGTCAGCAGGAGCAGCGGCAGCGACCTCCTCCTTGTTTGTAACGTTCTCATGCTCCGTGTTCTCAGCGTTTTCCTCGTCACTCTCATCATTTTTTTGGACTGAGTCACCTTCATTATTCCCGCCCTCACTGCCGTTCTCCTGTTGGTTGGCCTGTTGGCGCTTCCTACGCTGCCGTTGCCGACGATCGCCGGTGCCGACGACTCGCCGTTCTCGGCAGCCAGTGCTTCGTTTTCGGCTGTCACGGTTGCCAGTGTTGAGGACATCCGTGGATAAAGTGTTGCGTGAGGATAGCCTAGCTGTCCGTTTGCGCGTCGGCAAGCGCGTAACGGTAACATTGGCGTCCATTTCGGTTGCAGCCCTGTCCGCAGGAACCCAAGAGCAGGACGAATTTAATTAACTGTACAACAATGCCATGGATGGAAAATGGTAGACCCACATCGTAAACGTCCGAATGCATGTAATGGATGTTACCAGCATTTTAATGTCGACACAAGGACAACGCCATGCGGGTTTGATGTCCACCAGCAGGCCATTCAAACCTAACTGATGCCGAGAAGGAGTCTAACCCTAGGCAACACAGGAACGCTCAGGATTTCCCAGACCCCTGGCAACCTTATTAATGCTCGTCATGACTAGATACAAACTGGATAGGGGTACTCAAGGCAGACAATAGAATGGCCAATTTGCACAGAAATTTTGGCCATTCGGCTTGACGGACCTGGACCTGAGAGCTATAGAAAACCTGCCTGTTACGAGAAGTACCTTGTGCTGCTTGCTGCTTTTAGGTAGCAATAAATAAGTACTTATGGCATCCAAGCGAGGATTATGGGACGGGACCCTCTTGTTTCGTGACCGTCGAAAGGTTTAGCCAAGTCTCAGGTGGTGTGTGCGGGTCCTACTTGTGAGCAGGTAAAAAGGACAGAAATGGCAAACAAGTAAGCTGTGCGCTACCTTCTTTAAATCTGGCACATTGTGCGCTCCAAGAAAGGCCGTACTCGGATTGGAATTCTAAACGTTGCCAAGGGACAAGGCCCGCACACCATATGGTAAAGACTGTCAAAAAACACTTTCGCAACCTGAGCGCCCATGCATGCCCATTCCGCTAAGGGTTGACCCTGTCTACATCGCGACCCATGGTGAGCCACAGGCCAATTACAGGAAAAATACTTTTGGCAAATCCTGTTAATGTTTTAGTGAAGACAAACTATAAAACGACCTTCCTTGCAGCAGTGCCCATGTAGGAAATGAATGCAAGTGAAACAGTGAAACCATCCAAGCTCTGGGACGTTATGCCTTTGGCACTACTAGCACGGCACGCCACTGCATGGCTCATTATGTAGAGTTCCATCATTCGATGCAAGTCTTTCGCCCTTTCGGCACGCCAGCCTGCCCATGACAAGTCAGTACTCCGGCCCAATCACTAACTCGCCTCTTCCCTTTCTTCCTCTTACTAAGTGTGCACCAGGAGTGAACAATCAACAGCATCCTTGCGGCATCTCGCCGCCTAGCTCAGCCCCCCTGTACGGCCCACCTGTACGACGCAACCACGTAATGCACTGCATGAAGTCCAAGATGACAAGGATGAGTCCCCAACGCCCTCAACTGTCAGCCGCTGCAAATCGAAGAAGCCTACAGCAGCAGCAACGTCTGCAATACTTGCGGCAAGAGCGACTCGTCTCCCTGGTGTTTCCTCCTTTCCCACCTGCTATTTCTAGCGCTAATGTTATCGGTGCCGTTGTCAGCTGCTGCTTGACTCTAGATCCAACCCCCAACATTCCCGCAACATGCACTGTTGCAGCAGCGGCTACAAGAACCACGGAAGCTACTGGTACTAGTACAGGCGTCAGTGCTGTAGCAGCAGCAGCGGCGGCAGTAGCAGCAGAGGCGTGCGGCGATGGAGCTACTGGAGAAGCAGCTGTAGCACCAGCGGCTGCAGCTGCAGCTGTAGCAGCTGGCGCCATTGCTTCCACCGCTAGAGACAACGCCGCCGCGGCTGTGCAGCAGCAGCAGAAGCAAGATGCCAATGAGGAAGTCCAGCATGAGGAGGAACAGGAGGAGGCTGATGGGAGTTGCTGAGGAGGAAGAGGAAGATTACGATGATGATGAGGAGGAGGAGGAGGAAGAAGAGGAGGAAGAGGAGGGGGAGGAGGAGGAGGATGCAGCACAGGCGCCGGGACAACCGCAGCAGCAGCAACAACAGGAGATAAGTGCAGTGCGGATAGCAGCCATCGTTGCCCTGGATGCCGCTGACTGCGAGCCTCCGGCAGGGTCTGTTCCCCTGCGACCCGTGGGTCACAGCCTGATTCTGGATCTGGAGACCACGGGGTTCCCTGTGGACGCGAAGTAAGGGGGAATCGGGCCGCAGGGATGGCAGTAAACCATGGCAAGGAACCAACCCATGTGCCGACAAGTGTTTGGGGGATGTAGGTGATTAAGGGAAAGATGCGATCTAGTTCGCTTCAGGAAAGGTGCAGCCAAAAGAGCCGGCAATGTTGGACAACATTTGCCCTCCCCATCATGGTTTCATGTCGCCAACCGAAAACCGGATGCAGCCTTCCTTACCAATAATAATCTTTAGCCGTTGCCGTCTAAACGCAGCGGCGAGAGGACCTGGGAGAAGCCGCCTCCACACCTGATCCAATGTTACGACTCGGCTCGTATCGTGTCAATGGCGTGGCGAGTGATGGGCCCTGCGCCCTCATACGACATGCCGGGTGGAGGCGAGGCGCGGTACCTTGTTGTACAACCGGACGGATTCGAAGTACCACAGGAGGCGGCTGCCGTACACGGGATTAGTACTGTGAAGGCGATGGCAGATGGAGTGCCGTTGGGTCAGGCGTTGGACGAGCTGATGGCTGCCGTACAGGTACCGGTAGTTGGGTGGTGGGTTGAGGTCTTACGGGGCTTCGGGGCCAATGGAGGGTCGCGAGGGTGGGATCTTAGGCCGATACTGCATATGGCCGTCCCGTTCACCGCCTGTCCACGACTTGACCCTCAGCCGACGTGCGCGACTTCTACCCTCCCTGTCCAACCTACCTACCTCTCCTTCCGATCCCATCTGCCCCCACACTTCCCCTCCCGCCATAGGGTTGCTCCGTGTTCGTGGCTCACAATGCGCCGTACGACCTCTCCATCCTCCTCAGCGAGATGTTCAGGTATTGGGACTGGGTGGGAAGAGGCGGGAGGGGGAGGGATGGAGGAATGGGTGGGTTAGTTTGGTTAGTTGGAAACCTGCGCGTGAAGTGGGGAGCACCTGGATTGCGGAGGGGAGGGGTCCGTCTCATCGCTACTTCCGTGATCCCCTTCCCTCTTCTCCCTCCTAAGAACACTGTGAACCGTAGTGTTGTCCCGGTCGGTATACCCCAAGGGTCAAATCCCCAAGTCCCAGCCAGCATTTCCCCGTCCCATCCTCCTTCCCTGTTCCCCCTCCATCTTTTTGTCCTCCGCCCTTCCCCTGTAGGGCTGGCCGCTACTCCGACGCTGCCGCCCTAGCGTCCCTGCGCCCCTTCTGCACCATGAGGTGGGGCTGCCACATGCTGGGGCTGGGAAGGTGGCCGAAATTGGTGGCTTTGTTGGAGGAGCTGCTGGAGCCGATGACCCATGGGTCATCACTTTCTGGCCGTGAAGCTTCTGCTGCTTTTCTTGCCACTTACCGGTATGCTGGCGAGGCGCATCACGCAGCAGTGGATGTGGACGCGTGCTGCGTGTGCTACAGGGGGTTCATGCGGACGGCATGGGATGCGGAGGAGGGGGAAGAGGAGGGTGAGGAAGAGGGAGAAGAGGGTGAGGGCGAAGGGAGCGTAGAGGAGGAGGAGGGGGTCGAGGGGGCAGGGGCATGAAGAGGAGTAACAGGCGATTGAGGGAGAGCATGAGGAGCCGGAGGGGAAAGGCGAGCGGACATGCCTATTGCGGTACCGTTTGTATGCTATTTACTAGTACACGTATTGAGTTGGCAAGTGTGACTGTGTTGTTCATTCTATGCGGTTATCAAATGTTATAATGCTGTGCATGTGTTTCGCTGTTGCCATTTACGGGCATTTCGAGGCGCGCTTTTATTTAGGGACGGAGACAGATAGGCAGACGCAAGGTGTTTCTGAAGAAGCATTGAAACGCTGTCGTCGTCAGCGTCTCACAACAACGCGACAAAGCTATGTAGGTCAAGAGGTTGCAACTGGAAAACGATTGTGGTGAAAACACACTTCTTCCTCAACGGAAAGGGGGAGACAGGGAAGTATTGCAAAGGTTGTTAGCCCCAAAGCAGGGCTCTTCACACTCATCGATCTTCCTGGGGCGGCGACACAGTTCCCACACTGCCGCCGCCACATGCCACAAACAAACCGCATGAGCTCCCTCCACACAGGAACACCGTCAGTTGTTTCGTGCGCCCTAGCCACGTTCATACATCACAAACACGTTGTCCGCATAAAGGTGTAAACCGATATGTATATGAACGCCGACATGCAAGAGCGTCTCCATTTCAGGGCCCCTACTTGTTCGTTGGTTTCATGGAATGAAGGAGCAGAGAGCAAAAGGGCCCAACGCTGTTGACGTTCTTTTATTTCATCTTTATATGGTTGCATGCGACACAAAACACAAAATCACACGCGCGAGGCACAAACACACGCAAACAGTGCTAACATGCGCCCGCCCGCCCATACCCAGTTTTGTACGGCATCACACATGTATACCCGTACAAGAAGGTACGGCATATACTGACAGCAGCAGTACCAAGAACAGACAAACAACTTATGCGCTTTGCAAGGCCACCGCCGCAGGGTCCCCCCCACACAGGATCGAATGTTATAAGATGGCGATCAATAATATGTAGCTGTATTTCTTTTAGCGCACATATCCGAGCCGGTCTGCACCGCCTGCACCCCGTTGCCTTTGTATAACATATACGCCTCCTGCAGACCAGCTTTAAACCGCAAAAGCAGGTCCACCGCACAGAGAATGGTGCGGCCTCAAACCAACACGTCGGGCAAACACACGCATCTTGCATTATGCGCAGCCCACGCAAGGCCACACGCGCCCCCGATCCGCGCAGCAAGGCCGATAGACTCGTGACATATACATGACACATACATGATCTTAGAGCTCCGTCGTCGGGATTATGAATCGTCGTCGCAAGTCATATAACACGTATGTATGTACGTACTCGGTCATTTCCATCCAAACATGGTTTAGCAGCAGCAAACCACCGCTCTGCTAACCACCGCTAACAGCTGCCCCAAGCCAAGGAAGCAGCATCTAAATTCTGGTCACAATGCTGTTTTCCCAGGACGCCTACATACGAACCGTACAACACTTCGCAAGCCTCGCACTCGCCATTCTTCCCCACTCATGATGGGCCAGTGCATTATTTCCTGGCTGATGCACCAGCCAAATGTCCAGTGCACCACCCCTTGCCAGCCACCGACCCTTGGGTTCGAGATGAATCCGAGACACGCAAGCACGCTCGCAAGGAAACAGTAAACCAAGAAAGGCAGCCAGACGCAAAACGGGTGCAACGCGCTAGCATGACGCATGCGCGGCATTGCCAGGCTGCCTTTGCCCTCTTGCTATACCTACGGTGCAGATTTCGCCGGGAGGCAATCAACGTGACGGCGCACCGCCGCCTGGGTCCAGCCACCATGCGCCAGCCGATTCACAGCGGCAGCCAATTTCCCATCGCCCATCCCGAATCCCTTTCACACCCAGCCAAATGAAGCGGTTGCCACCCGAATGCTTCCCTCTCAATACCTCTCCACCACCATCCTGCTTACTTGGGACACACCGGGTGTGTCAGGCAGGCACACATCTGCACGCATCGCCCATGCAGCAGGCCCCTCCAGCACACGCACGAAACGCCTGATGCATATCATTCATAGGCATGCGGCCAGGGAAACATAGTAATCAGCCAAACGACGCATGCAAAGCTATTATTAACAAGTGATAGCGGCGCGCAGTCGTTGCCATGAATTTTGTCATGGATTCACAAAGAAAAATTCGTACGGCAGAAGACGCACGGCTGGTCTATAGCACGTCGATCGTTCCTCCCTTGTACCGTCCGCGGTAATAACGACGACGCAACCGCTTAATTGCCATGTTCCAAACGTTCTTCGTTGGTCCATACCCGGTCAGGCCCGCCATTCTTCTCGGCCTCTTCCACCAACGCGGCCCTCTCACATCCGTCCCTCTAAACATCCTGACGCCATGTACTAACGCCATTACCACGCAAAACGTTACAAGTATATTAACAACAGTTTTTGTTTCGGTGCATGGGCCCAACCAACGCTCAAGTTCAGCGCCTGCTTTCGGGGCCACATCCCTACTCAAAGCGCCTTCAATAAAGTTATAGTAAAAGTAATTGTACCGTCTCAACACCCACAACGAACAGTCCCCTTAAGCGGCAGCAGCAGCAGCAAGGGAGAAGGATGCCCTCTGCTTTCTAGCCCTTCGACGCGCCCGTCGGACCAGTGCAAGCAGCATGGTGGGGATGCGGAAGACTTACCAGCTGCACCGCTTTGGTGTTGCCAGGACACCAAGGCTCGCAACAACAAGGGCCGGACGGACCCATGGGTCATGACCTCAGTTCATCCGACATCCAATCACCGACATGCCACCAACCGGCCTGCAGCACCCAACGCCGCTTCCTGGGCTTACCCCATCAAGCCCCATCAGAATTAAGAGAAAGCAACTAACCTCAACGGAATCACGGCCAGCGGCAATATTACAGTCGTCTCAATTTCCTCCTGCGATGTCCGCGGTTTCCCTCCTGCACATCCTCCGGCCTTTGCGCCTCCCATCCGCTGCTGCACGCCGGCGCTTTCCCTTTCGCATCCAGGTACCAAATATGTTGATTCAACGATGGACGAAGTGTAGGGAGCGCCCGTGCGTGCCACATCATACGCGGGTTTCCTTCCCCCAAATCGTTTCCCAATAACCCTTTCTGCTGCTCATGTTGCTACCACCGGAACACAACAAGCAGCAGCAAGGCACAGCAACGCAGTCAGGTAACGCAGCAATAGAGCTCTCCACCAAAGAAGACCCGTGCTTCTCGCTCTTGCGTCACTTAACGAACACACAAAAGTAGAAACAGAGGAACGCACAACTTTCAGTTATGGTCCAAGCTAGCCCTCGTGCGCCGCACATTCCACACGTGGCCTCTTGCCCTGAACACCAACAAAACCCCCAGCGGTACATCAGGCCGAGGAGAGACACACTTCTACACCCCAACAGACATTAAGCTGGCACAATGCTCTTCACGTCTACACTTCACAAGCCCACGTCACGAGCAAACCCCCACATGATACCCGTTCCGTCTCACTGCCGCCATCTTCGTTGCAACTCAGCTCATCACACGCCGCCAACGTGGATGATTGCCTTCCAAAACCGCCTTCGCGAAGCCACGCAGACCCCTGGGTCACACGCGCCGCGCTGTAAGGCCCATGTAGGCCAGGATGCATGAGAAAGGACCGAAGTCCGTTGCAATCCAAAGAGCGTCCTGAGGACCACATCAGGCAATACTAAACCAGGCAGTACTCCAAGAGAGTGGTCCCAGCGGCACCGACTCTTAGCTCACCGCTTCCCGCAAGACCAAGACATCCAAGCAACACGCGCCGCGCAACACACGGCAGGAACCGCAACATGCCGCATTGTCAGCGTTTAAACACCCAGCCGCGCCCCCACCTCCCGGCGGTCATAGAGCGGCACGGAAGCTTAAGGCCGCCATCAAAGCGACCATTCATACTACCGGCCAGCCAGCCAAATAACAGCGGCATAGCAACAAAGCCGGCTTAACAACAGTCCACAGCAGTGCAAAGATGACGATGTAAATTAGATGCACAGCACAACCCGTTACTCGTCCTCCACACACACGTAATTGCACACATACACCAGTTCGTTCCTACTCGCGGCCAGTTTTTTGAACACACATCACAAGCATGCGCACTAGCCTCGCGGCTCGGTTCGGTACACACACACGCCAGTTTTCTTAGCATATACACACACACGCACAGAAGCATGTCAGAAAGGTGGTTAGTATGTGCCAGTGTCCGCGGCTCAGTTCACCTAATAGACACACAAACAACGAGACATTGAGACATGCATCGGCAGTCACGCGCACTAATCCATGCCATGAACACGTGGTGGCGCAAGCTACCCCCGAACCGCCGCGGGGCAACATAACTACGAGCAACAAGCGCAAGCAGCAACAGTAGCGGCAGAACAGACAAAACCCTGCCTCGGAATCGCGACTACACAGGACGAGATCGCTTGGCGGCAGGCGTCTCGAGTGCGGGCGCTGAGCGATCCAGCTGCGGGGCGTATTGCTGCTGCTGGGGCTGCTGGTGAGGCTCCTGTACAGGTTGCGAGTCCTGCTGCAGTGGAGGTTGCTGCTGCCGCTGCGATGATGGGATTTGCTGCTGCTGAGGCGATTGCGGCTGCGATTGTAGCGGTGCTTGCAGCTGGATCTGACCCTGTGGTTGTATCTGCTGGCCCAGCCCAGTACCTGGTATCGCCGACGAGGGGCTTTGAGCCCCTCCCGTAGCAATTTGCCCTGAGGCCCCTCCCAGGGCTACCATTCCTGAGCCCAAGTCCCCTGGAAGGGAGGACGCGGATCGCCGTCTAGGCTCAGGGAACTGCTGCTGCTGTTGCTGCTGTGCTTGCTGCTGCTGTTGCTGCGATGGATGCGGCGGCGACGATGGCTGCTGTAGCAAAGCCTGACGCGGCGGGGGCAGCGCCACATGCTCCTGATGCTGCTGCGGTGGCGGCGGCGGCATCCGCCTCTCCTCCTGCGGCCAGGTTGGAGGCGGCGGCGGCGCAGGTCGAGTCACAAGACGGTGGCCTCCCTGCGTAACCGCCGGCGGCGGCGGCGGCGGCGCAGCTGACGCAGCGCCCCTGCCACCTCCGGCGCCTCCGCCCCCACTGCCGCTGGCTACCGTGGCAGCAAGCAGCCGGAGGACATCCCCCACACTGGGCGCCTGGGCACCATCCTGCTCCTGTGCTCCTCGGCCTGCTGCCCCTCCGCCTCCGGAGCCTTGTTGCCTCGTTACCCCTCGCTCTTGCAACTGGATAGCGTTGGAACTGTGGGGGTGGCCGTGCGTGTGGAATGTGAGTTGCGGTGCATCCAGCCCCGCATCCCAATGGGCCGAGTCCGCAGCCCCGGAGCCGCTACCGCCGCCGCCGGCAGCCGCCGCCGGTTGGCCGGGTTGTAAAACCCAAACCGACAACGCTGGCGGCTGAGGTGGAGCCATACCCGACGTCTGACGACCCACGGGTCCCTGTTGATGCACTGGCGGCGGCGGTGAAGTAGATTGCGGCGACTGTTGAGGCTGCAACTGAACCTGTTGTGGCGTCACTGGTAAAGGTACGGAACTGGAGGAAGGGAAGCGCGTCCCGTAATGCGGCTGTAGCTGCTGTATAACCGGTGCTGAGTTTTGCCGTGCGGGCGGGCTTGCAGCTTGCTGTGGCGGCGGCGGTTGCAGCGGCGGCGGCGGCGCCATCCTTGTCGTTGGCCGGTTTTCGGTCGACGCATCTAAGTGGCCCGAAGACCGCGATTGCTGCAGCTGCGGATGCAACGGCTGCAATTGCGGTTGTGGTCGCTGTTGCAGCTGTTGTGGTTGCTGCGGCGGCGGTGGTGCCGCTGCCGTGCGTTGGGGCGGTTGCAGCGGCGGTTGCGTTGGCGAGGCGGCGGCGGCTGGGAGAGGAGATACGGCAGGCTGGGGTGTTACGGCTGCGACGCTACGTCGTACGGCAGCAAGAGGTGGCGGTGTCGTCGTACGGTTTGCCGGGGCGGGACCGGGGCTGGTGGCGGCGCCGGCGCTAGCCGCGTTGGCGTTTGCGGCCGCCGCTGCCGCCGCGGCAGTTGTCGTACGATGGACTCGGCGGAGGTGCTCCTGTAGCTCTTGGCGGCGATGCTCTTGCAAGATCTCCCGCAGGGATTGTCGTACAGCGCCGATCTCGTCTGTCAGGATCTCCTCCATTTGGGTCAGGCTTGCTTTGGTATCCTGTCACCGAAGAAAGGTACAAGGAGGTTTATGCAAGCAGTGTGTTTGGACAGCGCCTCGTAAGCAGCGTTTTGCGAGCATACACTGCATGCATTGGCCCTCCCCTTGGGTCTCCTAAGAAAAGACCCAAGTCGTTACACCTTTCAACCCTTGAGCCGTGCTGTCTGCCTCATCCGTGCCGCACACGAGTGGGCATATAAGCACGTCTGCACCCTAAACGCAGCCGCAATGCCTTACGTGCATTGCCGCACTGGGCACCTCGAGCATGCATGCAACGCCCTTGTTGCTACAATGCTGGTGCGTGTCGTACCTTTACTCGATTCAGCCGCATGATTAGCTCCCGTCCAAGCGCTACTAACTCCCCCGCGCGGCCCGACAGGTCCGACCGAGAGAAGACGCTACCACCCGCCACTTGGTCCGCAGCGCCAACGCCAGCGCCGGCGCCGACACCAGGAGAAACAGGAGCGCCGCCGTAACTCGCAGGGTCCATGCTACCTACGCCTACAGCGCCGCCGGGCATGCCGGCACGGCCAGCTGCAACAGCGGCGGCGGCGGCTACGACGCCAGAGGGATCCGCGCCGCCACCACCACCGCTGCTACCACGGCCCTGGGCAACATGACTCGGTAGCGGTTGCGGCGGCATCCCATAATCGGCGACGGCGCCGCCACCACTGCTGTACGCTCCTCCTCCGCCCCCAGCTGCTGCTACTGCTGCCACCGCCGCACCACCGGCGGCGGCTACTGAGCTATCCGTGTGCTCAAGCGACCTCACAGACAAGCGGTGCGGGGCAGCGCCTGAAACCCCGGGCAATGCTGCTGCGGCCGCGGCCGGGATCATTCCCACATCTCCCGCCATCGGTTCCGAGCCCGCACCCATCCAAGCACCACTGCCACTCCCACTACCGCTGCCACTACCACCATTGCCACCGCCGCCGCTGTTAAGGTAACGGCGACGAGGCACAGCAGATGCAGCCACAGGTGCCGCTGAGGTATTAGCAGCTTCCAACGCATCAAGGGCTTGAGGTTGCGGAGGCCGACGCGGGTCACTGGCGTTTCGAAGCAGCCCGTGATGACCCATGGGTCCGCCGGCGGCAGCAGCACCAATGGGCCCGCCAGCAGGCGCCAGTGCAAGCTCCAAGCTGCCGCCTGCTCCACCGAGGGGAATAAGCGCTGGTAGCGGCCTTCTTTGGTCCGGAGAGTATGTATGAGGCGGGAAGGCCACGCCAGTGGTGCCGCTGGCGCCAACTAGCTGATCTAGGCCAGGCGCGTGGCCCGTCGCGGCAGCGCTGACTTGCCCGGCCAGCCCCGTTTCACCTCCCAAAGAACCTTGCGAGGCCCGATGTGCATGGTGATATACCGGTTGCTGTCTGGCATGCGGTGCATGCTGCAGAGGCTGCTGCTGCGGATACTGCGGAGGTGGACGCAGCATGCGTTGCTGTTGTTGTTGCTGTTGCGCTTGGTCATAATAATCGCTGCCGCCACCAACGCCGCGTCCATAGTTGTAGTCGAATTGCTGTTGGTCGTAGCCTCCTGACTGGTGTTGTTCGAGGTAGTCCCGACCACGACCCCGCTGCTGTTGCTGCTGATCGTAAGCAAAGTGCTGCTGGTTATCAAACGAGCGATCTAACCGGCGGTCGTAGTCGCGAGGGACAGCAATTGCGACGTTGCGGGAAGGACTACTTTCCGGTAAAGGATACCCAGCAGCAGCAGCAGCTTGCGACGGCCCTGGCATGGGCGTCCCATCCGGCCCCAGACCCAGATCAGCGACAGTCCCCATGCTGCGGGACCTCCCCCCTCTCTGCGGCGGCGGCGGCACTGTTACTGCTACCGCCATGGCCCCGACCGCTGCTGATGTGGCAGCACTGCCAGTTGTCGCAGCCAGGTCAGCCGGTGGTAGTGCGAATGGCGGAGGAGAAGGCGGCGGCGGAGATGGTGAGGCTGCATCACCGCCCAGCGGCCGTCGGCGGGGCTGCGGAGGGTGCTGCTGCGGCTGAGGTAGGTGTTGGGGCTGGGGTTGCCGCTGCTGCTGCTGTTGCGACTGTGGCGGCAGTAAGAGCAGCTGGTGCTGGGGCTGCAGCACCTGTGGGTCTTGCGGGTGCTGCTGCTGGTGCTGCTGCTGTTGATGCAAGTCATGATGGCTGGGAACGTACCAGGAGCCCAGGAGCTGCGGTTGTTGGGATGGAAAGGAATCTGGGTCGGGGCTTGCCAGCATTCCACCCAGGCCACCATCTGGGTCGGCCCTAGGATGCTGCTGCTGGGGATAGGGGAGCAGCGTCCGCTGGGCCCCGACCGCTAAATCCACACGTGCGTCCATTTCCAACGGTGCTCCACGTGGACCCGGGGAGACCCTAGGGGCGGGAGGCATGGCAATGGGCAGGCGAACATGACATGGCGGCGGCCTTTATGTTTGGTTTGAGGTCACAGCCATGGGATCCTTTCCAACGAGGACAATGCTTCCGTCCCTCACCTGCTGTCCACCATGATGCCCTCAGGGCCGTTGGCATGGTAAGTTGCCGACTGTTCATAGGAGCTCCTGTTAGCGGGCACCGCTGCGATACCTCGTTCCATCGCATTCACGCTTCCGTTACGAGCCAGCGCTAAGCCAACAGTACCCGCTGCTGCCCTGTGCGCATCAATATCAGTTTTTTCAGGAACTGCAACCGGTGACACCGCCGAAGGCACAGCGAGTTTCGGTGGAACGGGCTCGTCTTCTCCGTGCTGATGCCCCGCCCATGAGTCCTCGGCGTTGGGCAGTTTTTGCACGTAATGGCTTGATGAAAGGCTACATAGTATTTGCGCTGTATCAAGAAGCCCAAGATCTGCCGACGCTCCTGCGCCAGTTTGGGTTTGGGTGCCGTCTCGAGGGTTAGGAGACTCGGAAGCAAGGTGACGCTGCTCAGCTGGACGCATTTCGTATATGCTGACAATCTCTTCACAAGCTTATGAGCCACAACCTTGCAAGGTTAACAGGTGGAATATGGCATCTCAAGCAAAAAGAGCGCGAAGGCGAGGAATTCTTGCTGGTATGGCATGGAAGACAGGCTAAGGAACGCTAGTAGGAAGCAGTAACGTAGGAAAATGTTGGACTTGCTTGTAGGAAACGTTGGTAAAGGTTCTATTAAGCCGCAACGCTATAACGCCGTTACAAGCAGACACAGCTTCAGACCTTTTAATGTTCAGTCACGATGAACGTGTAACCGTGGGAACAATGGATGGGGTTGTAAAATGACTTGTGGGACGAGCGTGCTCGGCCATGCTTATTGCACGGACGATGATGAGGCCCATGAAAAGGTAGACCGCACACTCTTTCAATGAGTTGCATTATGTACTCTTTGTGTGGGAAAGCACCATAACATCTTGACAGGCCCATGCTTTCTGCCACGGCGTAGCCTCTGGTTTCCAGGCGCCCGACCTTTGGCAGGACAGGGTCCCCATGGCTCAGTGGGGTTGCCAGTTTTATAGGAAACACCATTCAACGTGGTAAGGGCTTCGTCCTGGAGGGTTCTTGGGTTCTTATTTCGGTAACAGCCCCCGTTTGCATTCCCCTTGTGTGGAACACTGGACAACTACGACTACACCACCTTGACACTTTGCTTCATTTTCATTACGTTTTGCTCTTGGTGCCTCATGCATCGCTCCTATGCTTTGCGATATGCTGGAGTGCACCCTTGCACTGCCGGCCACAATGGCTGCGTGATCGCTGCACTGAATTTCCGCCTCTTTCGTTGGTCTGCGTACTCCACTACCTCAATACCATTGTGTACAAAATCGCTGGCGAACCGGGGATATTGTGTCAGTGATGGCAAGGTGGTGCCGGTAACGGCTCCGACATTGACAGGTTATATCACAATAGGCGTTCCAAACGAACAGAGCCGTAAGACTGTATCGAAATACCTATCTTGAAGCACGGATGTTATCAAAGAGCGTCCATTACCTCGCGCCCACCATTTGGGCGAAAGCAGTTTCTCGGCCTATGACATGCCCATTGGTTCCACCATAAAGCTCGTTTCCGCAAACACGGACTGGTCAATAACCCTCTGCCACACGGAGTGCGGAGTTGTGCATGTTTTCAACCAGTCTATTGCGCACCGCGCATAGTTCATCAGGACCTACTATTAAAAGGCTTCACAGCAGTCTTTCCTAAAAGCAGCAAGGCCCGCACATCCTTCAGGTGATGCTCCTTGTCGCCTTCCGTTTGCTGCGAAACGTCAGGAAGCACTATCATCAAAGTACCAGGGCTATGTAACTCAATTTTAATGGCCATGCAATGATAGTGTTGGCTATGAGAAGGTACGTTAGGTACGTTAGTACAGAAGGTAGTTGCAACGTACAGCCTTGTACAGGTACGGACGCATGGACGCAGCAAGAACCCTTCGACCGTTGCTTTACCACCGCCCATCTATCTCCCTTCCACCCGCAGCAAGTGTAGTTTCTATGAGGAAAACATGGACCTGCAATGTGCTCCTGAGAACGACAGTGACGATTGTAACATGCAGACTATGCATGTACCAAACCATTCGCCGTACTGCTGCACGACGGCATGCTGTACGACAAGGGAAGCAGCATAGCCTCATCTGAGATGTGTTGTTATCATGTTACATGGTGAGGTCCCACCATCAGCATTGTGCCACGCTAGCCCCACGCTCCAATCGTTTGGTCGCGTCCGTACGGTTGCGTCCGTACAGTAAGCCGCGACAGCCGCCGCCACCAATACCTAACAATAATGGCTCACCCACAACACCTCCGCAGTGAAAATTCAAGCAATGCAAGCCCGAAGGCGTCCTGAGGGCTCAGTGCAATGCACATACCTTCAGCCAATTAACCAACTTTCCGAACATACTGTTTGCACGACAGCGAGAAGGGGGCGGATTCATCAGCTTCAATATCTGGTTCTTAGGAAACGAAGGATCGCGGTGAAGGGAAAGACCAACGCCTTATGCAACGGTGAGAAGGCTTCCTCCCATTCCCTCTTGCGCCGGAGACATAGCTTGCTTCATGGCATGTCAAGCCTGATACCAGAGCCGAACGTCTGTCCGTGCGACAAAGTCACGGCTGCTTTCGCTGCGAGGAGCCGTTACCGGTTCCATTTTACCACATGACAGCCAGTACGGTCGGTGATGGCCAAGCCTACAGGCCGTTCCTGACCTGTACGACAATTCGCTAAGCCCGCAGCTGTGAGGTGCCCTTGTCTCCGAGCCGCATGGCAGCCAGCACGGCAGGTACGAGTGGAACGTCAGCAGGCGTGAGTTCGTACGACATGACGTCTGGCGCCGTCACCCATGCCACCGCCTGCCCCTCGGCCCCCCGGGGCTCCCCTCGCCACCGGCGGCAGGCTGCAGACAGGGGAGGGTTCGCGTGAGCGAGGCGTGGGAGGGAATCTCAAGGGCGGGAGGATTCGCGGGTGAGGGACGACGTGTTGAAGGAAGGTTTGTTGGGAGTGGTACGGCATGAGGCAATCAGCCACCGGCGGCAGGCTGCAGACGGGGGATTGATGGCGTATTGGGAACAACCGTGGCGGGTGTAACGGGCATAACAGCATGCGGGGAGGGATAACGTAGAGCAGAAGGGGTGAATAGCCACGCCTCCGTTCATGGCCCTCATTCCGTCTTACCTTGCTCCAAACCATGTTGCACGCTAAAGGCTGGCGCGCACCATGTGCGTGTGCACATCAGCACGTTAGCATGGCAAGACCTTCATGCCGCCCTTCCATGCTACCCCTTTATGCTCTGCCCATGTGTGGCCGCATATGCACAAGAAAGCACAACCCAGCCTCCCCACCACGCACCGCCCTGACTTCAGCTGGCTTACCGTACAGTGGCATGAGGAGGTGGAAGGTAGGGTAGGTGTGGGATGCGAAGGTGAGCGGTTGGAGGTCGTTGGGGTCAACGGTAATGCCCAACTCCTCATGCAACTCCCGAACCAACGCCGCCTGCAACAAATAGATCGGTTGGTTGGTTGTACAGTTATCGGATGTTAGCCAAGCAGTGGAGGAACGGTCAAGTGAGCTAATCCGTGCCGGTGGGAGAAGAGGTGCCATGTTGAGAACCCTCGCAGTTGGCCCCAAACCCCCAACTTCCCTGCTTCCTGGGTTTCGAGACAATACTCTATACCCGACGTCCCAGCTTTCTTTTAAAGTTTTAATCCGTACGGCAGTACAATACCCCACAAACCCCAGCTCGGCCCACCTCGGGCGTCTCCCCGGGGTCCACCTTGCCTCCCGGGAACTCCCACAGCCCCGCATTGGCCTTCCCATGCGGCCGCTGGGCCAACAACACCCGCACGGGGCGGCCGCTGTTGCCGCTGTTGTTGTTGCTAGTGTTGTTGCCGCAGTTAGTGCTCATGTCGTACTCCGGATCGTCCAAAAGTACGACACCAACGACCACAAGCAACGGAACACCGCCGCTAGCGACGCTGACGCCCACGGCGGTAGCGTTGCTGGTGGGAGGTGCGGCTGCAGCAGCGGTTGTTGTGCAAAGGCCGTTGCTGCTGCTGTTCCCTACACCATTTCCGTCCATGCTAGCACTTACTGCTTGCTGGAAGTGATTGCTCCTGCTGCTGCTACCACAGCTAACGTTGTTGCTGCCACTGCCAACGTCTGTACGGCTCCCGACCTCGACTCCGTTGCCCTTCGCACTTTCGTTGCCTCCTCTCGTACCTTCCGTCTGCGGAATATCGACAGTGGCCGCCCTAGCACTGTCAGCTGTAACTGCCGTACCAACGGTAAGCACTGAAGCCGCAGACGACGACGACGCGGCTATTCCCGTACCACGGTTGGTAGCAGCAGGTGCAGCTGTCGCCGTACTCGTACGGATCGCCGCCCTCGAAGCGGATGCTGCTGCGATCACAGAATCAATGGTACGGAGTACGGTACCCCCAACGGCTAGAACTGGTACGGACGATGATGGTGACGATCCCGTACAACTCGTTGACAATAAGGTGGAGCAGGTGGGGGTAGCGGCTACTAATGCTGTTGCCGCTGCAGGTGCTGTAGAAGCGAACCCAGATGGCAGGGCGGAGAGTGGAGAAGAGGCAAATGAGGTAGGCCCGATTGGGGAAGCGGAGAAAGACCGGGGGTTCAGCGGTGTGTGGTGGTGGGGTCGATGCTGCTGCTGGAGGTGAGGCGAGTCTTGGCCAAATGCGTTTCCGCCTCCGCTACTATCGCCTGCTGCTGCTGCAGTTGGTGGTGAGGTTATGCGACGAGGGGCACGGAAAGCTGCGCTTGGGCTGCAATACCGCCTGTGGCTGGGGCGAGGGATGAAGAGGAAGCAGCAGGGGTAACAGAGGAGCGGAACGGCATTGCGGCAAAGCAGAGGGGGAAGCGACGCTCAAGCGGTCAGATATTAGAGGGAAGGAAAGGGGGATACAGTGACAGGGGGTGCAGGAAAAGAGTTCAATATCGTTTTGCGGCCCCGGTAGCGGGTGGCCAGGGAGGGAAAGCAAGGGTGCCAGTGAAGCGGCTGGGAAGACGGGGGGCGGCAACGAAGGGAGAAACATGGGGTGACAGGAGGAGAGTGCAGCGGTTGGAGCACCACCTCTTGGGCAAGATACAGCAAAGGGGTCAGCCATGCTTGAGCGAATTGTTCTGGCTCGGTTTCACCTGTCCACTTCGCTCCTGTTAGCGTATCCAGCGAAGGTGGAACGCCCAGCAGCTGCTCTTTTACAAGGCGGCGAATGCCAGCTGTAGATGCCACTTGGGCTGCAAAGACAGCAATTCTATGGTTAAGGGATTGTTCTGCAATACAGTAAGATCTGCCGCTATAAAAGGAAAAGGACTGACGCGCTAGGCCTGCGCAGGGAGAGTAGACGGTTGAGCAGAGTCACCAGGCGAGCCGAGGCATAAAATAAAGAACTTCCTAATATGTATTCCATGCTTACGACTTGCCTAGTTATGGAGGTGGTTAGGAGCAATACAGTAGCGAACGGAGAGGTAGGGAGTGGACATGGCAAGCTCTAGCTGAACGAGCTCTGTAGATTTGTCTTTACTTGTGAAGCAGTGCAATTTTTGAAGTCAAGCACGGAAGTCCACAAGGGCATATCTGGGGCTGGGGTTGTGTAAAACGCGCGGGAGGACAGCCCTAGCTTGGTTGACCAACATACACTTACGCTCGCTGTACGCATATCCTCACCTATAGATGATCCGGTTTAGATGCATTGAAGGATGCAACTTTGTTGAATAGTAAGGCGGTCGGAGCTTGGAAGGCCACACCTGAGTAGCAGCACAAGCCACGCTGGCGCGTACGTTAACTGTATCGAGAACAGCATATATACCAAAGTGTCGCACGCGTGGTAAGCGGGAAATAATACCGAGACCGACCGTTACAGACATGTTTAACGCCCGTACACCCGAGCAGATCCTTCTTTCCTTACTCCTTGCGCTGGAAGTGAGCCTGCGTGACCACGCGACATGCTGGGTTCGCACCACTTGGTGAGGGCTACAGTTGTATGCGTGTCCGCCCCCGGTACATGGCGCCAACAGTACATTTGACGTTCACTGCGTCCGCCATGTCCGGGGCCGGACACAGAATGAACGCACTGAGAATCTCTAATACGTGAAGGCCCGACATCCCTTCGATCTACATGCTCTCAGCGGACAACTGCGCATGGTGCCTACTGCCAAGGGTTTAATATGGCACGGCTAGCTCGTACGTCTCCCCTGCAGCGTGTAGGGGTCTTTCCTGGGCCCCTAACCTTGCTCTGTTGGGGGCTTGGGTGCCTCTTATGCGGCTCTCCCTTGTCTCCTCCTTCCAACCGCTGTAGAAAGTACTGGGGAAGCAGAGTACGCGGCATACACCGTGCGCCGCAGATCTGCAAGGCGCGACATGCAGTTAGGCTTAGGTTGGACTTGCGTCAGTCTGTATGGTTAGCATCCAAGGGCCCTTCCCCTTCCTATGTACATTGCAGCAACGTGCTTCTGAGCGTCACCGCTGTGGGGGTTACTGTCAATCACTCCTTGCCAGGAACCCTGCTGGCTGCCATGCATGCTTCGTTGAACGATTGGTCACATTCCTCGTCGAAAGGAAATGCAAAGACGCCGGGATGTCTGGTTGCTGCAGATCAATAGACTGCGTAGGTTTAGTCACATAAAGCAATGCAGTGGTCGAGTGCGACGACCGCCGAGTCTCACTCGCCCATCCGCAAGCAAGGTAACCAGCATGCGTAAGACTCCCAGCGCTCCTGACATACATCACACTAGTACTTCAACTGGAACATAAGGGCCCAAACTCTGTCGCATACCTGCATGGTTGTCAAAAACCACTAGTCGCGGATGAGGCATGGGCCCGACACCCGTCATCAGCACGTTTTGAACCAATATGCTGAATATGCCTTAAAGTGATATACACATATACTTCCTATTAATACTACTATCGTACTGTAATGCTTCCAGCTGCCCACTTGCACTTCCAGCCTGCCCCGGCCCGCTTAGCGCAGCTCTATTATATCAACAAGACGAGGTTTTACTGTTACATGTGATGAACTTGTCGAGAAAGTGGTGTTTCACCTCCAAGCAGCCAAAACCTTTTTCCGACGGTGCGCATCTAACAAGTAAAGTACAACTCTAGGTTCAGCAAACGCTGTCTAAACCCTTAATCTTTGAGGACTGAACCTTCACATAGCGAACAAATTTGCCTGGTCTTGTCGGCTAATTTGTACCCGAGGACATGGAGCAACGCCCGCCGGACGAAACTCCGAAGCGCGCCGAAGAAAATGTAGCCTTGCCCATGTGGTTTGGGTCAGCAGGCCCTTCACCGCTAGGATACAGCAGCGTTGCATACGAGGCCTTGTTACGTCCAGCGGCGACTGGTGCCCATGCTCAACGCGATGCTTCTGGAGCGGCGTTCACACCAGCAGTTCAGCAACCATCAGCGCTTCTGCACTCAGAGCGCTTCGCTGCAGAGGCTGCCGTGTATGCGCGCGGCGGATACAGGTAAGGAGTTGCCTACGCCTGTAGTTACCGGGCTGTGTTCCTTACGTCTAGCTCTGTCTAGCTATGGAGTTTCTTTCCTTCCTCTTGACTCGTAAGCCTATGCGCGGTAACAATAATACTGTCACTAGATAGTTATGCGTACTGCCAAACATTTGCCTGCATGCGCGCTTCGACATGTGCCGAGGAAGCCTGGCCTCGTAGAAGGTCCTTAGTGCTTGGTACACTACCTTCTCGCCATCTTTACCGAAACTTCTCTACCTGAGGCGCCCACACCATCTTCTGTAGTTGCACTCCTTCTTCCTCGCCCACTTTACCTCGCACACATTATAACCCAACCAATATGACCGCTCTGTCTTCGGTACCGGTGCTCGTTCCCTACTCCTTGTCCTTTAACCTGCCGCCTTCCCCACTCCCTCGCCCCTCCTTGGCAGGGATTCTCTCGAACCGCACGCGAACATGCAAGCTGGTGCGGATGCGGCTGAAGGGTTAATGCAGACAGCCCACCAGCTGCCGGGGGCGACTCTTCCACCTTCTCCGCTACAGCCGCAATACCACCACCACTACCAACACCAGCAAGAGGACCTTAACAGGGCAGACCCTGATGAAGGCCCAGTTGGAGCGGTGGGCAGCCCCGACCCAGATTCCATTCCACCCCAACAACCGCAGCTCCTGGGCTCCTGGTGCCTTCCGCCAAGGCGCAACCCAGGTGGCCTAGTTGCTGCTGACCCAGATGGCACCCTGGTAGGTGGCCCTGACCCAGATCACCTAGCGGCTCCCAACCCAAATTGCATGACCTCAGGGGCCCAGCAGGAACAGCAGCAGCAGCAGCAGCAGCAGCTGCTGGCTGCTTGGCCGCAGCAAGAGGGACAACTACAGCAGATGTCTGAATGGAACCGGGAACAGCCGCAGGAGCAGCAAAGCCCATGGCCTGCTTGGCAGCAGCAGCGGCTTCGACAGCGGCAGCCGTATTTACTACTTCAGCCGCTGGCATGGATGCGACAAGCGCAGCATCCGCAGCCCCAACCTATGCAACATCAGCAGCAGGAGGGCGTTTACCAACCACAGCAACTGCACCACCAGGAACTGCAGCCAGGGCAGGAGTCCCAGCCGCTATGCCCCAAAGAGCAGGGAGCGCAGCAGCACCTGCAACAGAGCCCCCAGAGGAACTGGCCTGATGACGTTGACTTCGTCCATGGTGATTGTCGTGACCCGTGGGTCACAGCAGCATCAACTGTGGCCGCTACACCCGTCTCTACTACACCGCCAACGGCGCCACGGAGATGGGCAGCAGCAGCCAACACCACCGTTCCCATTCCGCATCCTCACAATACAGCATTTACTAGTGCCCCGCTACCGCAGCCATTTGAAGCAGCAACACCGCCGACTGCAGCGCCGGTATCAGCGGCAATGGCGGTTGCTGCTATGGCTGCGGCATCAGCGGCCATGGGCGCGCCGCCAGCAGCCGCAGCAGCACGCCTGTCACCTATCTGCTTGGGCCGTACGTCAGCTGGTGCCGTACATACCGGCGACCCCACAAGTGCAAGTGGCGACGGTGGCGTCAGTGATGATGTAGGCGAAAGCGGTGGCAACCGAACCAGCGGTGGACGAGGCTGCGGCCGCCGCCAGAGCGCTCTAGGGGGCCTTATGGACGCGGGGGGCCGTGAGGAGGTCAGTGGCGGTGGCAGCTGGACTGGCGGCGGCGGCGGCGATGATGATACCGGCGGAGGCGACGATGGCAGGGATGACGGCGATGGCGAGGTTGGCTACCCTGGCGACAACGACGACGTTGACCAGGCAATGAGCAGCAGCAGCAGCAGTGGCGGTGACGCCGGCGGGTTTCAACGTCGTAGGTACAGGACCGTCGAAAGCGGTGGCGGCGGACATGTCGCGGGTGACGCAGGCGAACACGTCGTCGACGACGTTGCCGGCGTCCAGGCCGATGTCGGCGGCGGCGACGGAGGCGAAGGTCGTCAGGGGGCTTGGGAGGCGGATGCGGGCGAGGGGGGGGCTGACGTGGACGATGACGCCCGCGACGCGAGCTCCCACCTGGACCTGTTGAGTCGCGCGGGGGTGCTGGCGGCGGTGGAGCGGGAGCTGCTGGGACGGCTGGAGCATGTGCAGGTGGGGCCCGCATGGGTGTGGAAGCTGGTATGTGTTTGGGGAGGAGGGCCCGATGTGTTGTGGCCATGTGAGCATTGTTCCTGATGGGCTGAAACACCGGGATGCGGGGGAGCGGTTGAGGTTTGGAGTCGTCAGCGTGACGTGACGTGGCGGCACACGCCTCCGTGCCATCAGTGGTCGTAGCTAGGCTGGAGACGCTGGAGAGGGTAGCCCTAGCAAACGCCTTCATCCTTCCCCTTCGTATGACCTCGCCGCCCCGTCCTTTTTCCCCGCTTGTTCCAAGGACTTCTTCAAAGCCGTGTCACTGTCGAACGCTCCTATTCCCTTACCCACCCCGCTCCTCTCCCTTCCTGGGCCCCTTCCTGCGTCTGCCCTTTCCCTCCCTCTTACCTCAGGCCATACCTGAAGTTCCCAGCCCGGCCTATGTAAGTTCCCGTTCCGTGAGATGCCAAGGCTGCCTTTGCCGCGGTTCCTAGCAATGGCGCAGGGATGACATGATGTCCGCTTCGACAGTTGCTGCTCAGGCCTCCAAATACCTCTTCCTTCCTTCCTCCTCATTTCCGCCTAACCTCCGCTCTTCCCCTCCTTCAGCAAACCGACAACGCCGCCTCCCACCCTTTCCCTCCCTTCCGCTCCCCTGCCCCCTTCCCCTCTCGCTTCCCAACCCCTCCTCAGATTGAGGACCCCAAGGCCGCCACCGCAGGGCAGCTGGAGCTTCAACGTCGTCTACAGGGCGGTATCAAAACAACACTGGAAACCCTCCCATTTTACTAACACCCGTTGTAAAGCTCTTGCTTGTCCTTGCCAAGCCCCTGCTTGGCTCCACGCCTTGTCGCAGCCACTTCAAGCCTTTCGCCTGCCACCCGTCGGCCTCGCTGCTGAGCCTGTACTAAGCACTAGTGTGCTGCTTTCCCAAGCTCCTTCTTACAGTCTGTTATGGACCGTAACACACTGCTCGCATGAGCCGCGACCTTTTTACCTCTCAAGCTAAGCTAAGCCTGCTGCCACCGCATCCTGCCCTTTCCTCCTCCTTCCCTCCTCCTCCTCCACCGCACCAGGCCACCAAGGCCAGTCTAGACGAGTTGGAGGCGGCCCTGAGTGCCGAGGTGGCCTCCCTGGGGGCACTGCTGAGGCACGCTATGCAGCAGCAGGGGCAGCCCCTGCATGGCCAGCAGCAGGGGCAGCTACCGCAGCAGGGGCAAGGGCAGCGGCAGCACGTGCAGCAGCAGGAGTACCCGCAGCAGCAGCAGCCACCGCAGCAGGAGGAAGAAGGACATGCTCTGTACCGGCACCAGCAGCAGCAGCACCAGCAGCAGCCGGAGCAGGAGCTGCAGGGACCGCAGAACCCGGTGTGGCAGGCCTTGCAGCAGCAGGCTTTTGCGATGGCAGCAGGGGCGGCAGCACCCGCCGCCTTGGCCCCTCCTGGCCTCTATCAAGGGGAGCAACAGCAGCAGCAGCAGGATGACATGGCGTTAGGACAGGAGCAGGATAACGACAACGAACGTCTCTCGGGACAGGGCAGCTATCTAGCCGACGCCGGTGACGCAGATGCAGACGCAGGGGAAATCGGTCAAGAGCAGGAGCACAGGAGGAATGCGGAGGAAGCGGACGCGGGGGAGGAGAAGGGTCAAAGCGGCAGACAGAGCCTCGAGCGTTCGCAGCAGCAGCTGCCGCCTCCGCCCTCCGCTGCACTGCTGGGCTTGTTGGGGATTGGGGGGGCGGCACCCCCGCCTGCTGCCGCCTCCTCCGCTTCCTCCCACCAGCAGCAGCAGCAACAGCAGCCGCAGCAGCTGGAGCAGCCACGGCGACAGCAGCCGCTCTGGGAGCAGCGGCTACAGCTGCAGCAGGCCAGTGCTGCTGGTACTGCAGTTGCGACATCTGTCGCATACGTCACTGCTACTGCTGCCGTTGCTAGCAACGCTGCTACCGACGAAGCTGACAATGACATGGGCGATGCTATTGCTGGTGAGCAGGAGCTTTCAAAGGGTGTTGCGACGGCAGCAGCAGCAGCAGGAGTCGCTACAGCCGGCGCTACTTCACTCGTCACTGTCGGCGCAAAGCGCCCGCGTGTTCCTGACGACGAAGAGGACGGTACGGCAGGCGATGGTACTAACGGCGGTTTCTGACGCGATGGGGCCGCGGGTGAGAGTACGGTCGTCGTCGCCGGAGAACCGCGTAGTATTGGTTGCGCTGTGATATGCGCCGAAGGATACGCAAGGGGCAGAGGTTAACGTGGCAAGGTCGTAGCAAGGCCGAGAGCAAGCGCTGTAGTGACCCATGGGTCCTTCCACCGCCAATGACTACCGCGACCGCCAACCTCATTCATGTACATAGTCGATTTCTCCTGGCCGCCGCTGGCCTATGGGGGCTGCAATGGTCTGAGTGTTCGATTGTTTCGTTTGGGGTGCAACGGAAGGGATTTATGCCGTACATTGGTTAGAGGCATCGGAGGCTGGTGACACACGGCAGGGGCTTGGCAGGATGTTGGCACGAGGTACGCATGCAACTGCGGAAGTCTACCCTATATGGACCACTAGTCCGCACATCCGTACGGCACTTTAAATCTGTACGGTGCGAGTACAGGACATGTGACCTGTACGGCGCGTGTTAGAGAGGGACTGTGCACTGATGGAAGGGTTTGACCTTCATTGGGCCGGGCATGGAATGCGTTCACTGGACCGGACCTTATTTCATGTTTACTGCCGGGCACTTCATTTGTTGACCTGTGGTATGCTATGTCGTGCCACACTAATATTACAACGCCATACACGCCAACCAAGCGCTGCGTATGTTGCCACTGAATTACGGGCTAGCGACCGACCGCATTCTGTGACAGCTTGCGTGACGCTTGACCTGTGCCTTTGTTTCACTTAACTTTGCGCCAATTGTGCCCTGCGCTTTACGTGACGTGAGTTGCGCCTTACAGTATGTGATACCTGACTCTTAACGCCGACTTGGCGTGTGCTGCATTCATTGACGCGACTAGCGGCTTAGTCGTCTAACGGCCTAACGGCCCAACGGTCTAACCGCGATCAACCGGGAACTGCCTACGCATGCGTTGGATGTGGAATCATGCCAGGCTGCTGCTTGCTGTGGGGGGGGCTCTTAATTTGATATAACTGTATGAAACGGGTGGAGCGTGTTTGTGTGTGTATTTGGGGGCTAAACACTATTAACGAAGCTTACGGCAGAAGTGTGCATTGGCTGGCATGTATGTTGCACAGCAGTCTGCTATGCTAGCTGAGGCACTGGTTACTTTGGGGTTGTACCGACCGGCTCTACAAGAGGATATAGCCGTGTACGATACCGGCACACCGCAATATGTAACGAAACGAACGCTAATTGTACGGAACTTTGCCATGCAGTGCGGTTGCGGATCTGGTGAAAAGATAAGGCGACTGCTTCTCTAATGCAGCCCCATGCTATATGCCTTGGTTGCAGGAGTATTGTAGCGGGGTCCGGTAGCCCCCACCCCGGGTGCGACCCACGGGTCGTTTGCGGAAGTGTTTGGGAACTCTAGCTGCAAGCAAGCACGGAGCGCTGAGGCAATGCGGCAACTCCCTCCTTGCACGTTTGCTACCACCAGGCAAGCTCCGCAGTCCCACATATGTTGCAGTCCTCCTGGCTGTTGCCCGCATTGTCCACCATGCAGCTGGTAGCAGGAGCGCTGGTGTACGGCGCATGTGGCTTGGTGTCGTGCCTCTTTGGGGACGCTAAGGTTAGCATAAGATGACAAGAGGCGCGCCACGGCTGTGTGAATGCAAATGTCGTGTGTGTGCTGTCGTGCAGGTGCCTGCCGTGTCCACATGCATTGGGAGCGGTTTGTTGCGTGAATCGTAGCTCGCCCTCTCACCGGTCCTTCACTATCACTATAGGGCACGACAGGGCTGGTTATTGCAACCTCTCCAGTTGACGGATCGTTGGGCGTCGTGACCCACCATCGGTCCTATGTCCGCTGGAGATGCAAACACCTGGATCTGCTTGGCGCAGTCACACAAGTGTAGGCCAAGCGCTGAGCCGCCCACGTCTCTCATATCTCTTTCGCCTTTTACTAAAGAGATCAGCGAGTGCGGCTCACGAAGGCGCATATCCCCAATATTTTCAAGGCTTTCGCCTTCCCAAACAGAACGAACTCAGTTATGCCGCATCGGTGGCGACCCCGGACACACCCACTTTATTATCTCATGTTGCCTTACTCCAGAAAAGACGCGCGTGCACCGTTATACACTATCCTCACAAGCACGCACTACAGCAGACCAGCAATTACCAGCAAGAGTTAGTTGGGCTGCCGCGGTTGGCACTGGTGACGCAGCTACTGCCAAGAGACCTGCCCCGTTCTTCTCCCCTTAACACCATCCCAGAGATGCAACGCATGGGAGAGCCGTGTTACATGGTTAGTTTCCCGGCCCCCTTCTGCTTGGCTGGGCAGACCACCTGCGGGTGATTCCCCCTTAAGTGGAGGCACCCGGAACCCGGAACCACGAGCCTGTATGAAACTTCCGAAACGCGCGTGCTCACGTGACTCCTAGCACCCAAAATGTTTGTGACCACGTCTGCATGGGTGGTTGGATAGGAGCGTGCCCTACCCTGTGTTCCCCGTTTAACGCCATCCGTGGGGGCTCGGCGGGCCGCGACCGCGGGGCCACACACAGAGGTGCCTCGCATTATCAGTTGGCTACTTCGATACCATTCAACCCATCTGCAGGCAGAGTTGCGAAAGGTGCTGCTTGACATTTGGACACATGGACAGGCTGGACAAAGCATATGTCAGGGCATCGTAACGTTCCCGTGAAAGGGACGGCAAGGTGTTGTTGTATAACAAAGCAGAGAGTCGGCAACTGACGAGGTGACGCTGCCCCTTTACGTCAAACGCTAGCAAACGCGCAATCTGCTTAATGCTCCGAGACCTGGCCGAAGGAGGCCAACCAGGCCACATCCTTGTTAGCGGTGGTGTATGTCAATTCACGTTCTATTTGTATGAACAACCTTGCGCGATTGCTGCTGCCATGAAGAGTATGGCAACAATTCAGAGAATGTCACGGCTGAAACGAGCTGGCCGGGTACTCCCAGCTGCTTCTTGCACGCTATTAGAAGAACTTATCAACGCCGATAAGCTGGCACTTCCCTGCATCGCCGTGGAGCGTGGCTTTCAATCCTCGTCTTCGGGCAGCACAGCAGGCGCGGGCTGGCGATCCGCATCGTTGCTTGGAGCTGGTGCTGCGCTACTTGCTGCGGCACTCTTGTCTCCATCCCCAGCTGCTGCCAAAAAAGAGCTTGCTATCCTGCCAGGCAGCAAGCCTCCCGCATCGGCCCTTCCGAAGACCGCTGCTGCCGAGTCGGCTGCACCTCCTAAGCAGCCGCAGCAGCAAAAGGACGACAAGGGGCGGCCTATCTATACTCGCGAAGAAGTTGCCAAGCATAAGACGCCGAAGGACAGGGTCTGGGTGACGTACAAGGATGGCGTGTACGACATCACAGAGGCAAGTGCCTCTGCGTGGAAGACTATGCCTGAAAGAACACTTCTGGCACATCGGGGGATGGGGAACTACCCTTGCCCACCTGCATTCTAGGCAATGCTAATTGATGCGTTTGTGCTTTACGACATCCTACGATATACTTTAACTGCTGCCCTGCACGCATGCAACCGCGTTCGCCTCGCGTCGTCAACACGGACGGCCAATACTGGCAATGTACAACCGTCATCTCGCCCCCTCAGTTTGTAGAGATGCACCCTGGAGGTGAGTGGTGAGGTGTCGTGGAAGGGAAGTAGGCTGAGGGTAGGAGGGGAGCGAGAGAAGGGAGGGGGGGAAAGAGGAAAGGACGCGGGACCGTAGGGGCCAAAGACCATACTTAAACATAGGAGACCACATGTCAGGGCAAGGCAATGGGGATAGGGAGGTAAGGGCAGGAGTTGCCCGAGTGGGGAGAGGACAGAATTGTGTGGAGTTGAAACATATATTCATGTTCAGTGTCATGGCAGTGGAAAGACATGCTAAATGGAGAGAAAAAGCGAAAGAGGAATATGCAAGAGGGAAGTGCCGAGCCCTTTTCGGCCGCCCCAAGCCCCACACTAGCCCCCTCCCGTCTCCCTCCCCTCTCCCTCCCCCGCGCCCCCCCACCCCGCCCAGGCGCCTCCAAGATCCTGCTGGCGGCTGGCGGCAGTGTGGAGCCCTTCTGGGCGCTGTACCAGCAGCACCGCAAGGCGGAGGTGCTGCAGATACTGGAGCCCTACCGCATCGGCAGCCTGGAGGGTGGGCGGGTGGGGGGCAGTTGGGGGGCCTGGTAGGATAAGGGGGAGGGGATGCGGCTGCCGGAGGTGGGGCGCAGTCGGGTGCTGCAGTGGGGCCTTGCCTTCCATGAGACCATGGCCCCCCACATTGCTTATTTTGGCCCTTCTACTTCCTTACTCTCCCCCCGCCCCTTTCCTCAACCCTCGTCTCCCCTATCAGGCGGCGCTGCGGCGGCGGCTGAGGCTGCTGCCGCGGGAGCCGACCCGTACGCCTCCGACCCCGCCCGCCACCCTGCCCTCATCCCGCGCTCGCAGCGCCCCTTTAACGGTGAGGGTGGTGAAGGGGGAATGCAGGAGGTGTGGGGTTCCTTTGTCCCTGTGGAGAAGGGAGGGATGAGTCAGGGAAGGCAGGACAGGGGCGGGGTGAGGGAGGAGAGCCGATGGGGAGGCGGTGCATGGTCAGGACAGGGGCGGACCTTTGGGCAGCTGAGGATGAGGGTGGAGACTTACGGTGCCAATACGCCGCCGTCTCGTTTGGAGTTATGGAGTTATGGGTACCTACTTTCTTCTTCCTCTCGCACGGATGCGACCACAACGGACCACGCCCGGTACTCAACACGTGCTGTTTTGCAAACGTCCTTCCTGCAGGGGAGACCCCTGGGTCACTTCTGGCCGCCAACCCAATCACCCCCAATGACATCTTCTACATCCGCAACCACCTGCCCGTACCCCACGTGGACGAGAAGAGCTACAAGCTGAAGGTGAGGGGGCTGTCGTACAGGATGGGCGGGGGTGGTAGGGCACATGTCGTGCCGTACACAAACGTTGCGAGTCTTACGACCTTGCATTCATCCTCTCGGGGAAAGGGTGCTTGCATGCTGCTGGATCGGGACCCGGTGGAGCTTAGAACACCTCAAAACACTCTTCGTTATCACCCTAGGTGGAGGGCGAGGGCACCCGCACGTTGGACCTGAGCCTAGAGGAGCTGAAGACGCGGTTCCGCAAACACAATGTCACGGCAACCGTGCAGTGCTCGGGTGAGAGGAGGGATGGGGGAGGGGTTTGTACGGCAGTGACGGTGCGTACCAGGGGCATTGTACGACTACAGCAGACGACACCTCGCACACGCGACTTAGCTTCCATTGTGCAGTGCTTGGTTGGGGGCGGGATGGGGCTTCCGGCTGTTTATTCCGAACCTTGATCACCCAAACTCCTTTCCCAGTTCCACTAACCGACCAACCAAGCAACCCCCCAACCCCCCAGGCAACCGTCGTAACGAGATGTCGCGGATCAAGCAGGTCAAGGGACTGGAGTGGGACCAGGGGGCCATCGGTGAGCAGGGGCCCGTGTGGTTCCTAGGGCAAAGAAGGACTGCGTGTTTAACAACCAGCTGAGCCGCAGAACGCACAGCAACCGTGAGTGTAGGAGGTGTCGTGTGTGTGTGTTCCTTGTCGCGCCAAAGCAGCTCCCGGTTGATGTCTCCCCTGTCGGCAGTTATCGTCAGTGCACTTGCGCGGTCTACCCACTTAAGAGCGCAGCCGACCCGGGGCCCGTGGAACCGTTGTTGGGCGTTCTTAACCGTCAACCAACCAACCAGCCCGGCGCAGTGTTGAGTCGGCCGCTTCTGAACCCCCCCCCGTCCATACCCGACCTGCCGGCAAGCCTTCCCGCCTAACCCCCGCCCCTCACGCATACACGCATGCATGCAGGCACGGCGGTGTGGGGCGGCGTGCGGCTGCGAGACGTGCTGCTGGTAGGTGTGAGGAGTGGGGGTGGTGGGGTGTGTGGAGCTCGCGAGGTGGCACGGAAATGGAGGAGCTGGGTTTTCATTCACGAGCTTTCCCTTGAATGGAAAACGTTTCTAACCCTTTCCTTAACCTTCCCCCGCCACGTTTCCGGCCCCTCACTTCTGTCTTCGCGTGACTAGCCCCTTGCCTCCCCTGCTTCCCCTCGCCATCACTCCTCCCCCCTCCCCCACCCTCCCGCAGGCTGCCGGGCTGTCGGAGGACGACCCGCTTGTTCGCCACATCCACTTTGAGGGTTTCGACCGGGACCCGGCGTCGGGGGAGGTGAGGGGCATGGAAAGGAAGAAACTGACAGGCACAGGGGGGGAGGTGAGGGGCATGGAAAGGAAGGAACTGGCAAGCACGGGGGGGGGGGAGGTTGAGGGCGGGTGTGGTGAGGTGAGGGTGGAAGGTATATAATTGATTATCATTTGAGATATCACTGAGATGCATTGTGGGGGAGGGGGATAGAGCAGGGGGGATGCGGAAGGGCGGATACTACCGGGGTTAGGAGTGGAGGATGAGGGCGAGATGAGGGGCGACACAGGCAAAACAGAAGCAACGAAGGGAAGGAAAGGACAGGCACAAAAAGGGGAATCAAGGACAGCCCCGGGACCTGCTACGCTTGATAAGCACCCACGTGCGATCGCCGCTGCTCCCCCGCTCCTCTGCCGTACATACACATGTATGCACACACAGGTGTACGGCGCTTCGATTCCCATTCGAAAGGCCCTGTCGTACGGCGGCGATGTACTGCTGGCGTACGAGATGAACGGTCAACCGCTTTCCGCGGACCACGGCGCTCCGCTGCGTGTGATCGTGCCCGGGGTGACTGGAGCCCGGAGCGTGAAGTGGCTGCGTGAGTTGTGGACGGGGGGTTGGGGGTTTGGGGTTTGGGTGGGGTTGGGAGGGAGGCAGGGGGTTAGGGGGGCGTTGGAAGGTTTGGGAATGTGCACGCGAAGAGAGTGGGCGGTTGCTCGTGCCTTGCCTTGCCTGTGTGGTTGCATGTGTGAAGATGAGGCACGTTTTCCTCCTTTCATCCTCCCGTATCTCCTCCCCCCTCCCCCCCTAAGGCCGTATCGTTGCCAGCCCGGCTGAGTCTGGCAGCCACTGGCAGCAGCGCGACTACAAGTCCTTCTCGCCCTGCGTGGACTGGGACAGCGTGGACTGGGGAGCAGCACCCGCCATCCAGGTGGGGGTGGGGGGAAGAATCCCAAGGGGGAAGTGGGTGGGGTTGGGAGGGTAAAAGAAGGAAAGCCACCAGTGGCCAGGGCCATTTGCAAACTCCGTCAGTGATCCTTTTCTTTTCGTTACCCTCTGCCTCTTCATGTTTTGCACCTTCAGCTCTTTTGATTCCCTGCCCGCTCGCTCTTTCCCGACTGCAACTCACGTCCTCCCCCCACCTCCCCCCTCCTCCCCCCCTCAGGAGCCCCCGGTCACCAGCGCCATCTGCGAGCCCGCACCCGGTACCACCCTCAGCGCGGCGGATGGGGAGGTAAGGGGCGGGGAAACATGACAAACCATGTGTGGAATGATAGTGGCAAATGAGAAGGGGGAAGGAAGGAGAGGAGAGGGTGAGAGGGGTGGTGGTGACGGGGCGGTCTCAGCGAGGGGGCTGGGTTGGCGGTTTCGGGGCCTCTCACCCCACCCCACCCTCCTCACCAGGTAACGGTCCGCGGCTACGCCTGGAGTGGCGGCGGTCGCGGTATCGTGCGGGTGGACGTGTCGGCTGACGGAGGAGCCTCCTGGCGCCCAGCCCGCCTGCTGCCGCCGCCGCCGGGGGCGCCGCAGGAGCATGGGGCGTATGCGGGCGCATGGGCGTGGACACTGTGGGAGGTGAGCCCTGGGAGGACCTGGGAAGAGGGGTTGCTGGGAACAGCAGGGTAGAAACGGCTTTCCTAAAACGTGCGTGTGCACTACGGTACTGGTTTGGGCTGTGGAGCTATTCCATGTGCTTCTCCCTGTGTAGCCTCCCTGCCCATAGCCTCCCTAATTTCTCTCCAGTACAACTGCGTTCCCCGGCTCCCGCTCCATCCCGCTCCATCCTGCCTGCAGATCACACTTCCGCTGCCGCAGCCCCAGGGGCCCGGCGGCCCCCTGCCTGCCACCGTGGATCTGGCGGTTAAGGCAGTTGACTCGTCGTACAACAGCCAACCGGACTCGGTTGCCGGGATTTGGAACCTGAGAGGTGTGGTCAACAACGCCTGGCACCGGGTATCCCTGCCGCTGGAACCGTGAGGAGGGGGCACGAGGAAACGCAGAGAGAAGGGGTGGTGTGGAAAGCATGGGGATGAAAAATACGGTCGTCAGGGTGAAACGAGGTTGTTCATTGCGGGGTGGAAAGACTGCAAATTCAAGTAGGGCAAAAGAGTTTAGTGCACAAGGCTTTTTTTGGGAAATGTCCTTTGGTGAGTGCGCATGCGCATGGAGTGCATAACGGACCAGACTTTCCGTAAACCTCTCGTGTACGGCAGTACGGCATAACGGCGCTCCACTGGTCCACTGGTTCAGACACATCAAGCAAGCGTACCTTGTATCCTTGCAGGTATGAGTAACGAGACCGCAAGCAAGTGAAATTAAATTCCCGATGTACGACGACCCATGCTGCACTATTGATGCACTGAATTGCACATGTATACCGCCGTACCGCAAATCAAGGGGTGTTCCTTTACCTCTCCAACCCTTCCTCCTCCCCCCCCCCGCACACCTCTTTCAGCAATTTAATGTTCCTGTCAGAGCAGCTGCGTGAGCACGTGCCGTTGTGATTGCTGTGTTGTTGTATTTACAACAGGCACATCTGCGTTTGCCCAGCTGTGGGAGCAGGCCCATGCATCCGTTGTAAATGCTGCGTAGTGGTAATTTTCTCTTCCGCTTTCACACGTCATTTACATGGCTTGCGCACGCATCTTAACCTTATGACCTATCGTAGGTTACTAGCCTTATGACCTATCGTAGGTTACTAGCCGCGGTGAACTACATCCCGTATTGCAGCGGGTGATGCACCCAATCCTACACCGCAAGAGGAAGGGAACACGCACTTAAAACAACACCACAACGGGCCAGCAGGAAACAGTATTAGAACCCAAAGCTGACAACTGAGGTACAAACAAGGGTAGAAGCCAACAAATGGCCCCTCAGCAAAGCCTCTACAAGTAAACAAGACAGCAAAAACACCAACACACACTGAAGACCAAACCACAAAAACGCCGCTCGAAAAAACAGGATCCGAACGGAGACAGCAGCGCGTGTATACGCCAGGGGAGCCCTGCAGGACACCCTACCCCGCAGACCCAAACGGCGCCAAAACAGTACACTCAACCGAACACAGAAAGCCGCCCACCACCAACACGCAAGAATGGATGAGAAGGGCCCAGCCACCTCATCCAGGCCCTTCTTATCCGACCCCGACGGGGAACACCCACACAAGCGAGCCCCCGGAGCTGACCCCCAAAACCATGAAACCGCAGAGATTGCAGCCTGATCAGGAGCCCAGGCACAACACCCGCAGAACCAGACTCATGCACACGAGCCCGCAGAAACCGATATCAGACAAAGCACCCAGGACAACAACATCCTAAACACACTGCTGCACGCCCTATGGAGGCAAACAAACCTCAAAGCAGCCCCAGCAGGAACTACAGCGCCCAACTCGACCTCAAGCTGCCCGAGCACAGCATGGGCAACAGGACAGGTAGGCCCAGAAACAATTCAACCTTGGAGACATCCCGCAAAACAACATACCCACAGCCACAACGCTCAGGACAAGTCCGACAGGCCCGGGACATATGAGAATTCCGAAGCAAGGGAATCCCGTCAAAACGTCTCCTTAAGACAATTCTCCCAGCGAACCCTCCGGAGGCACTGGAAAGAATCCCGAAGGCCATCCAAAATACCCGCAGGAGGCTCTTGGGTAGCAGGAGGCCCCATACCTTCCCGAATAAAGACCGAATGCAACAGAGCACGCTTCTCAAATATGCACCCAAGCTGGATCACCGCGGCCATTTGAACAGAGAGTTCCGCAAAGGAACAACTCCGACATGAGGTAAGTGCCACCCCAAGCGGGGAACCAAAACTGCCAAGCATCATCCTCAGTAGCCGGCGGCGAATGGGGTGGCAAGTCGTCAACAAGAAACACCTCCGCAGCCGCCACCCAAGGCACAAGCACTTCACTCTACAAGGTCTCAAGGGACAGCAAGGAAATCATATGACACACCTGGGCAGGGAACAGAGAGCACAATCATCCGGAGAAGTCGGGTCAGAAACCCGCGCAGGATTAGACATCACACACACATATGCTTGTTGAAGGGGCCTGCGCGCACTCACCTAAGACAGTGTTCCTCTATGACCGAATTGGACACAGCACCGGAGGCCTCTTCAACCGTCGATCAATATTCTGGGCCTAATAAATCGGGAAGGCAACCACCGGCATGCCTTGTGCCTACCAATCGTGCTGCTTAGGACTTGGTTGATATGCAGCTTGGAGACCCCCTTGACCGCATCACGTTTCGTCCGATTTGACTTACCGTGAGCAAGTGTATAAACCCAACTGACACCTTGCCTGCGAGTATTTAGCCCCAATAGACATGGCCCAGAGGCGCTCACCTCCATTTACCCAGATTGCCAATGGATGGTATTTTTAATTGGATCCACACCTACATCACCCATCCATGACCGAATGACTGACCTACGACGCGACCTCCTCTGCTGCCAGCCCCAATGCACTGGTATGCACACCTGACACATCTCCGCCCCCGTAAACAGCATGCATGCATATCCTAACAACGACAGATAGACAGCGCAATTGACACGTTACAAGACGGGGACATCAGCTACATATTCAAGAAAATTGCAGCCTCAACAAGTTTCCTAGCTTCCGACTCGAGCCGCCCCAACTAGGCAGGTTCTCCTCTCCTAAAATCATGCCTAGGGAATCATCCATTCCAAGGATACCCTGTGTCGCCATCCCACTCAGGAAAGCCGTGTACACAGCTCAAAGCAATGCGGGGTAGCCGGAAGCCGTGGTCTGCACTCTACATGCAACGCCTTGGCATCTCGTTAAAGACTTCTTCGATTGCGTGCGCAACAAGTGACTATCCACGCTGCGTTCGCCGCCCCTTCCACACTGCGATCTCGCTGCGCACGACCAGCTTCGGCATCAGGTTGGTGTGCCCAAGCGGCAAAATTGTCATCAGGGCGGTGCACGTTCGACCTGCTGCGTATCCAGTCCTCGATGACCAGTTCATACGTGAAACCGTCAGCTGCGAAGACGTGGGCCCCCAACCTGTGTAACGCATCAGGATGATAAAAACATTCAAGTAGCACGTAAGGCAATAGGTTTACGACGGCGGTTAAGCGGGCTGACGCTTATCCGGCAAGTATTGAGCCTAGCAGTATTTAAGGGCGACATCATCCCTATGATCATTACCACCTCAATAAAACTGCGCAGCCACCACAAGATACACGCTTACACCACACATGCTCCCGTACCTGCGTAAAAGGGCATAAGAATACACGCGGGGTTCGACTGAATCTTCACCAGCTACTTGTGTCCCGTGCTGCGACTGTGTCCCGTGCTGCGTCACTGCTGGCAGACACCGCTTCTTGTCGGTTGACGTTGGTGTATTGGTGGAAGCCCGCATCCCGCATTACGCTGATTACATCCCTGTGCATGGGTACACATGCGTTAAGTCTGGACATTCAGCCACTGCGCAAGTAAGGCTGACATCCGATTCACACAAACTTCGAGAGGCCGAGGACGTTCCTAGGTCCCGTGCACATGGATGCCACGTGCAGCTCTCAGCGTGCTGCAAGAACATAACCGAAAGTAGGAATGGAGTGCCTTTATAAACATGATGCGATTGCAGTCCCAGCCCGTCAGCTAAATGCAAACAGATATAGATTGGTATGCAGTAAAATGTTAAACTAAATTATGGATTACGGAGTTTATTTTAGGGGGTCCGGGGTTCCTTACTTTATATTTGGTCGTTCCTTGCCATTGTAATCGGCACAATTCAGAGCCAGGTCCGCAAACTCCTGCGCCTTAGCTAGTGGCCAGCCACAAGCACTGCTCTCCACCATGTCTTTGAAAACGTCAGTTGCGGGGTTAGCTCGGGCAGCACGAACTCGAGGCGCAAGACCTTTACCTGTGTCATCTGTAAGAACACGTAGCATGCACATCCCTGCGTTCGTGCACAGAGTTTTCAATAAGGGCCCGTCGATGTAGCCGAATCCCATGCAGTACAAAGAAGACGTTAATGGGTTTAGGATGGCTGATGCCGGGGGACAGGATAGGATACATATTCCGCGTTAGGCTGGGTTATACGATCGCTTATAGCCACTTGTTGCGGTAATGCCAATGTCGGGGGGCACGCTGCTGATTGCCCTCCTCCAACGGTTGGCTTGCATGGACCCCTGCACCTGCTTCCTCATCCGTATGGAAACCTGGCTGTTTCATTGGGGGGCCTACTGTTGTTTAGAGGCAAAATGTCATCGTACAATTGATATACCTACAAGGGGTGTCAGCTTTTCCAAAGGTCGAAAAGGGCGGAGCCCCCTGCTGAGGATATGAACATATGATACTGTGAGTTGGCAGCTTGGCACCCCTTTGTCCAGTTATGGATGACATGCATGCTGTAAGTAATAGAACCCCCGCATGCAGCAGGCCGACATTGACTCGCTTGTGCCCTGGTTGGATTTGTCCAGCATGGGGCTGAGGTGCACGCGAAGGATTCCGTCACGCAATTTTGGTGCTTCTATCGGGCCGTGAGCGCCATTGAACAGACGTCTGTGAACGCTCAGGCCTGGATGGCGGAGTGGCTGATGTAGCGCTTTGGAAACGCCTCAAATATGGCCCGTAAGTTATACTTCATTAAGTCTTCGTTCATGTAGTAGCACAACGCTACAACAGTGTTACTGTATTACAATGTTGTGTTCCCTGGATGAACATATATGGGACCGAGGTGCAATGCGATGTCCACTTGCCGTGATCAAGGAACGGGATCCGTCTTTATTTCGTAGCGTAGCACAGATTGCTGTGCAGACCTACCGAGAGCGTAGATGTCACTGCAGGGCTCATAATTGCCGCTATGAACGTACACCGGATCCGGGTAATCCCGTGTGCTCGAAGTTGCCGCCTGCAAAAAACACGCACGGACGCATCAATGGTAGTTAGCATTCGATAGATGATGAGCCATTAGCGGTTGCTGTGAACAGCCGGCTTGACTTACTTCCATCCCGGTGCCTGCCTTGCTGTTTCTTGATAGCCGTGCTAGGCCCACGTCTCCTAACTTTGCAGTATCATGCTTGTCCAGGAGGATGTTGACAGGTTTGAGGTCCCTACACAGTTTGAAGGGACACCAATGCAGTGTGCTGATTATTGGGAGAAACAAGTCTGGTTAGGCTTTAATGTGCTTGATTGATACCTTGAGAAACCCGACCCGCCATGATACGGATCCTGACGTGCTCGCCGTGCCCTTTATACCAAACTGCCCAGTCTGCGTTGATATGCTCCTACCCTTCGACCACGCACAGACAACCCGATCAAAGCCCCCGAACGGAAAAGACAAAAAGATAGGCGGCAAAAAGAAACGTCAAACGCAGGAATGCCATGCGTCCAAGCTCAACGCAGCAAGAACCACTGCCAATAGACTAGTGTTGCAGGCAGTAGCCGCTCATAGAGCGACGAAGCAACCAAGGCGTGAGGCGAGCACAACACAGCAAGAAGTAAGGAAATGAGCACTCCAAAAATAAGCTGCACAGAGAAACGCAAACAATGCACTACTCGTCCCTACGGGTCCTCAAACTAGGTTTTAACCTACGCCAAAGTAAATTAGTAGTATAAGTGTTAGACCCAAGCACGCTTTAGCAACGGCAATACGTGTTAGTATTTCAATTTGAAGTGACTGATTATACCATCTGCCATGTATACCTTATACCTTACCTGTGTACGATGGGCGGGCTGTTTGTATGCAGAACTTCAAGGGCGCTGGCAACTTGATATATGATGCTCACGCGTTGTTTCCAGTCCAGCATATTACCACCGGCTGATCCCGGAAGATGCGTTGCCTTCAGCTGGCTCTCCAAACTACCTTCGGACATATATTCGTATACCAGAATACCCTGTAAATATGGGCATCACGTATACATATATGTGAGCACATACATGACATTCACCACGGCTGAAGCAGTACACAATCCACGACGGAGAAGCTATGGCTGGTCTATGGCATCCATTAATTGGAAGTGGGCCGGGACAATTTTGCATAAATGACAGCAGTGGGTATTGTACACTCTTTGGCATGGAGGTAGAATACGTGCCGTCGCGAAGGGGCTTACAGGTAGCAACGCTGGGAGGATGGAGAAGGCGAGGAAGTAGGTTTTGGGGACGACCACACACGACATTTTCAGGCTGGCGAGCATTGCCCAGACCGACCCACCCATACCTGTAACCCCGCCGCATTGCTAGCTACTTCGTTACATAGCGTGATGCCGCCAACAAGCCATACAATAAACCGTCAGCTTCGCAGACACGCGGGCTCGACCCCCTCCTAAAAAAAAACCATTTCGTCAGTTTTCCTTATACTAACCCCCCACCCGTTGTTTCCTATGGTTCGGTATGGTCTTTGACCCCCAAAAGATGCGTTTTAGGGAGGCTGAACCGTGAAAACCTGCGGCACTCTGGAAACGCCTCGTTCGTATAATGGGGCCTGTGCGTTAATAAATAAATAATTCCCCAAAGGGCTGCGCGTTAAAAAGAAATGGCCCACCCCGTCGCTGTGCCGCCCCCAAAGTAAGGGTTTCACAGTTTTCCGGAGGGTTCGGAGCGACCCTCATCCGATTTGAATCGTAGCTTTAAATTTCTGCAATCCCGCCGCTCTGCTTTCCGATCTTTATAACTTAATGTCCAGGCTGCTTAAATACTAGCCTCAAGGCTGCGCGTTTTACAAAATTATTCCTTAGACGGTTGCACGTTAAAAGAATTCCCTAAATTTCTTGGTACGTGATGATCAGACACAGCTACGGTATTTGCCGAGGCTTGTACATATAGGCTTGTACGTTATACGAAGTGGAACTATACTATACGAACGCCAAATGGGACCCAACGTGTTTAACATTCGTACAAATCCCTTTATCCTTCAAGGACATACAAATAAATACGAAAGAATGGATGTTAGGGTGCTTGTAGCGTTCATTTAGCTTAACTATATCGATACGGTCCCCGTCCCCTTCTCTCTTTCGGTTCTCCAGCCACTATGGTCACGAAGCCAGGCTTCATCGCTGACTAGTCTCTATCACCTTAGCGGCTTGGTAAGTTCTCGCTGTTCTTATAAGGTCTGACAGCTTTCACTTTTGGAGCTTTGTTGCTCGTAACTCAAGACCTTCCCGACTATTCCAAGATCCTTCTTCGGACTACGCTTGTCGGCATTTTAACTCATATCTCCATTTTTAAGCAAGGGCTTCATTTCTTCCCATCACTTCGTACCATATACTCTTTAACATGTCAAGCCGCAGCCAAAAGCGCCGGGCTTCAGCCTATAATGCTGGTCAACCCTCTACTCGGCAGATAATTTCAGTTCCAACGGACGACAGCTCGGCTCTTTCGGATCGCCGCGAAAAGCTTATGACTACACGGATTAATCTGACAGCGTTGGATGCTCAACGGTTTTTGGGCGGAGCCCCCGCCGCGAAGCGGCTTCGGGGGCGGGGGCTTCGCCCCCCCCCCCCGATTGGTCATGTCCGTGTGTCCGTCCGTAACGGCAAAACATACAAACTAGACAAAACTACCGTATTTATTGCAACTGATAGATATTTGTTATCTGTATTCAGTAAAAATAACTGGAAGCCAAACAAACTTAATTTCGCAACAAACGCTTTATTGACCAGCCATTCGAAAGGACCACCGCGGCAACACCGATTAGCGCTCCTCTATGGTTTGTCCTGGTACTGTAAACAGTATTTAGTAAATTAATAAAAACGGCGTGCCGCCAAAGGGCTACCTGTGAAAGTCGGCGTGAGCATGCTTGCGTGCATCGACTGTGCTACGCCGAGCCCACACAATCGTTTGAGACGATGTTGTCGGCCTTTGCTATTCGTTTGCGCGCCATAATGCCTATCAACTGTAACGCAAACAGATACCTCGCCTAGAAGCTAACAGCGTTGTTCCGGTGAAATTGCCGAAGTCCTTAAGAGCACGATGCCGACATTGCCGAGCCTGACCTCCTCATCATGTTAGTAATGTAGGCGAAACCTAAACGACCTGCGGGACCCTGAAATCACTCCCATGTGGCAGTTACGCCGCCGATTTGGGTTCTGTAGCCTAAGGCGTGGGTGTTATCAAGCATGATAAGACGTTACTGAGTAATCGATTGAACAGGCGTAACCTAACAATGAGTGCAATGAGTGAGGACACTATGTACGCCATGGCGGCCGGCCTCGGCTGGACAAGGGGCTCTGAGCTCGTTTAGCCATGCAACGAACACTCCAACTACAGTAAACAAGGAGGTTCAGCGTCCGTATAACAAGGTGTGTTAAGTCAACTGGTGCCGTGGAGTCACAGGAGCGCATGCCGTGCCATTCCAGGTTTATAAGGCCCTGAGTCGTTCGGACTCCCCTGTAATAATCGCATTCATTCCAGTGGTAATAATACGTTCCTGTACTGAAGGATAGGGGCTCCGCCCTTTTCCAGCTTTGAGGAAGCTGAACCCCCTTGTCCCTCGTCCACGAGCAGTTCGTTCAGCAGGATGAGGGCACCATGCTGCTGGCCGAAGCCGCCCCCGACGCCCTCACACACGGTGGCCACATCCTTGCGAAAGCGTTTTTACGCACAGGAGGGGTGTAAGAAATACTTGTAGACCTCATGCCACATTTCCTGTCAGACCCCCAGGGGACTCCCCCACCCACCCACCCTGAAACCCTGTACGGCAAATGTTTTTTGAGTATGACACTGCGGTTTCATGACTTTTACACGATAAGATATCCATTGGGCTTGGCCGAAGCACCTTATCCTTGCGAAATCTGCCGGCAACGGCAGTAAGGGCCGCCCAAGCCCCATAAACTCACAGCTAACGAGGTGTCTTATATGGTCTAAAAGGCTTTTATAGGTTGAAAAGGTGGCCAAAAACTAACCATACCAGTCCGTTCGCACAGGGGCCATTTGCCTGCTAAACCCCAAAGAACCCCTCCATGATCTGCTCATGCGAATTCATCCATGGCCTGGGCAGCCGTGAGCAAGTCCTTATGCCAATAGAAACATGCCGTGCACTCTTGCCATCCTGCCGCGGAATACCGGTACGCCTTTCACAGCGGCGGCCTCAGCTTCTTCCGCTTCTGTGCCATGAATTCCTTCTTAATGGGGCCCACACGGTAGGTAGGCAGCCGGCAGTGGCTCCCCATTGCTGGAGTGCTTCGCCTGCCAGTGCCGTACCATGTTGTATTTCCACTCCTGGTGCACGCAGCCCTCAACGACGCATGCCACAGGGATATTAGTGCCGGGTGTCGACCCAGATGGCTGCTGCAATACCGGTATGCCACCTGGTGTGGCCACCTCAGGCGTGTTGCCCTCAAGCCGTGGCCGCTTGTGTTAGTTGAAGAATGACATGATGTTAGGCGTCTTGCTGCCGCTGGCTGGCTCGGGGACCGCTTTACATGCTCGCTGGCGCTCAGAGATGTTGAAGGCGTTGGTCACCGGGAGCACCACCTTGCAGCCGGGTACCGGACAACGCCAACTCCCTTGCGGTGTCTTCTTTTCGCACGCTAATACATGCTTGGTGAAATTGTACTCGTTTTGGGCAGAGTAATCTGCCTCGCAATGCGGGCAAACTTGCTCAACCGCTCCGCCGAGGGGGCCATTGACTTGCGGACCAGGGCCCTGCGGCCTGGTCTGCCTTCAACTATATGACATCTTATATGCCATAAAGCTAAAGGTACTTATCCAGTGCCTCCGCGGCCTAAGACTGCCAAGTCGCGCGGTCAACCATGAGCATTGGTATGGCGACGTAACTTTATGTGTCCCTTTGAAGTATATAAGGAATGTTAATGCCAAGTGTATTCTCATTTTTTCTTTGCGAAACTTGCATCAGGGAAAAAATTAGCAAAATGGCCCAGACTCCCCCCTTTGGGACCCCCCCACGCAGGGACCCCATTTTGACCCCAAAAATAGTTAAAACGGCAGATTTCAATGAGTTCTACGCTTGGGGTGTCACGGGATCGGGAGGGGCATGAGGTACAGAACTAAACCTCCGCACCCCTCTTGCTACGCACACATGTTCGCGCCCGTGCTACAAATTCGGAGGTCAAAGCGGTATCTGGCAGCGGTGGACAGGGCAGGCCCGGCCTGCGGCGGTAGCCTGGAGGCTGTGTACGAGTTGTGGCAGCAGCTTAGCTGCACGCTCTTTACGCGCGAAGTTTTTGACCCGGTGGCTCTCAGTTCAAGCGCCGTGGAAGCTGCTATCCTGAAGTTTAAGTAACTGCGCTTCGACGAAGATGAATAATTTCCATGCTCTACCCTGGCAGACGCAAGAAGCGCAATGAAGACCGCCATTAGGCTGCTACGCCTAGCGTCATAGGCACAGGTTGCCTTGTTCAAGTAGTAATAGGCTGTTATGCCAAGGCACAGGTTGCATCTTTGCTGGCGAGGAGCTGCGGCTTTCGCGTGCCTGGACCCTGGAGTCGAGGTCGTGCTGGATAGACAAGTGGTATTCAAGGGATCTGGGAACCTGGGCCTCGCATGACGTGGAAGGTTATAGCGACTCCTGCTATCTCTTTGTGTCTGCAATAGGGTGTAAGGCCCAATCCAATCCATTGCCGTGTCTCCTGCCCCAACCGCAATTCAGCTCTTCAGTAGCTTCCCGACTGCCGACCGCAAAAAGACCTGTTAAGACTATAGTTTAGAAATAAATACACAAGATTATTATTACAATGCCATAATAAATAAAATATAAAATTATTACTTACAACAATGCAGCTTTCATGGTAAGCCTGTTTTTTCACATTATACCTGGTCAGGGAGTTTCCCCAGAGGAATTAAAATGTTTGGATGGCCAATGTTTGACAAGATGTCGAGCTCCTGCAGGTAATCTCTATTGCAGGGGTCCAAAGTTGCCTCGGTGCCCTGACTAATGAAGATGTCCATTGTATATGGTAACAGTATGTGACGGAAGATGCCATTCCCCGCTTGTGTTTACAGGAAACCAGGAGGGGGGGCAGCCCCGTGGCGAGCAGAACATGGATCGGCAGCCCGTCAAGCCTTCTGGGAGAGGCGCTAGGGAGAAAGCAGGCGACAAGCGGCCAGAGCCGGAGCACGAGGCTTCTCGGCGGAACAACAGACCGAGGCGCGCATAGCCTTGCAGTTGTAGCTAGCTGCTTTGCTATGGGGATCTTAGGAAACGTAGTGGGACCTATATAAGGGTTGGAAAGGGGAGGGGGGCACCGCCTTGCATCACTGCGTGATAGGTAGTTGGGCATCGCCGTGCGTCGCTGCGGGATAGGTAGATAGTTATAGTTGTAAGGGGGCGGGTGGTTATGACTGGGTAGAGGATAGCCGAGGCATGGCGCGTGTGACAGGAGTGCACATGTGTGACACTTGTGACAGGAATGCGCATGTGCGTGGCATGCGCGCCTATGTGTGGCACGACATGGAAGAAGGTTCACAAGTATGGAATTGCGGGGGATTAGTTTGGTAGGATACGACAATGTCCTGGCTGGAACAGTATTGTGCGTGCACGGTATTGAGTGTGCACGGAGGATCCATGCGCGTGCTTTTGCGGCGCCCCAGACTCCAGGCGGCCAAACGGACTTGGTTACCCTGGGGTAACATGGCTGGGTTAGGTATCTCGGTTACCGAGGTCCGTCATACCCCTGTAACGGACCTTGAGATAACGGACCCCTGACGAGGACTTGACGAGGGGGTAACGCGGGTAGGTCGGTTACCCCTCGGTAGTGAAATCGGTAATGTAGGGGGGGCGGTAACCCCGGGGTAAGACCTGGTTCGACTGCTATAGGGAGTCCTGCGCTGGGCAATTGCAAGTGAATCCTTGCTACTGCTCATTCTGAAATGTTCCTATACCATATATATGTAGCACAGCGCGACAAGTCATTGCGCACAAGCGGTAAGGACAACGGTAAATGTTGTAGGAGTGTACTTCATGTACAAGCCACCATACCTGTTGCGAATTGATGTTTATTTTCTTAACGGCAATGGGTAATCTCTGCATGCCCCATTCGCCATGATAAACAGACCCAACGCGACCTTCACCAATGAGGTTATTGAAGTTATTAGTTGCTGCTTTAATGGCTTCATACGAGCAGACCCTGAGGGAGAATGGTAGGTAGGCAGCTTTCTCAAAATAGAAACCCGACAAAGAAAGCCATTGCATTGTCTGCGTACAGAGCGCCAACACTGAAATATAGTCCTTACCTAGGAGCATGGTGTGATTGCAAAGCCATTATCAAACATGAAGTGCTTTCCTGCGCCATGATCTCTAAATGCTTTCCGTGTGATACATGTTATTATGAAAGATAGAGAGTGACATGCTAGAGCACCTACCCCTGGAATGGCGGTTCCATTTCCTGTTGATTGCTGCACCCGATCATATCCCGATTGCTGTGGCATTGTTGTAGATGCAATTTGCAAATATGTGAATGTTTCAGTACGTGACTGCCTAGCTAAATCCACTGATTGAGCGTTGTTCGCACGGTAGCGGTTGCTAGCCCTGTTAGGGCTGCGCCGGAAAAGCAAGAGGACGATGCCCACAAATACCATAACTCCACCAATTCCACTGGTGACACCAATTACTATTCCGATACTGGCTGCAGGCTTATCTGTCACCATGGGGTCGGCATACACATAAGTAATGAAGGGCGTAAAGTTTAGCGATGATGATAGATGCGTGCACAGCAAGTGTAAACGATGTAATTAACGGTTTCCGCACTTTGTGTATGCCGTATTATATACAATGTAAGGGATAACGCCTAATTGACTAATACCGCAAAGAAATAGCACAAAGTGCAACAGTATAAGCTAAAACAGCAGACGTGTTCGTGACTAAAGAGAATTACCTTGAGCCGGGCTCAGTAATGAAGATTGGGTTACTGATGAAGTTGAAGGTTCAGGACTTGACCCTGATGGCTTTAGAGATGCTGGGCGAGGTTGCGTTGATAACGATGGCGGGGGATGTGGTAGTTGGGGTTGTAACAGTGGCAGTGAAGGTGGCTTGTTAGGAATTGCTGAAGCCAACATCAAGGGCGACAGCGGCTTGAAAGCTGGAGGATACGACCTTGGTTGTAGATCTAATAATGCTGGCGGCGGCTGGGAAGGAGAAGGGTCAGGAAAACGCGGTGGTGGTGATGTTGTGGTTGATGGTACTTGGGGTGCCAGCAGGGGTGTTATTAGAGGAAGTTGTGTTGTTGGCTGCAGGGGAGGAGGATGGTGCGGGGTTGGTAGGTTGGGTGATGGGAGAGGGAGAGAAGGCGGGAACGGCGAGGATGGCGAGGCTGAAGGTGGTTTTGGTGAGGGGTGTGACGGCGGTGGGGATAATGGTGGAGGTGGATGGGGCGGGTGTGGTGACGGCGGCAGAGGGTTCAGAGGCGGTGATGGCGGCGGCGGGCCTGCAGGCAGTCAGGGCTTAGAAAGATAGGCGTGCACCGTCCAAATCCAAGCCATTAATTGCATTTATGCATGCACATGCATGCTTGTGATAGTATACGCATGTTACTTCTATGGTAAAGGGCTAGGAGAGCATGACAATTATTTACTCATGTGCGTGCTTCTTTATCTTTGTGAAATAACGCATTGTTATTTTTTGCACCAAACAATTATTGCGACTGCGGCAGCTTACTTGGTTTTAGCTTTATGTAACAGCATCCTCGATAGAAGTGCATGGGTTCTACAGCTGTTTTTAGGTACCCATTAGCATTGAATCCTTTACATTGGACGTCAGCAGTGCAAGCCTTGGCCAACGCTTGAAGGTCGGTAAAGACGAACTGTTGGATATTATCATTCTCATGGTCTCGGTCAGGGAGTGCCTGGTACCCATATACCTCCGAGCAGTCTGTGTCCACGTAATGAAAGGTATTAGACCGGGCAACTGAAAGGCCCCGTGTTCAGAACGAATGGATGAGTGGAAGCTCCTTACCTGTCAAGGCAGCATGCCTGCTGCTCACTACAGTCCAGGAGTTGTCGCTGCGGAGGATGACCTGGCCGTTTGCTTTGCTCTTCAGTGAAACAAGAAGACCGGCAGGATTGTATGACTGTACAGTACCGTCCACTGGATAGTAATTCATGGCTTGCATAGCAAGAACATGGAGCCCTGGCTTGATTGTAAGGTTAATGCCAAACAAAGACGGCCAGTATGCCGGGCCCAAGTATTCTCCATCGAGGAATATCCGAGCCTCATCGTCAGCAGCAACTTCCAAGCGTGCCGGAGTGTCTTGGGTAACCTCGAAGTATTTTAAAAACACGGAAGAGTCTGTGGAGGTCGCGTAATTTCCTGCATCAGGTGCTGACCAAATCCAGGAGGCGTTATAGTCTTGGAAGGACGAAAGCCACGTAGCAGCTGCAGCAGCAGAGCCTACAACAGTTGCAACTGAACATGGGACGATATGCGCACATGTTACAAGCAATAGATAGAACGTTCTAAGAGGGGCGGGTTAGTTGTCACCATAAAACGGCTGATCAGTGAAAAACCAACTTTTTATGGAAGGAGATGGGACAGAGGTGGTCTTCTATGCAACGAACAGTCGAAATCACGTGCATGTTAAGGAATAACATTTACGTTAACGTTGGGCTTTCACTCACACCCCACGAGGTGTCAGAGCGCATGAGAACTTTGCCAGTCCTGTCATCCACTATGGAGACAAGAAGTCCGGCCGCGTTGATGGGCGTTGCCGGGTGGTTGGTGCACCGCAGAGTCAGCACATGTCGGCCAGGTGCCAGCTGCAAGGTTATGGATCCCGGGCAGTTCACAAGGGGTGCCCAGCCGCCGGCTAGCGTTGTTTCGTACCTCCCGTCAATAAAGATATCCGCTTGGTTGTCAACCCATGCAAAGATTCTAATAGTAGTGTTGATGGGGACGTCGAGCACTTTCGAAAACGAGTAAGCAACAGCCGTTGACGAAGCATTTGTCGCATTGTTAGAGCCCCATATCCAGGTAGCATTTGAATCAGGAAACACAGGATACCCGCTGCTGTTGGGTTTGCCGGATTGCCAAGGGTACGTGTAGTAGGGGCCATACACGAAAAGGCCTGCATGTGGTAAAAAAAACACCAGTGAGTTCGTGCCGGTCATGCGGATTCATCAATCTCGGACCCTTTGTAGCTACTATTGCCAACCCTTTGTAGTGATACTGAGCTTCTCTACCGAAAAGGTACAAGCAAGGGTACGCACCTCTCTTGTAGAGGCACATCCCTGTTCCAGGTGCTGCTGTGTATGTAGACACTGTTCTCTTTGCCCATCCAAAACTACCAAAATTGTTGAACCCCATACAATCAGAACGAGAGTTGCAAAAGTCAGCCATACGCGTAACATTGTACTCGTATCGGCTGCCGATAATGATATCACTTCGGCTTCAGCGATGGCAATATACCCCGCAGCATATGGGCATACTGCAGGTAGGGCGGGGAACACCTGTTAGCTTAAGCTTATGGGTTTATGCGAGGGGAATGTAGCGCCATTTAGAATCGCATATGTATAGCACGATATACACGTATACAGCACGGTATCCTTTATTACCCACCTTTTTTGTATGTGCATAGTCCAGCAGCTGCATACATTGGGGCTACATCCCGTTTAAGACAGCCTAGGCTGTTAAAGCCCTGGCAGTCTGGATCAGCGTCACATATGAGGGCCAAGCCCGAAATATTCATGTCAGGTATTTTGATCAGGTCGTCCCCCCAGTGGTCCACACCGTGAGATGCAACGTAGTTTGCGAGAGTGTCACATCCTGTCGCAACCACATATAGAGGCAGGGAACAATCATTATATGCGTGTCTAGCATGCGAGTGGCTTGCCTGTTGCAAGCACCAAGTAAGTGCCCCTGAAATGGACGGACACGGTGTGAATGTATGGTTGATACGTTAGATACGACAACGCATAGATAGGTCCCTTCGGAAATTATTGCATGCCCATACCCGGCCAGAACCACTACCTGGTTTACGGCAGCAGGTTAGCTCACATTATTATTATTATTATTATTATTGTTGTTGATTGGGGTTAGGTAAGTACGCACCTTTCTTGTATAGACACAATTTCGTCCCCGGTGCTGCTGTGAAGTTGGAAACTTTCTTCTTTATATATCCCTTGCTATTAACGGTAACGAACCCCGCACAATCAGAACGAGCGCTGCAATTCCTAGCCAGGTCCGTAACGCTGAGGTCGTATACGGCGAGATCATCTCCCCAATTGTCGACCTCGTACATAGCAGTGTATCCAGCAGCGTATGGGCACGCTGCAGGTAGGGCGGGGGACACGTGACAGCATATAAATGGATGGTTCATACACAGAACCAGTACAGTCCGGAGGTATGTAACCATGCGATGAACGTACCTCTTTTATACAGGCATACATCAGCTGCTGCATAAGTCGGAGCTGCATCCCGTTTAAGACGGCCTAAGCTGTTAAAACCCTGACAATTCGGATCAGCGTCGCACAGGAGGGCCAAGCTCGACATGTTCATGTCAGCTTTATAGTTCAAGTCATCTCCCAAGTGGTCCTGGCCGTTGGTTACCACGTAGTTTGGGAGACTGTTGCATCCTGTTGACAAGCAGAGACAGGGAACCGTCAGTTCGCTCTCGTGTATTTGCATTAACATGTCTAGCCCGCAAAGTATCATTTTGAGTGTCAACTAAAAATGGGGTTTTGGAGCGCATGTACGACAGGGAGCAGAGCAGTCGCCACCAGGCTTGCGAGTGGACGGTGCTAGACGTTTTGACCTTGGTTAAACAGTTTGCCCTCAGCTGGCCTTTCAGGTCTTTGCCGCTGAGTTTCCGTGCGCAGTTAGGAAGGCGCTGACTTTTGCGTAGTTGCAGACAGTTCTTAAGTATGGCTGCAGCTGTAGGTAGGCGAGCCTTTTGTTTTTGTTTTTGTTTTTGTTTTGTTTTGTTTTGTAGGCGGGGACTTAAACAGCAACTCTTCAGTGCTGGGCCTCGGCCACCTACCCCTCGGCTCAGCACCGCCGTCCGCTCTGGGCCCCCTGGCGGCAACCGTTCAGCGTGAAGGGGCCTGGGCAGACGTGTTCGACCGCATCCCAGGCCTCAGCAGCCTGGTCTCGCTGGCGGACGTCAGCTTCGCATCCCGGGACCAGGCGACCTTCACGCACAAGGCAGACAGTCATCTCCGCTCCCTGCAGCATCTCGCGTCCCAGCTGGAAGCGGCCAAACACTGCGCATCCTCTTCGGAGGAGCTCTCGCTGCTCTTGGCCAAGGCCGCGCAGGTGTGGGAGGAGGCTTTTCGTACACAAGAGGTCCTCCGGCAGGTGCAGAATGCAGCCCGTGTCCTGCCCTTCAAGGACGTCATGGACGTATTCAGCAAGGGCTCTCCCCTCACACAGCAGTTCCTAGCCGCCCTGTCGCAATTTACGGACAGCCAGCGCCAGCACCTCTTCGGGAAGTTCGCCTCAGCCGCCGCTCCCGCGGCGGCTTACCCGCCGCCCCCGCCTCTTCCACTCCCGCCGGCCCCGGCACAGCCCCGTGCCCCACGCGACAACGGCTGCTTCTACTGCAAGAGGCCCGGACACAGCTACCGCGGCTGCCGAGAGTTGCGGTCGCTGGAACCTGGGGCCCAAACGGCAGCATTCGCAGAATGCGCCAAGCAGGAGCAGGCAGCCCGCCGGCCGGCTTAGGACGCGGCAGCGTCAGCTGGGGGCGAGGTCGCCCCGGCGCCAACGGCGCCCCCCCTCCATCCAGCCGCCGGCAGTACGGCCGGCGGTGGGGCAGCTGACGCAAATACGGCAGGGATGGAGACACCAGAAGGTAAGCGTGTACGCGACCTACGGCGGACTGGGGCCCTGCGCGGGTGACAAGCAATGTGCTGTTGCGTGTGTCCATGTGGCGCGACCCTGCCCGAGGGGAGAAGGGCCTGCCTGCGTCTACCTGCTGTCTAGTCTGTGGTGTACGCGACCTACGGCGGACTGGGGCCCTGCGCGGGTGACAAGCAATGTGCTGTTGCGTGTGTCCATGTGGCGCGACCCTGCCCGAGGGGAGAAGGGCCTGCCTGCGTCTACCTGCCGTCTAGTCTGTGGTGTACGCGACCTACGGCGGACTGGGGCCCTGCGCGGGTGACAAGCAACGTGCCGTTGCGTGTGTCCTTGTGGCGTTACCCTGCCCGAGGGGAGAAGGGCCTGCCTGCGTCCACCTGCTGTCTAGTCTGTGGTGTACGCGACCTACGGCGGACTGGGGCCCTGCGCGGGTGACAAGCAATGTGCTGTTGCGTGTGTCCATGTGGCGTGACCCTACCCGAGGGGAGAAGGGCCTGCCTGCGTCCACCTGCTGTCTAGTCTGTGGTGTACGCGACCTACGGCGGACTGGGGCCTTGCGCGGGTGACAAGCAATATGCCGTGGCATGCACCGGGGTCGTGTGGCTCTGCCTGAAGGAAGAAGGGCCTGACGGTGTTCGCATGTGGTTCAATCGGTGGTGTACGCGACCTACGGCGAACGGGGGCCCTGCGAGGGTGAACACCCAAAGCGTAACCTTGACCTGTGCCTCATGCAGTTTTGTGGATGCCTGACTCGGCGGCGGAAACGCCGTCGGCCGGCCGCTGGTTCGGCCCAGGGGGCGTGAAGCTTAATACGGCCGCGTGGCAGCGTCACGGCATCGACACGCCTGCGTCCCGTAACGAAGCCAGCTGGACCTTCCACACCACGCCGCCAACCTCGCACCACTTGCGCAACTGTCTGCCAGATGACCTCGCTCGCTCCTCAACTAGGTGGACGGGTTGCGTCCGTGCGTCATACAGGCTGCCGTACAACATCCCTGCCCCTGCCCCCTACACTACTTACACCTGCATTACTGCACCCTCCTATTTACTTTCCAGCAGGCGGGGCAACACAGGCGGGGGATTACTGGACATCTTGCCATATACTACAAGTGGTTTAGGGACCCTCGGACTCCCAATTTCTGTTTATCCGTCATTTACTGTTCTTAATGCGCTTCCGGACTTCATAATTGGTGATAGACCGCTGGGTCTATTGGGGGGCCGGTCACCGTTCGGGAAACTGTTTTCGAGTGCCAGGAAAACCTATAGTGAAATGCATGTAAGGTTTTTTAACCCATGCATATGTAAGCTTTCACAACCCAATCCCGGCGCTACAGTTGCACCGTTGAGTCCACAGGGATCACTGTGGATGCCTTACCTCACGCTGATCTGCTCCAGCACACTACCAATGTTGTCGCGCACGCCCTGGATGTACGGCGCCATGCTGTACGTCGTGTCCAGCAGGATAACCATGTCAAGCTCCTGCGGACCCACCGGGAACAAGTAACTACCGGTAACAGTACTCCATCCAACCAGCACTTTGGGCAAACGCAGCATACATCAGCGCAGGGGGCACGCAGGCGGTTCGGAAATCGCCCGCACCTACCGCTGTCTACTGTAGGCGACCCGAAATATCGACATACACACGACTACCTTATCTGGTCTAATTCCCTCTTCTTCACAGCATCGCCGCGCGATCGCAAGCCCCAGCTACCTTCACGAATGAGTAGTGCTCCTGGTGGTCGCGCATGATGCTCTCCGTCCGCGCCTCCACCTGGGCACAGAGGGACAAATGTATCGCGTTGGGTGTCACCCATCACCAGTAACCGATATATAACCCCAAGGTAGATCGGCCCTGCTTCAATGTACACCACTGGCCCACGCCACCTTGAGACTGCAATGGATGGTGCCCTCCTCGCTAGGAAACACGGGCCGGATTACATCAAACGAAAAAACGTAGGTGAGGGGTTTTAGGTTCTTTCGCTGCTGCCTAAAGCCTAGGCGACGCATAGTCACCGTGTGCAACTGGAATGGCGGGTGAGGTTAGCACAAGCACGCACGTAGGTCACCTCCGCCGGCACCGACGCACAGCACCGAAACACAAGCACCACGGTTATAACATTCACGGATGGCGAGGCCCATGCCTTGCTCGGCCTAGTCCATCCCCCATCGAGTACATGCATGGACTAAGTCCATATGCGCACACCTTGGCACGCACCTGTGGGCTCATCTGGGTTGGGATTTGGCGCTGCTCCCTGCCCTGGAAGGTTGCGAAGGTGGGCCAGTCCATCCACAGGTCCGCTGCGTACATGAGCGCGCCGTTGGTACCCGCCAGTGAGGGCCCGATGACGATCACATTTACGCCCTTCCCCTTGGCCTCGAGGCAGAACGGCACGTACCTGCAAGGGGTTGGGGGGGCTGCACTGTCCATCCAGCATTACCTAGGCACCTATGCACCCGCTGCCTCTGTCTACACAAGCAACACAGTGGACAACAGTGGGGATGGCAAGGTGCATGTGCCAGCATGTGTGTTGGAGGCTGCATCATTATGCACCGTTAAGCCGTTGGTTCTCACGCACCCGTGGTCTCCTGCGATTAGCACCGCCACATCACCCGCACTGCATTCACTGAGGAACGTGGTCATCTTGCACTTGAGCTGGTCGTCCACCTGGGAAAATCACCCATAACAGGAACACTTATGGACTGCCTCTTCGTGTGCTACTAGCGGTGCTGAACTGCATTGACCACCGAATCCTGCACGTTAACCAGCCAAGCATGCGCACGGTGCCACTCTGCTTGCATGCAGGCTGTGTATCCTTGCTGTGCGCAGCTTGCGCAGCAACGCTCGCACGTTGCCCAAGCCTGTTTGTGCGCAACACTAACGCCACGTCATGCGCCCCAAGGGTAGGTGTCGATAGTTCCCATCTCCCGCAGCCAGTGCTCCCGCCCATCGCACCTCACGAACGTCCTTGTGGACACGCTCGTTCCACTTGCCCGGCGCCGTCATGATGTACATGTAGCCAGCCTGGGCGTTGAGCGCCGTCAGCTGCGGCAGACACTCGCGCCCTAGGTAAGTACGGGGTCTTGCAAGAAGAAGCTGCGTAGGCCTTATACCCTACACAACCTTTAATTCCGGCTTTTAGAGTGGTGCCCTGCCATACCATGCATGGGACCAATGGACACAAAAGCCGTAATAATATGGGAAATAATACATATTTGCAATAATAATAGCAATAATGTTCAAGATGTCGTACTCAAGCCTTCGACGAACCAGCACCCAAGACAAAGGCGCAACACCTTTTACCATACCCAGAACTACGGCTACAACACAACTAAAACGCGAGGCATCCACTCCAACTGCGCCCAGGCATTCCTATAGAATCCACACGCCAATAACGGGGCGCGGCACCACACAATCCGCCGTGGTGTTACATAATGAGCTTTGGAGCTTAGCTAGCCGGGCACGGCCGTAGGCCCTACCTGGTCGTACCCAAGCCTATCGTCTCCCGGGCGCCTCGCAGCCCCTGGCCTGGTCGCGGGGTAGGTCTTGCTAAGCGACGCGATGCAGCGCATGGCGCGCGCTTCCGTCGTGCTCTTGAAGGCATCACGCAGCATCTCCGCGTAGTTAATCGGCAGGGGAGCGTAATCCGGGTCCGGCCGGCAGTTCTGCAAGGGGAGAGGTATATATGTACGGTGGTTTTGCACGGAGAGGCATCTTATGTATGATGGCGGCTTCCCAAGGAGGAGGCACATATACCGGTATACGGCAGAAGGCGGGTTTCATCATTGGAAGCAGTTCTGCAAGGAGGCGTTATACGTACGGCAGTCAACGTGTTCTCTTCTTGGGAGCCACTGTGACGGTCGTCCATTTACGTACGGCAGTACTGCTTAGCCGCGGTTCGCCCATATGACGCCAGCTTACCTCAATATCCCAGAACACCGTGACGTGTGCGCCCTTGAAGCCGCCATTGGGGGAAGGCCAATACTTCCTGTACATTTTGTACCACTTGTCGACCTCGTGTTGCGGGACTCCCTTGAACTTGAGCGTGCACGTTCTCGTGAGCGATTCCTTGAAAGCGGGACTCTCATCGCTGACGCTGCCTGCATGCGGTGTTGAGGGTTAGATGGGCATAAATAGCAAGGCAGGTCCCACGTGAAAGGACACAACACGCTGTGAGTCATTCATTCATTCGGAACAGCCTGTATTGCGTGCGAGTTGTGTCTTATCGGGACTGCCGGCACAAACCACAAGAAGCGCGCGAACATGGCTTGGGAAGCACAGACTCGGAGTCGGAACTTTGACAAAGTGCGGTCTTCCCCAGGCCCGATGCTGCGCTAGTGCTCGGTAAAGCTTCATATTGTAACATACTCACCTTCAGGTGGCTTGGCTGCGGGGTCGCTCACAGCGTGGAAGCCATCATCTGCCGCCCGCAAGTTGCTGGCGAAGCCTCGGCGTGCGAAAGAGTTCCTGCCTCCTCCTCCTCCACGTCCATTAGCATATCGACCATTGGAATAGTTGCGACCGCGACCGCGGCCTCCGTAATAGCCTGACATGGTTGCTCCTCGGCCAGATAGCTCTTAGCTGCGCAACGAGGACAAGATGTTAACAGAAAAACTGGCTTGTCACTGAAACATACATGTTACGAAATGGTGCGTGTCATAGATGGTCGGGCCTATTAAAGCAGAGACACTTGCTAGTATCGGTAAATGCTCCTCAATCGAGGAGACGCAAGCTTCACAGAAAAAGGTTCATGTTGTCACACCTTGTCCATTAGCACAATGCTCCTTAGAGCAGGAGCGTCTTTACGTATGCCGCAGGATCTCGGTTCACCGCACGACATGCCCTGCATTGCGTACCTCCTGCACGTACCTGTGAATGCAGTTTCCTGCAAACCGTAGTAGTCTAAACGACTTTTATTACATAGCGCAGCAGGCGCCCCTACATCGCGGAAGCATGACATACCTACCTAAGCTGGAAACAAATAAAAACTAACAGGATACCGGCGCCAGGTATTAGCAAACATAAATATTTGTGTTGATATTAACTGTTTGGTAGTATAATAATTCTATACTGTAGCTCGTAAAGCAGGCCGACTGGGCTCGGTAGTGCGTGAAACGGCGGTGGCAGACGTTGAAGCACGGCAATGGATTGGATTGGGCCTTACACACTATTGGTGGAGCTTTGAAGCTCGCGACAGCACACAGCTCCGCGCAGCGGCATGCGCTTGCACCCGCTGCGCGACAGAACAAACAAACAACCGCCCGCGGGCATAGTCAGCGTCTGAGCGCTCTCCAGCGCAGCCACACCGGCTGGTGGAAAACACGGCAAGCAGCACAAAACACCTACACGCTGTGCCCCGACATGGGCGCCCAGACATCCCCCAAAGGGAAAACCGAAAACGCGCCAGCGGCGCTCAAACCCAACAGCCCGGGGCGACACCTAGCACGCGTTCAGGGCTCCCGCCGCCTCCGTGGGCGGCATGGACCACTTATAAAGTTCGCTCTCATTTTTATCTCCACTGCTGCGGTACTCCTTGCTCCGCGTCCCCTCGTGTGCTGTCGCGACCTGGAACCTGGGCCGAGCCCTGCTGTGTCGCGGAAGGCACTGGTCAGGGCGGGCGGTGGGGAGTTACGAGAACAAAAGCTCCAATAGTGAAGGCAGAATGCCGAACTATGGAGCAAACAAGCATTAATATACAGCGAGTAGGACGAGCTGTACGACTGCCGTATAGAACCTAACTTAGAGAGCTACAGTCGCTGCTCTCCTGACGCTTCTAAGTAACGAATACTAAAATAGTATTTCGCTATGAGCTGAATCACACGCCCTTGCTCACCCGGATCGCTCGTCCAGACTTTCCACCGGGTTAAACGCTAACTGCGTATCCCAACCCACCTCTCTTGAGGTCTCTCCCTCCCCTCCCCACACACCCTCCGCACCCTCCCCCCTCACCTCCCTCGCCCTCCCAACCAGGTAACGGTCCGCAGCTACGCCTGGAGTGGCGGCGGTCGCGGTATCGTGAGGGTGGATGTGTCGGCTGACGGAGGAGCCTCCTGGCGCCCAGCCCGCCTGCTGCCGCCGCCGCCGGGGGCGCCGCAGGAGCATGGGGCGTATGCGGGCGCATGGGCGTGGATGCTGTGGGAGGTGAAGTCTGCGAGAATCTGGGAAGAGGGGTTGCTGGGAATAGGAGGATGGAAAAGGCTCGTGAGAAGGGTGCATGGGACGTTGTGCACTACTGGTTTAGGTTTTGGGGCTATTACTTATGCCTCTCCCTGCATAGCCTCCCTCCCCATGGCCTCCCTATCTTCTCTCCAGTACAACTTCGTGCCCCGGCTCCCGCTCCATCCTGCCTGCAGATCACACTGCCGGTGCAGCAGCCCCAGGGGCCCGGCGGCCCCCTGCCTGCCACCGTGGATCTGGAGGTTAAGGCAGTTGACTCGTCGTACAACAGCCAACCGGACTCGGTTGCCGGGATTTTGGAGAGGTGTGGTCAACAATGCCTGGCACCGGGTATCCCTGCCGCTGGAACCGTGAGCACGAGGAAACGTAGAGCACGGAGAGAGGGGTGGTGTGGAAAGTGTGGGGATGAAGAACACGATCATCAGGGTGAAACGAGTAGGTTTGCTGTGATTGCGGAGTAGAAAGGCTATGAATACAAGTAGGGCAAAAGGGGTTACTGCACATGGGGTTTTGGGACATGTCGTTTGGTGATCTGCGCATGCGCAGCAAACGGAGTGCATGACGGATCATTACGGACCGTACAAAAGAACGTCTTGTGGACCTCTCCTGAAAGGCAATACGGCATAACGGCGCTCCACTGGTTGTGTGGTTCGAAGAAGACACATTAAGCAAGCGTACCTTGTATCCTTGCGGGTATAAGGTAACGAGTTGCACTGTTGCCGTACTGATTACATACCGTACCTTCACAATATCATCGCGCAAAAATAGATAATTATTCCGGAAAATGCGCGGTTTCGCGCAAAGCAAAATATTTGCTGAAGGGGTGCGCGAAACTGGGGAAACCCCTCGGGACCCTTCCCTGCACCCCCAACATGCCCCAGCACCCCGTCAGCTCCGCTGCCCAGCCCCGGGCTGCATGCTAGTATGCCCCATGGAACACGTAAAATCTGCCTTGGCGATCTGGGGTTACATGGATGGGTTCTAACAGTAAAAATGCAGTGGTGGACATGAGCTGCGCGAAGCTGAAAGAAATTCCATTTAATGGGGCTGCGCGATGATCACGTGAAGGTACAGTATCCTTTTACTCCCCCCCACACACACACTCAGCACTTTACATGCTCCTTAATTGTGCAAGAGCCTCTGCCGGAGTACGTGCCGCACAGATTACTGTGTTGAGTTGTATAACGGTTGAGTTTGTTGATACAGGGACTTCTGCGTTTGCCCAAATATGGGAGCGGACTCGTGCATCCGTTGTAAAGGCTGCGTATTCTAAGATCTGGGTCGCCATGTGCTGCACGCCTCGGCTAACTTGGCTAGCAGGATGCTTCAAATTGGCTTGGCCTCTCCCGTGTACTTTATATTTGCCCACTGCTAGCAGACGCCAGCAATCACACCGGTACTGCCTTCGCATACTGGATCAGGGCTGGCCTCCGCCCTATCTATCCTTTTCCAAGCGATTGATTTCGGTAGCCAAGTAAAACAAGGGCTATGTTGTCCCGCTACTTTGCGTATATATGGTGCATGGGCAAGGGCGGCACAATGACGCCCAATCAGGCCCAGCTACCACGCCTACCAGCCTCGACCGCAACCACAGCAGAGTCGCCCATTGCGTAGTGGCGATGTACTCTCCCGCTTTCACACGTCAATTATACAGCTTCAAACGTCAATTATACAGCTTTTAAACGCCTATACTTCTCATGACCTACCTTACATAGGTTACTAGCCGCAGTAAGCTACATCCCCTAAGCCCAGCGCCGGACATTATCCAGGCCATTGGGAGGGGGTGAAAGCGCAGTCCCCACGTCCTCAAACCAACCCTGCATTGTGTGTACCGTTCGTATTGCATCAAAACGGCAAGGGCCAAACAAACATGCCCCTATCCTTCCGTTGTGTGCGCGGGATTGGACCTCACACATCCAGTAAGCTTGGTAGAGGTGACGGCACAAATCCCTTCTACATGCAGTGTTTCCGTATGGCCACATGGATACCGCACTGGAGCATCTTCGACAGTCAGTCAGTCATTTGCAGGGTCTATAGGGAAACTGGGACGGCAACGATCGACCGAGATGCGTACATACGCCAATACAACCCACTTCACTCATCGCATCTGCCGCACCTACCCATGAATGCCCCATACAAATCACGTATCCGTGACACCAATCGTACAGCTTAGGTTTTTATTGACATGATGCTGGAGCCTAATTTTTGATTGACATGCATTTTGGAGCCACACGTGACAAGAAGGAAATGCCGTTTGCCCCACTTGACCTGCTGTTAGCAATTGTACAATGTATAGCCCAGACTAACACCTTGCTGGCGAATATTTTGTTTACATCGGCATGATCCCAAAACCCTCACCCCAATTAACAATGGCAATAGATGGCTTGCAACAAAAGGATAACACATACATTCATGAACACCTGAATCACCCATGACCGATTGACTGTCGCCAGCACCCACATGCCGGTATGCATCCGTAGACAGCATACAAGCGCGTTCTAAATAAGCTTGGGCGCCAACAACGACATACAGCACGTGCGTAAAAGCCACGTTTACAGACGGGGACATCAGCTACAATTCCAGCTTTAGCAGGCTTCCTAGCTTCCGAGTCGAGCCCCCCAAACTTGAAAGGTACTCCTAAAATTAATGCCATGTACATTCCATGTCCAGGGGTACCCTGTGCCGTCATTACGCTCATGTGAGCCGTGTACACAGCTTAGCATCTCACTCATGATTCTTACGATAACGCAACAAGTGACTATCCACGCTGCATCCGCCGCGCCCTCCACTCTGCAATCTCGCTGCGCAGGAGGAGGTTCGGCGTCAGGTTGGTGTGCCCAAGCGACGTGTTCGTCATCGGGCTGACGGCAGGGCGGTGCATCCGTATCCATTCCTCAATTGCCGTACGTTCATAAGTGAACCCGTCAGCTGCGAAGACGGGGTCGTCCATGACATCCTGTGCGGAGGATAAAAAAGTCAAGAGACATGTAAGGCAAAGAAGACACGAGGAAAGCCCAACAATTTCAGGTTTAATATTTAGGGTTTTAATAACAGCTTCATCCCCATCACCAATCCTAGTTCAAAACCTTTGATTGCGGTCACCATGGCATACACCCTACCACTATACAGACTCCCCTACCTGCATAATTGGGCACAAAAACATATGCGGAGGTTCATCTGAACCGACTGCAGCCGTGTCTGGCGTTTGAGTAGGGTGCCCTGATACGGCACCGGCCGACGCATGTTGGTTGACGTCGGTGTCCTGGTGGGCGTCCGCGTGCTGCTTGAACCTGATCAAAGTAGGCAGGAGTACTTCCCTGCGCGTGGGCACATATATAGGGTGATTGGTCAACCTTCCATGTATTGTACCAGGCAGGCGGCTGTAGGACCGAAGGGGACGAGGGCGTCGCCAAGTACAAACGGCTGCACGCCTTGGACCGAGACACAATACTATTGCTGCCCGGTTATACAATACAAACATGCCTGCCTGTCCGACACCGCGCAGAAGGTACAGCAATGATGTTAACAATCACATATTGTTGCAGGGATGATAGCTACCATTGTGCAGCAATATTAAACACTAGGAGTAATAATGGAGCCACATCTACCATTGCCTTTGTGCAAATATGTTGCGGTTGCAATTCCAGCTTACTATTGATGGGCCGCGCATGCACAAACAATACTGACAAGTAAAGCACGTTGGTTTCTGTCAAGGCGCATAGGCATGTTTACAGGTATCTTACTGCATAGGTGGTCGGTTGCGGCCAACGGCATCCGCGCAACGTAAAGCCAGGTCCGCAAACTCCTGCGCCTTCTCAAGTGGCCAGCCGCCAGCATTGCTGTCCAGCATGGCCTTGAAGGCGTCAGTTGCGGGGTTTTGCCGGGCAGTACGAACTTGCTCCACAAGACCGTGGCCTGAGTCATTTGTAAGAGCGCGCAGCATGCATACGCCTGTGTGGGCGCGGGGATTTGCAGAAGGGCCCGCAATTGATGAGGCAACTTGCATGCATGCAGTTTAACTGCGGCTGTTAGCAGGGGTGACACTCTGGCTGGACAAGGATCCTCCGTAGGATTGGCAGCATCCGTGAATAAAGGCCATTACGTACGTACCAGACCGAGGCGACCTCACGGACTGCTGACCATGTGTTGTGTGCCCCAGCGTTGGCATGCATGCATTGGCTTTGCTGGGGCGTCTGGTTATGAGGGAGCTGATGAGTGGTCTGGGGTGTTTTCACATGTTTGCCGCACATGGCGTCTGATTGCCAGGCAATAATACACGTGCTCCGGGGAATACCTCCGGGAAATACCTCCGGGGAATACCTCCCCCTAAATCTTCGTATGCGTACATGTATTTCGGGTTATGGAAACGCGTGTTTACGTAAACGTTTTTTGCCCATGTTTACACATGTCTCAATACGAAGTCCGTAAATGGGTCGTAAAATGAAGTTTGTTTGCTCTAGTTACCGTTCATTAAGTGGGAAAGAAGGATGAGAATGCTGCATACAATCAGTTATTCACGAACAGGTATTGCAGTAGGCGAGCTTCGTTTACTGTATGGTACGAAGACTAACAAATCATTCCCCTGTTTCTGGCCTGCCCTTGATTCCAGGCGCTCCGCTAGGTCGCGACTTGGGAGCAAGGGAACAGCAAGGGAACAGCCAGGGTGGTTCAATACGATTTACCTATACAAAGCCGCAGCAGTATTCATTTAGTGCAGCCACAGAATATGGTTCCCCCTAATTCTCTGGTGTAACAACTCGGTTGTCAAGCTACATTGAGCCATAACTGAAGTATGGTTGTCGCGCACTAGCTGCAATTTAGCTAGTTAAACCTTCTTCGCAACCAGCAAGGGAATTGCCAGTCCTTGTTTTGGAGCACGATAACCTCATGTGTATCCGGATTGCTTCGCAGCGCATATACTCATACTTACCAAGAGCGTAGATGTCACTGCGGGGTCCATACTGGCCGCTATGCACGTACTCTGGATCCATGTATCCCCATGTGCCCACCAGAGTTGATCTTGTCGCCTGCAAGAAACACGCACAAGGACGCAAGAACGACAACAGACTCTTAGTTACTACCCATCTATTGTGATAGGCGTTTGCAAACACTTAAACGTTTGTCCACAAGCCAGCCTGATGCTTACCATGTTAAGTGACAGCCGGGGGTCTTTCATGGCTTGTGCTAGGCCCACGTCTCCCAATTTCGCATTATTGTGACCATCTAGGAGGATGTTCGCAGGTTTGAGGTCCCTATAAAGTTTGAAAGGGACACGACAGCAATTGGAAAACATGCATAGTAATGTTGACACACCCTTGCGGGGTGAATTGTGTTGGAAGGTTTTGCGTCGGATTAGTGATATATGGTAAGGCCATACACACCTACAGCAAGGAAAAGTTATTATTCCTTCCATGCTGCGTGGATCCATTAGTTACCACGCCCTTTGTAGCCCTTACATGTGTACGATGGGCGGGTTGCTGGTATGCAGGAAGTCGAGGGCGCAGGCAACTTGGCATATGATGCGCACACGGTCTTTCCAGCCCAGCATAGTACCGGTACGCGAGCCGGGTACAGTCGACACCAGTAGTTGCCGGCTATGCGATGTCAGTCTACTCTCCAAGCTACCTCCGGGCATAAGTTCGTACACCAGAATACCCTGTACGGCAGGCGTCAAATTCAGTGCGAACATAACACCTCTTCAGCAGCTTTGAATGAGACCAGCCTGCCGGGGGGCTTCTACCGCAAACACCATGATGTTTGTACCTTGTAACTTTTTTCCAAACACATCTAGCCTTATAAATCTACATCCAGAAAATGCATTGTTTGACTTCTTTTGCTTCCGCTTGCATATGATATAGGATTTAATAACGGCGGGGGGGGGGGGCATAAACGTTTTCCATAAACCCCTTGCTCCGGCCCACCCACTCATTTAATGGTAAAATTGTTGCCGTTATGATGTTTTGACCTGGTCACATATTGTACTACGTTTTCCAACAAAAGGGTGTGTTGGGGCTCCTCATGGGTCCGATGACACTTCATCTCTGAACCACAGCAGCCTATCTGGAACTGCAATATACCCATACAAATAGAAAACAATGTAGATGAAAAAGTTGGTGTAGAGCTCTCACAACGCGTCTTTCACGTTCACTTGAGGCTGGGTCCTGTAACATAAAATACGCTATAAGCACGTATCCGCTATGAGGGACATGCGAGCTAGCGATATGGGCAAATTGGGCGATTACGTGTGCGGAAGCTAAAATATGCAAAAGGAAAGTCACTTCATGGCATTGTTTGTGTCAGGGATAATACCACAACTGCGACGTTCCTTTTGCATAAGTTGTCCAGATATGATACTGCAACATTTCTACCTCGCAATATTACAAGCTTGCACAGTGGGGAAGCCCTACGACCCCAAATCCAGGATGGGCATTGGGTGCCGTGCCGTAAGCACCGGGATCCCAAGGGGTATCCGCAACTTAACACTGCCTATTATTACATTGAAGCGTTAATAACTGCAGCGGGAATTGCTACGTACCTGTTCCGAGCATGTCCCAAGAAACATCAAGATATTTGGGTGGTGAATCTTCGATAAAATGTTGACCTCTTTCAAATATTGCTTCCAGCCCTGCGCTGAAAGAACACAGCTGTAAGTGTATCTTATTGTTATTGTCCATGACGTGCGGGTACAAACCATTTTGCAGGACTGTGCATGCAGAATGCAATTGAAAGTGGGAATCGCTAAATGTATGCTAGCTATGCCACCATACCTGTTGCGAATGACCGGGGTTCATTTTTTTAACGGCGATGGGTAACTTCTGCATGCCCCATGTACCACGGTAAACAGTCCCAAAGCCGCCTTCACCAATGAGGTTTGCCGCGTTGAAGTCAGAAGTTGCTGCTTTAAGAGCTTCATACGAGTACACCCTGACGGAAGCAGGGACATGTTACCAGATCACAGTTAATGGAAAACGACATTGTAACTACCGTAGCTGCGCTAATGAATTTCCTTTTAAGTATGTTAAGAAAAATCATTGTATTTCTTACAAATGAAAGTATTTACCCAAAGGCGCCTGGAGTTTCTCAGGCAATTAAACGTTTTACCAGCTCATTCAAACCCCCGCTTGTATAGCGCAAGGGAAAGCCATTCCCCCGACGTCGTATTTTTGGCGTAGCTAAAAATCTAGTTTGAGGACCCGTAGAGGCGAGTGCATTGCTTATCGTACAGGCGTGCGTCTGTGTGCAGCTTGCGTGTGGAGTGCCAACTCTCTGCTTGCTGCGTTGTGCTTGCGTCTCGCCTTGGTTGCCTACGTCGTTATATGACCAGTTGCTGCCTAATTACAACTAGTTAACGCTAGTCTATTGCTTGCAGCCCTTGCTGCGTACGGCTTGGACGCCTGCGTTTTGACTTTTATTTTCTCACCCAGCCGCCATTCTTTGTTGTCTGGTTTGGGTCAATTGCCGGGGGTTGTCTCTGCGTGGGCTAAGAGTAGGAACATGCCCACGCAGATTGGGTCCGCGACCGTGCCATTGGTTAGTAGAGTTAGCAGCTAAGTCTGGTAAGGAAGGCACGGTGAGCGCGTTAGGGACCCAGGTAATTTATTCCCCTTTTTTCAGTTGACTTCTCCCGGCATGTTTCATCTCGTTTGCTTGGTTGTTACAGTGTAAGGGTCCAGGGGTTGGTGTTTCACGAGCCACTACGGCAGGCATCAAAACCGGCGATATTTTTGACGGTGTTCCTGTATTTAGGCAGGTGTGCGACCTATATCATACATGAGTGATGTTCCTGCGCCTTGTATTTGGACAACCACACCTACTTAGCTGGGCAAGAGTACGTTCCAAGAAAATGGCATACAGAAAACTCCTACCTTGTTCGGACATTTATTTCTCTTCTTCGTCTTCGTTGCACCTGCTGCGCTTGTTGTATTGGTGGTGCTGTTGGTAATGGCATAGAAGTTCCAGGAGTTGGCAAACCTTGACGTGCAACAGCAATAGAAGGGATCTCCATGTTCACGAAATTGGGCAACTCGACTGGGCCGCTGTTGCTGGTAACACTGTAGCGGTGGCTGGCATTATGAAAGCGGCGCTTGTAAAGCCAAAAGCCACCGATGACAAGTGCCGTGACCACGACTCCGCCAACACTGCATATAACTCCAGTGATGACAGGCTTATAATCCCTCTTGGCATCTGTACGGTACGATTGGTGGCATACACATGCCGACCGTAAGTGAACAGCACTTGGGAATGTGTAAAGCACGTACAAGCGAAATCGGTGGTCACTTATAACTTTAAGACGAATTCCTTACCAAAGAGTACCGATTGGATATCCCGAGCACATGTACATTACGAGGACAAAGCTGAAACGGCAAACATGTTCGTAACAACGACGCATTACCTGTAGCAGGGGATGGCGGTGTTGGGTTTGCCAGGGGCGCATTACCTGTAGACGGGGTTGATGGGCGCGGGGGAGGTTGTGGTAAGGTGGTTGGCAGAAGAGGGCGCGGAAGAGGTGGTAGGAATGGCGATAACCATGTGTTCGGCGTGCGTAATAGTTATTGGGACAAACGAACACCCTTTCAACTACCGCTTACTTTGGGCTGTCTTCGCATAAAAGCAACCTCGATAGAAGCGCATGGGTTCTACTGCAGACTTCAGGTACCCATCAGCATTGAACCCTTTACATCTGACGTCAGCTGTGCAAGCCTCGGCCAAGGCACCAAGGTCGGTGTTAGAGAGCCGTCCAATGTTGTCGTTCTCATGTTCTTTGTCCGACAATGTCTGGTACCCGTGGATCACTGAGCAATCTGCGGCCGCGTAAGGGAGCAATTGTGGACAGGGAAGGCAGGCCAGCGTAAGTGAAGAGGGGGGGCCCATGGAGAAGAAACGCCGGCGCTGTGGGAGGATGACCCAGCAAAAACCTCTTTACCTGTCAACACAGGTTGTCTGCTGCTCGTTACTGTCCAGGTGCCTTCGCTGCGGAGAATGACCTGGCCGTTCGCTTTGCCTCTCAGTGAAACTAGTAGACCGCAAGGATTGTATGACTGTGGAGTACCGTCTACGGTCGGGTAGTTCATGGCCTGTATACCAAATACGTGGTGGCCTGGCTTGATTGTAAGGTTAATGCCAAACAAAGACGGCCAGTATACCGGGCCCAAGTATTCTCCATCGAGGAATATCCGAGCCTCATCGTCAGCAGCAACTTCCAAGCGCGCCGGAGTGTCTTGGGTAACCTCGAAGTATTTAAAAAACACGGAGGCGTTCGTGGTGGAAGCGTAGGTCTCAGCACCAGGTGCTGACCAAATCCAGGAGGCGCCATAGTCTTGGAAGGACGAAAGCCACGCAGCAGTGTAAGACGAGCCTACCACATTTGCAACTGCACATGGGAGGATAGGTGCTTATGTTACGAGCAATAGAACGTTCGAAGAGGCACGGGTTGTCACCACAAAATGGTTGATGAGTGGAAACATTCACCAACTTCTTATGGAACAGGAGATGGAACAGAGACGGTCACCTATACGTCAAACAATCGCCATTAAGTCATCACGTGTATGTATTTGATGATAGGGAATGGGGTTCCGTGTACTTTTACACGAAGACACGTTGAAAACAAATGCTCACGTCGTATTGGGCTTTCACTCACACCCCACGAGGTGTCAGAGCGCATGAGAACTTTGCCAGTCCTGTCATCCACTATGGAGGCAAGAAGTCCGGCAGTACCCGGCGTTGACGGGTGGTTGGTGCACCGCAGAGTCAGCACATGGCGGCCAGGTGCCAGCTGCAAGGTGATGAATCCCGGGGAAACGTTCATGAAGGGTGCCCAGCCGCCGGCTAGCGTTGTTTCGTACCTCCCGTCAATAAATATATCAGCCTGGTTGTCGACCCACACAAAGACTCGAATAGCAGTGCTGTTTGAGATGTCAAGCACTTTTGAAAACGAGTAAGCGAGCGCTGTTGATGGGTAACTTGTCGCATCATTAGAGCCCCATATCCAAGTAGCATTTAAATCAGGAAAAGACCAGCTGTTAGGTTGGCCGGATTGCCAAGGGGACGTGTAGTAGGGACCATATACGAAAAGGCCTGCATATAAAGAGTAAGCATCATTGAGTTTGTTGCGCTTCCATCCGTTAAAGACCCGTCACTAAAACCGACTCTTTGCGGCATTATTACTCCCGGGGGAAGTGTTAAACACATATTAGGGTTTTAGGGTACGCACGCACCTACCTCTCCTGTACAGGCACATCTTCGACCCTGGTGCTGCTGTGGCTTGGGACACTGTCCTCTTCATCCATCCATAACTACCGAAGCTATTGAATCCTAAACAATCAGATCGAGAGCTGCACAGCTTAGCTACATCTGTAACGTTGAGGTCGTATTTGCCAATATCATCTCCCCAATGGTCGGCTTCATACGTGGCAATATATCCAGCAGCATATGGGCAAGCTGCAGGTAGGGCATTGGGGAGCGAGCGTAACAGCACATGTGGCATATGTACAAGGTAAAGCGCCAGATGTTAGAGCGCCAGTTGTTCAAACGGACATACGCGATTACTATACACGCATGCCTACCTTTCCTGTATGTGCATAGTCCAGCTGCTGCAGAAGTTGAATCTACAGACCGCTTAAGGTAACCTAGGCTGTTAAAGCCCTGGCAGTCCGGATCAGCGTCACATAGCAGGGCCAGGCGCGGCACATCCATGTTGGGTATATAGATCAGATCATCTCCCCAGTGGTCCGTATCGTAGGACGCAATGTAACTTGCGACATTGTCACACCCTGTTGAGAAGCAAGGGCAGGACGCAACTTCTTTATGTGTTTGATGGTTGTAATATTTGTTTCTGGAAGGAAACGGCCCATGCTTTGCAAACGACTCCTGGAGAAAGGTGCATGGCGAGTACGACATCCACGAGTTTTTCATCATCCACGAGTATAAGAGAGGATTGGCTCCGACAAGATCGCTTAGAACTTACGCTGAGGTGGTGGCGATGGGGTAACCTGCTTTGGCGGTATAGCTGGAGTTGATGAGGAGGAAGAATTCGCTGACAAAGTCGGTGGTGGTGGTGACAAACAAGGCGCTGGTGTTACGGCAAGGGAAGATGGCGGAGCTGTCGGCCCAAGTATGGGTGATGATGGAAAGGGGGAAAATGGGGGAGGAGACCGCGGAAATGGAGACGGAGGAAGTGGATATAGGGCGCTGGCAGGAGGTTGTGGGGGTGGGCGCGGTGGAGAGGAAGACGGCTGCCGTGGAAGTGGGGGCGAAAAAGAAGGGAAAGAAGTGGGGGAGTTAGCGCTGCCGGTTGGAACTGGAGACGGCGGCAGGGGAGAGGTGGGCAGTAAGGGAAGGGAAGGGGAGGGTGGATTCGGGCTGGGCGGGAGTGGCGACGGTGGAAGCGGAGAGGTTGGCGGTGCGGGAGGGAAAGGGGATGGCGGATTTGGGCTGGGTGAAAGTGGAGACGGCGGCAGTGAGGGAGGGGAAGGGGAGGGCGGATAGGGGCTGGGTGGGAGAGGCGAGGGTGGCGGTGAGGGAGGGGAAGGAGAGGGCGGATTCGGGCTGGGCGGGTATGGGGACGGTGGGAGGGGAGAGGGGGGCGGTGAGGGAGGAAGAGGGAAGGGCGGATCCGGGCTAGGTGGAAGAGGAGACGGCGGCAAAGGAGAGGGTGGCGGTGAGGGAGGGGAAAGAGAGGGTGGATTCGGGCTGGGCGGGAGTGGCGATGGTGGGAGGGGAGACGGAGGCGGTGAGGGAGGCGAAGGAGAGGGTGGATTCGGGCTGGGTGGAAGTGGAGATGGCGGCAAAGGAGGGGGAGGCGGTGAGGGAGGGGAAGGAGATGGCGGATTTGGGCTGGGTGGGAGAGGCGAGGGTGGCGGTGAGGGAGGGGAAGGAGAGGGTGGATTCGGGCTGGGCGGGAGTGGCGATGGTGGGAGGGGAGACGGAGGCGGTGAGGGAGGGGAAGGAGAGGGTGGATTCGGGCTGGGCGGGAGCGGCGACGGTGGGAGGGGAGACGGAGGCGGTGAGGGAGGCGAAGGAGAGGGAGGTGTTGGGCTGGGCGGGAATGGGGATGGTGTGAGGGGAGAGGGCGGCGGTGAGGGTGGAGAAGGAGAGGGTGGCTTTGGGCTGGGTGGAACCGGAGACGGCGGCAAAGGAGGAGGCGGCGGCGAGGGTGAAGGCGGTGTAGGCGATGGTGGCCGAGGAAGCGGCGGACGTGGGGAGGGTGGTGGTGGGGATGGGGGCAATGGCGGGGGTGGTCGAGGTGGAGGAGGCGATGGTGAGGTAGGCGGCGGCGGCGAGGGAGAAGTCAAGTCTGTAGGAGGAAGACCACAGGGTAAAACAATTGGCAATACCTGAGGTGGTCAGATAGCCAATCCAGCAAAGTGCCTTGGGCAAAGCGACCCTCATCTGATGCTCATCAATGGGATTAGGATGGGAGCCCTCAAGATTGGCATTATGAGGCGGAGCCCCCGCCGCCTTGAGGGCGCCCCATGAGTATCCACGTCAGTGTTTACGTACATTCGTAACGTCAAAACCTTTAGCGCTTTACACAACTTACGATATAGATATTTGCTATCTCTAAGGAGTTCGTCATCAGTAAGTCAATGAGGCATAAAATATTTCCGTCTTGTCAAATGGGGCTGGAAAATAGGCCCCCGCTATATATACGTGTTTTGTTTATGGGTATGGCTCTAGCCTACCTACCTTCTGGCACGTACCATAATCGATAACCATCGACTGCGCACCTTTTGTGTACAGGCACATAGAGGTGTCTGTGTAGAAGGTGCTTGGTGAAACGGTGCTCTTGAGCCACGCAGCACCTTGCCTGTTCCTGTACTCGAAGCCCTTGCAGTCCGCGCGGGAGCTGCACGTGGCGGCTGCAGTGCTTACATCCGTGGTGTATCCAGCCAAGTCATCTCCGTAATGGTCGGCTCCATGTTGAGCCGTGTAACCGGCAGCATATGCGCATACTGCAGAGTGTGGAACCGCAGCGGTCACTATCATTGACTACGGACATATGGCCGCCCATTTACCGTAACTACTACCGTAATCATTATTGGACGCGAGCATCCTAACATGTGTACAGTATCTATCCTCGCTCCTGGAGCAAATGTTTTAAGGGCCCGTGTACGTGTAAGAAAGAAACACCGTTCGGTCTCAGGTACCTCCTTTATTTGCCAGGCACACAACAAACTTTGTAAGCTCGTAAGATTTCGTTCCACACAAGTTCAGATCGATACATACCTTCAAACTATGACAAAATTTAGGTCTTGATAGAAAACCTCCCTATTCACCCTACCTGGCGGCTGCATGAGCCAACCCCAAATTCTAAGCCCAATTGTTGCATGTTGACATGCATTATTACAAAAAAAGGATACGGCGCTAGATAACCTACCTTCTGGCGAATGCATGTCACCTTACTGACTACGTACCTCTCGAGTAAAGGCAAAAAGAGGTTCTTGGGCGCAAGGTGCTTAATGAAACTGTACTCTTGACCCACCCAGAGTGTTCACAACGAGGTACAGCCAGTGGCGCCTGGCGCCATAGCTTGCCAAAGCATGTCTGGCTTTCATGTATCAGGCCTATCGTAAAGTGCCTATTCACTATTTATTCATTCATTGCTCTAAGGCAATTACTATTTTCATAAAACATATTCATTTCTATTTGTATAAAAAGATGATTAATATCATAAAACATTCTGAAGGACCAACACGGCCACACCGATGGCGTTTCAACCCGATACCGAAACTCGTGTAAGTATTGCGGCAGCGGCGTGCTGCCAAACGGCTATCGGCGAATGTCTGCGGGACCATACTTGCATCTACTGATAGCCCATACATGAATTACCGCCGTTGCGGCCAGTCTCTGCTATAAGCCTCCTCAACATAATGCCTATGAACTATAGCGCTAACTGGTACAAGCTAACATGCCAATGGTCGAATCCGTCCGGTTATTTCACCCACCCTGTTGTACAGTCACCTTACTAATTTAACTGATACCGTTCGATCAGGGTTCGATGTATAAAAACAGACGGATATATAATTACAAGAATTTGCATTGCTCTTATCGGTTCTTAAAATTGGATCATGGGGTCTGTCAGCGCGCTTCTTACCTCTACCCCCCTGGACTGACAACCAACTTCATGGGTCCATAACCAGGAAGGTGGGACTCCGGGCCCGCTAGAATTAGTCAAGCTCGTAAACAACTCGTCACTTGGAGTATTTAAAAATGCTCCGTTTAAAGCGAATCACGGGGTTTAAACATCAACTTACTACCCTTCGTGTACCGGTATTCACGCGTACATAGATGCTTTCCTTCTTAATTGAGATAACTACACCTAAGTTAGATAGTAAGTCTGGATTGGAGGCTCTTGTCTTATCTACCTTCTGGCACATACCATAGTCGATAACCATCGACTGCGCACCTTTTGTGTACAGGCACATAGAGGTGTCTGTGTAGAAGGTGCTTGGTGAAACGGTGCTCTTGAGCCACGCAGCACCTTGCCTGTTCCTGTACTCGAAGCCCTTGCAGTCCGCGCGGGAGCTGCACGTGGCGGCTGCAGTGCTTACATCCATGTAGTTTGCAACCAAGTCATCTCCGTTATGGTCGGCTCCAGGTTGAGCCGTGTACCCGGCAGCATATGCGCATACTGCAGAGTGTGGAACCGCACATTGAAGGGAGTGTCCGTGTCAGCGGTCACTATCATTGACTACGGACATATGGCCGCCCATTTACCGTAACTACTACCGTAATCATTATTGGACGCCCATACAGTATCTATCCTCGCTCCTGGAGCAAATGTTTTAAGGGCCCATGTACGTGTAAGAAAGAAACACCGTTCGGTCTCAGGTACCTCCTTTATTTGCCAGGCACACAACAAACTTTGTAAGCTCGTAAGATTTCCACACAAGTTCAGATCGATACATGCCTTCAAACTATGACAAAGTATAGGTCTTGATAGAAAACCTCCCTATTCACCCTACCTGCCGGCTGCATGAGCCAGCCCCAAATTCTAAGCCCAGTTGTTGCTTGTTTACATGCATTTTTATTAAAAAAAGCATACGGCGGTAGGTAACCTACCTTCTGGCGAATGCATGTCACCTTACTGACTACGTACCTCTCGAGTAAAGGCAAAAAGAGGTTGCAAGACGCGCAAGACAGAGAGAGATAACTTAGGTTTCCTGTTTAGTTCAGCGCGGTTTTCCCCATGGGGACTGTCTTTGTGCTAGTTTCCTTAGGCGCCTGTCACGGGTTGCGTTGCACGCTGCGATGTTGCCTATTGCTGTGGTTCTGATTGCACCTCGTGCGCCCCCTTCCGTCCTTTGGACCGCGCCTTTTGGCGTTTGCCGTGTATTTATCTTCTGGCGAGTCCGCGTTTGACCGCAACTCAGTTTCCATGATGGAGGTCTTCCCAGGCAGGACCACCCAAAGCTCTGCGCCTTTTACCCGTATGGGTACCTAATATGCTTGCAAAACTGTAATGCGCTTGCTGCAAGCAAATCTCTGCGGCTCCAGCCTTACGGGTCTCCCTACATGTGGACCGAGCGCCGTACGCTTCTCAGCGTACGGACAGCTGATATATTGTTCTGGTCCATCGTTGCCTTTGCTTTTACCGTGAATCACAACTGACCCAGGTTGACCATAAGGGTCTTAGCTTATTTGCAGTTCACCTTCTCATTCTCGGCTTTGGCAAACAACATGCCAACATTGACCAAGCCCGCGGCATTCTATTTCGACTATGGCGGCCTCAAAGCCATGGATTAAAATTTTTGGCCCCACATCCTAGCTTATGGTTTGTGAGCCAGGGTTTCCTTTCGTGCTTTGCTGCATCTCGACTCCTTAAGCTACAGCCATGCTAACATCGACCGCAGGACTCGCGAAAGCCACACCGGTAACAACCATCAACAGTTATAATCACCTTAAAGAATCTTCCCTGTTGTGTAGAACTTGTCCCTGGAGAGTCTCCAACCAAAATGTTAATAGCCATTCCTTATGCTTGCAGGCAGCCGGCATCCTTTCTCAGCAGCAACCATGCACCTTTATGCCAAACGTGTCCACACACCTACTACCTTGACCCATGATGCCGACAACCATAAAGTTGCGCGTCATCGTTTTGTTTTACCTGATCATCAGAACAGCTGCACTGACCCCACTTCCACCGCTGCTTATCATAATGCCCACTTGTGCATGCGCAGGAACCCCACGTTACGGCAATCATCCTAGGATTTGTGGCCGGCCATCACTTTCCGATCCCGGCTTACGGCCGCACGGCACCCTTCCAAAGGAAGTAGGTGACTAGAGCCCCCATCCCCTTGCCCCGCCATTGCCACAAAATTCGCACCTACAGGCATCGGCTCATCCTTTTTACATTGCCCCTCGAGTGGCTGTTGCTGCAGTACCAGCTTCCCGTTTCATTCTAAGCCAAGGAAAAGTACTCTTTAATACTGCCAGTACAGTGTCTCGAACTGAACAAGGAAGAAGGAACCGATAACGAACCACAACCACACATGCCTAACGTCTGCGCTTATGGCTGTTGTGGCTGGGTGTGAGGGGATTGGCCATCCTGTCACACCTGGTGCGCGGGGCCCCACCACCCTCTTTCATTCCTTTGTTGAGTTTGTCCTCGGGGCATTCCTTTCTGCACGGCATGGACGCATAAGCCCCAAATGAGCTGCAACGTACACGATCTTAGCCAATAACAATCCCGAGGCTTGCAAGCGTTAAATAGCATCCCATTTCCGGCATGGGGAAGGGATGGGGTTCAGCGGTGGGGAAGGGGCAGTGGGGCCCTTCCCCACCGCATGCCCCATTCCCATACTAAGGTTTATTGGGTTAAAATGCGAAACGGAGCGGTGGCCGACCATCTCAAAGCATGATATAGAAGCTCTATCATAAAGTTCATATCCGGCTTGGTCAACATCTTCTTGTGCTGTGTCACAAACTGCAAGGGCATAACGTGAACTGTACCATTCGGCATTCATGTCTGCTTGTTACCCGTCACACCAGCAGCTATGGTCAGGTGTAAGGGAAATAAATCGGCGGCGGGGTTTGTTGCCCTTCCGTCAATGAAGATAGGAATTGGTAACACCTCTATAATTTATATATGTGCACACATGTACATGTGAGCTGCTTGCAAGACAACAACCCGTCGGTGCGTGACCCAAACTAGCTAACGCTAGAGAAAAATGTTGGCGCATGCCACTAAATAGGTCACATGTGCCACCTGCACCTTACCTCGTGTGTACATGCAAACTCCAAATGTGTATTCTGTTGGTGCCACTGCACTCATGGTATAACCCATACTGTCAAAGCCCTTACACCTCGGGTCAGCATTGCACATGCTTGCAAGTTCGTCCAGAGTCGCATATTCGTAATACTGGAGGCCGCTGCCAGAGTGGGTGACCCAAAAGGATGAGGCATAGTTAGCCACATCTGGGCATGTCCAATCTGTAGGGATTGAGGTGGCAGGTTAAGTCAAAGCGTTTAGGCAGTAACGAAGGTACATAACGGCGGGCAGGATTTCTCTTTCCTAATGCGTCAAAACGTAATATATTCACCGACTGAGCACTTGCACGGAGATATGAATTGCAACCGCAATAGTAGGTCCCTTAGAATGGAGCAAGCTATCTAGCCCGGATAGGCCCCGTAATGGGAAACCCACCCATGCATGCAACTGGTTCCGTGCATACTTACACATGGTGGCGGCTGTACGAATGGTTGAAAGTAGTGTGAGCAGCACCAGTGGGAGGATCGGACGTTTCCGTGGGGGCGTTGGGGTGCACCAAAACGGCTTGCGTGGAGCCACGCTGTAGCAAACCATCATTCTTCTTTGTCCGTGCAGCCTGCCCTACAGTACACTGCCACCTGCCGGCATTAGACCCACGGACGGATGGTCTGCCGTGAGATGCAAGTGTGTACCTACCATGTTACAAAAAATGCGTTGTAAGAGTGCGTGGTGATGGTGATGGGATAGGTTATGACAAGCGTGTACGTCAGCAAAGCTCATGTATGAGCTAAGGTATGTAGCCAAAGCAGCCACGTGCTTCCAGTGCCACTCACCTCAGAAACAGCCCGGTCCTTTCTCTTCTCTTTGTACGCACCTAACAGTGGCTCCAAGGGGTGCTGGTGGTGTCAGTTGTGCCTGTGGTCAGATGTTGGAGCAGATTTCAGCACGCAGTACAGCACCGCGCCATGCAGACATGATATGACACCGTTTTACGGGATGGCCATGATTGTAACGGTCATTCCTTCATGGCCAGTACGTAGGCAAAAGGTGTAGAGTTGTAGACCGAAATTACAGACCGGAAGGCGGGACAAGTCCTTCCGGGCTGTGAACCCAGTGTGCATTCATCTTGAGCTTCCTCGCGAAGGCATGTGCTTTCACACAACCACCCATATTACGAAGGTAACAAGGGGTGACTTTTCCTTGCTTATGGCTACTGGTGACGGCAACGACCTAAGCGACTCCTTAACAGCGAGCCCTAACAGCAGTCGCAATTACTCCAATGGTAAATAATACCTGGTAAAACAAATTGTAACTTTGGAAGGCAAATAATGAATTGCAAGGCCTTTGTCGCAAACTCGGTGCAAGGCCCTTACTTCATACGTGTGCAGGCGTGAGCTGGACTTTGCCGAAGCACGTGTAAAAGGTTTGCAAGAAGGGGGGCGGGCTACAAGCGTGACCTTACAAACCGACCGGTGGACGGATGGAGGGCCTGCTTGCTTGTCTTTGTTAGCCTCGGGTCAGTTCTCTCCAAGGCCGCTTCCCAATTCACATACGAGGGATTCTTTGGAGATCCTTTCAGTATCCTCTTGGCCAGGTGTCAGAAATGGTCCTGACACAGAGGCTAGTCCAACAAGAGCAATCTAGCATCGGCCACGGTCGCAAGCATTAAAAGTACTTCCTTCATACATCTCTCTAGCCTGCAAAGCACCTGCCAGGCAATGTTCGTTGCTTTTCCAGCAGCTTTTCCAAGCACTACCGGTATATATACCCATGCCGATCCCATATGCTTAACCTAGCACTACCTAGGGCTATGCATGTAGACTAGTGTTAAAAATGCTTGCTCGTAACGCGCTTCATACCTGGATAAGGACCACGGCGGACGTAACGCGCTTCATACCTGGATAAGGACCACGGCCGCGGACGTGTTGACCTAGCCGCGCGTACTTGTGTGCCGCGTAGGAAGTAGCATTACTTCGCAAATCGTGTGCTTGGTTTGACCTAAATCTAGCAATAGCCAGTCAAATTGTCTTAAGAGACGATATAATCGTAGAGCCCTTATTGCTTATAGATTAGCTCTAATAAACTAAGAATTACTACCACGTTTAGCTAAAAGTTATACCATTTACTGGACTGATTGTGGGAGAGGAAGACCGTGAAAGTGCCAAAATTGGACCAAGCTCCAGAGCCGAGCGTTGGCATGCTCCACAGGGAGACGTAAGCCATTTACCATCTAAATACAGTTTGATGCTTCTTCAGCTTTCCTAGACATGGATATGCGAGCTATCAGCAGAAAGCCTGAACCTGAACGATGGGAAAATAAACAACAGCGCATTGTGCTTGCTGGGGCGCAGTACTGCCAACGGCGCTCACTAGGTTTGCTTGTCATCTTGGCTACATTTGTTAAGTAGTAGAGTGGTGGTCCAGCAAAGCCGGCGCTTTTCCAGCTTCTGTGGGTGGTTCCAGAGCTGAGGTCGTTGACGTTGCGTCGCCGGTTTGCGGTCAAGAAGAGGAGCAGGAGGCTACACCCCGGCAGTGTTGGCCTTACGAGAGCGCACATAACAAGAGCAGCGGCAACGAGAGTTACAGCAGGCAGGACTAATGGCGCGACACAAAGCGCAGTGGCTGTAACACAAGGCGGGTAGCGGTACCCTAGCAGCCGACCACCGACACCACCCCACCATCACAATCATCACTACCATTCCAACTCCGTCGTGTCGTACACCAGGAATCCCAGCTTCTTCCGATTGCGGTTGATGCAAGCTAGGCGCTCCGTGCCGCTCAACTGATCCGCATCGCAGGGCTCGCAGCGGCGACACGCGCGGCCGCAGTTGGCGTTCATGTAGGTGGGGTTCTTGGAGCACTGTTGGGGGAGGAGAAGTGGAAAGAGGCGGGGCGGGCGAGCAGGGGTGAAAGAAGGGCGGAAATAGCGGGAAATTAACAGGAGAAGGGGAGCCAGAACCGGTAGTACTACCGGTTCACTGGGGCCATCCCAAATTACTCCCAACTCCTTACAAACACTCCAATACCTCTATACCGCTCCCCTGTTTTTCGGTACAGCAATTTAGTTTAGGGCAGGCCGTTCCAGTATGCACGCCCGCTGTGTCGTGTCCCCAACTCCTCATGCCATCCTCACCTCTCCCGAGGACGCCCATGTGCTGCATTGGCTGTGGAAGTCCTCACACGCTCCCGGTTCCCCCTCGCGCTCCTCATCTCCTCCTGATCCTCTGCCCCCCTTCCCTGGATTCCCTTGTTTAAGGTAATCTTCGTAATTGTACGGCATGGTATGGACCCATGACGTGGCAGTCCATTTTACGCCTCGTACGACAGGGCAGCCTGTGTGTGTTTGGTCAGGGATGGGAATTACGCATGGGTCACAACAACAGAATAGTGAGAAAGGTGAGCACACGGCTGTACGACATGGTATGCACCCTGCTCAATCCTTACCTGCGTGCATGCTGAGTGGGTTGCTGGGTATGTTAAGAGTTTATCCTTCCCTCCCAGCTCCCTCCCTCGTCCCCATGTCCCCTCACTGCGTCATTACTCCCCCTTTCACTTCAACTCTCCCATCTCTAGATACATGCACACGCATCCCGCGTCATCCGCTATGAGGTATGCAGGCTAAGTCCCTGCCTTAAAACCGTAACTCCGCCACTCCATTCCCACTGCCTACATGTCCTCATGTTCAAACCGGGTCCGGCACCATAGTACCCCCCCCCCTCCCTCCCGCCTACCCGTGTGCATGCTGAGCGGGTCGTGGGTGCCATCAGGCTTGATCGACCAAAACATGAGCGCGTCGCCCTTCTTGGGGCTGCCGGGTGGGGAGAGTGAGAAAGGATGAGGGAATGAGGGGACTATTACAGTGAAGTGAAGCCGAATTCTGGTGGAGGGGATGGAATCAAGTCGTGTTAAAGTTGTGAATACCACGTTTCTTTGTTGTCTATCACCGTTGCCTATCTGACCTCACCGGAACGCCACATGCCCTCGAGCGCACTCCGAAAAGGGCCCCAGCCGCTCCTCCAACTGGGGGTCCAGCCAGCTGGCCGCGGGGGAGGTGAAGGCGGTTTCCCCGCCCTCCTCCGTGTCATGCAGATACAACAGCACCTGCATGGGGGGGCGGGGGGTACAGAGGGATGCGTGCATATAATGGGAGGGAGCGAGCGGTGGTTAGGAATAGCGCTGTGGGGAAGGCGTGAAGCGGGTTTCGCCCCTTCGGTGCAATAGAAGGAATGGGGGATGAGCGATTAAGAAAGGGACAGGGCGGTTGAGGTCCATAGGCGATCGAGCACACAAGGCTTATAAGTGCTTTCCCAGACCCTCCCCCATCTTCCGTGCCGCCGTGGGTAACACCTGTTGTACAACACCTGCCGTACACCCAGTGTATGACACTTCACATCGTAGTTGAACCAAGGGGGCCCCACCCATGACCCACCAACAGTTCCTGCCCTAACAGGATGACATAAGCACCCACTTCCACCTTTCCGCACTCCCTCTTATAATGCCAGCCGTCGTTGCGGTTTCTGTCATGTACTCCGTTTTGTACACTGTTATGCTTTTCGCCATAATTGTCATGCCTTCCCTACCCTGCCTCTCCTACTCACCATTTTTGACATTTGGGTCTAACCTAAAGTAGGCCACATGACCCCGCGGACGGATGGCCTCAGGATCTTGAGTGCCCATCACCCCCGTCCCAGCCGCAGTTCTGTGGTATCGAGGTTCCCCGCTTCCCTCAGCCCCAACAGAATCACTCCATGAATCCATTCAACCCATGTACAACCCACGTACACCCGACCGCACCCCTCTTAAGCTCTCCCTGCTTCCCCTCCCCCTCCTTTCATTGCATTTCTTATATAATTTTTCCCTCTCACCGTTGCCATGCGCGGGCTGTCATCTATGAGGGAGTCCGTGTGGGCGCCGTACTTCTGACCCACACCGTACCGCAACACCTGTACGGCAAAAGGGGGAGGCGGAAAGGGAAAGCGCGAGGAAAGAGGGAGGAAACAGCCGATATAATCGGTAGGAGAAACAACAACGAAAGCGAAGGTTGAGACATGGCCCTACTGGCTTGCAACAACTGTACGATGAGATAATGGTGAAGGGGGTGTGGGTAAAAAGGTGTTTAGAAGTGAAGCCGAGGGAAGGTGAAGGGGCGCACTCCAACGCCCCGCCCCTGGCCCCGCCCTTCCTGCAAGTGCCCCACCTGCAGATCCTCCTGGTTCTCGACGGGTGTTTTGGTCCAGGCCGCTACTCGCCTCAACACGCGCTCTATTACCGGGTCATGCCGCCGTCTGGGGTTGGAGCAGGAACATGGCGGCCCAGAGGCAGAAATGTGGTATTGATGAGGAGGTTGAGGACTAGTGCAGGGGAGATATATCCTTGGTCTCATTATACCACCCAGCCCCTTCCGCCATTTTACTAACACACTACAAGGTTACACAGAATCTTGCGTTCTAACCAAGTTTTGCCGTACAAACCCAGCAATGCTTACTTTACAAACGTGCCGTAACTTGTGCGGTAGGTATCTAGTACGGAAGAGCCATTTTGACCCACCACCGAGCTTTGCTTCATCTGAGGAGAGGGTAGGGAGGGAAAGGAGGGTGATTAAGAAAACGCGTTGCAACATTTATCAGCCATACGCCGGGGATTCGAGGCAGAGGGTTCGTCTGGCTGGGCCCTTAAACCCACGGAACGTTTGGTACTCCGCTTAGCCTACCTTTCTGGCGCCCGCTTACCCTCAGCCTATATTCATCTTTTCTTTTCCTATGTAACCTCAAGCCAACACGTCGCAGTTTCAATACCCCAACCTCCCCACGTCAACCCCCCACCTGCCCCTACCCCCTCATTACCCCCCACCACCCACCATCATTACCACCCACCATGGGCGCTGCCACCCTCTTGATGTGGCGGCACTCCGCAGAGGAGAGGAAGTTGTGGTACACGAACACACGCGGGGACCAGGACACGGTCTCAACCCTGACCGGGAGGTCATTGTACGGCAGGGAGGAAGGGCATAGAGTGCAACAAAAGGTTGGCGCGGATAGATGAAGAGGCAGGGCCCTCTTCCTGGGCCTCGCCCGCCTCTTCCCGCAACTGCTCCCCACTCCTCGCCTTCCCACCCACCCCCGCCTGGTTTCCCCTTTACATCCTTTCCCCACCTCCAATTCACTTCCATTTTACAGCACCCGTTTGCTGCATGTGCTTTACCCCATGGTCAGGCTACCATGTTGCAACCTACGGTGGAGCCTTGTCGTACGGAAGTTCGTATCTTCCTCTTAAACCCCCAACCCCACCTCCATCCACCCACGGCTCTCACCAGGGGACTCCCTCCGGCTCATCCAACGTCTGTACCCCGAGAAGTGTAATGGACGCCACAGGATGAGGCGTATGACACCAACATAGGTCGCACGTGTAAGAAGGGAGAGGGTAAGGGAAAGCAGGGCAAGGATGGGAATGAGGATGTGGATGAATGGGGGGCCGGCAGGTTGCACAATGGATTGCTGCAGTCAGGATGTCCGCATTCATACGAGGTTAGTGTGGATGTGCGGTGGGGCATGTGTGACGGAGGTAGGCAAGGGGTCCGGATGGCCATCATGGTACTTACCAAGGCCCACTCGTCAGGCGGGCCATGGCTATGGGTATAGGTTTCACCCTGCCATCCAATCAGTCGCTCTTCGAAGTCTGTATGGGAAGGCAAGAAGCGGTTAGGATGAAGACAAGTAAGTGTCCTAGCCAACTCTATCTGTTGCCCATGCATCACAAGACCGAACAGCGTATGTATCTCACCGCTTCCAGATAATGCCAGCACAACGTGCAAAAGAAAGATTAAAGGCAATGTTGCCCTCATCTTGGGCTAAGATGCGTGAAGGGAAGTGCGATGGTATACGCTTTCCTTGCTTTCGTCTCTAGAGTCCAAAGGTTATGGCCATATTAGTGCACATGGTAACACCCAACGTCTACATAAATCAGTTGAAGGATTGACGCATTTTTATAATTGGTGAAAGTTAGCTTTAGTATCTTTCAGGTGTCCCTAGATGGTTTCTGGTCATGCATTAGGCGTTTCTTTCTTTCAATTTTGGACTGATTCTGCTATGCGATTTGGCTAGGCTTCACGACTTTTGCACTTCGAACACGTTTGAGTCCGGGATGGACATGCCGTACAACATGATTCACCGTGAAACAGGCAACCTACCTACTCACTCATCTATTCGCCTCCATTCTCCTCACCCACGTCTTCCCGTTGACCATACAGTGCTGCAGGGGGGTGTGGCATGCTGCTGCTTATCACTGCAGCTCTCAGCCAAGCTCGGCGCCGTCCTTTCCCTGATGCTTTTCGTGCTCCTACCATGCTCCCAAGCAGGCCCCCTACGGCCCCACAATGCACCCAACCCCTTCCTACCAATCGTGATTTGTTTGCATGTCCTTCATAGACATACCCAAACCCTTGGTAGCGATACTGCATGTGACGACTGTGAACTGCCGGTCCCAATCACTGCCGTCTTACCCATACTCTTTGGCATGCACATGAGCTAGGTTGAAGCATGCCACTAAATTAACCTCCAAGATAAGATGGATTTGACGCTCGGACTACACATAAACAGCACTCACGTCCCCGTGCTTCTTACATCATGGCCAGCACGCACCGCCTTTCTTCCAATAAGCCACCATCGCCCTCTCAGGCCGGTAGCCGTGCATTCCGTCCTCCCAGGTCAGCAGCCATGTCAAGGCGCACGATGTGGAGGAACACTCAAAACCTGGTCCAGCGGGACAGCTGGGCTAGGCGGGCGCGCTGTGACCCCTTCGTTAAAACAAACAACACAAGCACCGTCGGTCTCTCGCCTTGCAGCTATGAACCAACTACCCACGTACTTGCAGCAAACATCGCTTCCTCGGTCTTCCTTCTTGCAGCGGCAGCAGCAGGAGAGAAATGCACGTCCCATGCGCCATACGCATACAAAGAGGCGACCCATCAAGGGCCTCACTCAAGGGCCTCAACCAATACGGTTACCACGTTGTCTAGGGCACCTCGCACCCAACACTGAGACCTGTCAAAACCCAAGAACCACTGCTGTATGACTCCAGCGCACTGCCTCGACACGTGGAAAAAAGAGCGCCCGGCTGCGGTGCACAAAATCGCCGGTGCGCTCTGAGGATCTACTCACCACACATCCTCCCCTAAGCAGCCACCACTCATCCTTCACACTGCATTTAGCTGCTGCACGCACAGGCACTGGGTCCCCTCTCAGTGAAACGGCACTCCTTGCCCCCTGAATTCGAGGGCACCAAACTCTGTCACCGCCGTCAAGCCTCCCGACAGATTTGCAGCACTGCTGTCGTAACGCCGCTGCCTGCAGCCGTGGTGGAGACGCCGCCGCCGTTACAACTTCTCCGCTGCCGCCAGCCCTGCTGCCGTTGCGCAGGCGTTAATATGAGGATACACCTCACACTTAAGCTGCAGCTGCCAACACCAACTTTACTTTACCGCGCTGCATCGCTTGCCTCCCGCAACTCCCCGGAAAAGCCCATTACATTGCCGTACAGTTCAGTGCTGTAATGCAGATGCGTGCTGTACATTCTACTTGCCGATGCTGTGGTTGGGAAGGCACTTGATGGCGTTCTCAATGTTCGCGGGGCTCACCACAAACATCTTTGAGAGATCCCTGCAGGTGGCACAAAGGAAGATTGCATCCCAGCCGTCAATATGTATAACAAGAACTTGGGGGTCTTGCCGCATCCATATGGTGTTGCGGGAACACCGGATGTGGAGAACAGCTGGTAACCATGGATAAGCTGAGCACGGATGTGGAGAACAGCTGGTTGCCATGGCCAACCCTGGCCATGCACCACATACGAGCACACTTACCGGTTCTTGTCCCGGCTCATCTTCTCGTTGAAGTGCTGCTTGCAGCTCTTGCGGGCCATGACTTTGCCGCTGCCAGTGACCTTGAAGCGCTTGGCAGCAGCCTGAGCAGACGGCATGAAAGAGACATGCAAGAGGGTCAAGGAACCGGTTCTGTTCTTGCTATTTAGGCATCGTGCCAAGAGAGGCGCCAAGAGAGCCCCATCATAAGGTGAAATGTGACGGGGTTGAGGGGCGTAACTGGGAAGGAGCGCAGTGAGGACGTGAAGACCGAGTGCAGTGGTGGAACGCAGTAGTTCAATGCTAACCTTGCGAGTCTTAAGTTTGCACTCCACGGTCACAGTCGTCGGTGACACCTTCACCGGCTACAAAAACAGGCGAAAACGAAGGGACTTAGTGCAAAGCCTGGATTACCGCAGCGGGAAACGCGAGCAAAAGTGAGGAGCAAAATGCACAGTACCCCAAGCCAGGGCGTCCACGGGCAAGTAGCATGTTGTGCAAAAATGAATACGTTGTTAGTAGTCTTACCGCCACGGCGACGCGCTTAGGGGCCACAGGAGACGCCATGAAGGCAGAACTGCGCGAGGCCACAGCAGGCGCCTGCAATGAAGCAAGACGCTACAATTTAACGCTAAGCTCTGTTTGAAGTGGGATGCCTATTAACCCAATTACGGTGCGAGAGGAAGCAAGCGTCTGGTGGCCAGGAAACAATTCCTTATAGGAAGTCACTTCTTTCTTGCAGTAGTTTGCATTGATAACTTCTAACATCCTGAAAGGTACATACCGCTTGGACGCGCAGGTTCATCCGCTGCATAAGCATGGCCATTTTGCAAGACTCCTACAGCTATGCGATCAAATTACAACACGCTGCGTATGGGTTAAGTTAGCAATGGTTTACCGGGAACATTGAAGAGGACAAAAGCTGCCTCTCGCTCGCAGTTGGTTAACTGTACGACAGCATCCGTCAGGAGCAAGGGCTAACCACTCGCATGCCTTGCTTGCTTGGCCTTGGCTTGATTTACATAATAGGCTCCCTTGGCAGGTAGCAGAGAGATCCTGTTACCTCGTTGCTTTTCACGGTCGTTTACACGTTTAAGGCGTCGGAAGTGAGCAAATTCCCATATAAAAACGTGTAGTTACTTCAATTTCACTACAACGTAGCTATGAAAGCCGTTCCGTTGCGCGGCGGCGGCCCCGAGACCGAAGGCTCTCAACAGCAGCAGCCTGAGCAACTGTCGCAGCGCCAAACTCTCTTCGAGGATGCCTCAATTTCGACTCGCATGCTCAGTCAGCCCTTGATCTCCCGGTCCCGCGTCAATCTGCTGGCGTCCCTGGCGGATGCATCGCAAGCTGCTCCCCCTCGCATCAGCAGCATCAGCGGTGGAAACCCCTTGACAGCCTCCAACACACAAAAGCAGCAGCATCTACGAGGCCGGGAAGAGTCGGGAGAGGAGTCGGATGTGGGGACGGATGAAGGCGACGACACGGGGGACATCTTTGGAAACCTGAAGGTCAGCCATGCGCAGCATCATGCGCAACTGCTAGTGCTTAACCTTAATACAGGGCTGGCCGTGGCAAACATAGCCTGCTAGCATGTCACAAGGCTTTGGACAAACTTTGTGCTATCCACCCTTGTAACACTCATACACAGACGCGCGGGTTGGGCTTTCGGAACCCGCTCTATTTTCCGCCCTAAAAACACACCTGCATGATTCTAAGATCAACATCTTCTCATATCCCTACTATCCCACCATCATCATCAATATGTTCTCGTATCTGGCACATTCAACACAGGCTCTGTCTCGCGGCCAGTCCTCTCAACACAAAGTGTCGTTCCTGTGGATACATTTGTGAGCGCACACAAGTTCACATGGCTGCTTCCCGCACCCCCCTCTCATTCCCCGCCCAACCGCCCCCACTCCCTCAGACCCAGTTGCTGTGGGACACTGTGGGCCGGCGGCTGCTCATCTCCGCTCGGCAGTACCTGGAGACCCCTCGCAAGCTGGAGCTCAAGATGCGGGGGCTGCTGGATACGGCATCAGGTACGGCAGCGGGAGAGAGGGAAGGGGGAGGGTATGGCTGAGGGGATCCTCCTCGCAACCCTCACCGTGCTACCGGTAACAAGCCCCTTCCCCGCTTGTGCTGAGCCCTGCCCGACGACTTCGCACCCCACCTACCTCCCCCGCACCCCCCCCTCCCCAGGCCAGCACCGGGTGCGGGGTCACGCTCGCCGCAACTTTTACACCCACGTGCCGCTGCTGCAGGTACGTGCAACACGGTTTCTGACGATAAAGAAAGGGGGCGGATGTTGTACGACAGGTTTTCTTTTCTCTCGGAATGGGCTACGGTAAATTACGGCATGTATAAGCACGGCCATGCCCCACGATACGGACCACACAAACCCCTCTCCCCCCATCGTCCTCCTCCCCACAGCGGCTGCTGGCGGCTCAGTCCCAGCGGCAGGCGGGCGGCTGGGTGGACGAGCCTGATCTGGATCCGGAGGGCTGGCTGCCGGGTGAGAGGTGGCGGAGACTACAACCCCTTTGCACCCGCTATGGACCCATCTGCCCACTAGCCTGTGCGCCACCCGCTGCTCCCCATTACACGCCATTAAGAGAATGAAACCTCTTCCCACCACACACCCCCGTGCGTAGTACGATTCACTCCTTGCCTAATGGCTTTGCCTTTCTTAGGCCCCCATACCCCACCTCATCCCCCCTCCCCCTTCCTTACTGCCTGCGCTGTTAAAGGCCCTCACGGCCATTCCCGTCGCATGCACCCCCGCATATTGCCTTGGAGCTGGCTCCGTTTACCTGAGGGTCTTTCCCGACAGGATTAAATCGTTTATGTCATTTACCTTTTATTAACCCTACCCCGTAACATGCACCTTGCCACCGCCTCTTCCTGTCTTATCGCTTATCACTGTCTTCGCCTTTACCCCCATCCCCTACCTCCCCCTACCTCACCTCTCAGGCGGTCTGCGCTGCCTGCTCTTCCAAGACTGGGTGCTCGCGCCAGGCCTCTCGTACGACACAGCCCGACTGCCGGCAGTGCCGTACACATCACCCCGTGGCGCAGCCTCCGCCGCGAGCTCTGTTGGCGGCGCAGCAACCGTACCCGCAACTGGCGTCAACGGTACGACAACCGAGTCATCCATACAACCGCCTTCCGCTGCTCCGGGGGTAGGGTCCGGAGGGCTTTTCTCCTCGGCCGCAGCAGCGGCTACGTCGTTGTTGGGGCAGCCGGCTGTGAGGTATCAGCTGGCGATTAAGAAGAACCCGCAGGTATGAGACTGTGATGTTTACTACAGCTGTGACTGTTCACGTGACTTGCTCTACTTGTATGATGTGTTATCTTAGCTTCCCGATATCTTAGCGTGGCTACACATCCGTGAATTCAATCTTTGCGACTGTCCCTGACCAGGCTAGTGTCCACCTAACCAATAACTACCCTAACCCTCGCTTCCCATTTGTCACTCAATACAGGTCATCAAAAACAGCGGTACGGCAGACGTGTGGCTGCAAGCCAAGGCACTCGCCGAGTACGACCCCAAGGCTTCCGAGGTATGTACGACAAAATGAACGGCGCGGTAAACCTTTGTGTGCGGCATTTAGAGGCTTGTGGAGCAAGTTCCCCCCCTGTCTCAACGCCTCAAGTTTCTTCAAGCTTCCTTGCCCCTTTGCCGGTGACCCTCTGCCTAGTACAAAGCTCCCTTCCCTAACTGGCCCCCAGCTAACCCGAGTCGGTGCAGCTCACGGTCATCACTGCACTCTTCCAGCAATCCTCGCACCTCAGCATAGTGATACATCAACCCTTACCTTCCACCCGTGTCCCCAATCTTCCATCACCTGATAGCCGCCCACTTATTCCTTTAATTGCGTGTCTTTCCCTGCCCCCTTCCCTCTTCTCCTTCCACCCCGCTTGTACAGCTTACCCTCGGAGGTTCGGTACGGCTCAAGGCAGTTCGGTACGCCGTTACGGCTGGAGGGCAGGATCTTCGGTTGTCGGTTGGGCTGGATGTTGCGCACGACGAGAACGGGCGGTTGGCCAAGGTAAGGAAGTCGCTGAGTAAAATACGGTACAAGTTTGTACGTGCGTAGGCGGGAAGCGAGGAACAAGGGGCGAGCTTGTATGTTAGCTAGAAGACAACACGAAAGGGCAAAGCATTAGAGGAGGCCTAGGACTCCTCAACCACCACCTACCATCAGGGCCCCTATCCAACCCCTCCGAGCCATACCGAGACACACCATCTTCTCGGATTGGTTCACCTCTTCTCCTTTGGCCGTGCATACACCTTTGTAAACCCCCTTGCCATCCTCCTCATTTCCACACACCTCAGATGCCGTACATCCACGTCAGCGACGGCAAGCTGGGGGCCAAGCTCCAAAACCGGCGCTGGCTGCTGTCGTACGCGATTTGAGCAGCTGGAAGCTATCTTGGATTCATGATGTTATCGTACATAGGACCCTTACGTGTGCTATTCATGGTCGTACACGAGGGACACGACACGTCGTACTTGGCACCCCCTTCGGGCATTGAGGTGAAGCTACCTGCCATCAGTCTCGTACGTACGTTGGTTGTATGTCGCCGACTGGACCTGGATCTCTCCTGTAGCCCACTGTCTATGTCGTACTTTGCACCTTTTTCACGGCATCGTATTGCTTGCTGTAGCGTTACCCGTTAGGTGCCGTTTGCAGCGGCTGTTTGTACATCGTGCATCTGATAAACGGGCTCATAAAAACACACACGAACAATTGTTTTGCGTTCTCCAAGCTGCACAAAGGACGCAACCATGTTGCGGCAATGCTTCGAGTCCGTCATCAAAATTGCATTCAAAGCGCACGGAACACGGTAAGACGTCGAGCCTCCATTGGCCCCTGTGACATATTAATAGCATTTTGGCCTGAACCCGTGTGAGTTGGCAAGGCTCAATCCGACCAAAAATATACCCACCATGCAACGCGTAGCAAACAATATCGACGTAGGTAGGACGTATGAGGACCTAACGGAGTTGTGCGCTGCTAGCCTAGACGTGCATGCACTGTGCGCATGGAACCCTGAAGCCCCGGGTTAACAGCATGCTCCAGGTTCGCCAGCTTCAGGATCGCCAGTGGGGAATCGAATACATGTTAACCCCCTCATGATGGGCTATGTGTAGCACAGAACCTAGGTGTAGCTCAAGTAAGATTGGGCCGTACATGGGAACCTGACCCGGCAGGCCGACGCCCGGGCTCAGGGCATAGCGTACGGCACTCACAGCGACGGATGACGTGCAGTCGCGACAGTAAAGAGTTAACCTTACTGCAATAGCGTTGTCAAGGGAAGGCATTTACACTACGTAGGCACGTTTTCGGTAGGTAAAGTTTTGCTCTTTTCTGCAATTGCTGGAACGGAAGCACAATGGCAGTCGAGAAACTCTATATCAGCTACAATGAAATCCACCAAGCTATTGCGGACTGCGTCGACAACCAAGGCGTTTATGAAAACTTCAAGCCGACTATGATTATCGCTATCGGCTCTGGTAAGCCATTGGCGGGAGCTGCCATGGCAAACAGCAGTGCCTGGGTTGCAGCCCTCGGTTCACTTGAAAATGTCCTTGCGTAACGGCAATGATGACATGTTGCTGTTCGTCTCCTTGCGCCAACGGTGTCCGCCTGCGTCTTGCCTTGCCGTACAATGGGGGCTGCAAAGGCAGCGCTTGGCACGCACGGCATCAGGCACAACAAACAAAGACTTCACAAACCCGACTCCACATTTCTGTTGCCCCTCCGTCCAATACACCCTACAGATATATGCATGAACCAGCCTTAGCAACCCCTCCACCGTCCAATACACCCTACAGATATATGCATGAACCAGCCTTAGCAACCCCTCCACCTTGCTATTACCACTGCCCCCGGCCCTCGTTTTTCTTACCACCTTACCACACTACTCTTTACTGCACCCTACCATACCTCGCAGGCGGATTCATCCCTGCTCGCATGCTGAGGACCTTCCTCAAGGCCAAATGCGGTAGGAGCGCACAAGAAGGAAGGTTCTTAGATGCCGTACAACAGCTTAACGCAGTGAGAGCGTCATATCGTACATGCATCAGAGGAAAATGGACGTAAGGGTCATCAAAAGTGGGAAAGCGTGCTAGAGGCAGCATGTACAGCAGTGTCATCGCTCTCTGCTGCCTATGGAAGTTACATACATGCGCGTGGCCTCACACCATTCGTCTGCCATTGCCCCCTTCTCCCTCTCCGCCTTTCCCCTTCTCCAAAGGCAAGTCGCTGCCCATCCAAACCATCGGTCTCGTGTTGTACGACGACAACCTAGACAAGTATGACCCAGAAACAGCTGTCGTACGGAAAACACAGGTGGGGGTATGGCTCGGTTGGGGTTAGAAGTTGACTGCCATGTAACCAACCAGCTAACCGACTTCAACCGTGTCACTACTGCATACATCTTGCAGTGGCTCAACTACAGCGCGGGAGAGGGTACGGGCATCTCCCTACAGGTACGAAGAGGCTGTACGGCGATCGGGGTTGTTGTTGTACGGCAGCTCAGGCATGGTGCATTCAGGGCTTTTAAACTCCGCGATATTGAAGTGACTTCGAGATGAAGGTAATAGCTGGATAAACAGTAGCAATAAATACCCCCATGACAATTCAAGCAAACAATTGCTAGGCATACCTCATGTATACTTCGGATATGTGCCGTAGAAGGCGTCAGCTTCACCAATGCCGTACACCATACATATGACACCTGCAGGGTCATCACGTCCTGATCGTGGACGAGGTGGATGACACGCGCAAGACCCTGTCGTACGCGGTTTCGGAGCTGTCAAAGGTACGGTATGGGGGGGGAGACAGGGGAGGGGGATGGGAGGGAACCCGCCCACCTTCACGCGAACAGACCCTGAACAGCCATGTCGCACCCTGGGGTTTTGGCTTTTACAAAATTAACCCTCTTCCTCCTATACGCGGTCCATGTGCCATTTGCATCCCTAGCTGTTTTGTCTGTACGGGTGGGGTTAAAACACATCTCTGGGTTAACACGCCTCTGTAACTCTGTCCCCCGGCAACCCCATCCCCTACACGCACCTTCTCCCCACACCATGGAACGGGTCCTCCTCCCCCTTCCCTCCATGTACGACAGGACATTGAGAATCAGCGGGCGGAGTACGAAGAGCGGCGGCGGGAGGGGGAGCCGGAGTGGGTGGCTCCGCGACTGGTGAGGAGGGGCCGGGGGTTGCCGGAGGAGGAGGGGAGGGAGTGGGGAGGAGCACCTGCACCGCACACCGCCGCACCCGCACCTCCCTCTCCTCCTAATCTATAACTCCACCGACCTTACATCCGGCTTCACGGGTGGTGGGGGCCTACTATTCCCACCCCTTCCCACCTTATCAGACGCCTTGACCTTTCGCCCCCATATCTCTGATCTCTATCTCTGACCCCGCATCCACTCGCCCTCTCGTGTGGTGCGTGTGTGTTTTGTGCCCAGGAAGGTTCCCCCACTTACACCCTACGTGTAACCTCTCATTTCTCCCATTTCCTCCCCTCTCCCCCAACTCCCCCAGGGTGTGTTTGTCGTACACAACAAGAGCAAGCCCAAGAGCGGCCAGCTGCCACCGGAGATGATGACGTCCGCGTACTTCAAGTGAGTGTTCGGAGGGACCTGTTGGTTGCGGTGGGATTGGGGGATGGGTTCTGGAGCCTAAAGAAATCAGCTACGGAACTGATGAGTGATGACGCCAGCATCCTTCGAGTCCGGTAAGCGGGGAAAGGAAGGAGAAGCGTGCGGAAATCATTGAGGTCATAACGTTATGAGCGGGGGTCCAGGAAGAGGTGGCGACAGAGGTGCTAGGAGGGATGAACTGCCCCCTCAGAGGGCTCATGGCATCCGCGTACCCTCAACCGCAGTGATAGCTAACCTTATATGTCTGCCGTACGTTTGCCCAGGTGCATGGATGTCCCCGACAACTGGATTGTCTATCCCTGGGATGCTCTCGACATTGCTTCCCACCAGCGGGCAGCGGATGCCAAACTTCAGCAACAACAACCCAAGGAGGGTGCGGTACGGAGGGAGAGCAGTGGTGAGGGAGTGGAGAATGGCGGCTGTGGCAACGGCAGCGGCGAGGATAACAGCAACGGTGCTTCGGTTTCGGAGCCAGTAGCGGTTGAGGCGGTGGCAACGGTGGCTGCGGATAAGGACGCGGCAGCGGAAGAGGGGCAGGACGAGGCGGGAGGTGAGTGTGAAGGGAGGAAGGAAAGGGGACGGACCGGGGGAGGCAGCAGGAAAACGGTCCATTGATTTCCTTCCCTGTTTTCAACCTCTTGACACTCCTTCATGTGTGTTCCTCTCCCCCTCTCCCGTCCCCCAACCCCCGCTTTACCGTACCATCCTGCATTGCACGTCAGGCGAGCCGGCTGCGAAGAAGGCGCGCGTGGCTGCTGAGGCGGCAGCTGGGGGGCAGTGATGACTGATGACTGGAAGGACGGCAGCGACAGCGACAGCAGCAGCAGCTTAGGGGTAGCGAGTGGGGATAGCAGCACGTAGCAGAGCGTGATACGGGGCGCAAGAAGGGGAGGGGGATACGCAAGCAGGGGGGTAGGGTGGTGGCAGCAGCCGAATCGGCACTAGCACAAATGGCCGTCGCGTGCTTTGTACAGCAATGAGGGGATCAGGGGCAGCAGCAGTGGAAGCTACCAGTACTTGAATGATATGAACCGATCAGGGATTGGCAGGCGGGTGTATGAGAGTGAGGGGCGTTACGTATGTAACATTTGCCCGGGATCCGTTATTGTATCCAACTACGTTACCCTGTGTCGTCCTTGCCCTATGTTGTTCATGATCATCGTAGTATCGTCGCTGAGCCGTACTTCCTATCGTTGTCAATCAGCCGCGTGTGTTCTGCTGTAAGCGTTCTTAGCCCTTCACTGCGTTTTCACAACTTGTTATGCGTGCGTGTGCAGCATGTTCGTTGACCGTTTTATTGTTAACGTGCGCCAAGGGAAGCTAACGGAACCCAATGTGCATATGCGCTGGTGTGCTGGCAGCGAGCGCAAGACGTTGTGGGGACCTTGCAGTATGGCGGGGTGTGGGCATATGGTGTCAGACACGTGGGAGGCGATGGGATAACGGTATGGCAGGGTACGAGCGGCGGCGTCCGGACGTGTGCGGGTCACCCTCTCTACGCCTGGTGAACGACGGAATCTTAAATGGCGGGTTGTATTTGTAGTGTACTATCCAGAGTGACATTGCTAGCTACTAACCAACCATCGCTCGCTCCGAAATTGTTCGCAACACATGATGAGGTGGTGGGTGGTGTCTCGTGCCGTCCTCTGTACGGAACCTATGTCTTGATACGATAAAACAGTAGCTCGTTCTAGTTGACGCAAGGGGCGCACGGTAAAGTTGAGGCTAGTCGTTTTTTGTAGTACATGGGAGGTACACGGGCTCTGTTGTGTACGCCTTGACACGTACATGCACTCTGATGTATAGCGCCATGAATGTGTTACATGCGACAGTTGCAGCGTGTACGGCACATATGAGTATCGTGCCTTACTAAGGCTTAGCGTCTTGCTACAAAAATAACCGATGGACTGCCATGGGGCGTTCACCTAGTGAATCGGAATCGAAGCCAGAAGCGTCAGCAAAGGTTGAAAGTTCTGTGCCGTCGGTCTGAAGGATCTTGCGACGCGGGAGAGGGGTGAGCCAAGGTTTGACGGTTGGGGAGCACCATGCAGGAGGTAATGAGGGCATTCTGGGGTTTCGGAGCCGTGAGGCCCGTGGGACAGCTGCCGCCTTGCGGTACTGGGTCCGGCTTAGGCTCACACGGGCTCAATACATTACTCCTGCCATGAAATAAGTTACTCATAAGTTTGTTAGTGGGGGGCTGGAATCCTGTAATGCTCGGGAGGCCGTCAATGCAGAAAAGAGGTTGGCACCCTTGGCAGGTAAAGCACACGGCAATAAGCCACGGTGTACTTATGTGGACAGCTTGAGTATGGTTTCTGCATCGCTGGATGAGTGCGCATATGTGAATGAGCCGGAATTATAGAGCACATTCGTGCGAGGCGCACTGACTGGTCGCAGTTGGATCCTCGCAGAGTGATGCAGCTTGTGAAATATTAGCTTTTGCTTAATTATCACCAACAACCGCACGGCTATACGTGCCGCAGGAACAGGTTCATTCTGGGTACGGCATCCCTAAGACTTTTGTACTGACTGCAAGCAGTCTGTTTCTACGGCAGCTTTTTCCTTACTCGTAACTGCCAGTTCCGCTCGTCACAAGCAATCGCCGCATTGCCCCTGCTGTCGCCGTGCTTTGTCGCCGACTCCTGCTCCTACTGTAGGGGAGTGATCCCGAAAGAGTTGTCAATGTGTGTTCCTGCCGAATATTGAATAGATTGTAATACCGGTGCCTCCTAAATCACGAACAGAGAAAATGTTGTCGGCTGGTCGCGCCCATCAACAAGTCAGGTGAGCTTACAAGTACAGGCTTACTTGCTTAACACTTTTAACCATACCAGGTCATTCTAATGCGGAACATTTTTGGGCTTACTATGCAGCCTCTCTTAACAACAAAGATGTATGTCACCATTCTGTTGCCATAAAGCTCTCATTGTGTTTTTGTTCTGTTTGTAGGCATGTATGGGCGGCTGTTCCTTGGGCAGGGCAGGCTGGATGCAGCTGCAAGGAGTCGTTGTGCACTAGCTCCCCCATTTCGGACGCGCGCGAGGAGTCAGCGTCTTGTCGCTCGGAGTACAGCTCCGAAACAGTACCTCATGCTTTTCCTCGAGAGGGCGGAGAGCTGCGGACTGAGTCGACCATTGATTGCCGGGCAAGCTCGTCAGCTTGCAGCTCCAGCTTCAGTACAGAAACCTCTGTAGGGCAATGCCGCACCCCATGGTACTCGGGCATTACATCAATCTTGCGGTCGCCGGCAGCAGCTGTCTCATCGTCATCCCTGCCTGGTGGCGCTGTGGGTCTTGCGGTGGCACCGCTGTTTATCAGCCGGGCGTATCACCCCTGGTACTATGGCAGCAAGCTGCGGAACCGGACTATCCTGTCGACGATGTCGCTGGATGAGCTTGAAAGCATGCTCCGCCATGAGGGGACCAAGTAAGCGTTGTGTGTATAAGACTTGCCAACTTAGCACGGTTTGCATACCCCGGCGAGCGCTGGGGTTGTCACCTGCCTCGTCCTTGATCCTCTAACTACAAAGCTAACCTTGAGTTTCCCCCCTATCCGTCATCCCCCCACACCCCTTCCTTCCCGCTCCACGTACCCAACCTCCCTCCGCCTCCCCAGCCTCTCTCCGCTTTTCCTTTGCCCCCTGCACCCTATCACCACCTTCCCCTCCCTTCCCGCCCCTCCTCATGTCCTACCCCCTTAGCCTGGACCACATCAACCTCGCGGCCTTCCTTCAGCAGCTCCAGCGGGCGGCGGCAGCGGAGGCCACTGCCGCAGCAGCGGGCTCCTCCTCCTCAGCCGCCACGGCTGACCCAGCAGCAACAGGAGCAGCAGGGGCTTCCTCCACCTCTGGGACCCAGGCGGTTGTGGCGGCTGCGGCGACTCGGGCGGTGGAGCGGCGGGCGACGCAGATTGCTGCGCAGGCGGCTCAGCTGGTGCGCAGGCGGGCCAAGTGGTGAGTGCTCTGTGCTGGTGTTGAACAGGGAAGAGAGAGTGAGGAAGGGCACGCGGGAAGGGATGGGCGGCGCAGCATGCGCAGAAGCGTGCGGAATGGTTGCGGGTTTCGTTGCGGTTGCCTGTTCAGAGGACCGTGGGTGGTTCGGTTAAGGCGGTTGTGTATGGCGGAAGGTTCCGCCTGGGGTTGCGGGGGGCTGTGAGAGAGATCGCGCAGCTGCCGCCGGCCAGCCACGCGTGAGGAAAGGACGGAAAAGCAGTCGACAACATTTTGTATGGAAGAGCAGCCGTTTTGTTGGCCTGGTTGACGGTGTTTAACGAGTGCTGCAGAGGCGTGAGTCATGGTTTCGAGGAAAGGCGAGCAGGGGCGGGGTGAGGGGCAACAGCGATGGACTGGTCAGCGGGCAAGGAAGGTCCGGGAAGGAAGCGGGAGCCCAGCTGCACGACAGATACCCGGAAGGGGTAGGCGGGTGTACCGAGGCGGTGTGGGTGGAGAGGGGCTGCCTTTGCAGCACACCTCCTGACGGATGGGTTGCATGCAGGTACCGTTTAGGATCCGGCTGTTAAGCCGCACAGGTGGCCTCCTAGCCCCTCCTCACAATACCTCCTTAACCCTACACAAATGACGCATGGATCCTTTCCCCACCCCTCCCTCCCCCTTCCCTCTTCCCCTTTCCTCCCGCCCAGGTACGACCCCCGCTATGCCGCGCTGGTTGTGTCCCGCACCGCCGCGCTGGGCCACACGGACGGACTGCTGCTGCACGACATGACAGCGCGGGTGGTGGAGAGGTGGGCAATGGGGTGTGGGGCGGTTAGGGGGTGCAGGGCGCATTCGGTGGAGCTTGGGGTAAAGGTGGGGGGCTGGTGCAAGACATGCTGATCAGGCCGTTGGTGGGGTGGGGTAAGGTGGTGCGGTGCAAAACATGCAGCTGCTGTCAGTGCTTTAGTGCCCCTGTTCCCGAGACCAGGTCGGGCTTAGGAGGTAGGAGCAGTAGGTGCTGGTAGGAAAGGCGTCGCCACGCCCTTAACCGGGGAACTAGGCTCTCCTTCCATCCCTCCTCACATAATTCTCTCCGTCCTTGGTCTTACTTTACTGCCTCCCCTCAACACAGGCTCAATGAGGCGTACAGCCGGGACCTCCTACTCCTCCTCCGCGGCCTCTACGCCCACACCCAAAACTCCGCCTCCTACACCTCCAATGCGGAGGAGCAGCAGCAGCAGCAGGAGTCGAACCGTCGCGGTCGCCGTGCGGCACCCCCGTTGCCGTACAGCGGCCCTCCTGATGCGCTGGTGGAGGGGGTGCGGGCTTTCCTGCTGGGCAAGGTGCCCACCGGCCGCATGCCGCCGGAGAACCTGGACGGGTGAGGGAGGGGTGGGACTAAGAATGAGAAGTGAAAGGGGGGCGGTGGGTACTCCTGCGTGTTCCGTGGGGGTATGTACGACACATACAATGTGGGGTTTGGTTTGGGAGAAGGGGTTAGGTTGGGTGGGGATGAAGGCAGCCTATGATGGACGATGCCCGGAGCTCGGGCGGGGAAGAAGGTCGGCTACTGAGGGGGTACAAGGCGCCGGTCCTTTTGGTCTTACCCGCCTTTTGTTTTTCAGATGTGTGCCCCTGTCCTTCGCTCCCTCATCCGGACCCCGAAGCCGCCTCACACCCGCACCCACCCGAATTCTATCGTCCCCTGTTGCTGCCAGGCTGCTGCGCTACCTCCGTGCCCTGAGCGGCCGACCCGTGGGTCAGGAGCTGTGCGCCGCGGCAACGGAGGACCTCAACCGCCGCCTGCCCATCTACGCGCCGGCACCGCTGGCGGGTGAGTGAAGATGGTGAAGGGGCACGGGTTGCGAAGGTTGGGGTTGTCGGGTATATAATGCGGTAAACAGGGTAAGGGCGGTAAGGAAAGAAGGAACAGGGGTGGAGGGAGGGGGTCATCACCAAACGACGGGAGCCTCGCCCCTCTCTAACCCGCCCCTCCCCTTGGCCTACCCTCAGGTGTCCTCTCCACCCTCGCCGCGGAGCGCTACCCCCTCCCCGCGCCCCTCCTCTCTGCCGCCGCGGAGCACTTTGCCGCCAACGTGGAGCCGTACGGCAACGGCGCCGCCGCCGCTCGCTTCCTGACTGCCTCCGCCACCCTGCTGCGGCTGCCTGCCGCGGAGGGGGCGCAGGAGGGGGGTGAGGAGGTGGTTTCGGAGTGGCTGGGCGCCCGGATGGGGCTGCTGACGGCGTGCCTGCAAGTCATGGCGCGGGTGAGAGAGGGGAGAAGCGCCTGGAACAAGGCTGGGACTTTGCGCTGTTCGTTTGGTTTACACCCGTTCCACTTGTTCCGGGCGGTGGCGTCTGCTGCCCTTCTCTCCCTGGCCCCTTCCTTGTTGATTGGTTGTCGTACAGGTGTCGTAGTTTCACAAACGCTGCTCCTTACTGATGGGTTGTCATCGTATCGGTATCTATAATTGTTTTTACACCCCACCACCACTCCGCTCCCCTAACAGGACCTGCCGGACACCCCACCTGAGAAGCTGGCGTCATGGATGCAGGTGCGCTGTGGGGTGAAGGACCATACCAAACCATAGGGAAACACAGGCTAGTCCCAGATACAGCAATGGGGATAGGGGGCGGCAGGGTGTTACTAAACAAGCGTGTCTGTTGGGTAGGGAAGGGCGGGTGGAGCTGGATGGGGAGGGTTGAGGGGGTAGGCGACCTGCTACGGTATTATTGGGATGGGCATGAAACAACGGCATACCTGGGCTGGCTTGGCGGGGTGGGAGCTTCCGACTGGACGGGGCGAGTGAGTGCCGTATATGAAAGAAATGACACCCATGCACCTCTTTTCGCTGCTTAGCTGTGTGTCATCCGTCCCGCACGCCCGGTACTCGCACGCGCGCCCCTTGCGCCCCCACTCCGCCGCTCACCTGGGTCGTTCCCCGTGTTCCCAACCACGCAGGCCCTAGCGAAGGTGAAGGCGCCTCTCGCCGCCCTCTCCTCCTCCTCCTCCTCTGGTGACGCTGCCGCCGCCGCCGCTGCCGCCTTTGTTCGCGGCCACGCCGCTGCCGTACAGCGCGCCCTCCCCAGCACCCCAGCACTCGCGCCCTCCGCCGCCGCCGCCTCTGGCGCCACTACAGCTACCAGCAGCGGTGCTTCCCCCTCCGCCTCAGCGGTGGTGACCCGGCTTCGGAGCGCGTACGACGCCGTTGGCCTGCCGTACCCCAAGGGGCTGTAAGCCGGGGTGGGTTAATGAGAGAACAAGGTACAATGTAGGACGGAGAAACCAACCTGTCGAACCCATCGAGCCCGATCCGGGTTGGTTACGGACAAGTAACTAACGAGTTAAAGCTGGTTTGGGGTGGGTGGGTGTAGTGCGTTCCATAGGGTTTGCTGTTCCCCCCGTGTAGCACCGCTTGGGCTGTCCGCTTGTCTTGGTGAGCTTTGGATGGCGGAGCAGTGGGGGAGGAGCCTGGGTGCGCAGGGGGCCCATTGTTGGGTTCTAGGTGCCTGGACGATGATCAATACGAAGGGAAAGGCATAGCACGGGGCGGGGACATACGGTCCTGTTAGCGGGACATTACGCCGTGGCTTCCTTTTCCATTGTTTGACGCTATTGGTGCTTTGCGTGGGGAGGAGTTCGCGTTTGCCGTGTCATTTTCATTTGGTCCTTCGCCGTCAGGGCCAACTTGAGATATGCTCGGATGCTCGTGGGGTGGTGGTACGCTTTGTGGGTGGTAAACGGAAAAGGGCTATTAAAGGAACGGCACGAGGGCAGCGGGGGGTACAGAGCTTCCGTGTGTGTGCATGGGATGCGTGCCCGCTTGTCCCCCAAAGGACAGACGGAGGGATGCCAAGGTGAGCAGTACACGGATCGACGCTTTTGCAAAGAACTAAGCACAAGGGATTTGGGGTTGGAGGGCGAGGTAGTTGGGAGAGCATGTTTGGTGCGGATTACGGGGGCGGCTGCAAGCGCGCGAAGCCGAGGATGTGGTGACGGATACCCGATGCCCCTCATAAGTGTTCGATGGGCAGTCGTGACGCGATGGGGATGACATGAGAGGGTTGCGGGTTGCAGTAGGAGGGGATAAAGGGGAGGGGATGTGGCAGGGGTAGTATTGTGGTACCTACAAGAATCTCTCAGACGCTCCTCGATGCACACAGCGGCGATTGTTTCACGGTCCAGTGCAGTAAGGATATGCTGGGGACGGACAGCGCCTTAGGATAACTACAAGCAATGAGCGACTCAACCCACGGTTGTTTCGTCGGTGTGGTGGGTGTTGCCGTCCCCGCTTTAAGTTTAGTAGCAAGGTTGCGCCGGACCTCTCGGGTTCATGTGTGCTGAGCTGCAGGTTAAGGGTTCGGACTCCAGGTGTTCCCCCTTTCCTGGCAGTTTGGAGATGGCTTGCAAGGGGGCACGTAGCCCAACCGAACGTTCCTCACGTGCGTGCTGGTAATGGTTATCTTAACGTTATGTGTAGTGCTCCGCTACCCTTGCCATGCCATGCCTTGCTTCCGTTGTCTTGAGCGGGGGCCAAAGACGTGCCATGCGATATGCGACCCGTGGGTCTCATCAAGAGCCCCTTATAATGTCTTTGCCCCACTTTTGCATCTTAACTAATAGACAGGAACATGACGATGCGATGCACTTATACAGGACATGCCCTCCAGGTGCAGAGAAGTGCTAACGGAACTCAAAGCTGACCAACTCTCGTGATCAAAAGGCAAAGCAGTTTGCAAAGCTGGCAAGACACAGAGGGATGTGCATGCTCCAGAACATGTTGTACATAAGCGGGTCCTTGAAAATGAATAAACAGAGGATGGATGAGCGCAGGCACAACAGCAGTGGGGAAGTCTGTGTACGGCCGTCTGTGCAACCGGCAGCAGCAGCAGTGACAGCTAAATGGCACTGTAGGGGTGGATAACATGCATGGCTTGCGTGTTGGCAGCACGGCGGCGGCTCCTGTGCGCATTCTCCGCATTGGGTGGTTGAAGGCGCGGATTGGAATACTTAGTTCGGCATGGGTATCTAAACCCGAGGGATACGCCACCGCTCGGGGCTCCCAATTACCGCCGGGCTAAGGGTAACTAACACTACACTGCAGCGCGCATTGTTGGAAAGCAGCTGAGGCTGTGGGCCTGTTGCGTGGGCTGGCCGCCGTTAATAGGTTGGGAATACGGGCCCACATGTGGACGTGCCACTCGTCAAATGTAACGACGAGAGGAATCTGCCAAACATCCGTGCGGTGGTGTGCCACGTGGGGTAGTGGTGCTTTGCATGCACGGTCTGTTGCTCATCGATGGCGCAAATACTGGAATTAAATGGCACTTAGTTTGGATGCGTCCCGACGTCCTTCAAGGTGGGGTTCTAGGTTTGGGTTAAGAGCCCAACCGACAACGCTCCTCATGCCGCAGTGAAACATGTTAACCAAGTCCAGTCCTTATTTTAAGCATCGCGGTTGTTCTTAGATTTCAACTACGAGCGCGCCGCATGCGCGTCTGACGACTTGTCTGACGACGAGCGAGCAGGTAGGGCGTTTTAGCGGCCGAGTCCGTCGAAGGGACATGATAATTCGTCGTCACCAGATACACTTGTCAACTGATGCACTCTTCGTAAACACCTAATAGCCAAGTCTACTTGTCGGTTGCACCGGAGGAAAGCGACTGTTCGTTGTCATCACGCTAACGCGGCGGCGATACCTTCCCTGAAACATTGAAGTTCATAATGAGTTCGCAATATTACATTAGCAACGTTCGTATAGCGGTAAGCATTTCGGGAGACGCAGGGGCAGGTGCCGTACGTCGCTCGGCAGGTGACTACTCGTTACCTGCTAAGCGCAGTGAGAGCGTTTGCGATTTTTGCAACTGTAAAGCTGTATTCGGCAATCACATATCCGCAAAGGTACCATTGAACGGTCAGGCGAATTACATATAAGGTAGGTTTCAGGATTACAATGCATTTCCATGGCCTAGCGTAGAGCTCATAAGCTTTGTCCCTCACTGCCAGCAGGCTTTGAAACACTTCCTAAAACAATGGGGCCTGCCGATCTGGGGCAGGTCTCCTGAGCTCTGTCGCGGACAGCACGAAGCGGCATAAGGACGACATTACACCTTCGGACTCTCAAACCAGACAGCTCTGTGCAGCACCAGTTGAGCCTCTAATTATACTCACCTAACTCGCCTGGTGGCTTTGGCCCGGCGCTGAGTCGAAGCTCTTAGCTCCGACGTACTGAAAGCAGCGGCCAGGCACAGGCAGAGGCGTCGCTGGGGCTTACCGAGCGACACATACGGAGCACTTTCAGCTGTTCAGAACTAAACTGCCAAGCAGGAAGGGAGCTTTAGGCTAACGCCTTAGCTCTGCAGGCGACATGGCGAGTGTAAGCAGCAGTATAAGCAAGAAATATGGCCCTGATCTGTTGGCCCTGGCCAAGCAGATCGGGGTTGATCCGGTAAGCAGCTTTGGGTCAGTGTTGGCGGCGGGCTCACGGGAAGTTGCATTGCAACCGTCATGGCATCCTTTGCCGTTTCGCGCAAAGTCAGGTTTCACGAAAGCGCGCCAGCAACATTGTTCACCAACGTGCTAGTATGGCATTATCGCTTTCTGTGATTTGCACACTGCATGGGAAGGGAAATCCTTATCGCTCGTACATCTATCCGTTAGCAAACATGAAATAATATTGGTGTCCATACGGGTCAAGGCAACCGGGGGCATGTTTTGCATGGCATTTAATGGCTTCTAGCCTCAATCCTGCTTCTTGACTACTATCCGGGGTTGCAAGCACCAACCCGACCTTTTACTTACCGCTGCGTAACACATGCACACCAGCGCACACCTTCTGCATCCAATCGCCATAAAGCTATCGAGCGACTTCGCCTGACATAATTCCCGGATGCTCAATTCCCTGTGTTTTCCACAGCGCGACACCCGACTCATGCTGCTTGTTGAGGACATGTCTCGCCACGAGTCCATGCCCTCGCGCTGGGTCGCCAAGTACGAGCCAGCGCAAAAGCGATGGTGGGTTCGGGATCCTAAGGAGGGGGAAAACGTGTAGGAGGTAGAGCGACGCAGAGGGGTTGATGTGGCGCTGTGTGCAACAAGGTGTGCTGGGGCTCAGGGTGAGTACGAATTGGCGTTTTTAAAAATGAAGCCGGGGTTCGATGAAGGGGTGGGGACGAGGCGGGGGAATGGGGTGCTGAGTGGGGGTGGGTAACGGAATAGAAGTGAATGAGGGAGAGAGAGGATTGAATAGCTCTAGCGCTGAAGGGTCCTATAACATACAGGAAGGTCTCGGCAGCATGAATAAAGCAGGCTTCGGGTGCTGTTCTGGGGATGAAATGAGGTGAATACCACAATAACCGGAGCAAAGGGAGAGGCGGTCATTAGTCCAGGACCCAATGGTCGGCTGTAGACATCTGTAGACCTTTAAAACAATGGTTTGGGGGGTTTGGCGGAGCATTACTTAGCGAGTCGTGTGTGGGTTTCTACATACGGTACCCAAGCTTGCACTCCCTGCATCGACTCCATGCTCCAACCACCCCAGGGCCTACACGCACACCCCCACGGGCGAGGTTACATACTTGCATCCCTGCATCGACTACTACCGCGGGGCGCTCTTCATGGACACGGGCGGCTACCGGCAGCTGCTCAAGAACATGGAGGCTCGGCCGCCCACGGATGACGAGGTGCGTGCGCGTGTGTGTGTTTGAGAGGCGGGGAAATCCGGGAGGGAGAACTTCAGGGGGGGCGGGAGTTTGCGTGACAATGCAGGAATTCGAAACCCCTTTCCTCCCCTCGTCCCTTACCCCTGCCTAACCCGTACAATCTGACAAGCAACGTTAGACTTACCCTACCCTGTTCACCTACCCTCCCGCCCCCGCCACTTCAGATTAGCCGTATGAACCAGTATTACGGCATTCACGAAGACGAGGACATGTACATCCAGGAGGTGGGTTTTGTACATACATGCGGATGTATGTGCCGTACAATAGATACGCTTGATATGCGATTTCCTCTGTCCGCATGAGTGAATAAAAATGTTTAAGCAGTTCTGGAGAGGGAAGTCCCAGACGAGCTAGGAGGCGCGTGGAACACAAGAAGTGAATAGTGTATGACAAAATGCAATGAGACTTTCTTACCTTCCGTTTACCCCGTCCTGTCCATAAACCGAACTGTGTCCCGGTTCACCCTTGTCTGCCCGCATGCGGCCTGCTCCTGCAAACTCCCCCGCCCAACTCGGTACAGCCGGTTGCGAATAACCCCAAAACCTTACTCCACCTCACACCCCGCAACTCCCGCCCCTCAGGTTGGCCAGCTGGCCTGTGCAACCCCCCTGCCAGAAGGCTGGGTGGAGTTTGAAGACAAAGCAACGGGAAACATTATGTACAGGTGGGAGGGGCTGCGAGCCTGGATGTTTGGTGCGGAGAGAATGACATGGAGAAGGGGTGGGTGGGAGAAGAATACCTGTGTAAACTTACATCTTACGCATATCCTGACTGCAGGGACAATCGTACGGCAGTGGAGTTGGACGAACATCCATTAGACTCGTACTTCCGTGAACTGAGAGACCGCCGACGGCGGGAGTTGGCTAGGAGGCGACTGGCGGCAATCAAGGCCATGCAGGTGCGTGCGTGTGTGTGCTGTGTATGAACGTTGGGGGGCATCCCTTCCTGTGGGGGCCACCCCCAATCACCATGACCACAATCCCTCTCCCATTTATCTTTTGTAGCTTGTCGTGGTGATCGTTCGCCGTTACTCCGCCCTATGTTGCCCCCTTCTGTCCAAGCCATCCATGAACACATGCAAAACACGCACGCGCTACCCCTATTTACCCCTCCACTTTCCCCTCTCCCTCTTCCTATCAGGCCATGATGGCGCTGCACCGGCGCTCCACCCTCGCCGCCCCCGCCAGCGGCGCCGAGGAGCCCGCGGCAAACAGCAGCGAGGGGGGCGAGGAGCCGGACGATCCGCGCATGGTCAAGCTGTCGGAGGAGTGGAGGCGGCTGCAGGTCTCCACCGGCAAGCTGGCCGAGGCGCTGGCTGCTGTACAAGCCGCCAACCAGCCCGATGAGGTCGCCCGCTACACAGAACCACCGGATGAGGCAGCCCTAGCCGCCGCCACAGCTGCCGTACTAGGGGGGATTATTAACGGCGGTGGTAGCGGTGGAGCGAGTGGTGGTGGCAGTGTCAGTAGTGCCTCGTTGACCCCAACAGCCGCCGCTGCTACCTCCGTTAGCGCGGTTAGCGCGCCTCGAGCTAGCCCTCGTCGCAGCACTCTTCCTCCAGGTAGTGGCGGCACGAGACGACCAAGCACACCTGCACGCGACTCAGTTGCTGCCGTATCCGCGACATCCTCCTCGTTGTCCACCTCGCCCCTTTCATCATCCACCATCCCAACTACCGCTACTAGTGGTAGTACGACAAGTAGTACAGGAGCAGCAGATGCAGCGCTGGTAGTAGACAGTGAGGCTACGGCAATGGGATTGGCGGCAGGCACAGCGGCAGCGGTTGTTGTACCGCCACCCCACGCACATACGCCCTCGCCGCCGAGGACTCCGGTCACGGGAGCAGCACACCCTCGTCCCAGCCGCATGGTGTCAGCTACAGGTGCGTGCGTGTTCTCCCTGTATATGTCCGTCAAACTGGGCAGTGGGGAACTGTCTGTTATGCATCACCCGCGCTACAGGAGTGTAGACGGGTCATCCCCTAATGAGCCATCAACTAGGCAACTAGCCCCTTGACCTTACAGCCTTAGTAGGTCTGAGTTGCCGAAGGGTTGTCGACGGATCGCTTAGACCCAGCGCCTAACCCCTGTGGGATCTTCGCTCGTCCACGCAGGTGTCTTGCCCTCTTCTGCCCGCGCCTCCACTGCCGCCACACCATTGGCAGCAACGGCGGCGTCCTCCTCCCCAGCTCAAAATCCCTCACCCTCCTCCTCTCAAGCAGCAGGAACCGCCCCCGTCCTGATCCCGCTACCGCCGATGCCTTCTGCCGCCTTAGCCACTACGGCTGGGGGTGCTGTTGACTCTGAAGATGCAGAGGAGGAGGAGGGCGTGCCGCAGCTGTTCCAGGGGCAGCTGGGGGGTCCAATGCTGGACTGGAAGAAGCTGATGCAGGTGAGGAAGTGGGGAGAGGGCCTGAGAGGTTGAGAGGAGGTTGGGGCTCAGAGGAATACCGGCCGCTGCTAGCCCTTCTTATAAGCCATTCACCCTCTCCTCGTTCTCCACAGATCGGGCGGATTTCCAAGTCGAGTGCGGCGGCGGAGGCTGCGGTGGTTGCGGCTAGGGTTGCGGCGGGCGGGCCCGGCACCACTGGACCTGTGACCGGAGCTGCGGCCGCGGCGGCTGGGGCGGCTGAGGAGGGGACCTCCCCATCTTCCTCGACCGCGGCCTCCCCCGACAAACAGCAGCCACATCAGCTACAGCCGCCGGGTGGGTACCCGGGGTGGGGCGTTGTGATGGCTGGCTGGGGCCGGCCCAACGACCTCTCTCTCTACTCGAGGTATTGAACCCCAATTTCCTGTGGCATCAAACCCATTCCCTTAATTCCCCATCATCACCTACCCTCGGCTTCTCATCCCGCAACCCCCTTCCAGAAATTGCCAAGGTCGCGGGCGTCCTAAGTCCCACCTTCCAGGCCGTATCACCGGACGATGAAGATGCTCTCTTCCAGCGCGCAGAGCAGGTAACCGAATGACAAGGGTGGGCTAGCTGGAGGGCCGATGAACAGGGTAGGGGAACCAACGGGGTGGGATGGGGGTGCTTACTGAGCTCATGGGGGAGGAAGCGAGGTTTCCGACTGCGAGCGCCGCTTTCGAGCGGGTGGGCAAGGTCATTGTTCGTCAGCCGCTACGGGCCACCCTGGCTCGTGTCCCTCTCCAACTCTTTGCCCCTCCTCCCTTCCCCAACCTGCTCAGGCCATCCGGGCGGTTTGTGAAACCGTAGACCACGCCCAAACCTACATTGCCATGCTGCCTCCGGACGCACCGCAAGTGCTGGCGTCACTGCCGAAAGGTGCGTTCGCAGAGCCATGCGGTACCGTGATGAGTCAGCTGTCGCCGTACAGAACACTGCAATCGGCCTGTCACCTGGGTTTGCCTCCTGTCGTTGCCCTGAAGCACGTTTGCGGCATTCGGCTTCGGTTTACGCTTAAGGCATGCATAACCGCCTAGGCGTTTTGTTGCTAATTCCTTGGCTTAATCAAACCTGGGTGCGCCATTTGAGGGTAACCAGCGTGTAGCGCCTAACTGTGTTTATGCACCAGCAACCAGTTACATTTTCCCTTCACCACTCTGTAGGTTGGCTGGGCATTGTACGGCAAATCCCAACCGACTGGGCCAACCGATTCCGTTTGGACGCCTGGCCGGATCTGCTGAAATGGCTGCCGCATGACTGGGTGGAGCGCCTGAAACGCCAGATGGCGGGAAACCCCGTGATAATCACCCAGGTACCCTTGCCGCTTACCGTACGTTCGCCCTTGACGCCCTATGGCGCCCCTCATCACCATTGCCGCCCATCCCTTACTAACGTTTGTCCCTTTCCTCTGTTTCAAGACTAACAACCTTCGCGCGGTGCTGTGTGGCAAGCGCTCGTAACCTCTTTTTGTACCTCATCAACATCCCCTTCATGGCCCCCTTCCCCCTTCCCTCTCTCAGGATGCGGAGGCTGATGCGATGCCGCTAGGTCCCGCACTGCCGGACTGGATGCTGGTGAGCGGAGGGCGGGAAAAGTAGGGGTACGGAGGACGGAAGCTTCGATGCGGAGTTGTTATAGCGGCACCATGTTTAGCGGTGTGGAGACCCGGGCTTGGCGAAAGGCAAGAATGGGGACTACAGAGAGTTCAGTTCTTAGGTGTCTAGGGTTGGGGCGAAGAACCTCCCTACCAACAACTCGTATGGCATCCCTCCCCTTCCTCGACAGGGCCTCCCGCCAGGTCTGATCGCCGCTATCGAGGCGTTCGTATGCTCCGCGCTGCTGACCCCCTGCGGCGAGGGTGACCCGGCGGGTCGGTTGCAGGCGCTGCTAGAGGCGCTGGTGGCGCCGGCGGTGCTGGCCAACCTCATGGGCATGGCGCCGGACACGATTGCAAGGTATTTGGTTGTACGGCACACCCTGCATACGGTATGCGATTGGTGGGCACAGGGAGGGCATGGTGGTACCGGTATGTGGACACGATATGCGCGGATATCCTTCCGTTTCAGACCTGTCTTGGCCTTGGGTTGGTGGGTCATCAGTTTGCTGCCGCATGAGGTGTGGACTGTGGAGTCATTTGTGTCCGTACATGTGAACTCGGATACGATTGCCCTCCCTTTCTCCCCTCCCTCCACTCCATAACCCCAAGGCTCCTCGGCTTCCCCGCTCGTGCCCTGGAGACCACCGCCGGCCTGGATGACCCAGGGGTCTCTGCGCTGGCTGACCCAGAACTGAACTCCGAGACGCTGAGCCGCATTCTGCAGCTCTGGAAGAAGTCCAACGGACTGTGGGACAGGTGTGTGTCAAGAAAGCGTATGTATGCGTGTGGGTATTTTTGGGTCCAGTGGTCCACTCTCGTCCTTGCGAGTGCCGCCGGATCTGCGAGGTTGACGGTAAAACAGGAAAACACACGTAAAAAACACACGCTTTCCTCCTCTCGTCCCTGCACAGGATCATGGGCTTCCCCTCTCGAGCCCTAGAGAACCTGGCTGGCCTGCAGGATGACGGCATCGGCGCCCTTGCGGACGAGGATATGGACTCGGTGCGACTCAACTGGCAGCTTGTGGAGCTGCAGAATTTCCCACGAGATCTGCTCGCCAAGTACGACTATGTTGGTTGTTTGTACGTCACGTGCATTTATACTGTAGATGTACAGGGTAGATGTTAGCAAGGCGCATCCGCATTATCTCCCTGTGCGTGGTTTCCTGGTTGGCTCCTTTCCTGCTTGGCACCAACCTTCCTGCCGATCCCGGCCTCCCTATCAATCTTTCTCATTTACAGGTTGCTGGCGCTGCCCCGTAAGGCCCTCGAGAATGTCACCGAGCTCGACGCCCCCGGCATCACCGCCTTGGCTGCCCCCGACCTGGACAAGGACCTCCTGAGCTTCCTGCTGCAAATGATGGGCAAGCTGTCATCGGAGCTGCTGAGGAGGTAGGGTTTTGCGCAGGGGCGACAGGGTGCTGATTGTATGGCAGGCGGGTGTCCGTCGTACAGTACAAGGGGAAGGGCATAACGCGACTTCTGTTAACCCTAATCTCTACGTGCCCGCTTTCCTCGTCTTCAAGCAAATGCGCCTCTTTCTTTTCGCTCCCGGCATGTCCTCCTCTCTCCTCTTCCAACCTTTTCAACCCGATCGTCCCACACAGGCTGCTCGCGCTCCCCCGTGCTGTCCTGGAGAAGGTTGTGTCGATCAACACCGCCGGCATCCGCGGCCTCGCCGACCCCGCCCTCACCGCCGACACCCTCTCCCGCCTGCTCGCGCGCTTCCCGCCCTCCGCCATTGAGCTCCTCTCGCGCCTGGACGACCAAGCCATTCACCGACTAGCGGAGCTCGTACCCGCGCCCGATGCGCCTGTCGTATCTGCCGTACTGTCGGCCTTGGATCCGGCGGCCATGAGGAACTTGTCAGAAGCATTTGGCGGCCCGCCGGCAGGGGGTGTCGCGGCTGCTGCTGCGGCACTCAAGGCAGCGGAGGCGGCGGAAGCGGCTGGCGGCGGCTCGGCTGCTGCCACTGCTGCTGCGGCGGCGGAGCTGGCGAAGGCGGCGGCGGCGGCTCCGAGGATGTCCCTAAAGGAAGTACGGCAGCAGCTGGCGCTAGGCGCCACAGCTGATGCTTTGGCGGCGGAAGCTGGTGGTGATGGCAGCAATGCCGAGGGCGCCACCAATGCTGCCAGCGTTGCGCTTCCCCGCAAGTCCACCCGTGTTAGCAAGGCAGCTGCTGCCGTACAACAACCCCAACCGTCGCTACTTCAACTGACACCTCCTCCGCCTCCGAGCGAGAAGCTGGCCCCTGCGCTGCCGCACCAGCAGTACCTGCGGCAGATGGGGGCGCTGCCCGCTGCCGCCGCCAACACAGTCAGCGCAGTAGAGGCGGCGGTGCTGGGGCCGCTGCTGGCAGCGCCGGAGGGAGCGCTGCGGCTGCTGGCGGGATTAGACAGGCCCTCGGCAAAGAGGTAAGGGAGCTGGCCAGGATTTACGGGTTTACGGTACTAGGGGTTTCCATCCTAACCAAGATGATGTTTTAACCGCCATCATTCCTGGATCGCAGGTTCGGGCTGTGGCCTGGCGACCTGCTTGTGGCCCTGTGCAAGCTCACCCCCGAGGAGCTGTGGGCGCTGCTGGAGATGAGGCGGGAGGTGCAGGTGGGGGGCGGTTGCCGTCCTACATTTGTATTCGTATGTTTGCATGTGTGCATAGCGACTTCAGTTTCTTGTTAATTTGAGGCGGCTTAGTATCATCGGAAATTCAAGCTGCCTGTCCGCAATTGGCCTGTTTTGCATAACCAAGCATTATATCGGTAAGCAATGTGGGCCCTCTTCTCTCCTCGGCCCCCGCCCCGCCTGCAGTCTCTCTCCCCCAGCTGGGGTGACGACATGCGGGACTTCCTGGCCAACCGGGGCAAGGTCGTACACACCACCCACCGCGGCACGCAAACCGCGCCGCCACCGCCGCCGCCGCCCCCTGCCGACCCGCCGCCACCACCCCCAACCACCGCACCTGAGGACCCTGAACCGGCTGTTGCGGCACCGCCGCCGCCGCCACCTGTTGTGCGACTGGCGCCGACGCCGCCACCAGTGCTGACGGCGATTTCATCGCCGATGCAGCCACAGCCGGTGGTTGACCGCTGGGCACACACGCCTCCTAGCAAATGCCCGCCCGCCGCCAAGGAATCGAGCGACTCGTTCGACGCTTTCGCGAATGTTCAGTTCACGGTGAGCATGCGTTTTTGGGATGGGTTGTGATCTTGTGGTAGAAAATCTGTAGATAGTAGACTACTGAACAAGGAATGCTAGCAGCTTAACAAGCGCCACTGCTTTCCCAACCTCCTTCCTTCCCCCAGCTGAGCAAGTCGGTGGACATTCGGGACAAGCGCGACTTCGACTGCCGCCCCATCAACCCGGAGATAAGGCGTAGGAACTACACGCTGAGGGACAGGTGCGGGTGTGGGGCTAACGACAATTGCCTAGTTAAGCGCCTGTTTGTGGGTTTGCGGCGACCCACAGCAGGAACCACCTCACACGGCATCACGTTGTGTCGTCACGACGACTCTCATGCCGTACCACTCCTCTCATGTCGTACACCCTCATGCACGCCCGTCCGCAGGGACTACAAGGACACCCCCGCCGACCCGTACACCGACGCCCCGGACGAGCTGCAGTACAAGTCGTACCGCGAGAGCGACATCAAGCACCTCAAGCAGCGCATCGTGCGTGTGGAGATGCAGCGCAGCCAGATGGGCGCCAAGTTGATGCAGTACAGCAGGCTGTACCAGCAGCAGCTCACGGCAATGGGCGCGCAGGTGGGGGATGGTGGGGGACAACCTAGGAAAACGCGCGGGCAGAGATGGAGAAGAAGGGGTCCGGCTTGCATGCTAAAATATTACCAGCTGCTAACTGGGCCTTGCCGTTGCACACACAATCCTCTGCGTGTACCCTCCAAATTCATGTCTCTGCCCCAAATCCGCCCATCCCCGGCAATTTCGGGACCCACAAACATCTCCCATGGCCCTTCTCCCTCCCTCAGCTTGCCGAGTCTCAGAAGGAGGCTTTCGAGCTGCGGCAGCAACTGGATGTGAGTAGGGGTTAGTAGGCAGGGAGGGATAGGGGTAAGGACCAGACGTTGGGGTTACAAAATCGGATAAGGGACCGATTGAGCAAAGCCTAAGGTTCAGCGATTTACGTATGGTGTTGCTTGAGGTCATACAGAGGCCTCTCGGCTCACCTCACCCAATGCCAACACCTGCAGCCTACCCTCGCCATGCCTTCCCCCCTTCCGTTTCCTGCTGCGGCCTCACATACCTACCTACCGCCCCTCTCACCGCCTACCCAGTCTGCCCGAGCGGAGCAGAAAGCGGCGGTCAGTCGGTTGGAGGCAGCGGCCGCAGCACATGCGGAGCTCGCCCTCATCGCCGCCCTGCCGCAGGTCCCCCCCGACCTGCGCAACCGCCTCTCAGTGCTGTACATCGCCGCTGCCGGCCTCAACCGCCCCACCTCCTCCAACGCCTCCGGAGCCCTCTCTGCTACCGCCTCCATAAACAACCTGCCCTCGCCGGCCCAGGCCTCTCCGCGCATTATGGGCAACGACATCATGGGCAATGCGGGCATCAGTGGAGGCGGTATCCCCTCCGCTAACTCCTCCCCTGCGCATTCCGCGCAGCCCTCGCCCACTATCGCCTACCAGTACTTGGCCCTCCCGGACTGCAACACTATGAGCCGGTCACGAATGGCGGGCAACGGGGGCGTTGGGGGCTTCACCAGCCCGGTCCGTGGTGCGGGTGGCGTCGGTTATAGCAGCAATTCCCTCGCATATTCGCGAACGCTTGGCCGTGCCAACGGTAATGGCAACGGTAAGAGTAACAGCGGGGACGGTGGAGCCAGCAACCGAGGAGGAGTGCGGACAGCATTCAGTGCTAGCGGTACCTTGGAAAACGTGTACGGCGGTGTCAACGGTATTAGCGGCAATCTGGGTATTGTCAGTCTTAACATTGGTAAGCAGGGCAACGGCAAGCAAGGCAACGGAACCAGTGGCAGCAGCAGCGGTGGTGTTGCTGCCAACGCCGCTGCCGCTAACGGAAACAATGCCACCGCAACGGGCGCTGGCACCGGTAGCCAAGATAAGAATTACCAGCTGCCACCATTGGCACAAGTCGTTCACGACATGGTATCAGGCTCATCAACGTCCTCGTCAAACGGTGGTGGCGGCGTTGGAAATGGCGGTGGCGGTGGTACCAGTGCTGGCCTTAGCAGCATCCTAAACAGCAGGGCCAGCAGCCTCAAACGATTGAGTGCGGCTAATGCGGCAACTAACGGTAACATGAACGGCAGCACAGCAGCGGTTGAGGTTGTCGGAGGCATGCGGGCCTTGGCACTCAGCGACTCCTTTTCCGCGGCCTCAGCAACGGCAATGCGGGCGTCAATGCCGTGAAACATCGGAAAACAATTGGCAGCCAGTGCCAGGGCCGGTGTCGTACATACTATCGTACAGTCCGCAAAGGTGGCGCGGGTCGTTGAGGGGATGCCTTCAGGGAAGTCGTGACCCCGTCGCGTTCTGGGATTATTTCATGGGATTCTTCGTTGCTTGGGTATGCATTTAAACGGATTTCATCTAGCCTGTGTGCATGGCCTGCTGGGTTGTGGGCGCTGCAAAACCGCACCCGTTTGCTTAAAGTGCACTGATCGAAGGTTCACTGCTGTGTAAGCAGTGATGAGGGCGGGCTTGTTGTTTTGCTGTTGAAGCATCGGGGCAGCGCTTGTGAGTTTGTATAGCTGCGTACGTAGGGACTGGAAGCTAGGGACTGGAAGTTCCGGTGCACGTCGATGCAAGTGCAAAAATATAAGGCATGCCTTAAGGGGAGTGCGTGCGTGCACGACTTATGCATGCAAAGAACTAGGAGGATGGGCTTCGGATGTAGGAGGGGAGTATGCACACAATGTGCTGCTAAATGGAATGGCCATTACAGTGGTTCCCAAGAAGAGAGCGTGGGTGGTTAACGGTTGAATACCGTACGGGTGCCGCTTTTGTTGTGACAAGACGATGAGTTGAGTATGTCGTTCGATTTGACACTAGTTGATAGGAACAAGTCAATTATTGGGGCGCCAGCTTCATAGCTTTTGCGTCATTGATCTTGGTCAAGGAGGAAGTTAGAAACTCTTTGCAGCGGGCAAGGCAACCGCGTTTGGTGACGCCACGCTGACAGATTTCCTGAATACTGAAGCCGTTTGTAGAAACCGTTTTCGTGCCTCTGCGCCTTGGGTTTTCTAGGCGTTTTGATGCATTACGTGCGCACCTCGAGCGGGAACCAATGTTTCAAAGCCTCCTAGAAGCAGGCACATATCATAGTGGCGTGTATACAGGGGTCTCATAGTTTGTTCGTCAAATGCGAGTTTTAGCTTCGAGCTGTCTTGCAGATTAGTTTGTATTGTTGGCATGTCGCGCCTGCCCCCGCGGCGCCATGCCATTGGCCCAGACTACAATTCGACGGGATTTAGGAGTTCACAGTCTTGCGCATGGCCCCTCCATGCCGGAATTGCGGCGGCACTGGGTTGCAAAAGCTCACCCACGTGTCTTGGCGCTACACAAGTGACATACATCTCGTTTCTATTATGGCCATAGACGCGACAGACGTGTACACGTCCTGTACGGTGCATGCTGGCCTTTCGATGCGCGATGCCCCGGTGGCAACCCTTCGGACCAACAGTGAAGCCTCTTGGTGTGTTGTCAGCGATAAAAGGCCTAGCAACAAGAGCGAACATGTATGCACATGTGGCGATACAACGTAGTTGCCCCAACAGCCCATAAGCAATGACTGAATTTCCTGGGTGTGGCCTTATGTGCAGTTGCTTACGCCGCTTACTCCCAACGTACTGCTTGTCTGTACGGTATTACGTCCAGCTATTCATGTTGGATTTCATCCTCGCGTGCGCTGTTGTGGTGGGTCCTGGGTTGTACCCTACAAGGATACGTCTGTTTGACTGTCTGTTTCTGTCCCTGTGTGTCTTTTCGACAGCGTGTAGTAGTAGCACCCGCGCTCAGTTGGATCCTAGGGCTAACCATGACTCTGCATTGAGTGGCTAATAAAGGCTGTAACGGTCTTCTATCCAACCCATGCTCCTCACACATGCACCTCAATTACCGTAGCTTGCTGAACAACCTGCCAGTTGCGCAACATCCTATCACCGCACTGCTTGACGCATTGACCTCTTAGACCCCGCAATAAACCAACCTTGCCCTCAAACCCACCCACGCAACCTCATGCCTCACGCGCCCTACACACCATCCTCTCTTACCCGCTCCCACCGCCGCCCCACAACCGACCCAATCCTCCCAACCCAAATCCGTTCCCCTTCAACACCCTCCGTGCCGCCTGCCCGCCAGCCGCCCACCACTTCCGCCACGGCGCGCCGCCGCGCCGCCGCCACTCGCTCCGCCTCCGCCGACACCAGCGCCGACACGAACACATACACCGCCGGGTTCAGCCACCCGAGCTGTCCTCGGCGGCCGTACCCGCCCCACTCAAAGTACCAGCCGCCCACGTCGTGTGTCGCCTCCCTGCGGAACAGCGCAAGGGGGGGAATATGCAGGATGCCCGGGTCGCATGGGTTGTCATGAGCCACAACGGGGGTGGTGATGCGGGAGCCGTCAACGCACTGGTGCAGGTTGCAGGATAGAGTTGTCCACTAACAGCCGGGTGCAACGGTTGTAGACGGCAGGGGGGATATGGTAATCGGTACGCGTATCATGCAGTATCGGGCATTCGGCAGGGGTGCGGGAAGACCTGTAAGTCAGGCCCCTTCACAGTGCAAGCTCTACCCGCATGCCTCCCAGCCTCACCTGGGCGGGAAGAGCCAAGCGGGGCTGGGCAGCAGCCGCGCCTTCACGCAGCGACACAGCAGCCGCAGCCGGCGGCTGGTGGCGTCGAAGAAGTGGATGGTGCGTACACCGGGGAAGCTGCCGCGCACGATGAGCGCCACACGGTTACCTGGGGAGTGGATACGTGGATGAGCGATGGAGGTTAGACACGGTGTTAAGGAGCTGGCGGTTGCGGCGGGTTACAGATGGACGGCAGGGAAGAGCGGCAAATCGTACGGCAGCAAAGCTTTGAATCCCTCCCCGTGCCGTTGCCTGGCCTACTACTAGCCCGCTCGCTACTTGACCGGTACCGGTATGTTTTGGCAGTGACAGCTGCTCCCATAGGCGGCCAGCGTACCACTCACCTTGGGCATCGAACACGTGGCGCCCCTCCACCCCCGCCTCCAACCGCCCATCCACATACACCTTGACGCGCCCCTCGATCACTGGACCGAACAACGGAACCATAGTACCCTCAAGCTCCTCGGGCTGCTGCGAGGAGGAGCCGGAGGAAGGGCCGGGCATAATGTCGGAGCGAGCTTGGGACGGTTTCGACGCCGCCGGTGACGAGGATGATAACGATGACATCAGGTCGCGGTGATGCTCGTGGTGCCCGTCGCCCCTGCCCTTGCGGCTGTCGCCAGCAGCGTCGTCGTCGGTGGCAGCGGAGGGTGTCGAAGATGTCCTCGGAGGCTGATGTACGGCAAGTGCTGCCAGGTCTTGGCCTAATCGCATCTCCAAGACCTTCAGGTTTCCAGCGCCGTACCAACAGCCGTCAGCGTAATCGCTGTCGGATACATCGAAGTCGGGTCCAAAGGCCCAAGAGTGAGGGTCATTGCGTGGCGGAGGCGGCGGTGGCGGGGCAGAGTTGCTGCCGCTACCGCCTTCTATTAACCTCGCCGCTGCCGCTGCTGCAGCCTCTGCCTCGACCCATTGCGATGCTTCTGCAAGACCCTAGGGGACACAAGGAACGGCACACGGAATGTACGGGAGGTTCAGAGGGACTACATAGTCAGTGGGACATCAAGAAGTCGACTCATTGCGCCCTTCAGTGCCCCAGCTGCGCTCCTAACCTACCCAACCAATGAACCAACAGCTATTCCAGTGGTCTCTCCTCCCCTCCCTGCCCTACTTACCTGCAACTGCGGCGGCGGCATTATTTCAGGAGGGATAACCGGCTGCGCCTCTACCTCCTCCGTCACCTTCCCTTCCTTCCGTACTTCCCTTCTCGTCGCCTCCGCCGCGCCCTCCGCCAGCGGTCCTGGCGCCGCCGCTGCCTCCCGCTGCCGCCAGCGACCCAGCAACCGTCGGCCGCCTAGCGCCGCCGCCGTCGCATCGCGCGCCTGGGCCGCCTCCGCCGCCGTCACAAGGGAGATCTGTGTACTGCGCCGCTGCAGCGCAGCCGGGTCCGGATAAAAGCCTTGCATCTCCAAGAGGCCCCGTAAGCGGCTGTACGCAGGGACCAAATGGTAGTAGCCGGCGGCGGCGACGTCAGCAACGGCGGCGGAGGCGGCCTCCTCGCGGACGGAGATGCTGGCGGCGGCGAGTTGTACGACGGCGGCGTCCGGCAGGGCGTTGATGGCGGCGGCGTCGAGCTTTGTTAGCGGACTCGAGGTGGGGGGTAACGGCGTGATGCCGTACTTCTGCGGTTCGGAGGCATATTCAGTTGTCCCTCTAACTTCCGGCTTCGCCTCCGACGACGCCGACACGGCTTCGCTGTCCACCTCCTGCGCCGCCGCCGCCCGCGGGCTGATGGGTGTCGACTGGGAGTCGGCGTCCAGAGACGGCCCCGGCCGCTGCCCTCCTTGCACCTGCGTGTCCATCTCCGTCTGCTGTGCTGCACGCAGCAGCTGCTGGTGGTGCAGGCGATGTGCCCGCTGCTGCAGGTGCTGCTCCTGCTGCTGCTGCTGCGGCTGCTGCTGATCATAGCGCTGCTGAGGACCCCCAGCCTGTGCCTCTGCGGATAGAGGTGTTTCATGCACAGGTGCTGCTCCGGGGGCAGCTGCCTGATCAGCTGCTGCTGCTGCTGGTCCCGGTGTTGCATCGGCGGCGCTGGCAATGGCCGCCGGCACCTCCGCAAATGCGCCCTCCCCGCCAGCCAAGCGCAACGCCTCCTGTGACATACCACAGAGGAACGGAGGGCACACAAGGGCGGTACAGCACAGCCCGGTTAGTACGGGACAATACTATGGAACGCCAACAGGTGGGACGCACGCACCGGCAGGGTCCTAGCCACCGCTCCCATTCTTACAGCAGTGAAGTATCCAGCCGTCCAACCAAGTGTGCACTCTACCCTCAATTTCGGTTTAACCGACCCGCACCCGCACCACCCCCAGCCCGCCACCCACCCGCACCCGCACCACCCCCAGCAGCGTGCGCCCCGACACCAGCTGCATCAGCTGCTCGCTGGCCGCCCCCGCGCGCCGCAACTCCCCCTCGAAGCAGCGGGGCAGCTCGCCGGGCTGCAGGTGCAGCCTGGGGGGAAGGCGGAGGCAGGGGGGTTCTAGGTAAGGAAGGTAAACACCTGAATTCCAGTGACCGTTAACCCATGACCGCTTGCAAACTGTATACGGTGCTTTAGTTGCTGGGAGGTATGTATAGGTTCGTTTCTTTTCTCTCCCCCCGCCGCCTCCCCCGCCCCCCCCCTCTCCCCACCTGGTCCAGCCTAATGCGGAATGTGTATCCCTACTAATCCCTCCCCACCTGGGCCCCAGGTATGCATGCACCAGTGCCGCATGCAGGCTGCTCTCGAACTCGTGCGCGTGCTTGCGCAGCAGGTACTCCAGCGCGGCGTGGCGACCTGGGCGGGGGTGGAGGGGTGGGGGAGGCGGGTGGGGGGTAAAAACGTTTCTTAAAACGAGCGAGTGGAAAGCATGGGATTGGAGGAAGGGAGGGAAGCGCAATGGACTGCAAACACGGCACCAACGAGGTTGCCAGAGATGTAGACCTGTGGGCGGGCGGGCCCGGAGGTCGGCGGGTCAGTCAGGATCCTCAGCTTTGCATTACTATCCTTACGAAACATACGAAGCTTTTAGTACACAAACACCCACCGCCAGTCACGGGCTCCCGTCGCGGTCGAGTCATCCACTGGCCCACGCCGTAACGCCAGGAGTGGAAGTCAATGTGACGAAGCGCGTCATCTCCACCACTTCCGTACCCAGCCTCCGCCGCCGCCTCTGTCTTACCAGCGGAGGCGGCGGCCGCGCCCGCCGGCCGCTGCTGCCGCCGGCTGTTCCGCGCCCGCACCGCCGCCAGCTGCATGTCGTACGACCGCCTGTTGTCGTTTTCGGAGGGGCTTGTCAATGTCATGTCCAACAGCCCACACAGTGCGGAAGGGAAGCACGACAGCAGTTGCCGTGCACAGACATGTAGGCAATCGGCACTGAGTCCCCTCATCTGCGCACAAGGTCCCCTCCCGAGCAAGCTGCTCACAACTGCTTGCTCTACCCATCCGCCGGAGTGCCCCTTCTCGACGAAATCCAACCAACCCGCCCTTGCCTGCCCACCGCCCTGTTCCCTCCTACCCCGCCGCAATGCCCCCTCCCACAGCCCTGTACTACCCCGCCACCATCTCCACCCCCATGCAACCCCACATCCGCGCTTCGGCGTGCAGTCGCCCACCTGCTGTTGGGGTTGCTCAGCACCTCGTACGCTGCCAGGATGCGCAGGAAGGCAGACGCAGTCGCCTCGTCGACCCCTGGGTCGCCGGACGCTGAGTGTTGAGGGTGCTGCACAGCCTGCTGCGGCCGTTGTGCAGGGTGCTGTTGCGGGTGCTGCTGCGAGGCATGCGGGTGCGGTTGCGGGTGTCGCTGCCGACCCATGGTTCGCGCGGCCAGCACATCCGGGTGCAGCTCTTTGGCTCGCTGCCGGAAGGCGGCCTTGATGGCGGCGAGGGGCGCGTCGGGGGGCACACCCAGGACCTGTGCGGGAGCGGAGGAGGGCAGGCGCAGCGGGGCGGAGCGGAGCGGGGGTACAGGATGTTGCATGGGAACACGAAGGGAGTGTTCGTGTCGCCCTGTCCTATGCCACCTATGTCCTCCTCTGGTGCAGCACATATGGACAACTTTCCGACTATGACACTTCAATCGGATTGTGCCCAAAGTGGTCTAAGTGATCCAGGAATACCGTACGGGTCAGCCGTCGCTTAGCAAGGACAGCAGCCTCCCTGCCCGCTCCGTCTAACCCCCGCATATCAGTGGCCGCTCTTCCGGAAATCTGGCAGGTACTTACCTCGTAATGGCCAGAGCCCTGAGGGCTGCCAGCAGGGAAACCGCCAGGGGCGCCTGACCCGTGGGTCGACTTGCTGCCACCATCGCTGTGACCGGCACCCCTGGATCCACCGCTATGGTGATTGCTACTCGCACCACTGCTGCTGCTGCTGCTGCCACTGGTTGGTGCAGTGGCTGGTGTAGAGGAATGGAAGGTCCTGACCGCCCCGGGGTTCTTAGCATGCAGGGTGCTGCTCCAGGAGTTGACAACGTTGCCGCTGCCGCCGGCGCCGCCAGCGTAACCTTGGGGCCGTAAGGATGAGGGGATGACACAGCTTTGGCCAACACAGCCGCAGCGGCTACTCCGGCTGTGACGCAGCGTCGTTAAGGGGGATGATGTCGTGCAGGAGGAGGAGGAGAGGGCGCGCCCGGACATGGCTGCCACCGCTGCTGCTGCCGCGGCTGACGTTGACATGTGGGGAACTGATAAGACCGCAGCCTCGGAACGTGAAGTCGTCATCAGGCCGCATCTGTGCGCGCTCCAGCCTGAAGCTGCGCTGGCAGCAGCACCTGGTGGCTGGCAGGGCCCGGCAGGCGCCGAAACCATTAGGCGCCCAAGGGCCCAGCGCGACATGGAGCACTTTGTTGGGCTGCTGTTGTCGGAGCTGCTTGGCAACACGTGAGAGATCTGGGAGATACCGCCGTCGTAAGGTGGCTAGGAAGTGATTTACTGCGCGTGTGACCCTGGGGCCCTGGAAAAAAACGCATAGCGCGTCTGCACGCGTATTGCAGTCACTTCATTACGTTTGTATTCCTATGTTCCTATGCAGAGAGGTGATGATGTGTATCGCGAGGGTCCAGCGCCTTACACAACTGCCGCACCGTGTCAACAAGATGCGACAATTTGCAACGTTATGCAAAAGCAAGTATTCATGTAAATCAGAAAAGCTAATTGGCAACGTAAGTAGTATAACGTTTGGCAAAAGGTGTTGGGGCTTCCCTTGATCCCTACAGATATGGGAAGCGGCGTGCGCGATGACGATAAATTAATTATTGAGAGCGTGTGACCTAAGGAGAGGGTTAACGAAGCAACATGTGGTTGAATTAGGCCGAGATATGGACTTCGATGGCACCAACCGACCAAAGAAAGTTCCCGTTAGGGAAAGCGCCGGGAGCAGATCGGCGTGGGCTCTTTCATTTGCATGTGCAAGAGAGTCGTTTGGGAGGTAAGAGTCACGAAAGTAAGGGCCGTAGCTCAGATGTGCTGCCGCATCCGTGATGCTGCTGCGCTGGCTGCTTAGGATTATGGGACCAACAACCGACCATCGCTGTTGCTTGGGCCAGGATGGAACGCGTGGTGGCGGGTCGGTGGGTATGGAAGTAGACAATGAAACGTGGCCCACATTGAGGTGTGGGTCGTGTTCCTAGCGTCGAGGAGGGTTGTTGAGGGGAGATTCCCCTAATTTGATGCCTGCCGTAGTGACTCGTGACATAGCCACCCTAGACCATTACACGGTAACACCTAAACTCTCTCTCGAACCAAATAACAAGTCAGATAACAAGAAGTGGGAGTAAAACACCTGGGCCCCTGACGCGCTCACCGTGCCCTCTTACGTACTCAGCTAAGCTGCTAACACGCGTTACTGCTGGCACGGCAGCGGACCCAATCTGCGTGGCCAGCTCCTACCCAAGGCCCACGCAGAGACAACCCCCGGTCACTAGACCAAACACGGAAAACAATGCAAAGGGAGGGTGGGTGGGAAAAGAAACTAGACCGCGGTAAGGCAGCAAGCCCAAGCTCTAGACGGCAAGGGCTATCCCCAATTGACTAGCGTTGACTACAAAAAGGCTGGCAGCAACTGGACACAAAACAACGAAGTTCCCCGGGAGAAAGCCACGTAACGAAAAACAAGGAAGGCAACACTCTGAGCGCCAGCTGCCCACCCAAGCCCAATGTACGACAACTAATGCACTCGCCCCTACGGGTCCTCAAACTAGATTTTTAGCTATGCCAAAAATACGTTTTTTGAATCAATCAATGCGAAACGATGTACGTGCCGGTCGCGGATTAAGCTGCCATTCAATGGACGGTGTGTGCATGGCTTGCACTAACCGCACGTTTTGTGGGTGGGGAGGAGTTGCCTTACCCCACCTGGCCCCCGTCACGAATCACTGCTGCTGAAAATAAAACTGATAGTGCTATCTGGCACAACCCTCTTGCCGAAGTTGAGGGCGTCCACGCAAGCCTTAGCTTTACCCCTACACGGACCCATGGTTCAGCCGCGACAATCTCAAGTATGAGCGCCTTCCCCTCACATAGCCAAGTACAGTAGTCTACGGCGAGACCAGAAGAGAAAAGAAACTGCATCCCGCCTATACTTTCGTCCATCCATGGAAAGAGCGCTTCAACTCTGAACACACAAAGAGGCCGTTATACTCCGCCCTACATGCAGAGCGGATGCACGGCCACACGCACCCAACCCCGCTAAGCTGTCGCGCCTCAACTTTGCACGTTCCGACATTCCATATTACCATCGACATACTGCGTATCGCTGGTTGCAGCTTGCTTGCAGCCAGCAAGCTGGCCCCCACGACAAGCCGGTCGCAATGCCTCCCTGGCTACAGCAGCTTAGGGTTGCTAGACAGAAGCTGCAGTCTACGGGGCTGTTGTGTGGCTTCAAGGTAACAATCGGTACATCCACGCGGCTGTCCCTGTTAGTAAGCCCTACGCAGGGCACGCATGCATGTCCAACATGTTGGCGCACCTCATTTGGCCGCTAGCCATGACTCTGTAAAACAATGCTCCTTCTGTTTGAGGAGAGCAGTGATGACAATGGCTGTTACTGGTGTGCAAAGAGGATAGGCAAAAGTGCATGCAGTAGCCAAATGCCATATATGTTTAAGGTAATCGGCACCAACAATGCACCAAGCGGGATGCAATCTCGCAAACATTTGGTATACATATAAAGACGTTCATGCGCAACCCGAGTCTTTCTCGGTGCGATACGGCAAGTAAGATGGGCATACGGCTACGGGCCTACGGCTTTTGTTTTGCCATCGCCGCAAGAACAAGCAAACGTTGTATAGCAGGATCATGCTGTTGTTCTGACCGAAGATGTTGTAGGTCAATAGTCGCTTAGACCGCAGAACAGTGTAAAGACGAAACGTACAGGGTCTCGTTTGCAGAAATTGTACCGATCTGGAGCCGCTCAGCTTTCCATATCTGTGCTTCCAAAAACCGCTTTACCTAATTGATGGAGCGTAACTACGTGGTGGGGTACACTTTCACAATGCTTCCCAATGCAACAGTTTTTAGGCTGCGTGCCGGGGGATGACCGCACCATCCTTATACGTTATAGGGACAAGGACAGTATTCGAGTAACGGAGTTGCAACCGGAGGTCAAATGATTTCTTCGGGTAAGAGGCCGCGGGCAATTGCAAATTGTCAAGAGCACGCTCTGACCAAGCCCCTGCGTGACAGATCGCATCAATTACATATGGCATCCTGTGCAAACCTTAGATCTGGCCCAAGGGACCTGCGATAGAGAATTGCCGTTGCCACTGTATCCGCTTGACTATGCCGCAAGGCCCGCTGCAGCCTCGCTGTACCTCTCACGCGGCAGTTACCCACCCTCACAACCCAGGTCGGCGGGCGGGTATGGTTCGGAGCAACACCGGCGAGGAACCACCCATGGGCTATCCAACCTCCTCTTACGGAGCAGAACAGGAGCAGCACGGGTCGCACGCCCCGAGGTTCGGCCGAAGAGCCTCCCCCGGAGCCACACCAACAGGTATGGTTCTCAAGGCTAGCTCCAGCCAACCCGGTGGTGCTTCAACTGAGCGCTCTTGTCATGCATGGTTGCCGCCTGTCGTTGCTGGTGCTGCTGCCGACCCAAATCACGCATGCCAACCCCCACATCAGCAAAGCTCCCCTTTGCTCTTCCCTTCGCTGTCCACACCCACCTTCAGAGGTGGTGGCATGGACATAAGACTCTGGCCTCCCTCTCTCTTCCCTCGCCCCATTGCACTCACTCGTTTTCTCCCTCCTTCCCTTCCCCTTCCTCTCCCAACCCATGCACCAGGCGATGGCATGGACATGGATCCACCTCGCTACAATTCCGCCTCATCCGCATCCGGAGCGGCCCCAGCAGCGCCGCCGCAGCAGGCGCCCAGCCGGGTCCCCATTGGTGGAGGGGCCGGAGGCAGCGCTAGCGGCGGCAGTAGCAAGCTGGCAAGTCTGCAGAGGCTGAAGGAGGCGTCCACGGCGCGACTCGTGAGCCGCATTCCCTCGGGCAGCGCTGCCACTCGTGCCGCTGGTGAGTTTGGTGGAGGGCGGGGTGTAGGATGTGTAGCGAAGCGGGAGAAGGTTTGGGGGTCGCTGAAGATGTCAAGCCCTAGGGGAGTGCTGTCAATAGCGCGATAGCTGCATGTAGTACAGGCATGCGGAACGATGACGTGGGTTGAACTACCAGTAGCTGGTGGCCTAGGGGAGAGCACTCCAATGTGCTTACATTTGCATTCGGCGCGGGGCTCAGGGAAGATACTGCAGGAAGGGTGACGATGAATTCTCCTGCCGGGTATGGACCATCTGCTTGCAATGCCTCTCCTGCACGTGCGTTAGGCAGGATCCGGACAGGCAACCCTCGCTTTGTATTATGGCCCGCTTACTTACGAACCCTGTCCCCGGCTTCGATACTTCCTAGACTTCTTTTATACCCTCCACGTCGTGTGTCCGCAGTTGGAAGCGCTGGCAGTAGCAGCAGCAACCCACCTCGCGAGCAGCCTTCCTCTTCGGGTTACGTCCCTTCCGCCATGACCCACCAGCCCCCAGCCCGGTCAATACCCGCACGTTCCAACTCCGGAAATGGCAGCACTGGATTTGGCGGCGGCGCCGCAGGCGGCGGATCAGGCATGTACGGCAGTGGCGCCACCGCTGCTGGCACGGGCAGCAAAGCCATGTCAGCTCGGTCTGCCTCCACAGGGGCGGCGGCTACGGCAGCTGGCAGACCCCCCTCTGGGCGCGCTATGGGCGCCGTTCCAAGTACGACAGGTGCTACTGCCACTGCTAGCAGAACCGCCGGGATAGGCAGTAGCACTCGACAGCCGCCGCAAGCGCCGCCGGTAGCAAGGCGTGGTTCGAGCGGGGGTGGAGCCGCTACAGACAGCGGAGGGTACGGTCGTGCCCCTGTCCCTGCAGCTGGCAGCGGCGCCTACGGTCGTAGCGGTGGCAGCAGCAGCGCTGCGGATGACGGCTACGGGTACGGCGGCAGCGGCGCCGCAGGGTTTTCCGGCCGTCCGCCGTCAGGCAGCAGCAGGGCGGCACCTCCTGCCTCAAGCGCCGCAGCAGCCCGCCGTCAACCGCCGCCGCCGGCTGCTACTGCTCCTCCTCCTGCTCCTAAGCCTCAGCCCCAACCCAGCAGAGCACGAGCCGCTCCTCCTCCGCCCCAGCCGCAGCCACCGCCTCAACCGCCATCACCTGGCTTTAGTGGCGGTGGGGGCGGTTTCGGAGGCGGATTTGGAGGTGGAGGGGGCTTTGGAGGCGGTGGCGGGTTCGGCGGGGGTGCGTTTGGGGGCTTCGGCGCTGATGACGACGGCGGGGTTCCCCCGGAGGCGGCAGTCCCGAGTGGCCCGCTTGTGGAGTGCCCCACGTGCGGTCGCAGCTTCAACGAGCAGGCGTACTCCAAGCACGCCAAGGTGGGGCGGGCTGGGCCAGCATACAAGGGAAAAGCAAAGGCACTCGGGTTGGTGTCGGGGCGTGAGGGATACGCACAGGTTGTGTGGCAGGCTGAATATGGCTAGAATGCACCCCAAGCTTAGTGACTGGCTGAGCTGGGGAGAAGCGATGGCGAGGCGGGCCAGCTGGGTTTAGGTGGGCTTGGAGAAGGACACGTGTAAGGTGTTGAGGTAGGTTCAATGGATGCGACTGTTTGTTACGTCACAAGCGTCCTTAAGCGTAAGCGATGACAGAGGGGAGAGGAGATTCCAACCCTCTTTCTGCCGCGTGTTTGTACCATTCCCCAGCCCGTCCCAGCCTGACCCGCCTTACTTCATCTAATTCCATCCTTCCTACCTACCACAGATTTGCGAAAAGGTGTTCGCCACTAAACGAAAACCTGTCAACATGGCCGCAAAACGCTTGGAAGGTGGGCAGGGTGGGGTTAGTACGTTAGTTCACACTTCACGCACGTCCTTGCAGCACGGAATGTCCGAAGCTTGCACCAACACACGTCATGTCATTGCGTAAGGACGCGCCTTATGACGCTAACTACCAACGGCTTTCCTACCAGTTCGCTTTTGCCGCTCCAATGCCATCTAATCAATGCACCTTTATCCTGTGTAGCAATGTGTCTTGAGCCGTCCGGACTTTATGACCATGCACTGGGTCCGGCTTCTTCGTCTGCTCGCCGTTAACACGCCCCCATGGACTGTCCCACATAAGTTGTCTGGATCCGGTTTTGCCCTGCCGCGTCGAAGCTGGCAACGTTGATGCTTTTCCCTTTTCGAGGCACTCCCCACTTTCAAACTGACCAACCGGTTGTTGAGAGGCCGTTTCATTATCCCACCGCGGCTGCCTCCGCTTTGCCCTTTTCTCAGGTACGGAAGCCATTAAATTCTTCGACACGCGCAAGGGAGTGCCCAAATCAGAAGCCAAGGCGGCGGCGCCGGGAGCAGGAGGAGCAGGAGGGCGAGCTGGTGGCGTGGTGCGGGGAGGGGCTGCAGCGGCTCAGCTGCAGCGGTTGGACGAGCGCCCCCTGCCCGGATCCAAGGTGCCGCATTAGCAGGATGCTCACACTGCCCTTTTCTCCAATTCGCTGGCCTCTAAATCCCCAGGAGTGAACTTTGAGACGTCGAGGGCCTTGAAAGCAGGCATGGCCGCCATGCACGAAACACACACGTTCCATGCGACCATGGCTCCTCCCTTCCACCTCGCTCTCCCTTCAGGTCCCCAAGTGGAAGGCCCAGTCGGAGCAGCTGAGGGCAGCCATGTCAGCAAACCGGCAAATAGCGGACGCAAAAGCCAAGGGAATGGACATCAAGGTGCGGGGGCACGTGAACGTCATGGAGGGCTGACGTGTCTAGGGAAATTTCGGGTTTCCTGGGCACAAGGCGCATTAGGAAGCCAGAAAGGCCTTTATACGTGGCTGCTGCTGTGCTTCATATTAGGATGCGGGTCTGGGCTGCCAATGGCTGCAGAGCTTGATAGTGGGAATTGGCGGAGAGGCGATAGGAGAGTTATATGGTAATGTTTTCCGCAATTCGTTTAGTGTTCTGGTGCCCTACGCGCCCTTACCCCTGCACGCTGGTCTTGTTGCCCACCTCACAGGACATCAAGTTCAATGCCGGCCCAGCTGCACCCGATGACAGGTACGCGTACGGCCTTGTCGGGAACAGCGTGTGCTCGTCCTTGTGTCGTGTACCGGCATTACAGCTTTTACCGCCCTCTCTAAACCGCACATGCGCACCAGCTTGCTCTTGCCTCCCTCACCCTTCTGGCGTATCCCTCCACCCCCGGCCTCCCCTCTCCTCCCGTCTTCCCCCCCCAGGATCCAGTGCCCGCACTGCGGTCGCAAGTTCGCTGAGCTCACTGCGGAGCGCCACATCCCCAAGTGCAAGGACATCATGGCAAAACCCGGCAGGCTGGCGGCGGGGGGCGGCAGGGGCGCGCACATGCGCCGCTAGTTCAGCGAAAGCCAAGGAAATAACTATGTGTGTGCACAAATGCTCGCAATCCTGACAAGAGTGGGCAAGGGTTTGCAGAGATGCGCGCCGCTAGAAGCAGCCATATGCGCCTAACGCTCACGTCTCGGAAACAGCGAGGAAAGCAGCAGCAGCAGGAATACCGCAGCAGTAGCAGCAGTCGCATGCATGGCAGTACCATACGTTGGCAGTCATACACTGTCGTCCACGACATGATTCTAGCCGTTTGGGGGGGGATAAATGATATGTGTGGGGTGGGGGTTAAAAAGAGGTAACTAATGAGCTGTACGACGAGGCTTCACCATGGGGTGTGGGTGGGGGGCAACGACTGAAAAGGGTGAGAGAGCTTGCTGCCTACCTTGCTGCCGGGGGTGGCTCGCGTGGTAGGTGGCGCAACTTGAGGGGATGTTGCATTGGCTGCGTTAGCGGGTGTGACCGGACCCAGGGTAGGTAAAAACCTTCCGAGAAACGCGGACGTGGGGGTTTCGGGGGCAAGGTTCTGAGGCCCTGTGACAGTAGCGCTACCGTTAGCGTTAGGGTTGCCCTTCTTAGCTGTGTGATGGTGCCTCGGCGGCGTAGCTGGTTGACTGGGGCTCGCAACACGGCTTGCGGGTTGGGGCACCCATGCTTAAGGAGGAAGTACGAGCAGATGTTTACTGGCGTAGGGTTGTGACAGAAAGCAGTCCAAGAGCTACCTGTAGGGTCTATGGCTTTACTGACTAGGAATGGAAGGAACGGACGGGAATGGGAACAGGACGGGTGGCAGGTGAGGTTGGGTAGTTCTAAACTGGTGGTTACTGGACTAGTAAGCACAAGACCGAGATGACAACATGGAGCATGCGGGCTGGCTGACGGACCCATGGGTCACATAGCGTGCCAGTTACATAGTGTGCACCAGTACGAACAGGGTCCTACAGCAGACAATATGATCGCAAATCGATGCCAAACTTTGATGTCTATTCAGACACGAATAACTGTACGACGTCAGAGGTTTATGAACAAATGATTAACCGTACTGCCTACGCGGGTACACACGAAACACACATTATTGTACATACATGGCTATCGGACGGGTCTACCTGCCCTGTATTGCGGTAGTCGTAAAGACCTAACATTTGCTGCTTGTTCAATCCTAATTAACACGCAAGCACGCGCATCATTCTGAACAGCATCCTGCCTACAACTTCAATGTTGGGATCGCTCAGGTCCACTCCTCCTGCTCCTACCTACCATCCATCTCATCCCATCCTGCATCGCCCCGCACATCCTGCGCATTCCTTCACGGATAAAGCTCCCTGTAATGCAATATCATTCTCCGCCTTCACTAAGTTAGAGCCTTCTTCGCCCCGCCCGTTGCAGTAATTTCGCACTTCCCATTGCCAACACACCACCGCTTCTCCCCACTCCTACCGGATAATATCCTCCCAGCTGCTTCCTACCTTCCAGGTTTTCTATAACTCTTCCCTCGGCCCCTTTAAACTCTACCTTCCTGCTTCACTTCTTCATCTCTAACCCTCGTCCTGAACCCGCACCCCACCATCCACCATTCCTGCATCACCGTTCTTGGCCCCCATTCCACGGTCTTCCTCCCGCTCCCCTCACCCCCGGGCTCGTCACCTGCACGTCCACCCGGACCGCCCGACCCAGCACCCAGCTGCCGTCCAGAGCCGCAGCGCGGGCCTGGGGAGAAGGCGGGAGGAAAGGAGAAGGATGTGCCGGGGAGGCAAAAAGGAGGAAACTTACGAGAAGTACGTCGTGGCCTGGAAGGTGGGAGGTGGGAAAAATCTTATAATACGTGCAAACAACGGGGGATTGGGTACGGCGGGCTGTGAGGGAAGTGTACGGGTAGTCGCCAGCACGTGCTGAAACACGCACGATATGTCACGTTTGCGCACCTTTTCCTCCGGCGTCTCAAAGACCACATAGGCTATCCCCTTGGGGCGGCCATCGCCGCCCGAGGGCAGGCGGACCTGTAGAGAATTGGAGGAAGGCAGGGATTGGGTGCGTGAGTGGAGGCCCAATCTTCCCTACCGGCCTTTAGGGCCGCACGCTCCCGCCCAGTTACCGCTGTAACCAGTGCAAAGTATGAGCAGAAACACTATCATGACAAACTGGTATTGAAAATATGGCATATATTCCGTCCGTACGCGTAATGAAATACCCATCCCCTTATGCGATACCGGTGTGCACGCTTGCTTGCTTGTCATACCGGCACGTCAATTCTCCTTGCCATAACTAACCTGTACGATACGTCCCGCGGAGGAAAACACCTGCAGCATGACGATACGAGGGTGTCTGATTTGCTAAATGGCATGCTGCATAGGGAGCTTAGGGAGCATGAGCTCAACGGGGTACTAATTGGAATGGCCGTGTATGACTCATGTTGTACACAAGGCCCGCTTATGTACTGCATATGGTACGGCACCTCTGACCGCACACTTCTCTCAACCCACCGCCCAACTTACCACCTCCCAACAGCTCTTTCCCCTCCGCTCGAAACAAAACCCCTTCCCACTACTGCCCTTCCAACCACACCTCCTTACCCATGCGGGTTCGCCAAGGGGAACGGAAAACGCACGCAGCCCGCCCACCCACCTGCCCCAGTGCCTCCCTCAATCGCTCCTCTCCGGCAGCGGGATCAAGACCCTTCACGAAGAGAGTGGTAGCAGGGGTACCCTTGGGCTTCCAACCACCTGTACAATTGTACGGCAACAAACGATGCGTCATGCGGAATACATGCACAACTGACTAGGTGTCATGCTCGGGTCTGAGCCCCGGCATACCAATGTTGGTTTGGCCCGATCGCGCTCGGCACCTCAGCCATGCTGGCTCCGGGTATGAGCTGCTGGCCGTCGACATCCCACGTCACGCTACCTCTCTCGCGATCATGCTACCGGGAGTTTTAACCCAGCCGTCACTAGACCGCACACCCACAATTGCAGGTATCTGGCAGCTCAAATGCCTCGACACGGTATCAACGTTAAGTGAGAGGGTTTAGGTCTTACACGCACTCATTCTCCTAGTTACCCGTCCCCGTTATCTCCTAGTTACCCGTCCCCGTTAAACCTCCTCTGTATATACGGCCCTTCCCGAGCGCACCAGGGGGTGTTTGTAGCTTTTCTCTAGGCCTGCTCGCGGCATCCCCTTCCGCTGTCGTGTCGTACAACGCCGACACTGGCATTGTACGATACTTTCCCGGCCGTTCACCTCCGCTGACGTCACCATTATGTACTACGGTACCGCCGTCTCCGCAAACGTCGCTTCCGCGCTCTTCCTCCCCTCCGTTGGCTCTCGCCCAACCCCGCCGCGGCGGGCCCCCCGACGCCGAAGCCTTCGGCCTGCTCTCGACCTCGGCACCGCTGTCAGCCGCGGAGGTTGCCGTACGTGAGTCGCTTCCGCCGCCGCCGCGACCACTACGTGCCGCCGGCGTCAGAGGTCCTAGAAGCTCTTCGAGAGCCCTGACGCCGGCAGCATCGCTGCCAATATCGTTTCCTGATGCGCTGCTGCTGCCACCACTAGCAGTGGAGGCTGGATCTGTCGTACTGGGGATACCGCGGCGACGACGGAATGCGACCGGCGCAGTAACGGCGGCCGTACTGGTAGGAGTTGAAGAAGCGGGGGAATCATAGGTAATGTCAGCAATGCCAGCGCTGCTGCTGCTGCTGTTTGCATGATCGACGCCTGCTTTGGAGCCGCGGCTGCGGTCATTAGGGATGCCTCCCATTTCACCGCCGATGCTGCTGTCGACGCCACCTGCAATGGCTGCAGCACCAATTGGACTGCGGCGTCGGAACGGGACTGGTGCCGGGCCAGCAGGAGGAGAGAAAGCAGGCCCAGCTGTTCCTCCATTGCTTTCCCTGCTTTTGTCAGTGTTCCTGCGGCCGCCACTGCTGGTTACAGAAGCAACGGAGGCAGCAACAGTAGAGTTAGCAAAGCGGGCAGCACTCGCGATTGCGGCCGTGGGAATCGGTCGGTCGTGGCGCCTCCGGAATGAGTCCTGTCGTACGGCACCTGACGTCGGCGGTAGTGCCATTGCATGGGAGGCTAAACGGCCGGCTGTAGCAGCAGCACCAGCCGACGCAGCTGTAGCAGCAGCAACCGCCTTTAACAGCTGCGGCGGGGCTGGTGCAGCAATGTGTGCAACATAACTGAAATCGAAGCCAAACAAGTCGTCTTCATCTCGAAAGGATGCGATTCCGGCGCCCGTTAGGGTACCGGATGAACCAATCACCTGCGTTCCAACCAGCGGTGATGCCAGTTCCTCTGTTGCAACCACAGCCGTTGACGAAAACGGCGCCGCTGCTGCTGCCGCCGGTGCTGCCGGCGGCAGCTGCGGAGCCAGTTGCGGCGATACATAGGATGGACGCTCGGATGCCCTCGGTACCGAAGCCGATGCCGACAGCGGCGCTGGCTGCAATACTGGTGCTGACCCTGACGATGGTGGTGGTGAGGGCGGCAGCGACCAAGCAGGCGGCTCGGAGACTGCCGGTGATGGCGCTGTTGGCGGGGGAGGAGGAGGAAACGCTGCTGCTGCTGCTGCTTGAGGTAGTGGCGGGAGGGCCGCAGCAGCGTCGCTAGCAGTCGCGGAGACAGTGGAGGTGTGGAGCGCTGGAAGCAGGGCGGCATGTGAGGTGGGGTCGGTGGTCAGCGGCTAAATGAGGTTCTAATTGTTGCGATTGGGCTAATTGGGTGTTTAATTGTTGTTGATGGCAACGGTCATTGTTGGTGGATACAGTGAAGTAGCGGGCAGTAACAGCCGACTCCTCAACTCGCATACATGTGCTTGCATGCACCTTCAACCTAGGCCGCCGTTAAACGCCACCCCTCTTCGGTCAATCAATCCCTCCACTCTTATAACTTCATGATCTTCCGCCCCTTCTCCTTCTCCCCAGCATTCCCCCCGCCAATCCTGCCTTGCAGCATGCAAACATGCAGCCAGCATGTGGCCCCACTCTCCCCTTAATGCCCAGAAACCTGAACCACACCTTCGCCACCTCCGCTATGGAAGCCGCCGCTGCCACCTTCACCTCCGTCTCCGCCGCTGTTGCTGCCACCGCCGCCGCCGCCTCTTTTCCGCCAGCCCCCCTGCCCCCATCTCTCGCCGCCCTCGCTATCGCTGCCGCTGTCGATATCACTGGCCGCTTCATCCAGCCACACTGACCCCAGCGCTAGGTCATGGAAGTGCTGCTGGTGGTGGTGGGTATCGTTCTGCTGGCTTCGCGGGTGGTGTTGACCGTGACGCGAGATGTTGCTACCGCTACCGTTGCGAGCATCGGTGATGATGGAGGAAGAGGACACAAACACCTCAGTCGCGGTCACTGCTGATGCTGTTGGCGCGGATGCCGTATCCTGGTGCCTCGTCGTCGTTGACGTCACCGCCGCCGCCGCTGCCGTCACTGACGCCGCCGCTGTCCCCGTGTCATAGTCATCGCCAAAGTCAAACAGCTCAGCCATTCCCGCGAACACATCGTCCTCCTCCCGCTCCTTTTCCTCTGCCAAAGGTTCCGGCTTTGGATGCCGCGGAGACGGGGGTGGGGATGGAGGCCGTGGCGGCGCTCCCAAGTTTGAAAAGGGCGTGACCTCGTCCGACGTAAGGCCTAACATGCCCTCCAGCTCCTCGGTCGATATGCGGTGGCGGTGGCGGCCGCGACGGCTGTCGCTTCCGGCGCCGCCGGCACCGCCCCTACCAGTGCTGGTGCTCTCAGTGACGCTCGGGGCAGGACTGCCACAGGACACATCCTCGATAGGTGCGTCAACCCCTGATGCTGCTGCTGCTACAGAGAGGCTGCTGCCCCCATTGTCGGTGCCGGCCGTAGCAACTGAGGCTGTCGGGAGGGCGGCAGAGGGTGCGGCCGCAGGAAGCGCGGCAGGGGAGTCGGTGGCAGTGCCCACGGGGGAGGCAGCAGCAGCAGCGGCAGGGAACATGGAGACGCTTGCATGGACGGCTGCTTCGGGGGTTGGCGGCGGTTGGGTCCGGCGTCGACCGATAACAGTCCTGAGTCCTGTCGTGAGGACGTATGGGAGGGACCAAGGAGGATGTTCACCGGGGTGGGGTTACTGAGAAATGGGTTTAAGGACGGTTCGTGGAAGGAAGAAGGAAAGGAAAACTGAGTCGGTAGTGGTGGACGGGTGGGCTGAGGAAATACGTGGTTCAACGAAAACATAGCAAGCGGAACACCGTACCGTTGGCCAGAGGTAAATGTCGTTTCCCAGCTAAGGGTCTCCCAAGGGCAAGCTTCCTTTGCTAACGCCCCGCCGTTGTGAAACGCCCGCCCCTACCCGCCCCGCTCTGCCCTCGCCACCCTACCCGACCCCGCCCCACCCGTCAGCGCACGTCCACGACCAGCCGAAACGCTCGAGGACGGAGGAGCGGAAGCAAAGGAGGACGGGGAAGAGGAGGGGGAAGTGGAGGAGACGGCAGTAGGAGATGAGGAAGAGGTCGTAAAGGGTGTGCCATCAGTGCTGCTGCTGGCGCTGCTGCTGCTGGCGCTGCTGCTGCTGGCGTCGTCGTTGCCTCCACTGCCACTCGCATTCCTCTCCCTGAGGGAACTCCTCTTGCCGCCTCGGCTGCCACCACTGCTACCCTTACTACCTCCACTTGCCCCACTGCTGCGTCCTCCTCCGCCGTAGTCACCGTGCCTGCCGTCCTCAGAGCCACTGACAGCGATACTGCCGCCGCTGTCTTTAGCGCTGTCACCGTGACGGCCCCTCGATGCCCCAGCTTCTTTCAATTTCGCCCCCCTGCTCCTCCCCTTCCTGGCGCCATTAGCGCCACCACCGGAGCCGCCTGTTGCTGACGCAGCTGCTGACGCCTGAACCCATCGAGCTAGCCGACACCCTGCTCGGCAGGGCCCCCGCTGTCGTACTTTAGCGCTACAGCCGCTCTGTACCACTAGGCCGCTGCGGCGGGAGCTGAAAAGGGCGCCTGGGGACACGTCACCTTCCGTGGGTGATATGGACGCCGGAGAAGCGGAAAGTGGTGGGCACAGCTGTTGGTTACGATGGTGCTTGAGTCGGCAGTGGCATCCACGCGGCCACCCCGGATGTCGTACATATTCGTTATGGATACCGGTAGCTACTGGTCCAGCCGAACGGTTACTGCAATAAACAACAGGCGGAGGACGCGGCAGCACCAGCAGCCGTGATTGCAATGGTGATGGAGGCGGCGGCGGCAGTAAGAACGGTGGTGGCGCCCCCGGAAACGACATTCTCCTGGCGTGGCTCCTGGCGTTTCGCCTGACGTCGCTCCAACTTGTTAACTTGGAGTGTGGTTGGTGCTAATAGTTGGCTGTACTGCTGCTGCCCGTTACAGCATTCCTGCTGCTGCAATCACTTGGAGTAAAGGTTTTAAGGGCGAGCTTGCGTGAAGATCGAGTATTCCATGAGGGTTCCTGATTACGTGGGCGGGGAAGGATGAAAGAGGGTAGATCGGCGCAGAGGAGCTTTGACGTTAGAAATGGGGATGGGGGAAAGGACTTCGCTGGTGAAGTACATAGACAGTGAAGGCAGTGTCATAGTATATTTTGATTGCAATGTCACTCTAACGGGTTTGGGAATTCCTAAACAGTAAGGCGCGGCAACCACTCGGAGGCAAGGATGTGGACATGAGGCAAGGAGGACGGGGTCGCAGGGGATGAGAGGGATCATCGCATGTGCCTTTGCTTTACAAACAATACCAAATAACTACGGATTCGCCGTATGAGCGCTAGCGGGCGAGGAAAGCGTCCAGATTGGTGGCCGACGACCATTGCGCCCGGCGTACCGAACCATGACGACCGGGCATTGACGGATTAACATACTACTTACAAATGAATTGGAGTAGCGAAGCCGTCAACCGATGCAGTGGTAACTGTACTTGGACCGTCGCTAAGCGGCAGAATTATGTAGCTTCTAAGGAGTGCTAGAAGAGGGCGGCGGCATACGTAACGTGGCTTGCCCCACTGCACAAACTGTATGCGTTAACAGGTGGATTGTGTAGTCAATAAGGTATGACTGAACATGATGGAGGTCTGAGCCGTCATTTATGTCCACGAAGTAGAAGCAAGCCAGGACAACTCAACCGTGACAGGTAATGCAAGGTTTCAAGCCATTGGCTGAATCGAATTGGTTCTGAAGCAAAGTACAACTTCGAAACCGGTTCTGGAGCGTTACAACCTTGAAGTATTAACCACCCCAGGCCCAGCTCCCCATGCCCCCACGTCCCCAGGACTCAAACTCTCAGGCAGAAACACCCAGGTCCGGCGATACAATTGTCAGACGTATCAATCGGCGACTCAAATATCTAATCTTGCGTATCTAAACTATCCTTGGTCCATGCGTTAACCCACAATTTACCAAATCCCAACTTTCTGGACAACGCTATTCGTCATTTAACCAAGCTGTTGTTAAAACAGCAATAAATACCACGTTTGGGTCGCTTCAACTTCCCACGGGACGCCTCGGCAACGAGGTGTCCTCAGCAAGCAAAGCTCTCATGCGCAAAACCCTGCCACTGACAACGCATGAGCCAAAAAGCCGTTTACTTTATAAACTCAGGGTTCTCCGGGCCGACAAGTCGATCGAGCATGGCAACGCGAGACTACATGCCTGCTGCAAGGAAGTCTCCTGCAGATCTCCACCCGCTGGCGTCGCATCATTCACGGTTTGTCTCCAGAAGCCTACACTGTTGGCGTGTACGGCGCTGCGATAAACAGCTGTCGTCGTTTCTTCTTGGCTCCGTAGCGTCTTCGACACCATGGCCGACGCCTAGCCCGCCTTCCGCACATTTGACCTGCAGCCTTCATAATACCAGATGCAACGAGTTCCCAACAAACTCTGCTTTGGGACCTTCGGGTCTGGTCAGTCGCGGACACTTTTCGGCTACATCCGCTCACAATGAACAGGACCTACAACGGAAGCGGTACCACTTCCCCTTTACGACTAATGCACAATCGTCCGTAGCTTCTTTCTCTGTCACGGCGTTTTCCCCCACGTCAACTTCTTTCGCTACTTGTCTAGCCTCCAGAACATCCACGAGAGCAGCATCGGCAACTGACATCACAGCGACAGCTCCGTCTCCCATTCAACCTCCGCCTCAACCACCGCCCCAAGGACAACTCCCCGGCCACAGTTTCACTCTAACTGCCGCCGACCTTGCAGCCATTGTGTCGTACGCGTTTGACCACGACGGTGCAATGCCTGCTGACGTCAGCACCTCTGGTCTGCTAAATGCCGTACGAACATCCTCCACCCAGGGGTTGAGAGTGGTGACAGCCGCAGAAGCGAAAACGGCGACGGCGACAGCTGCCTCAGCAACGGAAGGCGTTGGGAGCCGCAGCGACTTTAGCAGCAGTAGCACCGACAGCATTAGCAGCCTGGTAGTGGAAGACGAAGCGGTACGCCGTACAGTGTACGGAGGTAACTTCTTGCCTCCTCCCCATGAGGTGACCTTTTGGGAGTTGGTGGGGGAGGCGCTCCAGGACTTTACCGTACAGGTGTGCGGCATGTGGTTTCGGGGTTCGGGGGCGGGGCCCGAAGGGAGACGACGAAGTTCGTACTCACCTACTGTGCGGCTAGTGGATGGGGAATAGAGATGACGCTGTACGGTAGCTAGGCGGCTGGGAAGGACAAAGATAGGGGAGGGCCGCAGGGGTCCCCAGCATCCAGTCTCAATATCATGCTACCTATAATTCCAACTATATTGTCATCGCAAGGATGTTAGATGATTGTATCCCTATACTACACCACACACGCCCCCCCTAACCGACACAGCATACCTATCGAAAGGGTCAGAGGCTAGAGGCTGCGGCGGAAGAGCCCACCTTCGCGCTTGACGCCGGGCCTTCCCACCTTGCCTGACCTCTCCCCTCCTTCCTCCAAGCCCATACCGGTACCTTTTACACACCCCGGCTCCCGTCTCCCTCAGGCCCTCCTGGCTTCTGGTCTGCTTTCCCTCGGCCTCGCCGCCTTCAACGCACCTCCACAGCAGCCCACGGCTACTGCTACTCCTTCTCTAGCCACTGCAACTGCCGCTGCCAACCCCTCGGAGTGGGTGGAGGGAGCGGCGATACTGGGGACGGTAGCTCTGGTGGTGGCGGTGAGTGGGAGGTGTGGATGGGGCCAAATGCGGTTAGCGGAAGAGGTGTTTGCGCACCGTACCTGTGTCTGATCACCGCGCAGCAGGGAATTAAGGGACTACTTTTTTTAACGCGCAGCGTTGTAAGGAATTATCTTTTTTGTAACGCGCAGGGGTCTCAGTCTATGTTCCACTTCGCGCAGCCTTTAAAGTAGTACTGTATCAGCCTAACGCTTATACTAGAAAGCCCAGAAAGCAGAGCAATGGAAATGCAGAAACTTAAAGCTATGGTTCAAATCGGATGAGAGAGGAGGTGTAGGTATGAATGGGGCCAGGAAAAGAGCGAAACCCGGAACTTCGGGGCAGGACGCACTGGGGGCCACACCATGGATGGACAAATTTGTAACTAACGTGCAGCCCTTTGGGAAATTAATTATTTTCACGCGCAGGCCCCGGACCAATGCACACTTTCCAAATAATTCATTCATTCATTCATTCAATTAATTCATTGGGATTGGAATAATAATTGGAAATAATTATTTATTTGCGCGATGATCACTGGGAGATACGGTATCGAGGCGTGCCGTTAAGAGGGAGAGGGGGTAGGGGTCGGGGATGGGGGAATCGATGGAGTGGAGGACGATTGGCGGCGGAATAGAAAAGATGCTGGGGCAGTGGCGTTGTTGGCGGCTTGTTGAGGCGTGGAGAGGGGGCGGCGGCCAACATCACAACCTAAACCCTCGGCCGCCGCACCCTTCTTAACTTACCGCCCCCCACCGCCCTCACCCTCCAGGTCAGTGCCGCCACGGGATACTCCAAGGAGTCAAAGTTTCGACAGCTCAACAGCATGAGGCGCGAGGAGCAGGTGGGGTGAGGGTGCGGGAGGGTAAGTACGACACACATGGCTGTGTACGACACACATGACCGTACGGGCGATTGTAGAGCACTACCTGCTGCTATCGTGTCTGTAGGTGTGCATACACTTGAGGATCACGCTATACGCATACGCATGGCTGCTGTACTCATTCCTCTTCCCCGCCGCCCCCTCCCCTCCTTTCCAATGCCACAAGGTTCGTGTCGTACGCGGGGGCGCCCCTCCGACGCCCCTGCCCGCCAGCCAGCTGTTGGTGGGGGACTTGGTACTGGTGGAGGCGGGGGACATACTGCAGGTGTGTACGTCATACCGGTATGTAGGGTGTACGACCCATACGCTCGAGTATGCCATAGGCATTGTACGAATGACTGTACTGCGGTACAAAGTACCGCATACCTTGCAGCTGCTCCGCAGAGCCGTGCACGCAACGTTTTTTCGTCGTGCCAGGTTTGCGCTGAGTGATGCGTGTGCGTGCTTTCTGTAATCGGGGCATGGGGTTTGAAGTTGGTGGCATCAATGGTATTCCCAGCTTTACACACCTCTTTCCCTTGTCGTACGTGCCTTTGATGCGCTGTCCTGTTGTACAATCATCTACCTCCCCTCCGCCTTGCTGTGCAACTAACAACCTCTCTGTCTTCACTTCCAGGCGGACGGCGTGCTGGTGTCGGGTGGCGAAATCAGGTAGGTACACGACACTCTCTGTACGGTTTAGTTAGTGTAGCAGAAGGCAAGGCATGATATGATCGTTACGTTCGATGGGCTACCTCTTCGAATATGAATGGCATCGCGGCTCAGGAGAGGGGGGAAGCTCTTGGGTTACGCATGAATACGGGAAGAAGGGCTAATTGACTCAGTAAGGTAGGCTTAAGAAGACATATAGTTCGGTCGCTGCTTCCATATAGCTACGTCCCGCAACGTTCTTTTTCTGTCGTACGTACCTTGTTTCTCACCTCGGATTGGGTGAAGTCACCAACGGGTGACCCGCTTGGTGTTAGCAACATTTAACACGTACAGCAAGCCTCCCCCGGCCTGCCTCCTGATCCGCATTCACCCGTCGTCGCACTCGCTCGCCCTACTCATCCGTCGTACCCTCTTTTCCTTTCACAGGCTGGATCAAAGCCACTTGACGGGCGAGTCTGACGACGTCATTCGGATCCCCGAAACCGCTACCTTAATCGCCACTGCCGCCATCTCCAACTCTGGAAGTACGACAACAGCCTCAACGGAAGCAACGGCATCACCGCCAGCTTCCCCAGCAGCCGCCCCCATCGTATTCTCTGGTAGCAAGGTGCTGGAGGGGTACGGCAGCATGGTCGTACTGGCCGTGGGGCCGTACAGCCAACAAGGCAGCATCAATGCGGCACTGCTGTCATCATCCTCACAAGCTACGGGATCGCTTCTATCACAACCGCAGCAGCGAAGGCGCCGCCGCCGTCATCGGCGCAGTAAGACAGGCGGCGGCGTTAACGGTCGGAGTGGCGTGTTGGCGGCGGCGGCAACGGCAATAGCGACCGTTAGCTCGGTTGCTAGCTACGACGGAGGAAGCGGCGGTGGTGCTGGTATCGTTTACAATGATGGGCTGGTTGGCGGCGGCAGTGACAGCTGTACGGCAAGTACGACGGCGACAGAAAGCCTCGCCAACAAGTCGAGGGCGCCGGTGGCTTCTGCAAGCATTGACGATTTGGGTGCAGCGGGAGAGGGGGGCGGTGGCGGCGGCGGCGGTGTAGAGGAGGGGGAGAGCTCGGGGTTGCGCGCGGAGACGTTTCTAACGCAGAAGCTGCAGGTGAAGTGAAATGGGTCGGGGTGGTTGGGAGAGGGGATGGGAGCAAGAATATATGTGGCCGAGCCGAGCTATAGACGGGTATGCGCGGGCGAGTGGGGGACGAGGTTGAGCGCCTAAGAGGCATGCATGCATGCATGCATGCCTGCACGCTAACAGAGCTCAACGAGCGGCTTCAAGGTAACCCTCGTATCTAATCCTGTGCAATCCTGGCCCCTGGACCATTCAATGTCTTTATCAGGTTTTGGCTCAGCGTATTGGTGCGTTTGGAGTGGCTGCCGCTACCGCTGTGTTCGCTGTCAACGCAATCGCCCTGACGTCCCAACTAGCAGCGGCAGGCCTGCTGCTGGGGGCGGGAGGAAGAGGTGGCTTATCCTGCGGTTCTGTTTCATGCACCGACGTTGTAAAGGCGAGATGAATAGGAGGTGGAGAGGGGAGGGGATGGAAGGAGATAGAAGGGGGAAAAAGAAGGAAACCCCAATGTGTTGCATGAGAATGACAAAGAAGGAGGGAGGAGAGGGAGGGGGAAGTTGGACTTGAATGCGGGAGGGGGGGTGCGAGTTGTTGTCCTCTCGGCCTTCTGCATGCACTGTTTGGAGGCGAGAAGAGAGAGACCTAAGATGCGGACGAGTGGCCACAACTGGCACAACCGCCTTTAGTTCTCAGCTGAGAGCGGCCGCAGCATGACGATGACTGCGGGGCTGTGGGGCGGAAGATGGGGTTCGGGGTGCAATGGAGGGACGACAATGAATGGAGCAGCGCTAGAAGGGACAGAAGCCGAGGCGGTCCTGCGAGCTCCTCTGATACCCATATATTAAATTGTCGAGGTTTGTGTGAACACAGCTGTGACAATCTCTACCACACGCCCCCATGTGTAACGTACACGCGCCCTACCTAAGCAGGCGTACTTGGATCTGTTTGTCACGTCGATCACAATCCTGGTGGTTGCCGTACCGGAGGGCCTCCCGCTGGCGGTGACACTGGCGCTGGCGTTCAGGTGCGGGGTCGCTACTGGGTCGATGGGTCATCTTTTTATGGTCTTATCAGTTAAAATACGGAGACGGTTTGAGTTGTGATTATTCCAAAAGACTTGGCTGTTCAATGCAATCGTACTTCACCCGAACTATGTGATGGACTTATGCCGTACACCTTCCCAGTGTTCACCGCATGTTAGAGGATCGCAACCTGGTACGGCAACTGGGTGCGTGTGAGACCATGGGCGCGGTAACAACCATCTGCAGGTGCGTAACAGAGGGGCAATGTAGGTCGAGCTGTGGAGGGTCATTGACACGTGGGCCGGGGACGGAAGGTTCGGTTTGCGGCGGTACAATATAATTTAACGGTGCTTAGCAGGCGCGCTAGGGGGGAGGCTGCATCGGAGGGCATCTCCCAGTTTCTAAAGGCACCCTTATGACTATGAAACCAAAAAACTTTCAACACCTGCACGCCATCGACGTCTCCGACTTCCGGATGACAGGCAGGACCGGCGTGCCTCCACGCCCTCAAACCACACATATGCCAACCTCTACTCCTCATCTCACCAACCCCATCCACCAGTGACAAGACCGGCTTCCTGGCCGACAATGCTATACCCTCTCACCCACCAACGCCTTGACTTCTCGCGTTCCACCCCCAAACCCCAAACACACACACTCTCCCCTAAATCCTTTCACCCCCCTCCCCCTAGTGACAAGACCGGCACCCTCACCTCCAATGCCATGCGGGTGGTGCGGTTGTGGGCCGCCGGGGGCAGCTGGAGGGTGGTGGGGAGCGAGAGGGAAAGGACGGAGGATGTTGTGTGGAGGCAAGATGACAACAGCAGTGGCAATAGGGACAGCAGCACGGGCCCCAATAATATGGAGGCGCCACGGCACAATCCGGTTGCGCGGTTGATACCGCTGGCGTTACCGCGGACGGATAGGAACCAGCCTGGCGACCAGCAACAGCAGCAGAGACTGCAGCTAGAGAGGGAGTTGCCGGTTGCCGTACAGCGGTTGCTGACTCAGGGGCTCGTACTTAATTCCACGGCGTGTCTGTGGCGCAACCCGCACACAGGTGAGGACGTTACAGATTTGTTTCGGTTTTTATGCATTGCTTGGGAAGCGGTAGGGTTGTGCTATGAGAGAGCGAACGTGCTCAGAATACTTGATTGAGTATGAGAATGGAAGAAGGGCAATGCGGCCTTGCAACTACTCATGGTGGGGTCTTGGCCCCTGCAACCCGGATGTTTGCGGTAGGGATGTTTGCAGTAGGGATGTTTGCGGTAGGGGCGGACTCATGACATGCACACCTGCCATTCATAGTAACCCCCTATCCTTTGCCTCATGCTTCTCTAGGTCGCATAAGCCGCAGTAGTAGCAGCAATAGCGGGAGTGGCACCGTCGGCGGCCGTGCTGGCGACGGTGGTGGTGGCGGAGGCGGTGCTCGGGGCGGCGGTGGCAGCCCAACCGAGAGCGCCCTTCTTGAGTTGCCGTACATCCTGGGCTGGGACCGCCGCTGCTTCGCCCTACCGCATCCCATGCACGGCAGTAGCGATGGCAGTAGCGACAGCAATAGTCACGTTCAATTGCATCATCCTACCGGTTTGGGTCGTGTCATACAGTTGCTACCGTTTTCCTCGCAACGCAAGCGAATGAGCGTGGTCGTGGAGGTGGGGGCGGCGGCAGCAGCAGCAACACCGGCAGTGCAACCCTCGTCAACCCCGATGCTGGCGTCATCTTCGCCACTGTCGCCACCACTGGGCTGTAATACGGAACATGGCTGCCATATCACGCCTGGTGCAGGTGCCGGTAATTGTCACGACGAGATGGTTGCCGTGCGCGTGTGGACCAAGGGCGCTGCGGAATTGGTGATGCAGAGGTGCAGGTGGAGGCTGGCGGCGGCGGGGACGATGGGAGCGGCAGCGACGGGGGCGGCGGCAACTGCAGCAGCGGCGAAGGGGCAGAGGCCGGAAGAGGAAGACGAGATGCCGGTTATTTCGCTGGACGAGGGGGAGAGAGAGCGACTACTCCAGGGTTTCACAGGTGGGGTTTGGCGTGGTTGATGATTAGCGGTAGACAGTTGGGGCTGGTACGGGGAACGCGTGGGGACTGGTTTGGGTACACTCTAGACCAATTGGGTTCATGCACATGCGGTCAACTGCTTTCTTCTCAAGCGCCGTCGCCCCATCTTGCGTGGGGTGTATGGGGCTGCGCATGGCCCCCTTTCGTCTCCATGCCACCTTTCAAATTCTTCCCATTCCAGCAATTCCTTTACATACGGTCTTCCCAATCCCACATGCTTCACTCGCCAGGGTTACTACCCCAGCCCGGTGCGTGTTGCCGCGCACAGGCATGCCCCTTCCCCGCCACCTAAGCTCCCACCTCATCCTCACCTCCCCACGTTGCCTAACACACAGCCGGCGGTGGCGGTTCTCTACGCGTGCTGGCCCTCGCGTACCGAGACATGCAGCTACACAGGCAGAATGTACGACAAAGCCTTGGTCACGCCGCCACCACTGTCTCCACCGCTACCGCTGCCGGTCTGCATGTCGTGATGCCTGCTAGGGTTGACGCCGACAACAGGAACAGTAATAGCAATGTCATTGTCGGCGGCGCTGTGTCAGCAGCAGCGACATGTGCGGCAAGGGTTAGCGATGAGGGCCTACAACAGCCATCTACTGCTGGTTCTACGCCTATGATGGATGCAGACGATTTGGAGCAAGTACGAATGCACGACAAAAACGGGATTAAGTATTGGTGCCGGCGGGTGTCTGTTTGCTGACTTTCTCTTGCAAGAGTGGTCGACCCCATACGCCTAGAAGCGATCAGCCTTCCCACCCGCGCTTTCTCACTTCTCAACTTGTCGAACTCGGCCCGCGGCTGGGTTTCCCTCACCTCCTCGCTCCTCCCACCGTCCCGCCCCACGCCCAGGACTTTATCCTAGCCGCTCTGGTGGGGTTGGAGGACCCGCTCCGACCCGAGGTACCTGCGGCAGTGGCGGCATGTACGACAGCAGGTGAGGGTGGGTGTAGTGTGGAGATGAGGCGTGTAGGACATTAAACGGCGGGGGCAAGAATAGAACACTAAATGTGACAGACATTAACTTCCCCAGCGTTGGTCGGGAGGCTAATTGATGACGTCGAGCCAGGCCGTACGGTATCGGTAGGGGATAATACGGGGGGGTAGTAACTGCAAAAATAGATCCCAAGATCCATATTAAAGGAGCCTAGCGTGGGGATTCCGAATCCGCTTTCAGAATTCTGTTAGGAGTTGTAATGGAAAATTATGGGCTTGCAAAGTTGGTTGTACGGCAGGGGTGGATGGGTGGTCCGGAGCCTCAACGACTTTTTTAGATGAAACATTGGAAATTTCACCATACATGCTACCTTCCACACACATGCTTAACCTCGCTTCCCCACAGACACATCTCACTGTTTGCTTCCCGCCCGCTGTATAAGACCCACACATTTCCCTCACCTCCCTCTACTCCTCAAGCTCCCTCCCCCGTCCTTCCCCCAGGCATCACCGTCCGCATGCTGACAGGCGACAACGCCATCACCGCTGCCGCCATCGCCGCCAGGGCAAGGCTGCTGCCGCCGTCCGTGTCGCCATTCCCATCACCGCTTCCGTCTTCACGGCAGCAGCAAGAGCAGCAGGAGCGGCAGTTCGACCAGCGACCTCTTTCCTCCTCAAGAAGCGAGGTGGGAGAGTTGGCAGCGAAGGCGGGACAGGTGGATGCGGATGTGGACGACGCCACCATATCTAGAATAGTCGCCAACAGCCCCGCCGCCGCTGCAGCAGCAGTGGCACAGGCGCGTGCTGCGGCGGCTGACACCACTTCTGCCGCTGCCTCTGTCGTACAGAGTCAAGCGATGTCATCGCTGCTGCAGCAGAAACAATTGCCTTATTGTCATGGTATGCCGTACTACTTGGTCCTTGAAGCCGCCGTGTTTCGAAAACTGGTAATGCGGCCAGCAGCAGTTACCGTTGGGGACAAAGGTAGAGGCAAGAGCGCAGGCAAGGCGGCGGCGGCGGTGGCGGAGGATCTTGATCCGGTTGCTCTCCGGGCCCTGTGGCCCCGGCTGCGAGTGCTGGCCCGGTGTAGCCCGGGGGATAAGTACCTGCTGGTTTCGACGCTGAAGAAGATGCGGGAGGAGGGGGGGATGGAAGAGGTAAAGGGGTCGGTTGGGTTGGGGGAAGGGGATGCATGCGAGTGCGAGTGCGAGTGCCAGTGCGGTGCAGCCCGAGGAAGAGTGGCTGGGGGTGTGGCGCACGCGAGCGACGGTTGGGGGATGAGGGGGATGGAGGGTCGGGTGTAGGTGGTAAATGTTTTCTATACCGGCACTCATGGGCCAATGGGAATGGTTGGCGATGGATGGTTGCGTGCTAGCTCAGTGTACTTGAGGGGACACGTGCACTTTGGGGCAAGGAGTTATGGTACAAACATGAGAGGGTGACATCGGAACCCGACACACACCCCCTTACGGTGGACTCGGTACCGGTATCGGTGAGGGCCGAGAACCCACCCTTGTGGCACCTTGCCGCCACTACTCCCGTTGACTTGCCCTTACTTGTGCCATCCTATGTTTTGGTCTGTCTTTCACCCCCTACGGCCCCGTACGATACAGGTTATTGCAGTAACGGGCGACGGCACCAACGACGCTCCCGCCTTGGCCGCTGCGGATGTGGGGTTTTGCATGGCCACGGGGACACCCATCGCCAAGTAAGAAGCGGAGAGCGGACGGGGGATTCGAATGGGTGATGAAGTAGTGGGGAAAGCAAAGGGTAAGATGGATGGTTTGCATTGCCACGGGGGCATGCATCCAACGCTGATTGGTTGGAGAAGGGGCGGGTATGGAGCCTATGGAGGTATTGGCTTGTGTACGTGCTTATAGAAAAGCTTCGACATGTGGGAGGAGGACGCGCACGGTAGAGGAGGGGCTGGGGTTTGGTTAAGGAACAACCTAGAGGTATTAGGGGGGTACTTTGGCACGGTCGCGGGGGCAGTGGTCAACGGAAAAGGAGGTTGAAAACACAGGCAGCAAGGCACTCGTTGAGGTATGACTTTGTATATACCCTTCGCTAGGCAAGGGACAAGCAGAGCAGAGCTGGGCATTAGGCGGGACACGGGAGAATGGCAGGACACGGTCGGGGAACTTGGATGGAGCGGAGAATAATAAACAACTTGGGCCAGGGTATGGTGTATGCGATCCTCCTCTCCTCTCCTCTCATTTCCTCTCCCCGCCGGTCAACTCCCAAGGCTAAATGCCGTGCATGCACAACGAAACCTCCCGCTTAACATATTGCATCATTCTGCATTTCTCCAGGGAGGCTGCCGACATTCTTCTGCTAGATAGCTCCTTCGCCCACCTTGTGGCTGCGGTGGCATGGGGACGCAATGTGTACGACAGCGTTACCCGGTTCCTGCAGTTCCAACTAACTGCGAATATGGTGAGTCAAGTAACATTTCAACAATGGATAGGGCATTTCGTCGTTGTCCCTTCCGGTCATCTTGTTCAATTAGGCATCCCTGAACTCGTACCTGAACCACTTCTTCCCCTTGTCCGACAGCTTGCATAGCATTCACCCAGACTGTAACGTTTGAAGACAACGTTTCCACACATAGGTGGCGATTGCAGTGGCAGTTGGCGGAGCGGTGTGTCTACGGCAGTCGCCGCTATCTGCTGTACAAATGCTGTGGGTCAACCTCATCATCGACTCACTTGCCTCGCTAGCTTTGGCAACCGATGCGCCAAACGGTACGGTATGTTCAAATAGCAGCACCATCGTGCAAGTGAACATGCTGTGTCGCAATCATATGTCATACAAACCTGTTATACTGCCCTTGTCGTTCCATGTCGTAAAAGATTGCTCTAGGTGGGGGGGGGGGTAAAGAAGTATAATTGTACACCCCAACCCGAGTTTTCCAAAGGGAAGGCCTTGGAGCCACCCACCCACCGGCAAGTGTGTCGTACAACATGTAAATAATCGCCAAACGCTCGAGAGAAAGGCCATTAGGTGCAAGCTCTATTACATGCCGTTGGAAAACCCAAAACGCCCTGGGAAGACGCGCATACAAGTGTATGTCACAATGTTGCACCAGGGATCCATGCTCTTGTCCCCAGCTTGAACCCCGACTGATGACATCCATTAGGCGCCTAGAAAGCACCTGTAAGCTACGAAAAGACGTAACTGCAGATGTCAGGATCGCGAGTGGATAACGCGCGACTCAGGCGGCCACATCCTAGGCGGATGCACCGACCCGCGCATGCACGGTCTGTATTGTGAACGGCACGACGGTGCAGTACGCGTTGGGGCTGAAACAATACACCAAGGAAGACGCGGTGGGAGCTACATGGTGAAGGACGCCGGTAGCGAAGAGACTTACCTCACTTCGTTGATGGCAGCAGCCTCCCTAACTGGCTCCGGCCCCAGAACTTAGCCCTTGGCCAGCTACCCCGAGATCGAAGCCGAAGGGGAAGCGGGGCAGTAACAAAGGTGAAGCAAATATGGCGCGGTGATGCCCGGCTGTTGTACAGCGTCACATAGTGATAAGAGTAAGACCGAATCAACGATCAGCACGCAGCCAAACTTAGCCCTTGGCCCGTTATGTGTCTTAGGCAACTTGAGGTGTATTGTGTAGCAAGCACAACAAGGGGGTTTCAGCTTCCTCAAAGCTGGAAAAGGGCGGAGCCCCTCCTCTTCAGTACAGGAACGTATTATTACCACTGGAATGATTGCGATTATTACAGGGGAGTGGAACGACTCAAGTGCGACGCACAACCCTATGGGCCTTATAGACCTGGAATGCGCTCCTGTGACTCCACGGCACCAGTTGACCTAACACACCTCGTTATACGGACGCTGAACCCCCTTGTTTACTGTAGTTTTAGTGCTCGTTGCATGGCTAGACGGGCTCAGAGCCCCTTGTCCAGCCGAGGCCGGCCGCCTTGTTCACCCATGGCGTACATTGTGTCCTCACTCATTGCACACATTGTTAGGTTACGCCTGTTCAATCGAGTACTTAGTAACGTCTTATCATGCTTGATAACACCCACGCCTTAGGCTACAGAACCCAAATCGACGGCGTAACTGCCACATGGAAGTGCTTTCGGGGTCCCGCAGAGTTTCACCTACATTACTAACATGATGAGGAGGTCAGGCTCGTCAATCTCGGCATCGTGCTCAGAAGGACTTCAGCCATTGCGCCGTCACATGACATGTTAGCTTATAAGCGAGGTATCCCGTACCCGTTTGCGTTACAGTTCATACGCATAAACCCATAGCAAAGGCTTGCAACATCGTCCCAAAGGATTGTGTGGGCTCTGAGTAGCACAGTAGATGCGAGCATGCTCCCGCCGACTTTCACAGTTAGCCCTTTGGCGACACGCCGCTGTTACCAATTCACTAAATACTGTTTACGGTACCAGGACAAACCATAGAGGAGCGCTAATCGCTGTTGCCGAGGTGGTCCTTGTTCAATGGCTGGTCAATAAATCGTTTGTTGCGAAATTAAGTTTGTTTGGCTTCCAGTTATTTTTACTGAATACAGATAACAAATATCTATTAGGTGCAATAAATAGGTTTGTCTAGATTGTATGTTTTGCCGTTACGGACGGACACACGGACACACGGACATGGCGGGGCGTGCCAGGGGGGGGCCGTCGCAACTTGGGTTGTGGTGGGGTTTGGGGGCGATGTTGTTTCCCCATGCTGCGTTGCTGCCTTCTCGTACATGCCTCCAACTTGCTGTCTTGCGCACACAGTGCCCCACCCAATCGCCTTGTCGCTTGCCACTTTTGTCCAACTCACCCTCTATCAATCTACGCTCACACGCACGCGCCGCCAAACATGTGGTGGCTCTCGCTTACATGCCGTACCTCCTACTCGGCTTCCCTCTCTTCTTTTGCTGTAAGCGAAGGTACCGCTATTCCTAGGCATAGACATAAGCATGCACTACTTCAAGCTGGCTTCCCGGTCTAGATTTACTGAGTTCCACCTTAGACGGCCAACCGGCTTCTGTTAGCGTCAGGATGTCAGGGTGTCGTCATATTTCTTTGTATCCGTGTGCAAGTCGAGTCGACTCCTTGCTTGAAGTCGGGATGTAGTCGTACTCGCCTGCGGTGCTCTTTAGCGAAGGTCTCCTACATGGCTCAGGCGCCACGTAGCAAGTTCAAATGCTGCATTCTGATAACGTGTTGTGGCCTTTCGTGATATGTATGTCAGTCAACCTAAGACAACGTTATCGTCCTGCTAACAGCCTAACCCCGCCCGCTCATTTGATACATCAAATCAAAAAAATCAAAGTTCAGACATCATAAATGCTATGCAGAAGAGCTTGGTTCGGACGTGGGTTAGTGGTTGTCGAAAGTTGCTTTGGCATCGCAGTGTGCTCGGGTCCGTTTTGCCTTTCAATCGTCTGTACTTGGGCATAAGTATGAGTGCGTGTCGTTTTGTTTTCTCGGCAACCCAACAGTGTCGCTGGAGTAAATAGGCAAGTAGCGAGAATTGTCGTACTAAAAAGGACATAGGACGTCCGTTTTTCGGAGGGCCTTGTTTGCCAACTTGTGATTATCGCGCCTTCTTATTGTTACCAGCTTTGCTAGTCCTTCTTTATCTGTCTGCAAATCGGGTGCTGAGAAAAAGTTGGGCTGAACTGCATTCGTTAGTGGTGAGCTGACGTGTGGGCCTCCTTTGACGGGTGAAGGGCTGTGGAAATGTCAGGCCCATATCGTATTGCCCAGCACGCCACCCGTGTTGCTTACTGCTCACGTGCATTCAACACGCCTAAATGCACACGCTCACATGGCGGCCCTACCAGTAAAGCGGGGTGGCTTGCATGCGTGTGTGGGTTGCATGGGGCAAAGGGCGGGGCAAGTAAAGCAGGGTTGCGGGCATGCGTGTGTGGGTTGCATAGGCCGAGGGGGTGTGTAAAGCGGGGTTGCTTACATGCGTGTGTGCATGGGTTGCATGGGGTAAGGGGGTTAGTAAAGCGGAGTTGCTTACATGCGTGCATGCGTGGGTTGCACGGTGCTAGGGGGCGAGTAAAGTGGGGGTGCATGCATGCGTGTGTGGGTTGCATGGGCCAAGGGCGCGAAAAAAGCGGGAATGCATGCATGTCTGCGGGCGAGGGTTGCATGGGGCGATGGGGCGCGTAAAGCTACGGGTGCTTGCATGCGTGCGAGTGTGGGTTGCATGGGGTGAGGGGGCGAGTAAAGCAGAGGTGCTTAAATGCGTGCGTGTGTGGGTTGCATGGGGCGAGGGGGCGAGTATTAGAGGGGGTGCATGCGTGCTTGCACGGGTTGCATGAGGCAAGGGGGCGTGTATGAGTTGCTTATGGCGAGGGGGCGAGTGAACGGGAATGCATGCATGTCCGCTGTCGTGGGTTGCATGGAGTGAGGGGGCGCGTGAAGCTACGGTGCTTGCATGCGTTCGAGTGTGGATTGCATTGGGCAGGAGGGCGCGTAATGTGGTGGTGCGTGCATGCGTGCGTGGGTTGCATGGGCAAAGGGTGCGAGTAAAGCGGGAATGCATTCATGTCTGCTGGCGTGGGTTGCATGGGGGAGAGGGCGCGTAAAGCTACGGGTGCTTACATGCGTGCGAGTGTGGGTTGCATGGGGCAAGGGGGCGAGTAAAACGGGGGTTCGTGTATGAGTTGCATGTGGCGAGGGGGCGAGTGAACGGGAATGCATGCATGTCCGCTGTCGTGGGTTGCATGGAGTGAGGGGGCGCGTGAAGCTACGGTGCTTGCATGCGTTCGAGTGTGGATTGCGTTGGGCAGGAGGGCGCGTAATGTGGTGGTGCGTGCATGCGTGCGTGGTTTGCATGGGCCAAGGGTGCGAGTAAAGCGGGAATGCATTCATGTCTGCTGGCGTGGGTTGCATGGGGGAGAGGGCGCGTAAAGCTACGGGTGCTTGCATGCGTGCGAGTGTGGGTTGCATGGGGCAAGGGGGCGAGTAAAACGGGGGTTCGTGTATGAGTTGCTTGTGGCGAGGGGGCGAGTGAACGGGAATGCATGCATGTCCGCTGTCGTGGGTTGCATGGAGTGAGGGGGCGCGTGAAGCTCCCTTGCATGCGTTCGAGTGTGGATTGCATTGGGCAGGAGGGCGCGTAATGTGGTGGTGCGTGCATGCGTGCGTGGGTTGCATGGGCAAAGGGTGCGAGTAAAGCGGGGTGCGTGCATGTGTGTAGGGATTGCATGGGCCGAGTGGGTGAGTAAAAGCGGAAGTGCTTGCATGCGTGCGTGTATGGGTTGCATGGGGCGAGGAAGCGAGTAAAGTGGAGATGCTTGCATGCGTGCATATGTGTGTTGCACGGAGCGAGGGGGCGTGTAAAGCGGGAGTGCTTGCATGCATGCGTGTGTGGGTTGCATGGGGCGAGAGGGCTTGCTTGTAAAGCATGGTTGCTTGCGTCTGTTGAGATAACTGGCCGCGAGGCGGAGCGTACTGCGATTGACCGTGCGTGTGTTGCATGGGGCTAGGGGACGAGTAAAGCGGGGGTACGTGCATGCGTGAGTGTGTTGGTTGCATGGGGTAAGGCGGCGCGTAAAGCGGGAGTGCTTGCATGTGTGCGTTGGTTGCATGGGGCGAGGGGCGGGGCAAGTAAACCGGGGGTGTGGGCATGCCTGTGTGGGTTGCATGGGGCGAGGGGGCTTGCGAAGCATGGTTGCTTGCATGTGTTAAGAAAACTGGCCGCGAGTAGGTGCGCACTGTGATTGTCGGAAGATGAAGTCCCCACAGAACCGCCACAGGAGCCATGG